AATAGGAGTATAGCATCTAGATCAAGGGAAGTAATAATGCCACTGTATTCTGCTCTGGTCAGACCTCACCTGGAGTACTGTGTCCAGTTCTGGGCACCACAGTTCAAGAAGGACACTGACAAACTGGAACGTGTCCAGAGGAGGGCAACCAAAATGGTCAAAGGCCTGGAAACGATGCCTTATGAGGAACGGCTAAGAGAGCTGGGCATGTTTAGCCTGGAGAAGAGGAGGTTAAGGGGTGATATGATAGCCATGTTCAAATATATAAAAGGATGTCACATAGAGGAGGGAGAAAGGTTGTTTTCTGCTGCTCCAGAGAAGCGGACACGGAGCAATGGATCCAAACTACAAGAAAGAAGATTCCACCTAAACATTAGGAAGAACTTCCTGACAGTAAGAGCTGTTCAACAGTGGAATTTGCTGCCAAGGAGTGTGGTGGAGTCTCCTTCTTTGGAGGTCTTTAAGCAGAGGCTTGACAACCATATGTCAGGAGTGCTCTGATGGTGTTTCCTGCTTGGCAGGGGGTTGGACTCGATGGCCCTTGTGGTCTCTTCCAACTCTATGATTCTATGATTCTATGATTCTATGATTCCTCCACTCTTCCTCAGTAGCATGTTGGACGCCTTCCGACCTGAGGGGCTCATCTTCCAGTGTCATAACTTTTATAGGCCTGTTGTCTTTGTCCATGGAGTTTTCTTGGCAGGGATGCTGTGATCACCAATAGTCAGCATGGATTTCTGAAAAATAAGTCATGTCAGACTAACCTGATCTCGTTTTTTGACAGAATTACAACCCTGGTAGATGAAGGGAACGCAGTGGATGTAGCCTACCTTGATTTCAGCAAGGCATTTGACAAGGTGCCCCATGATATTCTTGTAAAGAAGCTGGTAAAATGCGGTCTTGACTATGCTACCACTCAGTGGATTTGTAACTGGCTGACTGACCAAACCCAAAGGGTGCTCATCAATGGTTCCTCTTCATCCTGGAGAAAAGTGACTAGTGGGGTGCCACAGGGTTCTGTCTTGGGCCCGGTCTTATTCAACATCTTTATCAACGACTTGGATGATGGACTCAAGGGCATCCTGATCAAATTTGCAGATGACACCAAACTGGGAGGGGTGGCAAACACCCCAGAGGACAGGATCACACTTCAAAACGACCTTGACAGATTAGAGAACTGGGCCAAAACAAACAAGATGAATTTTAACAGGGAGAAATGTAAAGTATTGCACTTGGGCAAAAAAATGAGAGGCACAAATACAAGATGGGTGACACCTGGCTTGAGAGCAGTACATGTGAAAAGGATCTAGGAGTCTTGGTTGACCACAAACTTGACATGAGCCAACAGTGTGACGCGGCAGCTAAAAATGCCAATGCAATTCTGGGCTGCATCAATAGGAGTATAGCATCTAGATCAAGGGAAGTAATAGTGCCACTGTATTCTGCTCTGGTCAGACCTCACCTGGAGTACTGTGTCCAGTTCTGGGCACCACAGTTCAAGAAGGACACTGACAAACTGGAACGTGTCCAGAGGAGGGCAACCAATATGGTCAAAGGCCTGGAAACGATGCCTTATGAGGAACGGCTAAGGTCGAGCTGGGCATGTTTAGCCTGGAGAAGAAGAGGTTAAGGGGTGATATGATAGCCATGTTCAAATATATAAAAGGATGTCACATAGAGGAGGGAGAAAGGTTGTTTTCTGCTGCTCCAGAGAAGCGGACACGGAGCAATGGATCCAAACTACAAGAAAGAAGATTCCACCTAAACATTAGGAAGAACTTCCTGACAGTAAGAGCTGTTCGACAGTGGAATTTGCTGCCAAGGAGTGTGGTGGAGTCTCCTTCTTTGGAGGTCTTTAAGCAGAGGCTTGACAACCATATGTCAGGAGTGCTCTGATGGTGTTTCCTGCTTGGCAGGGGGTTGGACTCGATGGCCCTTGTGGTCTCTTCCAACTCTATGATTCTATGATTCTATGATATGGAGTGGCTTGCCGGTTCCTGCTCCAGGTGGATCACATTTGGTCAAAACTCTCCACTATTGAAGGGACAGGATACCCAAAAATCCTGACTGTGTAGTCACCCCAACTAGGCCTCAAGACCCCATCTAGGCCTCAAAACTTCAACTAGGCCCCAAGACTTCCCAATTACTTTCTTTGAGGATTCAGTAGCTAAAAAGCATTAGCTTTGCTGTAACAAAAAGAAGCTGCTTTGCTGTAACAAAAAGAAGCTGAGAAAACACAGCTTTCTGTTTCTCAGGCCTTCAGTTGGCCTTGCCAGTGGCACATCCAGTTTATCAGCCTGCTTGCAACTTTCTTGGCGCTGACACACAGACCCCGGGAATGGCACCAGGAGAACCAGATAGAAACAATTCTATTCATCATGAATGGAGATTGTTTCTGCCAACATACGTGTGCAAAACTCGTGAGGCTGAATCCCTGGGAAAGGGGAGGGAAAGGGGACCTGGAAAATGGATATAAACTCTTTGTAAAATGTTTTCAGGTGTGCTTGCTGTGAATCAATCACGCAGGTTCCTTCTGCTACTCTGGATGGCAGAAATAAAGCTCTCTGAATTAACCCCTCGGTGTCTGTTTGGCTTCTCCCTCCCTCCCCCGGAGCAATGCTCTTCCTATCTGTGGGAAAGGCCTGAAAGGCTACACTATGACCTGTCCATCTTGGGTGGCCCTGCACAGCATAGCTCATAGCTTCTCTGGGTTATTCAAGCCCCTTTGCCACGGCAAGGCAGTGATCCATGAAGGGGAGTTAGCAGTTAGGCCTGAATAACTTTAGTAGGCCCAAATGATTGTGCAGTCCCAGCACTTCCCAGCCTGCTTTGCTGCTTCTGCTCTCATGCGTCTTTGTCACATGACAAGTCCATGCTGCCTGCTCATCTACAAGCACTCTTTAATATTAGATAACAGGCACAACAGCTTGACTGACATTCAACTGAGCTGCCCTGCAGTCTGCAGCTGCATGCTCCATGTTGCCACACAACCAGTCCATGCAGAATGTAGGCACCCTAGACAGTGGTACCTCGGGTTACAAACACTTTGGGTTACAAACACTTCAGGTTACAGACTCCGCTAACCGAGAAGTAGTACCTCGGGTTGAGAACTTTACCTCAGGATGAGAACAGAAATCGTGCTATGGTGGCAGCGGGAGGCCCCATTAGCTAAAGTGGTACCTCAGGTTAAGAACGGTTTCAGGTTAAGAACGGACCTCTGGAACAAATTAAGTTCATAACCCGAGGTACCACTGTATATAGTAATGAGCAAACCAGTGATATTTTAGGGAGCAGGCTAGCAGGCCTTACATCATAGGAGCCTACACAGCACAAAACACTTGCTGTATGTAGGTTTATTTTATTTGTTTTTTGTCTTCTATTTTGGAAATGTACATTCTGTTTTTCCCCCTTTAAATGTTTCTGGAGCCCCCAAAAGAGTGGGGCCCTAAGCTATAGCTTGTTTAGCTTCTACGTAAATCCGGCACTGGGTGTGGATCCGTCGATGCCTCATCAGAGTCGCTCTGTAACTGAACCTCTTCCCACACTTGGGACACTCGTTCGGTTTCTCTTCCATGAGGCCTCTCTGATGGCTCACCCAGATCTCTCGCTGGGGAAAGGGCTTCTCGCTCTCAGACTATTCTTACGCTTCCTCTCCCATGCGCATCCTCTGGTGTTCAGCCTGGGCGGATCCTCGCTGGACGCTCTCCCCACACACGGGGCATTCATAAGGGTGCTCTTTGCCATTCAGCCTCCCCAGACGCAAACTGTGCTGGCCGTTCCTCCCATGATTTGAGGAGAAGGGCTTTCTGCTCCAAAGTGCACTGGGCTTTCACTAAAGGGAACTAGACCGGGGTGGTGGCTGTGTTCATTTGCTCCCTGGGGTCCTTTGGACTCATGCTTTTGATCTGGAATCTCAGCTAACAAAGAAAAGTTCCTTAGGGATATTTCCCCAAGGAAAGGACTTCCCCTCGGTGGGATTTCTCTGTCTTGATCTCTCTCCTTTTACCTGCAGGTGATGGTGAATTATTATTTTTTTAAAGCATTATGCGTGTGGGAAACCCCTAAGCAGGACCTGGGAACAAGATCCCCTCCCCTTCTAGAGTCTCCAGCAACCGCTATTCAGGAGCATTACTGCTTCAAACCTCTGAGGCAGAGCATATAACCATCCAAAGTCTTATCCTCCAGGAATTTTATCTCATCCTCTCTTCCTCCAGGTTTTTCAGCCATTGCAAGGGACCACACTTTATCAGGAATATAGGAAGACTTCACAATGTGTAGTAATATTGATTAATAATAATAGCCAAGATTGCACCAGGCATTCCTATCTAGGGAAGGAGCTCCATAACTTGTCTGCCGCACCACAGATGGTGCCTTCTGCCAGGCCAGCCCATTGCTCCATCGAGGCCAATATTGCCTCCACTGACTGGCAGCTGCTCTGCAGGGTCTCCAGGCAAGGGGCCTTCCTAGCCATGCCTGCAGATGTCCTGGCCAGGGATGATGGGAATTGTAGTCTGAAGCAAACAGAGGGCTCCAGGTTGGCAATGCTGAAAGTGTCCTTTTCAATCTGAAGCTCTTTGCCAGAATGCTAAAAATGAATTAAGTTAAAATTAGCAACAAGACTTTTAGGAGTTCTCTTCACGGAATCAAATCCCGTTTGCTAAAGTAGAACTCCCGCCCATTTAGGGCAGCAGCAGATTTTCTCCAATTCAAAAATGACAAGGAAGCCTACGAATGAAAATGTTACAATATGAATACCACAACTTACTAGGTATGTGTGGGCTTGTGTGGAGGTGTAATGAAAAGCATTGGAAGCAATCAAAATTGGGAATCGGCATTCGCTGCTACTTGAGAAAATATTCAGCAACTGCAAAGACCTGGAGACATATTTTTAAAAAACGTAAAGATCACGTGGTCACTGAGTCATTTCCAGGAAAGGAAACTCCCAGTAGCTGAAAAGAGAGTAAGTGAAACTTAACTCGGGTCTTTTGCGTGAAGGAGCCATGGCTGCTTCTGGGCGTCCCGTCAAGAATCTCCGTGATGAAGCCACTTGCTCCATCTGCCTGGATTACTTCAAGGATCCAGTGACCATCCCAGAGTGTGGGCACAACTTCTGCCGATCCTGCTTGATCCAGTGCTGGGGGGAATCGGAGGCAGAGGCTTCCTGCCCTCAGTGCAGAAAAACAGTCCAGAGAAGGAGCCTCATCCCCAACCGGCAACTGGCTAATATGGTGGAAATAGCGAAGACTCTCAGCCTTCAAGAGGGGAAGGAGGAAGGAGGGAAAGGAGGAGTCTGCGAGAAGCACCAGGAGCCCCTGAAGCTCTTCTGCAAGGAGGATGAAGCCCCCATCTGCGTGGTGTGTGACAGATCCAAGGAGCACAAACATCACGAAGTGATTCCTCTGGAGGAGGTTTTCGAGGAATACAAGGTAGGAGATTCCTGGATTTGAGGGGAGAAATAGCTGTGGATTCTTCTTGGGAGGTTTCCTTTTTACTTCTCAGCTCCAAAGTAGGCATGGCATGAATTGGTGGTGGTTTATTATGTAAAAAGCAGCCCAGGGGGAGCCTGAGGGCTCCTGGGATGGCTGGGAGGAGGGAGTTGAAGTCCTTCTCTCTTCCAGGGGGACAAAGGGATCTCCCTTGATCAATGGCAAATAAACTTGATGAATGGAGGCTTCATGTAGGAGTGGAGGAAGACATCCGGAATTGTTGTGTGCTGATACTCACAGAGACATGGTTAAATTCAGCTATTCCAGACACAGCTGTTGAATTACAAGGTTTTACAATGTGGGGACAGGAAAGTGGGGACAGGACACAGGATTCTGGCAAGAAACAAGGGGTGTGTGTGTGTGTGTGTGGGTGTGTGGGTGTGTGTATTTTTATAAATCAAAACTGGTGTAGGGACTCAAGTTGGATACCTGCTGTTCTCCAGATGTGGAATTTCTGACAATTAAATGCAGACCTTTCTATCTTCCCCGGGAATTTACAACAGTGGTGTTAACAGCGGTGTACATAGCACCAACTGCAAATGCATGCAGGGCCATGAGTAGTATGCATGAGAACATCAATGCTAAATTGAGCAGATACCCGGAGGCTGTGCACATTATTGCGGGGGACTTCAATCACACAGATGTGAGGGCAATACTCCCAAAATCCCATCAGCACATTGAGTGTGCAACAAGGGGAGAAAATACTCTTGACAAGGTGTATACGAACATTAGACGGGCATATGAGGTCAAGACCACGGCGCACCTCGGTGGTTCAGATCATGTGTCCCTGCTTCTGACACCAGTATACACACCCCTCAGGGTACAAGGCCAGATACAAACACGGGTGGTTACGGTGTGGCCTGAGGGAGCCTCTCAGCAACTGCAGGACTGTTTCCAGGAGACCGACTGGAATATGTTCGACCATCAAGATCTAGAAACTTATACATCAACGGTCCTGGATTATATTAGATTCTGCACAGCAAATGTCACCAGGCAAAAGTATGTTAAGTTGTATCCGAATAGGAAGCCCTGGATGACAGGAGAGGTTAGGAGATTATTGAAGGCCAGAAATTCTGTTTTTAGAACTGGGGACCGGATATTGTATGGTATAGAAAGAGCGAACTTGAAGAGGGGTATCAGGAAAGCAAAAGCGGAGTACAGAGGAAAAATTGAGGACCATCTGAGAAATCATGATACTAGACAAATGTGGCAGGGAGTCCAACATCTGACTGGTTATAAATCAAGGAATTCATCAGTGGTAGAGAGTACTGCTTCCTTGGTGGGAGAGTTGAATACCTTCTTTGCCCGATTTGAGGTCTGACATCAATACCAGTTTGACATCAATACCAGGGAAGATTCTGGAGCAGATCATTAAGCAAACAGTCTGTGAGCACCTAGAAAGGAATGCTGTGATCACCAATAGTCAGCATGGATTTCTGAAAAATAAGTCATGTCAGACTAACCTGATCTCGTTTTTGACAGAATTACAACCCTGGTAGATAAAGGAACGCAGTGGATGTAGCCTACCTTGATTTCAGCAAGGCATTTGACAAGGTGCCCCATGATATTCTTGTAAAGAAGCTGGTAAAATGCGGTCTTGACTATGCTACCACTCAGTGGATTTGTAACTGGCTGACTGACCGAACCCAAAGGGTGCTCATCAATGGTTCCTCTTCATCCTGGAGAAGAGTGACTAGTGGGGTGCCACAGGGTTCTGTCTTGGACCCGGTCTTATTCAACATCTTTATCAACGACTTGGATGATGGACTCAAGGGCATCCTGATCAAATTTGCAGATGACACCAAACTGGGAGGGGTGGCTAACACCCCAGAGGACAGGATCACACTTCAAAACGACCTTGACAGATTAGAGAACTGGGTCAAAAAAAAAAAGATGAATGTTAACAGGGAGAAATGTAAAGTATTGCACTTGGGCAAAAAAAATGAGAGGCACAAATACAAGATGGGGGACACCTGGCTTGAGAGCAGTACATGTGCAAAGGATCTAGGAGTCTTGGTTGACCACAAACTTGACATGAGCCAACAGTGTGACGCGGCAGCTAAAAATGCCAATGCAATTCTGGGCTGCATCAATAGGAGTATAGCATCTAGATCAAGGGAAGTAATAGTGCCACTGTATTCTGCTCTGGTCAGACCTCACCTGGAGTACTGTGTCCAGTTCTGGGCACCACAGTTCAAGAAGGACACTGACAAACTGGAACGTGTCCAGAGGAGGGCAACCAAAATGGTCAAAGGCCTGGAAACGATGCCTTATGAGGAACGGCTAAGGTCGAGCTGGGCATGTTTAGCCTGGAGAAGAAGAGGTTAAGGGGTGATATGATAGCCATGTTCAAATATATAAAAGGATGTCACATAGAGGAGGGAGAAAGGTTGTTTTCTGCTGCTCCAGAGAAGCGGACACGGAGCAATGGATCCAAACTACAAGAAAGAAGATTCCACCTAAACATTAGGAAGAACTTCCTGACAGTAAGAGCTGTTCGACAGTGGAATTTGCTGCCAAGGAGTGTGGTGGAGTCTCCTTCTTTGGAGGTCTTTAAGCGGAGGTCTTGACAACCATATGTCAGGAGTGCTCTGATGGTGTTTCCTGCTTGGCAGGGGGTTGGACTCGATGGCCCTTGTGGTCTCTTCCAACTCTATGATTCTATGAGGTGACACCAACAGTGACTCCAACAGGGATGCCAGAGCTATTGGCATCACTAGCTACAGGAAATGCTGCCAGGGTGGAAGAGGGAGAAGTGAGGCGAATATTAAAGGAGGTAAACACGAGGAAGGCTATGGGCCCGGATGAGGTGGCTGGCAGGGTGCTAAGAGATTGTTCGGACCAACTGGCAGGAATCTTTACAAAGATTTTTAACCAGTCTCTGGCCCAAGCCACTGTTCCACCCTGTCTGGAATCCGCTACCATTATACCCCTGCCAAAAACATCAAAGATAAGACAGTCTGAATGATTTTCACCCTGTGGCGCTGACACCCATTATAATGAAATGTTTCGAAAAACTGGTGAGGGACCGCATCTTATCTTGTCTGCCAGTGGGACTTGACCCTTACCAGTTTGCGTACAAGGCAAAGAGATCCACAGAGGATGCTGTGGCAATGGCTTTACATGCTGTCCTGACTCATTTGGAGAAGCAAGGGAACTACGCGAGACTGTTATTTGTAGACTTTAGTTCTGCATTTCATACTATTCTTCTGCATAGATTGGTGCCCAAATTATTAGACCTGGGACTTCCACCATGTTTGTGCAGGTGGATATTAGATTTTCTATCAAACCGTTCCCAAAGGGTCAGGTTGGGTTCCCACGTCACTGCGGATCTCATCACGAACATGGGGACGCTGCAGGGGTGCGTGTTGAGCCCGCTTTTATATATGCTCTATACAGCTAACTGTGCCCCCAGATACCCCGGTAATAAGATCATTAAGTTCGCAGACGATACAACGGTGGTTGGTTTAATCATGGCTGGAGAGGGGGAGGCGGCCTATAGGAAGGAAGTTGAGCAGTTGGGGGAGTGGTGCAGGAAAAACAACTTACTCCTTAACTTAAAGAAAACAAAAGAGATCATTGTGGACTTTAGGAAATGTAAACTGAATATTCAGCCACTTATTATTGAGGGGAAGTGCGTGGAACAGGTCTCGGTGTTTCGATTTCTGGGAATGTAGTTGAGAGACAACCTAACCTGGGGAGGAAACAGCAAAGACCTGGTGAAGAGAGCACAGCAGAGGTTATATTTTCTGAGAATCCTCCGGAAAAACAATCTCTCAAAGGACCTGTTGATGGCATTTTACCATTGCACTGTGGAGAGCGTACTAACTTATGGTCTGTGCGTGTGGTTTGGGAGCTGCACAGCCAGGGAAAAAACAATGCTATCCAGGGTTGTAAGGACTGCAGAGAGAATAATTGGGTGCACTCTTCCCACCTTTGATCAAATCTATGCTGCCAGGTGCCATAAGAAAGCGGCAGAGATAGCACAGGATAGTACGAAATGATCTCTTTCAGCTTCTGCCTTCTGGAAGAAGGTATAGGGTTATAAAGGCCAGGACTAGCCGCCTGAGAAACAGTTTCTATCCAAATGCAATTCTGGTTCTAAACGCAGCATAAGGGGTCTCTGTAGTATAGTGTATTTTAAAATGGGGTTTTAGAGTTTTTAGGGGGTTTTGAATGTTTTGTGTAGTTTTGTGGTAGTTTTATGTAGTTTTGTGGTAGTTTTATGTAGTTTTTATGTAGTTTTATGTAGTTTTTCAATTTCATTGTTCTGCATGGGACAATGACAATAAAGATATCGTAATCGTAATCGTAATCCCTTGATATCCCTGAGTAGCATCTGCAAAGACTAGGTAGAAGTCTGTAAGCAAGGGGTGACCTAACTGGGTCCCTGAGCCCCACGGGGCTGGCACAGAAAAAAGGTAGCTGGTCCAGGGAGTCCTGGAAACAAAAAGGTTGAAAACCTCTGGACTTTTATTTCCTTCAGTAAACTACTCTGCTATTATAGCAAGGCCAGTGGGCGCAAGAAGCCAGCATACTATTCACCTCCTCTCTGTGTGTCTCAATCAAACCTGAGTTTTCCCTTTTCTCTTTAGGAAGAGATCTGTCGCCGCCTGGAGATTCTGAGGAAAGAGAGAGAGGAAATTCTGGCCCATCAAGCAGCCCTGGACAAGGAATGCAAAGACCTCCTTGTAAGTGTCTCTGTTGTTACTAGTGAGGGAACAAGCACTTGAAGAGTCGAGTCAGGACAGAGGAGGGATGGGGAAATCTGCCCATTTCAGCTTCTCCCCATTTCTCATTTCTCCATATCAGTTTGTTTATTAATTTATTATTCTGAAAATGAATCAGATGTTATTGTAGCTACCTCCTTACATTAATATTCTGATCTGTAGTTTACCCCCATAAATATATATTTTTTGTGAATATTACCTGGATTGGTCAACATTGAAAATATCAGAGGTGTGAATTTCAAAGGATTGCTCTGTTTTGGTCTCTATATTTTTTCAGCAATAGCAAATTAGGTAAGTTCACCTTTGAATGCCACTAAATTGAGTTTATTTCCCCTTGTCATTTATTATGTGAATAGCAGTGAAGGAGAAGCCTGAGGACTTGTGAGCTGAAAGGGTGGAAGCAATTCAATCCAAATCCTGATTTACCATAAATATTACTAAAGAATTGTCCTTCTAAATGTGCACTCTTGTTCAATTTTAGGAAACTCGGGCCATTTTGAACCTTTAAAGAAAACGGGGGAGCTATGGGGATGAACTCTGCACTTTGTCCTCCTCTGTTTCTGCTGCATTCCTACACCTAAATGGCCCCAGTCTAAACTGAGGGGTGTGTTATGTCCATGGATGAACTCGGTTATGCCATGCCCCAAAACATGCAGGGAACATCCGTGGCTAGAAAAAAAGCTCCTTGCTTTAGGCTGTACCTCTCTGTGAAATAGATATCAACAGAAACAGCAATGGAGAGGGCTTCCCCTCAAAATATAGGTTTACTTCTTTAGCCGCTGGAGGTTTCATGTCTCTGAAAAATCAGAAGTGTCCTCCCTGTGGAATTCTCACAATTCTCTTCCTGATGTTTTGAAGGCTGAGCACCTTCCACACTCAGACCTCCTCTTTTCTTGCAGAAATTAACAGAAAGGGAGAGGCTGAAGACTGTGGATAAGTTCAGGGAACTGCGACAGTTCCTGAAAGAACAAGAGAAACATCTGCTGAATGATGTGAAAGAGGTGGAGAAGGAGATTGCAGGGAGAAGGGATGAGCAGCTGGCCAGACTCTCCAGGAAACTCTCCTCTCTTGAGAGGATCATCCAGGAGATGGAGGAGAAGCGTCAGCAGGCAGCAAGTGAACTCCTGCAGGTAAGATGGTGGCAGGAACAACCAGAGGATCCAGGAAAAGGCTGCCTCCAATCCTTTATGTGCCCCTTTCATGTATGCAAGGAGTGCAGGGGCTGAGATGAAGGAGCCTCTGGTCAGGTTGTAATGGACAGGAACACCTGAGAGACCTGAGATGCTTAACTCACTTGAATGCAGACTAGAGATTCATCTGTGTTCTTGATGGAACGGGAGCTGATCTTCTGCTCTTTGCTGATGCTTTGTCTCCGAATGGCTTTCAGCTGTGGGGGGCTTTGTCTAGGATGCGTTCAGGCCTCCTTCCGACATGAGCCAGTCTCTTGACCAAGCTTCTCTTCCCGTTTCCTCCACAACTTCTGGGTTGATCCCATTCCCCATGGATACAGATCGGCTCAAGAGCAAGACAGAGGGACTCATCCAGACTGCTGCTTGTCCCACCCCTTTCCTCCAGGAAAACCCACTGTTTACTGCTGAATTAGAGCAAACATCAGCCTCGTTTTCTCTGCATTGACGTTTGCTTTGATGTTGCACCAAGGAGCAGGTTTCTCCTGAGGGAAAGCGGCAGGGCAAAGACAAAACCACTTGGACCTGTGTTTTCTGGGCACAGGAAAAGCAGAAGTGTGGATGAGCCCAAAGAAACACTGAGCTGTTTTATTACCCCTTTGGAGGCATTTTATGCTGCAGGTGCTTTTTAAAATTTCCAATTGAAAAGTAGAATTTGAAATTTGGGGACTTCTATGAAAGACAATTTGGAACAGTTCCCTGGTAAGATTATCCTGTAGTCTTACTTCCGTCTGAATTGCGCAATGCAAACTGGATTTAATAAATTATAATCTAAGACATGAGATGGGTTGAAATCTCCACAAATGTGAAATTTCCCTAAAATGCCGGTGGGTTTTCATAAGGATTTTAAACAAAAATGGCAAACTGATGTGGAAATGTGGAGATCTTGAAATCAGAACAGTTAATAATTTCACACTGGAAAAATAAAAGCTGTGAGAAACCAAAACTAGCTGATTCCGCCATCCCTACCCAAAACCTTGGCATGTGCCAGGCAGACTGACATCCGAGGGGCAGGGTCTGAGGGGGTCTTCCTAGTGTGGCCTGTGGTGTGCAGTGAATTCCCTTCTCTTTTCCCTCTAGGATGTGAGAAGGACCTTGCAGAGGTAAGTGGATCCTGCTCATTTCCATTAGCATCACTCTTTGAAGCTGAGATGCCAGAACCTCAGACATGGCCCTCCAGGGGCTGCAGGGGGGAGACTGTGGAACTCACTCTCTGCAGCACCTCACAGGTAAAAGCAGGGCCCCCTCTTTGGAACTTGTAGCACCCCAATTCTCCCCAATGAATTAGCACCATTTCCTTTGTGAGGTTTGGTTTTACTTTTACAATGTGTATAATTTGTTTTGTTTTGGTCTGAATGTACTTTAGATGAATCAGTTGATTTGGTTGTCCACCTGTGGAAGTTCTGTCTCAACTTCTGCAACCATCTGATTCTAGAGCAGAGGTTATCTAATATATCAAAGCAAGAGATCCCCAAACTCCAGAAACAAATATTCTGAGTATACTCAAGTGTCACTAAGAGAAGGCTGTGTTACTGGCACACACAACAAGGCCAATTATATTCCTGGGAGCAACTATTGCCTTAGTTCAGGGGTGTCCAACAGGTCGATCGCGATCCTTTTAGTATTCCTTTTAGATCCCCCCAAAAGGTCAACAACTTTGGCCAACCCTCCCCCCTAAAAACTCAACAACTCCTGGCAATGACAATGGGTAGATCACATCACAGTCAGTTTTTTTTTTAAATTTTAATAATTTTATTAAATACAAAATAGAAAAAAAGAAATAAAGAAAATACATGTAACCAAAGGAAAGTTAGAAAATATAAAGAATACAAATATTTTACCTCTTCACATGCATATAGTTATTTACACATCTGTAAAGCAATGTTCTCGAAAAAATGAAAGATGAAATATAAGAGAAAAAGAAAAGAAAAAGAAAGTCAAAATGAAGATTTTAAAAATAGATAAGTATTCACTATACACTATACACTATATTGTGTATAAAGATATATTGGGATATCTTTATCCAAAATTCCTAGTAGATATGCCTCTGCCTTTTTATTATGTGACGTCTTTATTAATTTTTTTATCTCGTCGTGGATCATGTCCCAAAAGATTTTAATCTTTGGGCAAGTCCACCACATGTGGTATAACGTGCCTTTTGTCCTGTTACATCTCCAGCATTTGTTGTTGTTCGTTTTATTCATTTTTGACAGTCTATCTGGGGTTAGGTACCATCTGTGATGTATTTTCCTATAATTCTCCCTTAATAGAACACATGCTGTAAAGTTTATATTTTTCTCCCAAAAGGTTTTCCAACTTTCCAAATCAATCTCATAGTCCAAATCGTGCTCCCATTTTAACCTATTTTCCCCTTTAGTCTCTTGTTCTAAGGAAACTTTCCCTAATAATCTATGCATATTTGCAAGTATTTTTTGGTCACTTTGCAATACTTCTTTTTCAAATTTTGAAGTTTTTTTTTCAAATCCCCTCATTTTTATATCCCTTTCGTATGTTACTTTCAATTGGTAATATTGTAGCCAATTTATTCCAAATGTTTGTGATTCTTCATAGGTTTTTAATTTGATGTTTCCGTCTATATCTTCTAGTAGGTCTCTATATGTTGGCCAAATCTCTTTAATGTTGTGTTTGCCTCTATAGGGGAAACCCACTATGGAGTTTTCTCGATAACTTTTTCTTTTGTTCTTTCCCAAACATCAAAAAGGGCCTTTCTTACTAGATGATTTGTAAATCTTTTGTGATGTTCTTTCTTACCGTAGAATAAGTAACCATGCCAGCCATATATTTTGTCCCAACCTTCTAACGTCAGGACCTCATTACTGTATCTTTTAGTAATATCCATTTTTTTATCCAACACCAACATGCTGCTTCAAAGTACTTTTTTAAAATTGGCACTGCGAATCCTCCGCTTTTTTTTGGGCCCGTCATTACTTCTGATTTTATTTTTGCTTTTTCCCCCTGCCATATAAAATCTGCAAGATCTCGTTGCCAGCTTATAAAGTATTTGGTTCCTATTATAATTGGAACCCTCTGGAATAAAAATAAAATTTTTGGAAGTATCACCATTTTAATCATAGATATTCTTCCTCCTAGTGATAGTTTTATTTTTTTCAATTTTTCCAGATTTCCTTTCATTTCTTTCCATTTTTAACATAATTATCTTTGAATAAATTTGTATTTTTATTTGTAATCCATATCCCTAGATAGTTCACTTTATTTTCTACTTTTAATCCTGTTGTTTCCTCCAATTCCTTTTTTTCTTTCTCACCCATATTTTTTGTTATTAATTTTGATTTGTCTTTGTTCAATTTAAATCCTGATACATCGCCAAATTCTTTCATTCTTTCTAGTGCTTTTTTTTAAAATGATGTTTATTGAAATTTTAAAAAATACAAAGCTTACACAAAAACAAAAAATAAAAAATACAAAAGCTTACACAAAAAAATATACAAAAAATAGAAATAAAAATATGAGAAAATAGAAGATACAGAAGAAAAATAAAAGAAAACAGAACAAATTCATTATTTTCAGAACCTTAACTGTCATTACCTTCTTTCTTAGACGTCCTACTCCTCCCTTCCTTTGTATTCTAGTTATTAATTATCCCAGCAAATCCTTTCCTTTCCATATTTCAAAAAAAAAAAAACATAAAAGAAATTCTCAACTAATTTAATCCTATCTTTCTATAATAAAATAAACCTTAAAGTTTAAAATTTAAGTCTTAACTTTACCATCTTCTTGTGTTCATAATGTTCTTTCATAATTCTTTATGCATCTTTACTAAAGCCAGGTAGTTTCTTCCAACATTTTTCTATCATTCATTTTTCTATCATTCTATCATTCATCAACTTTATAAAACATTCTATTAGTTTTAAAAAAAGAGAAAAAAGCATATAAACAAGTCCAATCTTTATCCAACGTCCCTTCCTCCTGGTTCCGGGATTTGTCAGTCCTTATTCCTCAATCTAACCCGGTGACCTTATGTCCGAGGCCCTCAGGTCACTTCCATGGCCCTTCCGCGGCTTTTCTTCATATTTGTGGCTGTAGTCACTCGCTCGTGATAACTCCAACTTAGTAGTGTTTTTAGCCCTTCTCATCAGATCAGACCCTTTTCCATATTCATCGCTGCATTCCATGTAGTATTTAAGAGCATGCTTCAAGGACCCTCCGAAATTGTGGGCCCCCACAATTCCAAACATATCGCAACCTGTTACTGTATTTAAAAAGTCCAGATATCCCGACATAGGGGGTTCAATCCAGCCCCCATTTCCAAACCACACCGAACTTTCCCTTCCCAGATCTGGGGTTTTCCAAGTTCCTTTGTCAAATCCGAAGGATCAAACTCCTGTTGGGACTGTTCTGTCAAGACACACTCCTGATTTAATGCCACAAACCCCTGTTCTGTCAAAACACACTCCTGGTTTGAGTCCTGGATAGACTCCACATATATTCCCACAGTCTGGTCAAGACCTTCCACTGCCTGTCTAAGATTTCCAGTCGAATTGGCCATCTGGTTCACCTTATCATGTAATTCTTCCAGTAGAGTATTTGTTTTATTAAGCAGGCACACCACAACTTCTGAAAACATTGTCACACTTTCCCACGGTTATTTTGTAGCAACTGTCAAGTCCTTGGAATTAGTTACAGTTTCAAAGGCTCCCCCTAGGGGGAAGACTTATATTTGTTTTTGCTACATTTCCAAAATACTTGAAATACTTTGTCCATATATATTCCTTTAAAATGCGAAAGGGAACAGTAAAGTAACAAAGATTCTCTTCTTTTAGCTATCTGTCACACACAGTTATCTTGATAAATTCACGTCAGTCCTGACTTCCCCGCTCCAGGATCAGGACGAAAATAACTTCCTTTTACTACTTCAAGTAGTCCAAAAAAATATTCCCAATTTAGAATGTTGGAATCCACTCTTTTAAAAGCGATTTTCAAAGCTCTAGTGTAAATTGCCTTTGCTTTGTTCTATTTACAAAAGAACGGAAGGGTGACTTCCTGTTTAGCCCTTCCCGCTCCGTACCAAATTCAATGGATTTTTTTCTTCTTTTTTTTTTTATAGTCCAATTCTGTCCTCACAAATCTTCATTTACTGTCCCATTTGTTCAAATTCTAAGTACTCACGGGTATTTGTTTTAAAGTCCGAATTGTCCAGGAAAAAAAGGCAGCGCTCTCCGGCAACAGCTACGCGGCTTCACTCCACAAAAGAAGCAGACGACTCGCAGCACAGCGCCACTTCCCCGCTCTGTTCCGGAGCCCGTTGCCGGGTTCCTTTGCAGATTGGGGGGGCGCAAACAGTGCCCGCCGAGTCCCAGGGTCACAGGCTTCACCCGCCTGTGATTTAAAGGGTCCCCGCTGTGCCGAAGCGGTGTTAGACCCAATTTCTGTGGAGCAGATTCCCTCCGAATTAGAGGGAATCCGCCATTGCCGTTGGCGCCACCTCCGGAAGTCTCATTCTTTCTAGTGCTTTTTTAATACTTTCTTTTGGTGTTTCGGTTGTTATAATCACGTCATCTGCGAACGCTCTTACTTTATAACACTGTGTGTCAAAACTTATACCTTTTATTTCTTCAACCTTCCTTAAAGCTATTAGTAGAGTTCCCAATATTGTTATAAATAGAAGTGGAGATAAAGGGCATCCCTGTCGTGTCCCTCTCTCAATGTCAAATTCTTCTGTGATTTTGTTGTTTATGATTAATTTAGCTCTTCGTTTTTTTATAAATTGCTTGAATTCCATTCATAATTCATTTTCGTAGTTTTAAACTTTCACAGGTTTTAATCATAAATTTCCATGAGACACTGTCAATTGCCTTTTTGACATCTACCAGTAGCATTGAGATTTGTTTACATGGATTCATGTCGGCGTATTCTAATAGATCTATAATTATTCTGTTGTTGTTGTTTAGTCATTTAGTCGTGTCCGACTCTTCGTGACCCCATGGACCAGAGCACGCCAGTTACTCCTGTCTTCCACTGCCTCCTGCAGTTTGGTCAAACTCATGCTGGTAGCTTCGAGAACACTGTCCAACCATCTCGTCCTCTGTCGTCCCCTTCTCCCTGTGCCCTCCATCTTTCCCAGCATCAGCGTCTTTTCCAGGGAGTCTTCTCTTCTCATGAGGGGCCAAAGTATTGGAGCCTCAGCTTCACGATCTGTCCTTCCTGTGAGCACTCAGGGCTGACTTCCTTAAGAATGGATGCGTTTGATCTTCTTGCACTCCATGGGACTCTCAAGAGTCTCCTCCAGCACCATAATTCAAAAGCATCAATTCTTCGGCGATCAGCCTTCTTTATGGTCCAGCTCTCACTTCCATACATCACTACCGGGAAAACCATGGCTTTAACTATACGGACCTTTGTTGGCAAGGTGATGTCTCTGCTTTTTAAGATGCTGTCTAGGTTTGCCATCACCTTTCTCCCAAGGAGCAGGCGTCTTTTCATTTCGTGACTGCTGTCACCATCTGTAGTGATCATGGAGCCCAAGAAAGTAAAATCTCTCACTGCCTCCATTTCTTCCCCTTCTATTTGCCAGGAAGTGATGGGACCAGTGGCCATGATCTTCGTTTTTTTGATGTTGAGCTTCAGACCATATTTCCGCTCTCCTCTTTCACCCTCAATAAAAGGTTCTTTAATTCCTCCTCACTTTCTGCCATCAAGGTTGTGTCATCTGCATATCTGAGGTTGTTGATATTTCTTCCGGCGATCTTAATTCCGGCTTGGGATTCATCCAGCCCAGCCTTTCGCATGATGAATTCTGCATATAAGTTAAATAAGCAGGGAGACAATATACAGCCTTGCCGTACTCCTTTCCCAATTTTGAACCAGTCAGTTGTTCCATATCCAGTTCTAACTGTAGCTTCTTGTCCCACATAGAGATTTCTCAGGAGACAGATGAGGTGATCAGGCACTCCCATTTCTTTAAGAACTTGCCATAGTTTGCTGTGGTCGACACAGTCAAAGACTTTTGCATAGTAAATGAAGCAGAAGTAGATGTCTTTCAGGAACTCTCTAGCTTTCTCAATAATCCAGCTCATGTTTGCAATTTGGTCTCTGGTTCCTCTGCCCCTTCGAAATCCAGCTTGCACTTCTGGGAGTTATTATTCTAGTATTGTCCTTTATTTATCTGGCTGGCAAAAATCCTGTCTGATCTTTTTAAATTATAAATATTGCATCAATTTGTCCCCCAGATTTTTTTGCCTCCGAGTAATGGGTTATGTCTTTTACACTTGGGTTTTTTGTTCTCCAGGCATCATATAGGTTAAAGTTCTCAGTTAAATGGAAAAAAGAAAGTGGTAATCTACCTGAACTTGACATTCTTTCAGTTTTGGGTTCTATCCATTTCGATCGTCACCCCATTTAAATCTCCCATAATCACAATATTTTCATCCACATAGTCCCATAATCTCTCTTCCAAGTTTCTAAAAAAATCATCTTTTTTACTGTTCAGAGCATATATTCCCACCACTATGACAGTGGTGGGACCACTGTGATAGTGATCACAATCGGTCTTTTCATACTGTGAGTAGATCGCAGTCTCTTTGGAGTTGGACGTGTCTGCCTTCGTTGTTTCCTTCTAGACTGACCAGTATAGTCACTCTGCCAGCCCCCCACCCTGTCCCAAGCAAACTCCTGCCCCATAGAGCCCCTTGGGAGGGGGCGATTTCTCACCAAGGAGCAGGAATTGGCTATTTTCTTGACCATATTCCGGCTGCAGTATTTCAATTCAAGGTGTCACTCAGGTTCAGAGTAGAGGTTTAAAGGAACATTTCTTGTTTCCCAACAGAAGTGCATCTCTTTTTCTTCCTCACCCCTTCTCTGGGACATCTAGAGAAAGGAAATGTGTGCTGTGCTGTCATCACCCTCAGACAATTCCTGCCCCTTGATACCAAATGATTCTGCTTCTTCTTTGAATTGACATCAGTGGGGAGACTCAGAGGCCTGGGGTTGCTGTTTTGGTCCTTGGGGGTCTAGCTGAAGAGTCCGTAGTGAGGAAGAAACTCCCCACTCAGTGCCTGCCTGTCCCTCTAGGCCTCCCACAGCCGGCTTCCTCCTCTCAATTCCTTTCTTTCCTTTAACAGAAATTGTGGGTTTGAATGTGCTGACATTGTTTTTCTTTTCATCAGGTATGAGAAAAGAGAAAGTCCAGAGAAGCCACTGCCTTTCCCTCCAGAACTGAGGAACAGGATCTTGGAATCCTGTGATGTAAATGGCCTTGTGGAGGATGCAATGAAACAATGGAAAGGTAATGAAAATTGGCTGCCAGGATTTCACACTCGGAATTCTATTATTTCTTCAGAACTGAGCATGCCAGGCTCTTATTGCATGGAATTGAGTAACCCCAGGATACCTTCCTTCTTGGTGCTCCAGCCTTCATTTCCTGTCTCCCAGAACGGCCCATGTATATTGTGACGCTGGATCCTGTAAAGAAAGCCTGAACCAGAGTGTATCTGCTTTCAATTATACGGAACCTCTTTTTCCTTTTGGTTAGCCATCTACACAATCTGGGGTTGTCCTTTTGGAGGTTCTCCTGCTCTGAATGGAGTCAATTCAAGGATGCCACGTTATGAAGTGTTACTTTTGTATGGAGATTTATTTCTGGTGGAAGAGTGTTGCCCTTACGCTTTATATCTTTTTGCTTCCTCAGATGCTGTGTTATGCAGAAAACAGATTCAGAAAGGTAAGTTTCTGAATTGTTCAAATCGTTCTAGGGGAGGAACAATTTGACAGGTGGGATGGGAACTGATATTTCATGGCTGTTGAACTGTCTGTTCTGCAGACTTTGGGACCCCCTTCAGTGGCGTCACTCTGGGAAACAGTCTTCTAGTGGTGTTTGGGTTCTTTCTGTGTCCCATGAACGAACTGGGAAGGGTTTGAAGGCTTGGATTGGGGGAAGGACTTGTCCCTGCAAACAACCTGCACACCAGTTGTCAGTTCCTTTCCTGCCTATAGACTAGTATCCTGGGTACACCCTCGATTTTATAGATTTTGCTTTCCCCCCTAAAATCTATATACTGCTTGTTTGTAGGGAAAAGCCTCAGAGCCTTACAATATCTTACAAAAGCCCTTAAGGAGAATCCTGCAGGGTCAGTCCAATGTCCGTTTTGTCCAGTTCTCATGTATAAGGAATCTCCCTTGCATTTTGTTTTCCCTCCACACAATCTGGAGAGGTTATTTTGGGGCTTCTCTAGATTTGCTTGGATTTCCCCCTCGTGAAGTGTGTTAAAAGGGGCACCCGCAAGCACCCAGTCCCTCCTCCACCTCCTGCCAGGCTGGTCTCCCAGCAGCAGAGCAAGGCCTGAGCCGCCTCTTCCTCAGAGTTTCAACCTCACCAGCCATTTCTCGTGCTTCAGCCATCCCCATCTCCTCAGAGTTCCCACAGTTCTTATGAGATCGGCCCCAGAGATGGCGCCCCCGGGTTTCTCCGTCCTCCACCAGTTGCGGACTGTGGGCCGGGGGGGAGGGGTGGCATTATTAATCCGGGAAGATTGTTCTTTCAGGGCTCTACCATCGCCATCGATCCCCGGCATTGAATGTGTTGGCCTAGTGTGGGGCTCCGAGGTGAGCTTGGCTGTCTGGCTGGTGTACCGGCCACCTAGCGCACCAGCAGCCACCCTGTCAGGCCTGCTGGAGGCGGTGGCCGGCTGGGCCTTGGAGTTCCCTAACCTATTGGTATTGGGGGACTTTAACATCCATGCTGATGCCACTCCCTCCTCACAGGCCCTGGACCTGGTGTCTTCCATGGCGACACTAGGGCTCTCCCAGTTTGTTTCAGACCCCACACATCAAGCAGGCCACACGCTGGATTTGATCTTTGGCGTAGGTATAGATGTGATCATGTCTTCTTCGATGAAGGTGCCATGGTCTGATCACTACGCTCTGAAAGCCAGGATTGACTTTCCACCCCTTCCCTGCTTAGGTGGCAAGCCGATTTGGGCTCGCCCGCGGAGGCTGATGGACCCTGATAGATTCCACCAAGCCTTGCGGGACCTTGCTCCCCCTGGCAACTCATTGAATGAGCTTGTTGAGGGCTGGAATACCCAGCTCCTGGCAGCCATCGATGAGATCGCACCTAAGCGCCCTCTGCGACCCTGCAGAAACCGGGCTCCCTGGTTTACCAAGGAGCTCTGGAAAATGAAGCGGGACCTCAGACGGCTAGAGCGAGTATGGCGGGGTGCCCATGACGGAGCCTCAAGAACATCTTATAGGGTTTTTATGAAAACCTACGAGATGGCAGTGAAGGCCGCTAAGAAGTTTTACTTCTCGGCCTCCATTGCATCCGCTAGCTCTCGCCCGGCGCAATTATTTAGTATAATTAGGTCTTTAACATCCCTCGAGGGACAGCCAAATTTAAATAACAATTTGACACACAGCTGTGAGGCATTTGCGAGCTTTTTTGCGGAGAAGGTCCTGTTGCTCCGCCATGACCTCCCTGCCAATTTGGATACAATAAAGGAACTGGAGGCCCCTCGACTGTCCTCGGGTCCAGTATTGGACCATTTTGACCGGATATCCCCAGCCGATGTGGACAGACTCCTCCGAGCTGGAAAGCCCACCACCTGTCCTCTTGACCCGTGCCCATCTTGGCTGATTATAGCGTGTCTAGACGAGGTGCGGGCCCCCCTAGGGGATATCATCAATTTGTTCCTTGGCACCGGGACATTCCCAGGGGAATTGAAGGAGGCAGTGGTGCGCCCACTCTTAAAGAAAACATCATTAGATCCCTTAGATCTATCCAATTACCGCCCGGTTTTGAATCTTCCATTCTTGGGTAAGGTGATTGAGAGAGCGGTTGCTGAACAGCTTGGTGGGTTTCTGGATGAAACCGGCTCTGGATCCATTCCAGTCCGGCTTCCGCTCTGGTCATGGGACCAAGACAGCTCTGGTCACCCTAACAGATGATCTCCGCAGGCAGCTGGATCGAGGCGGGTCGGGGCTGCTGATTCTTCTAGACCTGTCAGCAGCCTTCGACATGGTCGATCACAAACTTCTGGACCACCGCCTTGCCGACGGCTGGCTTCAATGGCTGCGCTCGTTTCTCTCTGGTCGGGGACAGAGGGTGGCGCTTGGGGGGGAGTTGTCATCACGCCACTCCTTGGTGTGTTGAGTGCCTCAGGGTGTGATACTCTCCCCGATGCTTTTCAACATCTTTATGCGCCCCCTCGCCCAGCTTGTCCGGAGTTTTGGGCTGGGCTGCCATCAGTATGCTGATGACACCCAACTCTATCTGTTGATGGATGGCCATCCTGACTCGGCCCCAGATACACTGATCAGACGTTTGGAAGCTGTGGCTGGATGGTTACGTGGGAGCCGGTTGAAGTTAAATCCTTCGAAGACAGAGGTCCTTTGGCTGGGAAGGGACGATATGGGTTTTTGGGGGGGCAACTCCCATCTCTTGCGGGGGTGCAGTTAGTGCCAGCACTGTCCGTTAAGAGTTTGGGTGTAATCTTTGACACCTCCCTTTCCATGGAGGCGCAGATTGCAGCTATAACAAAGGCGGCATTTTTTCATCTCCGCCAAGCTAAGCAGTTGGCCCTTTACCTCTCTCGCCCTGACCTAGCCACTGTGATCCACGCGACGGTCACCTCCAGACTGGATTATTGTAACTCACTCTACGTGGGGCTGCCCTTGAGACTGACCCAGAAACTCCAGCGGGTGCAGAATGCCGCGGCGAGACTCCTTACGGGGTCCTCGTTGTGAGATCACATTCACCCGGTGCTATACCAGCTGCACTGGCTCCTGGTGGGGTACAGGATCAGGTTTAAGGTGCTGGTTTTAACCTTTAAAGCCCTATACGGCCTAGGACTCTTGTACCTATGGGACCGCCTCTCCTGGTATGTCCCACAGAGGAACTTAAGGTCTTCAAACAAAAACATCCTGAAGGTCCCAGGCCACAGAGAGGTTAGGCTGGCCTCAACTAGAGCCAGGGTTTTTTCGGCTGTGGCTCCAATCTGGTGGAACGCTCTGTCACAAGAGACTAGGGCCCTGCGGGACTTGACATCTTTCCGCAGGGCTTAATGGTTGCCATCAAGTTGAGTTGAATCAATTTGATAATGAAATGATTTTAGAATGTTGTACTACTTTATTGTTGTTAGCCGCCCTGAGCCCGGCATTGGCTGGGGAGGGCGGGATATAAATAAAATTATTATTATTATTATTATTATTATTATTATTATTATTATTATTCCATGAGGGAGGACTTCCCATTGCACGAGACCCTTGGAATTACATGGGAAAGCTCTGCAGCTTCTTCCTCTGCAATCTGGTTTGTCAACATGCTTGGAAATTCCATTTTCAACATTTTCTTCCCACCAGTTCACTTGGGGCAGATGTTAAACTTTCCTCCAGCCCTCCAGTCCAGAGCCCCATTTCATTCGTGGATTTTGAATGATTAATTTGGCCATTTTCTAGAATGGTTTACCATTTCTGATATTCCCATGGAATCATGGAATAGTAGAGTTTGAGAGGATCCCAAGGATTATCTAGTTCAGCCCCCTGAAATGCAGGAATCACAGCTAAACTCGTCAGTTGTTTTAATTCCTTAGGCCTACAGTTGTTGTCTTTGCAATTATTTGTTTCATCTTTTGCTTGATATAAGGAAACAAGAGATGCTATGTTATGGTGATGTTTTGTAAAAAAGAGTTTCTTAGAGCTATTGCAGTGTAGCCCATTAAGCCTGTCCTTTTGGTTCCTCAGATGTTCAGTCATTCAGAAATCTCCAGAGAGATAAATTTCACATGGAGACCCCAATTCACAGGAGGGGTGGGGACTAGAGTTTCATGGGGGTCAAGAGTCTCTTCTGCACTGTTGAGAACCATCCACAGCTAGACTCTAGCCCTGCTGTTTGTGCCACAAAGGCAGAGAGGGTGGATTTGAAGGTGCAGAAGGAGGGGAGAGAAACTGCCCAGAAGGATCAGACTGAGCAAGGAAGAGTTTTATTTCTGCCTAGAGAGAGTTGAGTTGCTTTTCCATGTCACCTTTTTGAGGCCTAGTTGCCACATGTCCTCTTTCCCCCGGATACGTCTTCTTTTTTCAGGATTAAAATGTCTGCCTGGGCACATTTTTCAAATTTGGCAGAATATCCCAAGTTTTTTTTGTTTGTTTTTTTGGTTTACAGTAACCCATGAAAAGTTTTCTAGTGTGTTAGCCTCAGATCTAAGGCACCTGGCTAAACTTATCTGCAGCAGAGAATTGCGACAGAGCAGCATCTTAAGCTAGCAAAATCCCTTTTCTTGTGGCTGAACTAAAAGGACGCTGGCTCAGCTACAAGATCTTGGAGGAGTTTGGGAGGGCAAGAGTTAATATCCCCCTGCCCTTCAGGGGAGTCCATATGCAGATGTTAAACAGTTTAATAAATTGTTCTGTGCACACTTATGTTTACCAAGATGTGAACATGAGCCCAAATACTTTCATGTGACAAGCGAGGGAGCAATAGGTATTCTTCTTTTTCTTTTTTTGTTGAAAGTTAAGAACATTGCTACTAGCAATATGGGACGCGGGTGGCGCTGTGGTCTAAACCACAGAGCCTAGGGATTGCCGATCAGAAGGTCGGCAGTTCAAATCCCCGCAACGGGGTGAGCTCCCGCTGCTCGGTCCCAGCTCCTGCCAACCTAGCAGTTCGAAAGCACCCTTAAGTGCAAGTAGAAAAATAGTGCACCTTCCAGCGGGAAGGTAAACAGCGTTTCCATGCGCTGCTCTGGTTTGCCAGAAGCGGCTTAGTCATGCTGGCCACATGACCCAGAAGCTGTACGCTGGTTCCCTAGGCCAGTAAAGCGAGATGAGTGCTGCAACCCCAGAGTCGTCCGCAACTGGACCTAACGGTCAGGGGTCCCTTTACCTTTACTAGCAATATATCACAGCTTGTATAGCCTACATAGAGTAGGGGTATTTAAAATGGGAGTCATCATAGCAATCTGTAGTTAAAAGTAGAAGTTGGCCAATGTGTCTTCTTATTTGCTCTTCAAAATATGGCAACCCCACACTTGCCTATCATGACTGTCTGGTAACCTTTTGAGTTATCCCCCTCTTCCCCAGAGAACTAATCTTACGGTATATTGTTGTTTAGTCATTTAGTCGTGTCCGACTCTTCGTGACCCCATGGACCAGAGCACGCCAGGCACTCCTGTCCTCCACTGCCTCCCGCAGCCCGGTCAGACTCATGTTTGTAGCTTCGAGAACACTGTCCAACCATCTTGTCCTCTGTCGTCCCCTTCTCCTTGTGCCCTCCATCTTTCCCAACATCAGGGTCTTTTCCAGGGAGTCTTCTCTTCTCATGAGGTGGCCAAAGTATTGGAGCCTCAGCTTCACGATCTGTCCTTCCAATGAGCACTCAGGGCTGATTTCCTTAAGAATGGATACGTTTGATCTTCTTGCAGTCCATGGGACTCTCAAGAGTCTCCTCCAGCACCATAATTCAAAAGCATCAATTCTTCGGTGATCAGCCTTCTTTATGGTCCAGCTCTCACTTCCATACATCACTACTGGGAAAACAATGGCTTTAACTATACGGACCTTTGTTGGTAAGGTGATGTCTTTGCTTTTTAAGATGCTGTCTAGGTTTGCAATCGCCTTTCTCCCAAGGAGCAGGCGTCTTTTCATTTCGTGACTGCTGTCACCATCTGCAGTGATCATGGAGCCCAAGAAAGTAAAATCTCTCACTGCCTCCATTTCTTCCCCTTCTATTTGCCAGGAGGTGATGGGCCCAGTGGCCATGATCTTCGTTTTTTTGATGTTGAGCTTCAGACCATATTTTGCGCTCTCTTCTTTCACCCTCATTAAAAGGTTCTTTAGTCCCTCCTCACTTTCTGCCATCAAGGTTGTGTCATCTGCATATCTGAGATTGTTGATATTTCTTCCGGCGATCTTAATTCCGGCTTGGGATTCATCCAGCCCAGCCCTTCGCATGATGAATTCTGCACATAAGTTAAATAAGCAGGGGGACAATATGCAGCCTTGCCGTACTCCTTTCCCAATTTTGAACCAATCAGTTGTTCCATATCCAGTTCTAACTGTAGCTTCTTGTCCCACATAGAGATTTCTCAGGAGACAGATGAGGTGATCAGGCACTCCCATTTCTTTAAGAACTTGCCATAGTTTGCTGTGGTCGACACAGTCAAAGGCTTTTGCATAGTCAATGAAGCAGAAGTAGATGTCTTTCTGGAACTCTCTAGCTTTCTCCATAATCCAGCGCATGTTTGCAATTTGGTCTCTGGTTCCTCTGCCTCTTCTAAATCCAGCTTGCACTTCTGGGAGTTCTCGATCCACATACTGCTTAAGCCTGCCTTGTAGAATTTTAAGCATAACCTTGCTAGTGTGTGAAATGAGTGCAATTGTGTGGTAGTTGGAGCATTCTTTGGCACTTCCCTTCTTTGGAATTGGGATGTAGACTGATCTTCTCCAATCCTCTGGGCACTGCTGAGTTTTCCAAATTTGCTGGCATATTGAGTGTAGCACCTTAACAGCATCATCTTTTAAAATTTTTAATAGTTCAGCTGGAATATCATCACTTCCACTGGCCTTGTTATTTGCAGTGCTTTCTAAGGCCCATTTGACTTCACTCTCCAGGATGTCTGGCTCAAGGTCAGCAACCACACTACCTGGGGTATACGAGACATCCATTTCTTTCTGGTATAGTTCCTCTGTGTATTCTTGCCTCCTCTTCTTGATGTCTTCTGCTTCTGTTAGGTCCTTTCCACTTTTGTCTTTTATTATGGAAATCTTTGTACGAAATGTTCCTTTCATATCTCCAATTTTCTTGAACAGATCTCTGGTTTTCCCCATTCTATTGTTTTCCTCTATTTCTTTGCATTGCTCGTTTAAGAAGGCCTTCTTGTCTCTCCTTGCTATTTTTGGAAATCTGCATTCAATTTCCTGTATCTTTCACTATCTCCCTCGCATTTTGCTTGCCTTCTCTCCCCTGCTATTTGTAAGGCCTCGTTGGACAGCCACTTTGCTTTCTTGCATTTCCTTTTCATTGGGATGGTTTTAGTTGCTGCCTCTTGTATAATGTTACGAGCCTCCATCCATAGTTCTTCAGGCACTCTGTCCACCAAATCTAAATCCTTAAACCTGTTCCACTGTGTATTCATAAGGGATTTGACTTAGATTGTATCTTACCGGCCCAGTGGTTTTTCCTACTTTCTTCAGTTTAAGCTTGAATTTTGCTATAAGAAGCTGATGATCGGAGCCACAGTCAGCTCCAGGTCTTGTTTTTGCTGACTGTATAGAGCTTCTCCATCTTTGGCTACAGAGAATATAATCAATCTGATTTCGATGCTGCCCATCTGGTGATGTCCATGTGTAGAGTCGTCTCTTGTGTTGTTGGAAAAGAGTGTTTGTGATGACCAGCTTGTTCTCTTGGCAGAACTCTATTAGCCTTTGCCCTGCTTCATTTTGAACTCCAAGGCCAAACTTGCCAGTTGTTCCTTTTATCTCTTGACTCCCTACTTTAGCATTCCAATCCCCTATAATGAGAAGAATATCCTTCTTTGGTGTCATTTCTATAAGGTGTTGTAAGTCTTCATAGAATTGGTCAATTTCATTTTCTTCAGCACCAGTAGTTGGTGCATAAACCTGGATTACTGTGATGTTAAAAGGTCTGCCTTGGATTCGTATCGAGATCATTCTATCATTTTTGAGATTGCATCCCAGTACAGCTTTTGCCACTCTTTTGTTGACTATGAGGGCCACTCCATTTCTTTTACGGGATTCTTGCCCACAGTAGTAGATGTGATGGTCATCCGAACTGAATTCGCCCATTCCCGTTCATTTTAGTTCACTGATGCCCAGGAAGTCAATATTTATTCTTGCCATCTCATTTTTTACCACATCCAACTTACCCAGGTTCATGGTTCTTACATTCCAGGTTCCTATGCAATATTTTTCTTTACAGCATTGGACTTTCCTTTCGCTTCCAGGCATATTCGCAACTGAGCGTCCTTTCGGCTTTGGCCCAGCCGCTTCATCAGCTCTGAATCTACTTGTACTTGTCCTCCGCTCTTCCTCAGTAGCATGTTGGATGCCTTCCAACCTGAGGGGCTCATCTTCCAGCGTCATAACTTTTATATGCCTGTTGTCTTTGTCCATGGAGTTTTCTTGGCAGGGATACTGGAGTGGCCTGCCAGTTCCTGCTCCAGGTGGATCACGTTTGGTCAAAACTCTCCACTATGACCTGTCCATCTTGGGTGGCCCTGCACGGCATAGCTCATAGCTTCTCTGAGTTATTCAAGCCCCTTCGCCACGGCAAGGCAGTGATCCATGAAGGGGAAGTGATCCATGAAGGGGTTACGGTATATATTAAATCCAAAAGAGAAGCGTGGAATAAGGAGTCCTTTGTAAAATTGCCCTGCCATCTGCCTCCTCTTCCTTGGCGGCAAGCCCTAGACTTCCAAGATGGTTGTGAGGAAGGCGCAGGAGAGACCAAGTGGGTGAGAGAGATGGAGAGCAGGAATAAACAGGCTCCCCACTTAACGCGATTTTCACTTGTGGGCACAAGGGCCCAGAACATAACCCACACGAAAGTGAGGGGGCACCTATACAGTATGTGGGGGTTTTTTTGTATTTTTATGCTGTCAACCACCCTGAGACCTGTAGATGAAGGGCAGTAAAGATAAAGGTAAAGGTACCCCTGCCTGTACGGGCCAGTTGTGACCGACTCTGGGGTTGCGTGCTCATCTCGCTTAAGAGGCCGGGAGCCAGCGCTGTCCGAAGACACTTCCGGGTCACGTGGCCAGCGTGACGAAGCTGCTCTGGCGAGCCAGCACCAGCGCAGCGCGCGGAAACGCCGTTTACCTTCCCGCTATAAAGCGGTACCTATTTATCTACTTGCACTTAAGGGTGCTTTCGAACTGCTAGGTGGGCAGGAGCTGGGACCGAACGACGGGAGCTCACCCCGCCGCGGGGATTATAATTCGTTTTTGCTGTTGTTGTTAGAAGAGGGGGGTCCTCCTCCCCCACCCCAACCAGATGTCCCCAAAGGCCAATTCCCACAGAGATTGTCAAAGGAAAGCAGCTTCTCTCCTCTCCTGCCTCCTCCAGTTCTCCTCTCTTCCCCCTTACATAGCACAGAAGAGCTGAGTAAAAGGTTTACTGGGTGGTTTTTCCCCTTAGAAAATGTCTGGGTTTAGAGAAGGGCAGGAACAATATGCATTGAATATAAGAAAGTAAAGGAAACTGATTTAAAAACCATCAAGGAAGATATTTATTCTGATGAGAGTCTGCAAGAAGGAGTCTCAGTCTAGCATGCGATGCAAAGAAATCCCCTTGATCTGAAAGGGATTCTGGGGTTTTCGGTTTTTTTAATGAAGATGTCCATTTCTGTCTCTCAGCTGACTCTGCCTATTCTTCTCTTTCCCTCATCTTCTCCCCAACAGCAAATGTCACTCTGGATCCAGACACAGCCCATCCCAGCCTCATCCTGTCCAAGGATGGGAAAAGCATGAGATTGGGAGACAAACCTCAAGCCCTGCCTGATAATCCTGAGAGATTCAGTGACTGGCCTTGTGTGTTGGGACGTGAGGGATTCACAGCAGGCAGACATTTCTGGGAAGTCACTGCGAGAAGTGGGGAATGGTGGGGTTTGGGGGTTGCCAGGGAGTCTGTGGAGAGAAAGGACTATTTCAACTTCAATCCTGAGACGGGGGTCTGGGCTGTGGGGATGTGGGGAGGGGAGTACTTGGCCTTCACCTCCCCTCATTCCTCTCCTCTGTCTCTGAGTGAGAAGCCCAGGAGGATCCGGGTGACTCTGGACTATGAAGGGGGACGTGTGTCTTTTTCTGACGCTGACTCAGGAGCCGAACTCTACACGTTCTCAGGAGCCTCGTTCTCTGGAGAGACCCTCCTCCCTTTCTTTCATCTATTGGATAACAAAACCCCCCTCAGTATCTCCTGAGGAGACTAAATCTGCCTCTCAGGCCCAGCAGGAGTTTCTCTCCAGACCAGAGTGACTGACATAAAAACCATTTACCCGCCAAGAGCAGGTTGGGCAGTTTTCCAAAGGCCCTTTGAGAGGATTCATTCCAGTCAAAATCAGCAGAAATAACAGAACAAAAATGGGTTGTTTTGCTTTGCATTTTCCTTCCTTTTCCCAGAATTCCCTCTGCTACTTACTTCTTAAAGAGACAGTAATACTTTTAACAGTCCCCATAAATAATCTTATCCTCAAACGGGCTCCCTTACCTTCAATCTTGTTTTCCTTTTGAGATGTCTGATGTGGCAGAGCACGAGACTCTTAACCCCAGGGATGTGGGTTTGAGTCCCATGAGGGACAAAAGTTTCCTGCACTGCAGGGGGTGGGACTAGATGACCCTCAACTCTGGCAGACAGGAGGTAAACAAACCACTCAGATTTCTGCTGTAAATCGCCTTTTCTGTGATGTGTGTATGATGTATGGAGGGGTGGTCTTGAGCTCCAGGGCAGGGAATTTAAAATGTCTATATAAGGCCTTGCGCAACATTGTTCGGAGTTCCTCCTCTCTCCTGTGTGTGGTGAGTGAGGACCCTGTTGCAACAGATCAATAAAGATCAGACTTACTAGCTGCTTTGCTTCTCAATATTCTCTGGTTGGCCTCTGTTATTTTCTCCTACCAATAGAGAACCTACGTAAGGACTCTATATGGGCTCTTGGATACCCCATAAGGGAAAAAGGGCAGATTTTGTTTACAACAGAGACTAAATGGACATTTGGCCTGATCCAACAAGGATCCCCTTCTTTTCTTTGCCAAGTATGCAAAAAGAGAGTGGAGTCCTATTCCTCCCATTTGTGGAGTTCACACTTCCACATCTGTATAATACAGCGTGAGTCATTGGGAGCTGTTGTTGTCAGTGTGGGTCTGTGGCTGCCCTTGTGATGTGTCCCTGGCCTTCGTTCTGCACCATCAAGCCAAGATGTTTCGTAATGGAGTCTAGAACATTTGGGGACTTAACTAATTAACTTGGGGTGGAGTCTTGCTTCTTTAAAAGAAATAATAGCTATTCATCAACAAAACACAATCCATTTTTTTATCAACCACCAGGGTGCACATTAATTTTCTAATTGGATCATCTATATCTTCTAGATTAATACCTATGATGCCAACTGTTTCTCCTCCTTTTTAAAAATCTTTTTGTGATAACTGAAAATATGGGTCCAATTTCTATTTTTAATCAAATATTACTTTAAACTTCCTGCTGAATCAATTTATTTATTTCAGCTTATTTTTGCTAGGTTTCTCTGTTGTCATCCGCCTATGTCTTGTGATGTAGATAAGGTGTGGCTTCTCCACTGCAAATCAGGATGTAACCAACACGTCTCCCTTTTTTTCCTGTGGAATGTGGCACTTTTCAAGAATATTAGCTGGACGGGGAGCCACCAGGGGGCGCATTGGAAGATGGCTGACAATAACATCTCTCCGACCCACACGAGGTAATTAAGAGGCTGATATGGGAGTATGCAGCCTCCCTTGCCCCCCAAGGGAATGGGGGGTTCTGCCTTGCCTTTTGTGTCCATAATTCACCCCCGGATTCGAAAGAAGGGGGTGAGGGCACTAGGCACGAAGCCCTCGGGTGAGGTCGGCTCTCCCGGACGCTGTCTCTAATCGCGCACTGGTTTGCATCAGCTCGAAATATATAATTGGAAAAAGAAGCAAATGCACATACTTCAAGTGAAGATTGGGAGTAAAGACTGCTGATTAATGGGATCTCTGAGATGCGGAGCGACGGGCTGGACAATAAATCAAGTGAAGACTCATCATTAAAAGATCGGTATTTCGGAGTGAGACGGAAAGGGGGGGAGGAAAAAACTTTCCTTTTTTTGTCTTATGTGAGTACCCAATAACCCCCCCCCCCGAGAGAAAGAATTGTTGCAGATTACTAATCACAAGCAGGAGATTAAGAACTGTGTGGAAATGAATTACTGATCAAAGAGAGGACTGGTGGGAACATCGGGAATGGAAAGAAAGCTTTGTGACGCAGCTACAAATGGAGATTCGTCAAGACAGGCCTGCCCACAGGAGGGCGAGGGGGAGGAGGACCATGGTCATCGGAATGTGAATGTATGGTTATCGGAATGTGAATTTGACCTGGCAGGGCCCCCTGAGATACAGATTGGCAGGCCTGTGAAAAACAACGGACAGACTGTGGGAATGTTCTCTACGGAGGTGTGGAAATGGCATCTGTCCTCTATGTGATATGGCTCTTGGAGAGTGTAAAATCCACACAGGATATGTTTGTTTTCAACCCGCTTGTGAAGATTATCAGAGATCACAAAGAAAGGAATATATGATAACAACAAGAAGATGAGGAAAATAATAAAGAGACTATCTGGACAGAACTGTGAAATTAAAGCAGCAGCAAGAGTGATGTTTGGATCCCTTTCAGAGCTCGAAGTATGGGTACCCCCAACAATTTTTTTTAAAAAAAATTTGGCTGTATAATTTGGAATTAATGTGATTTGGAATTAATGTGATTTGATTGGCCTGTTAATAAAAATTATTTATATATATATATATATATATATATATTAGCTGGACGTATTCCCTAAATAAATTACCTGGTGTCTGATGAATGCCTTCTTCTGAATGAAGCTTTTCCCACAATCAGGACATTCATAAGGCTTCTCCTCCACGTGGGTTCTTTGGTGTGTGATCAGCATATTTCACGGAGAAAAGTTCTTCCCGCACTCAGGGCATTCGTGAGGCTTCTCTCTGTTAATGGAGAAATCTGAGGGCTCCCTTGGACAAAAAACAAGGACACCAGCCAGGAATACCAGAACAAAACAGCAGCCAGTAGGCTTGGTCTTTATTGAAGACTGTCGCGACAGGACTCCCACCTGCCACAAGGTGGAGCAAGATGGAAGCCCCGAACAAAAGAGCCCCCAAACTTTTATTAGTTGCTAATCCCCATGTTTCATCCCCCCCAAACTACATCACTAATACATCATGGTTACATAATGAAAGGGGAGGTCTGGTGGCAGTAATCTGAGCATCCTGGTCCCTGCCCCATGGTTCTCCTTGCCCTCCACCAAACACCCATCAAGTGTAGCAAAAGAGATATTTGCATTTCCCTGTTTCCCAGCCAAGTTAATCACACCCTTTTGTCTTCATCTGGGTTTGTTATTTCTGGAATGGCTACCTGTCCGGCACTCAGGTATCAGGATGCCAGGAATTACCACTCAGGCAGAGGGGCTGCTGAGTAGCTGAGCTCACATGTCTATCTGAATTTCTGAAGTTTTCCCAGTGAGCCCGTACATAGATACATTTATCAGCGAATTCTTACATTTGGTATCGTGCAGCAGAGGCCCTTTGAACAGATAGGAAGAAACTGTGATGAAGTGTTTTGTGGGGACAAATCACAAAAGTCACAAAAGCGATTGTGCTGATTTTGGTAGTGGGCTGCATGTGCATGATATCTGCTGGAGGGGCAACCCCCGCAAAACCTATATATAAATTCCTGCAACATCTCCCATGTGGATCAATCAACCTACAAGGATGATGGAAACTTTTCCTGCACTCGGGGCATTCATAAGGCTTCTCCCCTGTGTGGGTTCTCTGGTGCTTGATCAGTGTATCCCACCGGGAGAAGTTTTTCCCACACTCAGGACATTCATGTGGTTTCTCCCCTGTGTGCGTCTTCTGGTGCCTCTTCAAATGGAGTTGCCACCGGAAGCCTGTCTCGCACTGGGAGCATTGATACGGCCTCTCTCCGGTGTGGATTCGCAGGTGACTCACCAAATTGGTTCTCTGGCTGAAGCTTTTCCCACAGTGGGAGGACTTGTGCGGTTTCTCTTCAGTGCCGGTCAGTGTAGACAATGCTAGGCGGACCCAAGGGGTCTGTCTGGCTGGCTCTGCTTTTAATAAGACGGCTACTTTTAAAATGAGGGATGCGGGTGGCACTGTGGGTTAAACCACTTGCCGATCAGAAGGTCGGCGGTTCGAATCCCCGCGATGGGGTGAGCTCCCGTTGCTCGGTCCCTGCTCCTGCCAACCTACCAGTTCGAAAGCACATCAAAGTGCAAGTAGATAAATAGGTACCGCTCCGGCGGGAAGGTAAACGGCGTTTCCGTGCGCTGCTCTGGTTTGCCAGAAGCAGCTTAGTCGTGCTGCCCACATGACCCGGAAGCTTTACGCCGGCTCCCTCAGCCAATAAAGCGAGATGAGCAACCCCAGAGTCGGTAATGACTGGACCCAATGGTCAGGGGCCCCTTTACCTTTACCTTACTTTTAAAATGAGGCTGCATTTTAAATTGCATTTTAACCTGTATTTAAAATTGGATTTTTCCCCCCTATTATGTTTTTACTGTAATTTTACTGGTGTTAGCCGCCCTGAGCCCGGCTCTGGCCGGGGAGGGCGGCGTATAAATAAATTTATTATTATTATTATTATTATTATTATTATTATTATTCCAGCCTGTTTGCTCGCATGCCACCTCTCTGTTGGGTAGCTGCCCCACAGCCCCCAATGGGTTAAACGGATAGAGCCGTGTTTTGCAGAGAGGCCCAGGGAGCAGCCAGCCAATGCTGTCCCTTCCTTTTCCTGCCAGGGAACTCAGCTGCAAAACCATGGCTTCTTTCTGCAGAAGGTCAGAGAGGTGAGTGCAAAGCTGTGTTTTGGGGCAAGGAGGGAGGCGAGCCAGGAGGCAACAGGAATTGGCAAGGAGAACGCATTCAGGGGGTTTGGAAGCGGCGAGGGTGTTTTGACATGTACGGAGTCAGACTGATGGTCCATCCAGCCCCGTATTGTCTGCACAGGCAGGCAGCAGCCCCCTGGGGCTTCAGGACAGCCCTGCTTAGGGATTGACGCTGCTTGCAGAGCAGGTTTTCTGCCCAGTGCAGCCCATGTCTCTCTATACTGACCCATACAGGAACATCATCATCATCATCATTCTATATTTTGAAATCATTTTTATTTGATTTTACAGATACAAAATTATAACAATCCAAATGCATATCCATATATAGAGATTACTCTAAATCTCGAGATTTCCCCCCCATGGGTCCTATTGCCAACATTAACAAATGCATATTATTTCATAATCTGTATTTTATATCAATCCATACTATCCATGGTATTTGTTACGCTGCAAGTGAGATTAAAATCCTGCTCATGTTTTCATCTGCTTGCCGTGGTCTCCTAAATAAATTACAATTTCCCCCCGTTCCTTTTTAAAGTTTTTGTCCTCTTGGTTCCTGAGTTTTCCAGTCAGCTTTGCTTGCCATTCCTCTCTGGTAGGGACTTTGTCTTCTTTCCATCTCTGGGCTAGTAGCATCCGAGCGCCTTATTATTATTATTATTATTATTATTATTTTATTTATACCCCACCCATCTGACTGGATTGCCCCAGCCACTCTAGGCAGCTTCCAACATATATAAAACATAATATTTTTTTTAAAAAAAACTTCCCTGTACAGTTTCCATATACCAAGTCAGACCATTGGTTTCCCTACCTCAGTATTGTCCACACTGACTGACAGCAGCTCTCCAGAGTTTCAGACAAGAGTCCTTTCTAGTCCTACAGGGAAGTTTTTAATGTATGACATCTTAGTGTATTTTTTTGTCTTGTGGAAGCCGCCCAGAGTGGCTGGGGAAACCCAGCCAGATAGGCAGGGTACAAATAAATTATTACCTTTAATAAAGGTAATTCCCTTACCTTTCCCGCCCCGACCTGGCCACAGTGATCCATGCGACGGTCATCTCCAGGCTTGACTACTGTAATTCGCTCTACGCGGGGCTGCCCTTGAAGCTGTCCCAGAAACTCCAGCGGGTGCAGAATGCTGCAGCGAGGCTCCTCACGGGGTCTCTGCCATGGGAGCATATTCACCCAGTGCTTTTCCAGCTGCACTGGCTCCCGGTGGAGTACAGGGTCAGATTTAAGGTGCTGCTTTTGACCTTTAAAGCCCTTCACGGCCTAGGACCCTCGTACCTACGGGACCGCCTCTCCCGGTATGCCCCATGGAGAGCCTCAAGGTCCATAAATAGCAACACCCTAGTGGTCCCAGGCCTAAGGAAGTTAGATTGGCTTCAACCAGAGCCAGGGCCTTTTCAACTCTGGCTCCGGCCTGATGGAATGCTCTGCCTCATGAGACCAGGACCCTGCAGGATCTGATTTCTTTCTGCAGGGCCTGTAAGACAGAGTTGTTCCGCCTGGCCTTTGGCTTGGAGCCAATTTGATTCCCTCCCCCTCTTTCTTTTTTCTTTTCCTTCTCCTCCTGCGAGGAGGCTACATTTTAATATTTTAATGTTTCAATATTTTAATGTTGTATTTTAATGTTGTTTTTAAGTTGTAATCATTCAACTTGTTTTTATTATTGCTTGTAAGCGCTCTCTGAGCCTAGCCTTGGCTGGGGAGGGCGGGGTATAAATAAAAATTATTATTATTATTATTATTATTATTATTATTTTATTATTACCTGGAAATGCTGAGGGTTGAACCTGGAGGCCTTCTGCATGCAAACCATGTGTTCTGCTGAGCTGTTAACCTTTCCCTTTTTCCCAGCAGGGACAAAATTTTGCTATTTCTTGATCCCCAAGAAAGGCAGATAATACACAAAGCGTCATCTCACTTCTCGCATCCCCTTCCACTCGTCTTGTGATATACAAGATAAAACCCACATAGCAAGAAAGGTACAATTCACTAATTGAGCCACCAGAAACCAACTCTGCAGCTCAAATCAAAACCATAAGCAGACTGAGCAACACAAATATGAATCGGAATCGTGGCGGAACAGAACCGCTTTTATCTGCCGTTGAGGAGGTGTCTGGGATATGCGCTTATAATGCAATTGCGTGAACCTGCTAAGCCTTTTCAGCTCAGTGCCGGAACATCTGCTTGGCATGCAGAAGGTCACAGGTTCAGTTCCCGACACCTCCAGGCAGGGTTGAGAGAGAAATCCTACTGCTAGCCCAGAGATGAAATAGCAGATCAAGTTGATGGATTGTGCCAAAATGGCTAAAATGACTGGGAAGATCAGAAATAAGGAAGATGAAAAACGTAATGAGGAATGGAGGGAATTTATAATTTGCCTGTAAATGGAGACCACTGTAAACCGTTAAAATTGTTAGCGGGATTGCAATAACACTTGTAATGTAACAAGAACAATGGAGATATAAAAATCTGGATTATAAAAGATGCAGGAGAAAAGGTTTAACAATGAGACCCACAGAGGGGGAGGAGGGAAGTCCAGAGATTCGTAAGAATCTTGTAGTTTTGGAATGTGTTGTGGTATGATTGTAATTCTTAATACAGTGGTACCTCTGCTTAAGTACTTAATTCGTTCCAGAGGTCTGTTCTTAACCTGAAACTGTTCTTAACCTGAAGCACCACTTTAGCTAATGGGGCCTCCTGCTGCCGCCGCAGCACGATTTCTGTTCTCATCCTGAAGCAAAGTTCTTAACCTGAAGCACTATTTCTGGGTTAGCGGAGTCTGTAACCTGAAGCGTATGTAACCCGAGGTACCACTGTATGTAAAATAAAGATTAAAAAAATTGAGGAGAAAAGGGAAAAAATCCTAGAGAACTACTGCCCGTCAATGCAAACAGCACTGAGGTAGTTAGACTGATGGCCTGACTTTCTATGTTCCTAATGTAACACAGCTCTTTAAAAAAAAAATTCCTCAGGAATAATCTTCCGTCTTTTGTCTCTGTTGCATTCAGGACAGGGTCGTTGCCAATGGAGCGTCTTACCTCGCACCAGACTGAGTGTCTGAACCGAACGAAGCAGGCGACTGAAGACACAGTTTAGGAGTTGATGTGGAGAGAGGCGCAGCTGTTGCATTTGTGAACGAGAGACGGAACGAGAGATGAACCGGAGTGAAATTCAAGCTTTGCCGAATCGGGGCGCAGGTCCGGGAACACGAGCAAAGAGGCAGGGCGGGGCAGGACCCAAATTGCATAAGGGGCCTGGAAGAGTCCAGTGGGAGGTTGTGGAGCCGTTCCCAACAGCCAGGCCACCACCAAACATGGGATGGAGCGCCCCACGCTTGCCAGAACTTGCCCCACGGGAAGACCCCATGCCTTGTCCACTATCCGCAGAAAGAATCAACTGCAACAGTGGCAGCCCTGAAGGAGACAGCGCAAACAGCCTCCCGACAGGCCTCAGCAGAGCATCCGAAGAGGCCTACATGGGTTTGGATTCTGGGGAAGCCAAGGAGGAGCCCTGGGAAAGGGACACCATCGCCCTGGAGGCACAATGGCTGAACTTCCGACGGTTCCGCTACCAGGAGGTCGAGGGACCACAGGAAGTGTGCAGCCAGCTCTGGTACCTCTGCCACCGGTGGCTGAAGCCGGAGAGGCACACCAAGGAGCAGATCCTGGAGCTGGTGATTCTGGAGCAGTTCCTGGCCGTCCTGCCGCCGGAGATGCGGAGCTGGGTCCGGGAAGGCAGGCCGGAGACCTGCTCCCAGGCGGTGGCCCTGGCAGAAGGTTTCCTGAGGAGGCAGCAAGCGGGTGAGAAAGAGGTGAGGGCATTTCTCTCTTTTCTTTTTTGAAATAATTTTTATTTGATTTTACAAGTATAAAGATATAACAATCCAGCTATACATTTGTTGTTGTTTAGTCATGTCCGACTCTTCGTGACCCCCTGGACCAGAGCACGCCAGGCACGTCTGTCTTCCACTGCCTCCCACAGTTTGGTCAAACTCATGCTGGTAGCTTTGAGAACCCTGTACATATACATATATGTACACTGTACATATACAACTATACAACTATACAACCAACTGTACATATCCATAGTTAAAGATTCATTCGAATCTCTGGACTTCCACCTTCCCCTCCCTGGGTCCTATTGTTAACTTTTTCTACTGCATATTTTTCAGTAGTCCATATTTTATCTGACCCCATGGTTTCCATAATACTTGCTGCATTACAAGTTTTATTGCTAATGTTTTTATCTGCTGATAGTGGTCTCCAAGGTAAATTATAAATTTCCCCCATTCTTTATTAAAGTTTTGGTCTTCTTGGCTGCTGAACTTTCCAGTCAGTTTTGCCATTTTGGCATAGTCCAGCAGTTTAATGTGCCATTCTTCTCTGATAGGGACTTTATCTTCTTTCCATCTCTGGGCTAGTAGCATCCATGCGCCTGTCATCACATACATAAAAAGTCTTTTCTGCTCCTTTGGAATGTCTGCATCTATAAATCCTAATAAAAAAGCCTCTGGTTCTTTTTTTTACAAAAGTTAATTTGAGCATTATTTTCATCTCATTATATATCATTCCCCAGAATGCTTTTATTACCTTACAAGACCACCACATATGACAGAAGGTGCCTTATTTTTCTTTACATTTCCAGCAGATATTTGTACCTGCCTTATACATTTTTGCTTACTTACTGGGAGTCAGATACGAGAGCATTTATTTCTAAGCCGACCCTGGCGGCATTCGAACTCTGTGATAATACCGCAGTGTCGCCTGCTGGATTCCCAAACAATGTGTTGTTCTTTGTGGAATTCTCAAAACAACGCATTGATGTTTGCCGGCTTCCCGAGACGCATCTGATGGGACACTGTGGGAAGAGAACGATGGACTAGATGCACCCGCCTTTTGAGTAGCTCATCGGAGGACCAAAGGTCCACCCTTCTTTCCGGCACCCCTGCCCTTTTGCCCAGTACTTTTCCATCCTACCCTGTTGCCTTTTTCCAGCTGCCTTGACAGGGTTGTGTCCTCCTGGTTGTTTCAGGTACTGCCTACGAATCCCGCGGCTCCTTCAGAGGCCAGAGAGAAGCTGCCGCCTGTGGAAGTCAAAGAAGAGGGTGGCAAAGGTGGGTCCTCTTCGGGTAAGGTGGAAGTCCTTGGTTGCCTGGAGTACAGGCTTCTTCCTGTCCCGGGTCCTTAAACCTCAGCTCTGATCTTCCCTGTCCCTAGAACAGGAGGTGCCCATCTGATGTCTATGGGCGCACAAATCTACAAATGCTTTCTCCGGGGGCTGCAGGGTCAGCCCCGACAACTGAACTGGGGATTGAAAGAAATGTCCTATTCTTCTTTGGGGATCCCTCGTAGCTGAGTAAGATTGTCTTCCATGAACACGGTCTTAACAGTGAGTCCGTAAGTGACTGTGGAGGCCAATTCTGGATCCACACGTCCTTCCACAGTGGGGACATAGGTTTCCGGGCGGGAGTTGATCACAGTGAGGGTTTGCCAAGCGTGCCTTCCTCCTAGCACGTTTCTCCCTTGTGTCCTGAATTTGAGCATCTTCAAAGCCCATGACACCTTTGGTAAAGGCTGTTCTAATTTTTTAAGATTTGCCTTTGGTTTATCCTATTGCAGTCAGTGCTTGAAAGGAGCTAGGCCATACATTTTAAGCGCTATGATACCTATTTAAACTGTCATGGCTTCCCCCCCTGCAGAGAATTCTGGGAGCTGTGGTTTGTTAATGGTACCGACAGTTGCTAGGAAGCACCTATTCCCCTCCCAGAGCTACAGTTCCCAGAGTGGTATAACTATCAATCCCTCCTCACAGGGAACTCTGGGAAATGTAGCTCTGGGAGGGGAATAGGGCTCCCCTAGAACACTCAGCAAGGGACGCGGGTGGCGCTGTGGGTAAAAGCTTCAGCGCCTAGGACTTGCCGATCGAAAGGTTGGCAGTTCAAATCCCCGCGGCGGGGTGCGCTCCCGTTGCTCGGTCCCAGCGCCTGCCAACCTAGCAGTTCGAAAGCACCCCCGGGTGCAAGTAGATAAATAGGGACCGCTTACTAGCGGGAAGGTAAACGGCGTTTCCGTGTGCTGCGCTGGCTCGCCAGATGCAGCTTGTCACGCTGGCCACGTGACCCGGAAGTGTCTTCGGACAGCGCTGGCCCCCGGCCTCTTGAGTGAGATGGGCGCACAACCCTAGAGTCTGTCAAGACTGGCCCGTACGGGCAGGGGTACCTTTACCTTTCCTAGAACACTCAGCACAACCACAACAAACTCCAATTCCCAGAATTCTTTGGAGGAAGCCATGGCTGCTTAAAGTGCTTTGGGGGGGGGCACTGTGGTCTAAACCACTGAGCCTCTTGGGCTTACCAATCAGAAAGTCGGTGGTTCGAATCCCGGAGATGGAGTGAGCTCCCATTGCTCTGTCCCAGCTCCTGCCAACCTAGCAGTTCAAAAGCATGCCAGTGCAAGTAGATAAATAGGTACCACTGCAGAGGGAAGGTAAACGTCATTTCCATGCGCTCTGGTGTTCCGTTGCGCCAGAAGCAGTTTAGTCATGCTGGCCACATGACCCGGAAAGCCATTGTGGACAAACGCCGGCTCCCTCAGCCTGAAAGTGAGATGAGCGCCGCAACCCCATACAGTGGTACCTCTGGTTACATACTTAATTCGTTCCGGAGGTCCGTTCTTAACCTGAAACTGTTCTTAACCTGAGGTACCACTTTAGCTAATGGGGCCTCCCCTTGCTGCTGCGCCGCCGGAGCACGATTTCTGTTCTCATCCTGAACCAAAGTTCTTAACCCGAGGTACTATTTCTGGGTTAGCAGAGTCTGTAACCTGAAGCATATGTAACCCGAGGTACCACTGTAGTCGCCTTTGACTGGACTTAACTGTCTGGGGGTCCTTTACCGTTTTTACCTTTTTGCTTTAAAGCTATGGTGTGAATGTTGTCTCAGTTTTGCCCATTGTGGAACTCAGCGGAGAGGAAGATAGGGAGAAATGTTGTGTAATTCCCAGAGTAGTTCACCGATCAATCCCCCGTCACAGTGAACTGGGAATTGTAGGCCCCAGAAGGAAGCCCTTAAAGAAATATGGCCCCTGGACTGCAAAACTTACCCCACCCTTGTGATAAAAGTATTTCTGCAATCCCCGCTATAAATTTTGGTTTTGCCCCCGTCTCTTATGGACTAATACAGTGGCACCTCGGGTTACATACGCTTCAGGTTACAGACTCTGCTAACCCAGAAATAGCACCTTGGGTTAAGAACTGTGCTTCAGGATGAGAATAGAAATTGCACGGCAGCAGCAGGAGGCCCCATTAGCTAAAGTGGTGCTTCAGGTTAAGAATGGACCTCCAGAACAAATTACCGTATTTTTTGCACCATAACACTCACTTTTTTCCTCCTAGAAAGTAAGGGGAAATGTCTGTGCATGTTATGGAGGGAATGCCTACGTGTGGTGGGGGGGTGGGATCTGCTGCAGTCGTGAGCAGAGGCTCCATGGTTCCCCTTCCTTCCCTCCTACGTGGCTCACTTTGAAACAGCAAAGCGGGAGAAGAGCCGCTGAGTGGGGAGGAGAGAGGGACAGAGAACCTGCTTCTTTAAAGGAGCAAAGCGGGAGAGGAGAGGAGCCGCTTACACAAGTGTAAGCGGCTCCTGTCCGGTTGACTCCTTTAAAGCAAGCAGGTTCTCTGTCCCTCTCTCCTCCCCACTCAGCTCGCTAAATAGCAGCAAAGTTCTTCAGCTCACTAAGCCGGGGATGAGCGGAGAGGAGGGAGAAAAGCAGAGCCTGCTTGCTTTAAAGGAGCAAAGCGGGAGAGGAGAGGAGCCTTCTCCCTTTATACCCCTCTTCTTCATTATTAGCAGCATCCTTCTCCACACACCCCACGCGTGCTCCTTGTCCCTTGAGTGCTTTTCCTTCGGCTGGGGAGGGCGGGATATAAATAAAAAAATAATTTATTATTGTTTATTATTATTCCTTCCCTCCCCACTTAAAACGTAGTTACAAAGCACGGATCCACATGGATCCTCAGGATTTTTGCACTGGGTCACCCCAAATTCACCATCAGATCACATAGCATGTCCATGGCTACATCTTGCACCAAAAAAATCACGCACCCACTGTTGCCTGGGGCCGCAGTGGTGCAAAAACGTGGTTACAAAGCATGGATCCTCAGGATTTTTGCATTGGGCTACTCCAAACTCACTGTCAGATCACATGTCTGTGGCCACAGCATGAACCACAAAAATCATACATCCACTGTTTCGTTTAGAATATTTTTTTTCTTGTTTTCCTCCTCTAAAAACTACGTGCATGTTATGGTCGGGTGTATGTTATAGAGCGAAAAATACGGTAAGTACGTAACCAGAGGTACCACTGTACAGCTTACTTTTGCCACTTACTAAGAACCAAGTTTATCTGCAACAATTATAATGTCAGCTACAACGTAAAACAGCTATTCAAAGCAAGCTCATAGTATCAAGCTATGCTAAACCCACATTAAACCACTCCCTACCAATTCACCGCAAACCATTTCTCTAGATTATTGTTGCTTTCCTCTCCTTTAGGTGACAGCTGGCTGAATCAGCAGGAGGGTAAGCCACAGCGGGAAAGGCCAACCCAAGTAGACCCTAATTTGCAATGTCAGGATAACAAAACAGCTTTCCTGCCTTATTCAGAGGCAGAGATGGGAAGCCACCCGGAAGACAGTGTGAATGATCCTGAGAGAAACCCTGGGGATTTTCCAAAGATCACTCCCAAAGGCAAGAAGCAAAGGACTTGTAGCATCTGTGGGAAGAGCTTCAGCCGCAGCACCGGCCTGATCGCACATCAGAGAATCCACACCGGGGAGAAGCCATACGAGTGCTCCGAGTGCGGGAAAACCTTCACATTGAAGTCGAACCTGATAGCCCACGAAAGGACTCACAACGGGCAGAAGCCGTACGAGTGCCAGCAGTGTGGGAAAAGCTTCAGCGTGAGCTCGCAGCTCATTAAGCACAAGAGGACTCACTCGGGGGAGAAACCGTACAAATGCGCTGAGTGCGGGCAGGCGTTCCGCCAAAGCTCGCACCTTAGAAACCACCAGAGAATCCACACGGGAGACCGGCCGTTCAAGTGCTCAGACTGCGGGAAAAGCTTCAGCGTGAGCTCAGACCTGATCCGGCATGAAATATCGCACACGGGGGAGAAACCGTACCAGTGTCCCGACTGCGGCAAGCGCTTCTGCAACAGTTCCCAGATTATTACTCACCGGAGAGTCCACACAGGGGAAAAGCCGTACAAATGCCTGGAGTGTGGGAAAAGCTTCACCGTGAGCCAGCAGCTCAGCAGGCACCAGCGAGTCCACACGGGAGAGAAGCCATACAAATGTCCCGAATGCGGGAAAACCTTTGGTGTCAGCACACTCCTTACGGGACACCTGAGAATCCACACCGGAGAAAAACCGTACGAATGTTCGGAATGTGGAAAAAGCTTCAGGCTGCGCTCAAACCTTATTGCACATCAGAAAATACACACCGCAAGGAAATCCTAGGCATTTTTACTCTGTGTGTGTGTGTGTGTGTGTGCGCGCGCGCGCTTGCCGGAGGGATTAAATCCGAATTCAGTTCTCTGATTTTTCACAATATTCACATATGGGACCTAGAGTTGTCATATTCTGAAGATCAAAAAAGAGGACACATTTGCCAACTTTTCACTCTTGATCTCTATGATAACTCTCAACATGAAATAGAGGGCGTGTCCTAGAAAAAGAGGACATATGGCAATCCTACCAGCGGCCTGATCAAATCTATAGAATGGGGTAGCCCAGGGGTCAGCAAACCTTTTCAGCAGGGGGCCGGTCCACTGTCCCTCAGACCTTGTGGGGGGTTGGACTATATTTTTTGGGGGGGGGTGAATGAATTCCTATGCCCCACAAATAACCCAGAGATGCATTTTAAATAAAAGCACACATTCTACTCATGTAAAAACACGCTGATTCCCGGACCGTGCATGGGCCGGATTTAGAAGGCGATTGGGCCGGATCCAGCCCCCGGGCCCTAGTTTGCCTACCCATAGGGTAGCCACTGTGGGCCCCTCCAGAGGCTGGATTTCATCTTCCATCAGCCGTGGCTAGCACGGCTCAAAGTAAAAAAGGATTGGAGTTCTAACTTAACAACCTCTGGAGGGGACCACATTGCTACTCCCTGCCCTAGAGCAGCATTCTTCAATCTTAGGTCCTCAAATGTTGTTGGACTACAATTCCCATCATGTCCTTCGGCGAAACTGGCTGGGGATGATGGGAATTGTAGCCCAACAACATCATTCTCACAGTTTTTTAAAGAAATTACTGGACAGGAATTTACTCTCAAGGCGACCTCCTGCGTTAGGAGAATCCCTTAAATTTATTTGTTTTTAACATGTCTTCACCGAAAGGTTTTTCATTATAGGAGCGAAGGGAGAAGACATAAGGTGACCCCATTGCAAAATACAAACATAGGAGGTTTGTCAAAGTCGCGCAACCGTCTTCTGAACAAACTCTTAAGAGAATTACAGTGGTACCTCGGGTTAAGTACTTAATTTGTTCCGGAGGTCCGTTCTTAACCTGAAACTGTTCTTAACCTGAAGCACCACTTTAGCTAATGGGGCCTCCTGCTGCTGCTGCGCCACCAGAGCCCGATTTCTGTTCTTATCCTGAAGCAAAGTTCTTAACCTGAAGCACTATTTCTGGGTTAGCGGAGTGTGTAACCTGAAGTCTATGTAACCTGAAGCGTATGTAACCCGAGGTACCACTGTATTGGCCGTTGAAATGATTGCACCAACCTGCTTTGTGAATATTTGTGTGCATCGATTCACCGAGCCTTGAAAACCTAGCGGCCACCTGCAATAATTTACCCAGTAGCCGTATCTCTACAGAAGTGGGATGGGCTGTGGGACACCTGCCTTGCGTGCAGAAGGTTCCCAGTTCAATCCAGGTAGGGCTAGGAGAGTTTCCCTGCCTGAAATCCTGGAGAGCCATTGCCAGTTTCCTTAAAAGGGACTGAACTATATGGAGCAAGGGTCTGAGTAAAAGACTGCTTCCTATGTTCTTGCCTGGATAGCTCAGTTGGTTAGAGCGTGGTGCTGATAACACCGAGGTTGCAGGTTCGATCCCTGTATGGGAACTCTGAGACCTCGTTTGCCCCGTACAGTTAAAGCAGCATCCTATCCTAATAATAATAATAATAATAATAATAATAATAATTGTATTTATACCCCGCCCTCCCCAGCCAAGATCGGGCTCAGGGCGGCTAACAACCAATAATAAAAACAAGTTGATTAAAATACAATTTAAAAGATTAAGATACAACATTAAAACATTAGGGTGCAATCTCTTCATAGGAGGAGAAAGGAAAAAGAAAAAGGGGGAGGGAATCAAACGGATTTCAAGCCAAAGCCCAGGTGGAACAACTCTGTCTTACAGGCCCTGCGGAAAGAAATCAGATCCCACAGGGCCCTGGTCTCGTGAGGCAGAGCGTTCCACCAGGCCGGAGCCAGTGTTGAGAAGGCCCTGGCTCTGGTTGAGGCTAATCTAACTTCCTTAGGGCCCGGGACCTCTAAGGTGTTGCTATATATGGACCTTAAGGTCCTCCGTGGGGCATACCATGATCTTATGAAAAGATCATGGCTTCCCCCAAAGCATCCTGGGAGCTGTAGTTTGTTCCGGGTGCTGAGCTACAACTCCCAGGGTTCCCAGAGAAGAGGGATGGATTCTTAAACCGCTCTGGGTATTGCAGCTCTCTGAGGGGAATTGGGGCACCCTAAAAGGGCTCTTTAAAGTGGCGTTATGGGCCCCATCTGCACCATACACTTAAACAACTATCATACCTCTTTAAGCAGCCCCTTTTCATAGAATTGTAGAGTTCAAAGGGATCCCGAGGGTCATCTAGTCCAACCCCCAAATGTGGGGCTCGAACCCAGGACCCTGAGATTAAGGAGTCTTATCCTCTACCAACTTGGAAAAAGCCAGTGTGGTGTAGTGGTTAAGAGCAGTAGATTCATAATCTGGTGAACCGGGTTCGCTTCCCCGCTCCTCCACATGCAGCTGCTGGGTGACCTTGGGCCAGTCACACTTCTCTGAAGTCTCTCAGCCCCACTCACCTCACAGAGTGTTTGTTGTGGGGGAGGAAGGGAAAGGAGAATGTTAGCCGCTGTGAGACTCCTTCCGGGTAGTGATATCAAATCCAAACTCTTCTTCTCTTGTCTATAACCTCAGAGAGCTGCTTCCAGTCAGTGTTGACAGTACTGAACTACCGTATTTTTTGCTCTATAAGACTCACTTTTTCCCTCCTAAAAAGTAAGGGGAAATGTGTGTGCGTCTTATGGAGTGAATGCAGGCTGCGCAGCTATCCCAGAAGCCAGAACAGCAAGAGGGATTGCTGCTTTCACTGCGCAGCGATCCCTCTTGCTGTTCTGGCTTCTGAGATTCAGAATGATTTTTTCTTGTTTTCCTCCTCCAAAAACTAGGTGCGTCTTGTGGTCTGGTGCGTCTTATAGAGCGAAAAATACGGTAGGTGGACTAGTGGTCTGACTCGGTAGAGGTTTCAGTTAATTGGCAAGAATGACTAATATATGTAGATCTGTTAGGTCAGGTGTGGGGGACCCTTTGCCGTTCCAGATGTTGCTGGACGAGCTCCCACCAGTGTGTGTCTTTCTAAATTATTATTATTCGCTTGGTTCATTGCTCTGAAGGCCCTGTCAATGCTGTGAACTTCACGGAATGCTGTGAAACGTTATAAAAACATGGTAGATAAGTGAAATAAAAAGTTTCTTTTTTTAAAAAAAAGAAGAAGCCTATCTCTCTGTTTCTTTGCTCAGCTGCCGAGATATTAGTGGACGAGGAAGATCCTGCTGGCTGGATTAGATTAGTGATATTATTATTATTATTATTATTATTATTAGGCATCCATCTGACTGGGTTGCCCCAAACACAGTAAAACGTCAAACATGCATGTGGGAAGTTACAAGCTGGATCTGAGTGCAACGGCACTCTGCCCACCTGTGATTCCTAACAACCGGCAGTTATAGAATCATGGAATTGGGGGGACCCCAGAGATCATCTAGTCCAACCCCCGTCTCTGACTAGAGAAGCCGAGTTTAGCCATCTTGGGCAATAGCCACTGATAGCCTTAATATCCTCTGCCAATTTGCCCAGTGCTGTGTTGCAACTGTTCCACACAGTAGTGGTAATCAGTGGCTCCTGTGGAAGTGAGTTCCACAGTTCCACAGGGTGGAAAGCAGGGAGGCCACCAGTAGGAGGAGCCAGAGCCAAGTAGTCCACTTTCAGAGCATCCATTTAAACAGCCATTACTTCCCCCAGAGAATTCTGGGAGCTGTAGTTTGTTGGGAGTGGTTAACCGTTAAGATATCCAATTCCCTTCACAAAGCTACAATTCCCAGTGTTTCCTGGGAAGAGGGATGACTGAGTGTTAAATCACTCTAGGAATTGTAGCGGCGGAAGGGAAACAGCCTTGGCCCAGTATACCTGAAGGAGCATCTCCACCCCCATCGTTCTGCCCGGACACTGAGGTCCAGCGCCGAGGGCCTTCTGGCAGTTTCCTCCCTGCGAGAAGCGAGGTTACAGGGAATCAGGCAGAGGGCCTTCTCGGTGGTGGTGCCTGCCCTGTGGAATGCCGTCCCATCAGATGTCAAGGAAATAAAAAACTATCTGACTTTTAGAAGACATCTGAAGGCAGCCCTGTTTAGGGAAGTTTTTAATGTTTGATGTTTTATCGTGGTTTTAATATTCTGTTGTAAGCCACCCAGAGTAACTGGGGAAACCCAGCCAGATGGGCAGTATATAAATAAATTGTTGTTGTTCACTGGGGGAGGTCATTCCTATGGAGAGGCCAAAGGTCCCCACTCCTCTGTTAATCCATGCTTGTTTTTATTATTATCAATAATAATAGTAATAATGAATTTTACATCAGCCAACTTGCAGTAGTAGTGCTGAACCAACCCATTTGCTGCATTGTACGTTATGCTTCTTTGCCACTTCAGGGGCTGCTGCTGTCGGGAGGCACGGCTTTAAATTGCACTCCGGCCACAGGGATGACATTGGGGGCTGGACGGATGCGGGTGGGCTCAGAGGCTAAAGAGGAGGCGGAGGACCAGGGCTGCGCCAGCATCCTAGGTGAGGTTTTAATTGTGCCAATATGCCTTGATCAAAAGAGTCTGGGGCCGTGTAGTCTGGCTGTCAGGGACTGGACATCAGAGGAGGAATTGTGGAGATCGTCCCCTCCCCCTTCTCCTGCACTTCCCAGAGAAGAGTGAGACTATAGATTTAGAACAGTGGTTTGCAGAAGGTCACAGTTCAGAGGCTGAAGAGGGGAGAAGCTGGGAAATATTGGGAGAGGAGCAGGAGGAAGAAGACAGGGGAGAGACAGCTGACAGACTCAGTGTCTTTGGAAAGCATTCCTGACCTCCACTCTCCCAGGACCCGGCATGCATTGAGACTAGTAGAACAGAAAGCTCAAAGGCAGAAAGCACAGATCAGCCAACGCAGGGATGACATATAATAGGAGAGACGGAAAGGGTGGGGACTTTACTACGTCTCTCTCTGCGAATATTGAATAAAATACCTTTGTAAGAGATTTTTGCTTTTTCCATTACTGGCAGCCTGCCATGAGGCAGGGGGATCGGACTCCCTGGCGCTCCGTTATCACAACAAACACAAACCTGTGTCGCAAAATGTTGCATTTTTGTAGATTGCTCTATTATCACAGCAGCCAGACAAACGCCGAAATGGGAAGCCCCCCAGCAGGACCTAAATGCAACAGCCCTCTCCACCCATGTGATACTATCATACTGCCTCTGACAGTGGAGGGGCAGCATCTCCCACCGTAGGGTGGTAGGGGGGTGTCACGAGGGAGCCGGTAGACAGAGGGAGGGAGTCGGACTCCTGGAATGGATTAAATTCGAAAACCAAGGTACAACCGTACACGGAGACCATGGATTGCACTCCCTCAAGCTTGAGCTGCTGCCATGAGTGCCCACCCCTCTCCCCTAGTGCCGACCTCCTACCTCCCAGCTCCCTTCTGCTGCCTACGGTGGCTGCCAGGGAAATATTTCTATCTCTGTTTGGCTTTCTGCTCTGAGACACGAAGGGAGAGTCTGGTTCTAGGAGGAGGAGGAATCTCTACCGGGCTTTCAAGTGACATGCTGCCAACTGGCTGTTGTACTGTTTCTACCCCTTCTGACTGTTCAGGACAACTGGAGTATCTGCTAGCTTGCTCCTGTTCCTCATGCTCCAATATCTCCCAGCTCTTTTCTTCTTCTTCTTCTGGGGGGTGCCCTGTTCACCACCACCACAAACCCAGGTCCATGATCTCTTCATCTGCCTCCTGCCCAGAAGCCTCCACCACTCCTCCTCATCTGGCCAGTTCCTGACAGGGTGGGAGCAAGGAAGGGTGATTGTTTTGTTTTTCTCCCTGTTTTTATTGTGTATCTTGTACATTTATGTTGTAAACTTCCCTGAGATCTCTCTCAGCTTGGTTAAATTTTGTGTTTTACAATTTAGAACATTCATTTAAAAAACCTTAAAATGTCAATGACTTCCCTTCTTCTCATTCCATGGTTCATTTTGCATAGCATAAGTCCCTGAATACTTTACATAAACTAAACCATTCAGTATTCCATTATTACATCCATCAAAACTTGTTTACACTATAGAATTTATCTGAATGCTGCTGCTGTAGTCGCATACATGAATAAGTTTCTATACAGTTTTGGTAGCTCTGTCCCTTTAATTCCCAAGAGAAAAGCTTATGGGTCGTTGTTTTTTTACAAATGTTATTTTAAACATCCTTTTCATTTCATTATATATCGTTTCCCAGTAAGCCTTAAACTTACTACAAGACCACCACATATGATAAAAAGAACCTTCTTTTTCTTTCCATTTCCAACACTTATTTGATTTAAATTTATACAATTTTGCCAGTTTATTCGGTATTAGATACTATCAGTATATCATTTTCATATAATATTCTGTGAAACCGTAACATGCTGTAAATTTTATATCCATATTCCGCAATTGTTCCCATGCTTCCATGTCTATATTATAGACATGCAAGAGAGGGTCTTCTTGCTTCTTGTTTCACTTGTTCCATATAGCAAAGATGTCTAGCATGAAGAAGTCCTTCCTAAATTCCTTGACAGCACTGGTTTTTATTATTATGGAGGGGGTAGGCCTTCTGTTTGTAAAACAACAACAACATGCATGTCCTCTTTGTCACCAAAAATTCCTCAAACATTGAAGTTTTTCCTTGTAGGGGAAATGCTTCGATTCCCTGTACTTTTCCCAGCTCTGCAATATACCCTTTTTGAGATTGAGGGACCAAAACCGTAGATGGAACTCCAAATGCATCTGCAGCAGATGGAAGTTCTGAATATTTTGTTTCTGCAGGTGATGGACGGGTGACTGAGAACAAGGAGGAGACGCCTCTGACAGAAAATCCCCATCGTTTGCAGCCTCCAAGCCAAAAAGGTGGGCCCCCTGAGAGGCAAAGGGGAAATCCTCTGGGAGGGAGAGCTGCAGATTCTGTCCTTTATGCCAGAAGGAAGGAGGCGTTGGAGAAAATCATTCACAAAGACGATAAACGACACAAGTATGCCGTGTGCGGACGAGGGTTCGGTCGGCCCACGGGTCTCACCGCACATCAGCGGATCCACACGGGCGAGAAACCCCACAAGTGCGTGGAGTGTGGGAAAAGCTTCAGTTTGAAGTCGACCCTCGTGGCCCACGCAAGGACCCACACGGGCGAGAAGCCGTACACCTGCACGCACTGCGGGAAAAGCTTCGCCGTGAGCTCGGACCTCACTCGACACTACCGGACCCACACGGGAGAGAAACCCTACAAGTGCTCGGAGTGCGGGAAGTGCTTCCGGCAGAGCTCCTCGTTCAGCAGCCACCTGAGGATCCACACGGGAGAACGGCCGTTCCGGTGTTCGTGCTGCGGGAAGAGTTTCGCCATGTGCTCGGACCTCACCAAACATTACCGGACCCACACCGGAGAGAAGCCGTACAAATGCTCAGACTGCGGGCGCCGGTTCCGGCAACACCTCTTTCGCCAACCACTTGAAAAGCCACCGCGGAGAGCTGCCTTTCAAATGCTCCGACTGCGGGAAGTCCTTCAGCGTGAGCACGTTCCTGATCAGACACGAGAGAATCCACGCGGGGGAAAAGCCGTACCGGTGTTCGGATTGCGGGAAGAGCTTCGGGCACAACTCTCAGCTCATTTCGCACTGGCGCATTCACATGGGAGAGAAGCCGTACAAGTGCCCTGAGTGCCGGAAAAGGTTTACCGCTAGCTCTCTCCTCCGGGGACACCAGAGAATCCACACCGGCGAAAAACCGTACAGCTGCGGGGTTTGTGGAAAGACGTTCAGCCTGAGGTCCAACTTCCGCAGGCATCAAAGCACTCACACGGGGGAGAAGCCGTTTAAGTGCTTAGCCTGTGGGAAAAGCTTCATTACGAGTTCAGATCTTCTTGCACACGAGAGAACCCATGCGGGAAATAATAATAAATAAATAATAATATATTTTTTTAAATTTATACCCGACCCTTTCCAGTTTAAAAACCGGGCTCAGGGCGGCTAACAGAAAATATAAAACATTGATTAAAATGCGACTAGAAAACAGCATAAAATACAACATAAAATGCAGCATCAATATCAATAAAATTCTAAAATTCAGGGGTCATTTCAGGAAAAACAAAACCCCAGTCAGTAGACATCAAATGATCACCAGGGCAAACTGGCCAAGTTGGTCCTACTAGGGCCAGCAAGGAGACCAGGGAAGAATTTAAATGTGGGGTACCAGAAAGGGTTTCTTCATAAAAGAGGAAAGGGAAAAGGGAATAGAGAATCAGGGAATAGAGCATAAATTGTAGATATGCACCAGGAGGTGGGCTTATGATCTTAATACCTTGGTTTTTGGACGTCTCCACTGCCAAACGTTTCGGTTTTCGAACGCTGAAAACCCAGAAGTAAATGTTTCCGTTTTCGAACCCGCCTCGGAAGTTGAACGGCTTCTGTTGCGTGTATCTGTTGTTTTTCACAATTTTCTCTGTTGAATTGGCAGGCCACCCTTTGTGCCTCGGTTTTTGAACGTTTCGGAACTCGAACGGTCTTCTGGGTAGCAGAAAGGTGATAACTACTTCCCCAAGTTGGTGTGTGTGGCGTTCGTACAGAGCCCCCGGTCGTCTCACGGACTATTGACCCGTACACCACTAATCCGCTCCCATCAACCAGGTCCTCCCTGGTAAAATCACTTCAGCCTCAGTCAGGTTCTCAATTAGTAAAGAAGAGTGTATTTTATTTCAGAAACAAACAAACTTTTCCGGCATTCCAAACGTTGTTACTCTTTACTTTCTTAGTCTTATTTTCCTCTCTCTATCTCTTCTATCTCCCCTCACTCAAGAACCCACTGCCCTAACTGTCTCTCCATTTCCAACTACCTGCCAACTGCTTCTCCAACTGCCTTTCCCAACCAGCCAACCCACTAAAACCAACCAACTACCCACCAACAGCTCCCAACAACAACTAACTCAAACCTCGGCTAAGCCCTTTTATACACAGGTAGGCTCCGCCTCCCTCCGGCTTTCCTATTGGTCTATATTTTTAACCCTATCTCTCCCTGTACAGACAGGCTTTAAACGAATGGGCAAATGCCACAGTGGGTTGTTGAGTTCTTTCCCCTTCTGAGAAAGGGGCTGTAACTGGTTGCTTCCAAGCACATGGCTAGTAGGCGGCTCAGAAAAGCACTTTGCTACTAGCAGATTACCGGGCCTGGAGATTGGCAACAAAGACGATGAATAATTTCTTCTGAAACAGCACTTTGTGTTAACACTTTCCCCCCAGGATTGCCTGTTTAGTTTGTGCTGTGAAGAGCTGGGTAGCTCAGTCGGCTAGAGTGTGGTGCTGATAATCCCAAGGTTGCAGGTTTGATTCCCATAAGGGACTGCTGCAAATTCCTGCATTGCAGGGGGTTGGACTAGATGATCCGCAGGGTCCCTTCCAACCATAGCTGTCAACGTTTCCCTTTTTTAAAGGGAAATTCCTTATTCCCTTATTCCAAATAGGATTCCTCGCAAGAAAAGGAAAAAGTTAACATCTATGCTTCCAACTAGAAGGAACGCGGGTGGCGCTGTGGGTTAAACCACAGAGCCTAGGACTTGCGAATCAGAAGGTCGGCAGTTCGAATCCCCGTGACGGGGTGAGCTCCTGTTGCTCGGTCCCTGCTCCTGCCAACCTAGCAGTTCGAAAGCATGTCAAAGTGCAAGTAGATAAATAGATACCGCTCTGGCGGGAAGGTAAACGGTGTTTCCTGCGCTGCTCTGGTTTGCCAGAAGCGGCTTAGTCATGCTGGCCACATGACCCGGAAGCTGTACGCTGGCTCCCTCGGCCAATGAGCGAGATGAGCGCCGCAACCCCAGAGTCGGCCACGACTGGACCTAATGGTCAGGGGTCCCTTTACCTTTACCTTATGCTTCCAACTCTGTAATTCTATATGAGTTTACTTGATGGAGTGCACTAGGTGTGCATTCTGCTGAATCACTGGATGAAAGAGCTTATATTGGCATTTGCTCTGGCCAGCTCCATTCAAGTTTTGAGCTTCACAAAGGAAAAGTTATGGGTAACTGAACCCTGACTTTAAAAGGCTGCATAAACCATTGTGTCAGAAATGAACCCAGGTGAGGCTCAGGCTGTGTCCATAGGAGGAGAACCAGGATCAGGCCAGTGGTCCATCTCGTCCAGCAGCCACAGAGTTTCCCTGGGAAGAGGGACTGAGCGTTAAACCACCCTTTTTTCCCCCCTAAATTTTATTTGTATCCTGCCCTCTCTGGCCAAAGCCGGGCTCACAGCGGGTAACGTCATATAAATAAGACAATATGCATAAAACAACATACAATATGCAAATAAAATAACATTCAACATTCATTAAAATAATACAGAATAATATTAAATATCAGCATTTCAAGATTAAACAGAAATCCTCTCTTAACAGTTACAATAAGTAATTTCTAAACTCTAGTCAATAAAACAACAGCAAGCCACAGTAATAATAATATTAATAATAATAATAATAATTTTTATTTATACCCCGGCCTCCCCAGCCAAGGCCGGGCTCAGGGCGGCTAACAAGCAATAATAAAAACAAGTTGAATGAATACAACTTAAAAACAAGATTATAATACAACATAAAATATTAAAATGTAGCCTCATCGCAGGGGGAGAAAGGAAAAAGAAAAAAGAGGGGGAGGGAATCAAATTGGCTCCAAGCCAAAGGCCAGGCGGAACAACTCTGTCTTACAGGCCCAGCGGAAAGAAATCAGATCCTGCAGGGCCCTGGTCTCATGAGACAGAGCATTCCACCAGGCCGGGGCCAGTGTTGAGAAGGCCCTGGCTCTGGTTGAAGCCAATCTAACTTCCTTAGGGCCCGGGACCACTAGGGTGTTGCTATTTATGGACCTTGAGGCTCTCCGTGGGGCATACCGGGAGAGGCGGTCCCGTAGGTACGAGGGTCCTAGGCCGTACACAACATAATACAATACAAAATGAGAAGCAGAGACTGGAGGGGGGAGCAAGACAGGTGGAAGGAGGCCTTGCCTGATGGAGTCTCTCCCCTCCCCCTGGGAATTGTAGCTCTGTGGGGGGAATAAGGAGACTCCTAACAACTCTCAGCACCCTCAGCAAACCACAGTTCCCAGGATTCCTCATGGAGAAACCGTGACTAAACGGTGTGATGCTGCTTTAATGGTACGGTGTAGCTGGAGCTTTGAATTTGTTTTTAGATGTTTCATTTTTAGATTTTTTTAAATAAAAAAACCAGTTTTAAATATGTTTTTTATTTTCTGTTTTATCACAGAAGTGTTTGCCTCCCTGGGCTCCTCTGGGAGGAAGGAAGTACTAATAAATAAAATAAATCGAAAAGAGGGCCCTGTGTTGGCTATTATTTATTTATTTAAAAAAATCTGTATACCGCTGTGTCATTCATATACAGAGTGGAACCTCAGTTTTCGAACATAATCCGTTCTGGAAGACTGTTCGACTTCCGAAACGTTCGAAAACGGAGGAGCAATGGGCAGTCGGCAAAATCCATTGAGGGAAAAAAAGAAAAACATGCAGCGGAAGCCGTTTGACTTCCGAGGCGCGTTCAAAAACGGAAGCAATTACTTCCGGGTTTTTGGCGGTCGGCTTCTGAAACCTTCGGATTCCGAGACGCTCGAAAACCGAGGAAGCCATTCCTCTTACTTCCTCCTTAGTAAGGGCTGCTGCTGTGGTGTTTTGGTGACAAGAGCCTGACAAAAACATCTGGAAGTCACCAGCTTGAGGAAGGCTGGCCTAAGCCATTTTGGACTTACAAGGTCAGTAGCAACACTATTTTGAATTATGATTGGAAACTAATTGGACCTAGGACAAGTGTAGGGTGAAGCGGTGAACAATTTTAGACCTCTGTGTTTGCACAGGTTTTTTTTAAAGACAGCCATGTACAGTGGTACCTCGGCTTACAGGCGCTTCAGGTTACAGACACTTCAGGTTACAGATGCTTCAGGTTACAGACTTCGCTAACCCAGAAATATTACCTCGGATTAAGAACTTTGCTTCAGGATGAGAACAGAAATCGTGCTGCGGCGGTGCAGCGGCAGCAAGAGGCCCCATTAGCTAAAGTGGTGCTTCAGGTTAAGAACAGTTTCAGGTTAAGAACAGACCTATAGAACGAATTAAGTTCTTAACCCGAGGTACCACTGTATATAGAGATGCGGGTGGCGCTGTGGGTTAAACCACAGAGCCTAGGACTTGCCAATCAGAAGGTCGGTGGTTCGAATCCCCGTGACGGGGTGAGCTCCCGTTGTTCGGTCCCAGCTCCTGCCAACCTAGCAGTTCGAAAGCACAAAGTGCAAGTAGATAAATAGGTACCGCTCCGGCGGGAAGGTAAACGATTTTTCCGTGCGCTGCTCTAGTTCGCCAGAAGCGGCTTAGTCATGCTGGCCACATGACCCGGAAGCTGTGTGCCGGCTCCCTCGGCCAATAAAGCGAGATGAGCGCCGCAACCCCAGAGTCGGTCATGACTGGATCTAATGGTCAGGGGTACCTTTTTACCTTTACCACTGTATATTATTTTGAGTTTTGGACAGTGCTTTCAATGAACTAATTCGGTTTAAGGGAAGAAGGGTGGGCTAATAATAATAATAATAATAATAGAGTCAGACCATTAGTTGATTTAGTTGAATTGTTGTTAGCATTCGTCTGTCTAGGGGACAAGGGAGGAGTGAGCCCGAAAATGAGAGTACATTGGTACCTTAGGTTAAGAACTTATTTTGTTCTGGAGGTCCGTTCTTAACCTGAAACTGTTCTTAACCTGAGGTACCACTTTATCAAGTCATTGATATTTTAAATGAATATTCTAAAATGTAAAACAGAAAATTTAATAAAAATTGAGAGAGAGAGAGAGAAATCTGAAGGTAGCCCTGTATAGGAAAGCTTTTTTTAATGTTTATGTTTTATTATGTTTCTATATAGGTTGGAAGCCGCTTGGAGTGGCTGGGGCAATAAATAACATCACCATCATCATTCCTGTTATTGTTATCATTATTATTGAAAGGACGTCCCTATTTTCATTGGAGAAATGTTGGAGAGCATGTATCAAGTGGCTGGGAATCCCAAGCATGGAGAGCTCTGCTGTGCTTGGCTCTGGCTTTTAGCTTCTGCACTTAAGTGGGCCTGATCCAGTTACCCTTTGGCCCTATCCCGCTGCCAGGCTCCTCTTAGCTTCTCCATTCACAGCCACCCCAAGCTCTGAGACGCTTCCTTGTGCAACCTGGGGATCTACCCGCCTCTCTCTCCTCCCCGCGCGCAAAGGACCGAGTTCCCCTGCCAGGCAGCAGTTCGAAAGGTGCAGCTCCTCCCGCAGGATGGCGGCGTGCCAGCCAGCCTTCCTACCCGGAATGAAGCTTTTCTTCTTCTCCTTCTTCTCTCCCCCTCTCCTCCTCCTCCTCCCCCTTTGCAATCCTGACCCCTAAAGAAGTGCAGTTCCTTTTCCTCCTATGGCCGGGCTCCTGAACAGCCACATCATTCTTTTGTTCTCAGGTGGGAAAGCAAAAAAAACACCCACCAAAAAACCGCTGGAAGCAGGTAACTGGGGTCAGGTTGCAAAATGTGTGTGCGATTTCTTAAATTTTATTCTTCCGTGTGTATCTTTTTCCTCCCCTCGGATGAACTCTCCTGGAGGGGGAGCGCGGCGCCTTTATTTATTTCTTGGAAAGCTCGCTGAATCGACTTTGTTTTCCAATGAGAGGCATTGTCTGGCTTTTAAATCCCTCCCTTAACCTTCTCCTTCCGCCTACTAGATCTTTTCTTCTGCTTTTATTTTTTTTAAACATTTCTGCCCTACCCACTGCCGTTTAACCCTCTCTTAGCTTGCCATCCTTTTCTTTCCTTTTTTCCCCCTTCTTCTTTTTGCAAACCGCTTTTCAAAGAAACGAATCGCAGCAATTGCGCATCCAGGAGAATCCGCGCGCCACCCGAACGCATTTGGAGATTTAATCCTTGCGTGGGCGGGGAAAAATAAATACAAATCAATGGCTTGCAAACAGTAGTTCAACCCATCCGGTTCCTTGGCTATTGCAATTTATTTTCTTCCCCTTTTTTTGGCCTTTTCTTACGAGGAGGTGCCGGACGGGTTAAACCGATAGAGGGCTGAGCGTCCCAGAGAGGACGAGAAACTTGAGCTTAGAAGAGCCCCTTAATACCCGAGGCCCTTTTCTGATGGGAGGAGAGAAAGGCGCACACATACAGAAAGAGAGGCTGGATTTTTCTTTTTTTAATTTAAAGAAGAGTTTGCATGAAAAATAACAATAATAATTGTTCCGTTGCAATAGGAAACCGCAGATCCTCGGGAAAGAAATGCATTCGGGAACATGCACGGTGGGTAAAAAGCAGCGTCAGCCCAGCGAGCTTTGCAAAAAAAAGAAAAAGAAAAAAGGGAAAGTTGAACCCCTCCCCGAAAACCTCCTGATCAAATAAAAGTAGGGGAGAGGGAAGGAGGGGGGAGGGATCCCGAGCCTCCCTCTCGCCCGCCCACCCCCCCCGGCTGGGTTTTGTGCGGGTTGATCCCTCTCTCTCTCTCCCTCCAAGCATGGCCTCTCTGCTAGGACAATGGCAGAAGCTGCAGCTGATCCCAGATCCAAGGACAAGGCGGAAAGAAAGAGAGAGGATCCCTCGACCCTATAATCCCGCGCCCTTGCTCCCGCAGAAAATATAGATGGGGAGAGAGACGCCGATCGCTGCTTCTTCCTCTTTTAAGGCTCTGCAGCCTCTGGAAGAAACGATTGCACCTTTTTAGTGTGTGTGCAAGGTTAGAAAAAAGCGTGTTTTTTTTAGTGTGTGTCTGTGTACAAGTTAAGAGACATCTAAATTCTGATCCAGACCTCATTTGGTTTCCCTCGGCACTCAGTGCAGCCCCCAGCCCCCATAAAGGGCTTGTTGTTATTTTATTTTTGTAAACGTCCTGTGCAAGGTATTTTTTAAAAAATGCTCTTTTGCTGCCTGAAGAAGAAAAAAGCCGGTAAAACTAGCATGTTTCAGGGGGTTAAGATTTTGGGTTAGCCCATCTCTCCCTGATGAATGGGCTGCCGTCCTATCAGAAGCTACAGAGCAGCAAGTCCCACTGAACTCAATAGGCTTACTCCCAGGAAAGTGGGTACAAGGATGAATACAAGCGCCTTTTCAATGAGACTTCTGCGATAGTCCATTTTAGTCTGCTAGATAACTTTTTAAAAAGTTTTCTCAGTTCATTAACTCTTTTCATTGTGCTGTTATTTATTTTGTACATTGTCAGTTTTCTCAGTTTGTTAACTCTTTTCATTGTGCTGTTATTTCTTAAAACATTTCACATCCCCACTCATCACATCGTTTGGATTTCAAGATGGGACACAGTAGAAAAATTCTTGCACTAAAATGTTAGAAATAGCCATAGATGCGTGAGATCCAGTGGCGTAGCGTGGGTTGTCAGCATCCGGGGCAAGGCAAGTAATTTGCGCCCCCTAACCCGTGGATTTGCGCCCCCTAACCCGTGGATTTGCGCCCCCTAACCCCCAGAAGTTGCGGCCGGCCCCCCCTGCACCCCCCACGCTACGCCACTGGTGAGATCTCAAAGAAAATGCTTCCCCCACCCCCATCAAAGCTATTTTAAGTCAAATGCAAATGAATGTTGGTTTAAGGGGGAAATAGACGGATTAATCAGTGATAACTTAATATAATGAATCTATTGGTAACCATCCTAATTTTAATGTTGCAGTGTTGGCCTCTCTCCCAACTTGCAAATAAATGAGTAAGAACATCCTAATGGCCAAAGGCCCATCTAGTCCCAATTTCCTGTTCTCACTGGAAACTGGCAAAAAATGTCCTCTCTGGCAGTTAGAACCTCTGTTGCATTCAGAGCCCTTCTGTTTGTGGTCAGATTTAAACTATAATCCAGGGGGCAGGGAGCCTTTTTCAAACGGAGGGCCGCATTCCATTCTGGGTGACCTTCCGGGGGCCACAAGCCAGTCATGGATAGGGCCAGCAAGAAATGTGGGCAGAGCAATGAATGTAAATTGTACATTTGTGCAGTAAACTTAAGTTTCCACAAACCAAGAAGTATTGGAGTTCATGAATGCATTCTGGCCAGGCGAAAACACTTTGAGGCATGCCTGCGGAGGGAGTGTGGACTCAGGAGCGACTCAGGGGCCAGGTAGAGAGGTCTAGAGGGCCGCATTGGGCCTCTGGCCCTGAGATCTAGCCCCCTTCCTGCAAATACTGTCTTATAGTGTGGTTTTAGGAGAGGGCCATCAGAATTCCTCGTGAATATGAGAAACTGCTCTGGGAACTGTAGTTTTGTGAAGGGAATAAAGATCTCCTGGCAACTGTCAGCACCCCTAACAATCTACAGTTCCCAGGATTCTTTGGGGGAAGCTATGACTGTTTATGGTTTTGATCCATGGGCTACTTTTAAAATGAGGCTGCATTTTAAATTGCATTTTAACCTGTATTTTAAATTGGGGTTTTTTCCTATTATGTTTTTACTGTAATTTTACTGGGGTTAGCTGCCCTGAGCCCGACTCTGGTCGGGGAGGGCGGGGTATAAATAAAATTTATTATTTTTTATTATTATTATAAAGTGGAATGATAGTGCTTTAAATGAAGAGTGTGGATGGAGCCTGGGAAATACCTGCATTTTGGCTTGTTGGAAGAGGGAAGTCTTCGGTAGGCTCCAAAAAGACTGTCACATTTAAAGGGAGGGCATTCCAAAGGGCAGGTAAGGTGCTTTCTGCCAGAGGCTCTCATCAGCCGAGCATAGTGATCGCTTGGGTATATAATATTTTTAAAAATTTGTTTAAGTGTGCACAGACTTAACAGTCAAAACAGTATATTGTTAAAATATTAAACTAAGCATGCAACCTAAACCCAGTAAAACAGTGGTATAAAAATGCAGAATGTGAAATAAAGCAGAAATTCGGAAGATTCAAACACGTTAAACAGGGTCTGATCCTATTCCGAGCACAATTCAAAGTGTTGGTGCTGACCTTTAAAGCCCTAAACGGCCTCTGTCCAGTATACCTGAAGGAGCGTCTCCACCCCCATCGTTCTGCCCGGACGCTGAGGTCCAGCGCTGAGGGCCTTCTGGCGGTTCCCTCATTGCGAGAAGCAAAGCTACAGGGAACCAGGCAGAGGGCCTTCTCGGTAGTGGCACCCGCCCTGTGGAACGCCCTTCCAGCAGATGTCAAAGCGATAAACAACTACCTGACATTCAGAAGACATCTTAAGGCAGCCCTGTTCAGGGAAGTTTTTAACGTGTGATATTTTAGTGTATTTTTGGTTTCTATGGAAGCCGCCCAGAGTGGCTGGGGAGGCCCAGCCAGATGGGCGGGGTATAAATAATAAATTATTATTATTATAATATTATTATTATTGGCCAGGGAAAGCCGGGGTAAAAATAGAAGTCTTTGCAAGACATCTGAAGCCATTAGTGGTTTCTGCTTTTGGTATGGCGATGAAAACAGCATTCCTTGATCTCTCTCTACTTCATACTCTTCATGCTTTGAGGTGTTTTTTCCCCCTCCTAAAACCAAGCTGCTCATAAGTTTTATGAAATAAGTAAATAAAATTCCACAGTACAAGACGGATAGCAAAATAATAATAATCCTGATTTCTGGGCACTGCCCTGCAATATTTTGAAAGGTACAGGGCCACAAGTAGGATTTCCCAAGGTGATCTAAGTCAGTCACAATGACGTCATGTGTGAGGAGCTTTGTAGTCCCAAAATTGGGACTCCCAAGCACCATTTAAGTAGGGTTGCCATATTTCAAAAAGTGAAAATCCAAACACAAAAGTTGTTGAGCTGTTTTTAAGGAAATTCGCCAAAATCTACGCTTTTAACATGGGGTTGACATACATCCGGATTTCCCCAGACATTCCAGCGATTTTCTGCCTGGACAGTGTTTCCGACGGCCGAATCCTGGCTATATCCGAGAAATTCCAGACATATGGCTACCCTAACTTAAGGCGCTGCTAAATGGGAGGTTCCCCCCCCTCATTGTTTTAGCAGGAGATCCCAGGCAAGTGTGCATAGATACCCACCTCCTAAAATGAAAGAGAAATTCCTCCTGCCCCCACTGCCATTTTAGCAGACATCCGTCCAGCCTCTGCTTAAGTACATCGTCCGTTCCACGCAGTCCTTTTCTTCTAGAAAAGTAGGTGCCGGTACTTCCGCGGTTGAAGAGCCCTTACTGTCAGAAAGTTCTTCCTGATGTTTAGTCAGATTCTCCTTTCCTGTAACTTGAATCCATTGATTCGAGTCCCACCCTGTGGAGCAGGATAAAACAAGCTTGTCCCCTCTTCCATGTGACAGGCCTTTAGGTATTTGAAGATAGCTGTCATATCTCCTCTCAGTCTCCACTTTTCCAGGCTAAATTCCCTCATCCATTCCTCACAGGGCTTGGTTCCCAGACCCTTGATCATCTTGCTTGCCTTCCTCTGCACATCTTCCAGCTTGTCAATATCTTTCTTAAATTCTGCTGTCCAGAACAGGACACAGGACTCCAGGTGTGCTCTGACCAAGATCAAATACAGCAAGAATATGATTTCCCTTGATCAGGACACTGGGTCATTCCACGCCAAATCACCTGGTGCCATGTGCTTTCACAACTCAGATTTTCTTTTTTTAAAAAAATTAATGTGTAGATAACCTCAAATTAATTTTTGAAAATTTTTTGGTCCAAAATTGGGGTCAGGATTATTTTTTTTTAAAAAAAATTCTGCATCAGTTTAGTAATAACCACCTGTTTCGCTTATTTTTCAACCAATTGGGAATATTTTGGTATCAAGATAAAGCTAATTTGGTCTCTGCAAATGAAGGTGTAAAATACTTCTGTTGATGCCACCTACAATAGGTTGGGGGATCCCTTGGCTGTTTTTAACTGAGGAGAATTTTTCTCTGTTAATTTCTGTTTTTCTTCCTTGCTCTTCAGGTAGAAGGCCCTGCCATCAAACATTGATCTCCATGTGCTTCTGAGGCAAAGACAACCCCATCTCAGCAGCCAGTTTTTCCACAGGTGTAAGTCAGAAGGCGGAGGCCGGACGCATTCCTCTCCCAGAGAAACCCTTCGCGTTTTCGGAGAAGGCCGGCAGTTAGGCTGTCTCAAAATGGCCGCCAAGCGGGGCGCGACTTCGAGCCTCCATTTGCAGGGTGAGCTGGAGCAGGTGGCCCGGCGGCGGAAGAAGATGGAGGTTGAGGAGGACGAACATGAGAACCCCGAGCCAGAGGAAGGCTGGCGGGGGAAAGGAGAGGCCTCCCGCGGCCCCCGAGACAAAGAGGAGAGGCTGCCCAGGGGCCGGACGGCTCATCAGAAGGCCCTCCTCAATGCCACTCGCTCCCCTCGCTCAGGGTGGAGAAACCCGCCAGCGTCACGGCCAGCGGAGTGGGAAGACAGGCGAGCCTTTCCGTCCTCCCTTGAGGGGCCAGCAGCAGCCCGCCCGTGGCCCAGGAGCGGGCGGGCATCCCGCCACCAGCAGGGCCTGGCCGGGGAAGGCCCCGAGGCCCACAACAGCCTGGACTCCGGGGAGATTGGCGAGTCCGGGGTGGTGAAAGTGAAGGAGGAGGTGTTGGGCGACGACTCGGCCAGCATGGAGATGAAGCGCCAGCGCTTCCGCCAGTTCCGCTACCAGGAGGCCGAGGGCCCCCGCGAGGTGTGCAGCCAGCTCTGGTACCTCTGCCACCGGTGGCTGAAGCCGGAGAGGCACACCAAGGAGCAGATCCTGGAGCTGCTGATCCTGGAGCAGTTCCTGGCCATCTTGCCGCCAGACCTCCAGAGCTGGGTGAGGGAACACGAACCGGAGACGTGCTCCCAGGCAGCCGCTTTGGCCGAGGATTTCCTGCAGATGCAGAGGGAGGCGGAGAGAAGGGAGCAGCAGGTGAGACAGAGATTCATCCTGATCGGCATCTGTGCGCATGCGTGAATGTGCATTTGGGGAGCAGCAAACATTTGGGGAGAATAGCGATCCTGGCTGGAAGAGCGGGTGGCGCTGTGGTCTAAATCACTGAGCCTCTTGGGCTTGCCGATCAGAAGGTCGGCGGTTCAAATCCCCACGACGGGGTGAGCTCCCGTTGCTCAGTCCCAGCTCCTGCCAACCTAGCAGTTCGAAAGCACACATGTGCAAGTAGACAAATAGGTACCGCTCCGGCAGGAAGGTAAACGGTGTTTCTGTGTGCTCTGGCTTCCATCACAGTGATCTGTTGTGCCGAAAGCGGTTTAGTCATGCTGGCCACATGACTCGGAAAGTTGTCTTTGGACAAACGCCGCCTCCCTCGGCCTGAAAGTGAGATGAGCGCCGCAACCCTACAGTCGCCTTTGACTGGACTTAACCATCCAGGGGTTCTTTACCTTTACCTTACCTCTACTGGCTGCCAATTAGCTTCCGGTCCCAATTGAAAGTGCTGCTTTTGACCCATAAAGCCTTAAACGGCTCAGGGATGCGATACCTGAAGGACCGCTTCTCCCCATATAAACCGTCCCGGATTCTGCGGTCATCCTCTGAGGCCCTTCTTCACCTGCCTCCTCCACACTCCACCTGCCCAGGCCACAACCTCATTGCTCATGCTGTGTTACATCAATGAGCGTTTTTGCCTGGATGGAGGATAGAGAGAGGAGTGTGTGTGTGTGTGTGTGTGTGGAAACCTGTCTATATTGGGGGGGTTTTAAAAAAAGAAACACACCAAATTTATTTATTTATTTCATAAAATTTATAAACCACTTGACAGTGAACCACAAACGAACCTAAAAGCAGTTTACAAAAAAAGATAGATATTTCGGTAAGCACAATTAACAACAGTAATTTAAGTCTAACAATAGTCTTATCTTTTAAAATGTGTTAGGGGGTGTTGTGATTGTGTACTTTGCAGTTTTATATTCTGAATTTGTCCTGTGAACCACCTTGAGATCTGCGGGTATAGGGCAGTATATTAATAATAATAATAATAATAGACTAAAAACAGCTTAACTCAAACCAGCTTTCTAAGCATCTGGGTAGGCTTGTTTAAACAAAAACATTTCCAGCAGGTCTTCCTTGGCCATCACTCATAGCCGAGTAAGATTGTCTTCCATGAACACGGTTTGAACAGTGAGTCTGTAAGTGACACTGGAGGCCAATTCTGGATCCACACATCCTTCCACAGTGGGGACTTAGGTTTCTGGGCGGGAGTTGATCATGGTGAGAGTTTGCCAAGCCTCTTAGCATGTTTCTCCCTTTCTTCCTAAGTTTGAGCGTCTTCAAAGCCCATGACACCTTTGGTAAAGGCTGTTGTCCAGTTGGAACGCTCACAGGCCAGTGTTTCCCAGTTGTCAGTATTTATACTACATTTCTTTAGATTTGCCTTGAGAGAGTCTTTTAACCTCTTTTGTTGACCACCAGCATTACGCTCTGCAGCAAAGGCACCTGCCTGTTGTCAAGAGGCAGGGAGTTCCGCAGTGTAGGTGCTGCCACACTAACAGATTGATTTCTTACAAATGCAGGACTGGTATCACAAAGCACCCATAAGAGAGCCAGTGTGTTAAATTTCCATTGGTTGCCCCACCCACTTCCCCCCCTGTGTGAAAAACCCTTCCATGTGGCAAGAGGGCACTGCATCCCTCTGGCTGAAAAGGGTTTCCCTGCACCTACTGTAATTGCAAAAGCCCTGCCCTGAAGAGGGGCTGGGTTAGGCTATCTCCAAGGCTGCTTTCCACTCAAAAATTCCTTGCATTTTTAGAATTTCCCTATATACTGCTAAGAATGTGTCTGTTTACGAAAGCCTAAACCCAGGCGTATGCAAAGTCTGCTGGGACTGCATCCTGCCCAGCAGATCCTGCACTGAGCAGTGGGGCTTTGGCGGAGGGAATTAGATGACCTTTGTTGTTGTGGTTTAGTCGTTTAGTAGTGTCCAACTCTTTGTGACCCCATGGACCAGAGCACGCCAGGCACTCCTGTCTTCCACTGCCTCCCGCAGTTTGGTCAAACTCATGCTGGTAGCTTCGAGAACACTGTCCAACCATCTCGTCCTCTGTCGTCCCCTTCTCCTTGTGCCCTCCATCTTTCCCAACATCAGGGTCTTTTCCAGGGAGTCTTCTCTGCTCATGAGGTGGCCAAAGTATTGGAGCCTCAGCTTCATGATCTGTCCTTCCAGTGAGCACTCAGGGCTGATTTCCTTAAGAATGGAGAGGTTTGATCTTCTTGCAGTCCATGACCTAGTTCAGATTTATTAACTTTGTATTCATCTCGCTCAAAAAGAAGTATCCCTAAGCGGTGAACAATGGAATTGCATAAAACAATATACAGAGTTCAGTGAGTTAGAAACAAACCATTCAAATAAACTAATAATGCAAAACGCTTCAGTAAAAGCTCAGTTGAAACAAGAACATTTTTAGCATCTTTCTGCTAGGAAGACTTAATCAGAGACCTGCTGTGATAAGCTTGCAAAGCACTTTGAGGGTAAACCCATGCATATGCACTCTAGACACGACACCATTATTGATTTGAGTCCTTTGGAGGTGTCCAGACTTGGTCTGGCTGTATTAAGATCAATGTTCGTTAATGGTGCAGGGTTTGCCTGGTTGTCCAGCACTGCGACACCTCAACCCTCTCTCTGTCTGTCACCGACGGGTTGGATGCAGGGGAATGGTGGGAAGAATCAGCTGGGGAGCCCCCAAGGGAAGACGGCTCAGAGCCTGGGGTGTGATCATTGAGCAACAATGAGTGGTCAGAGGGAGAAGACTGGGAAGAGGAAGTGTCGGAACAGGGCTTAGTGAGCGGGGAGAGTCTGTGGCAGAGAGAAGTCCAGAGTCAGGCAGAAGCTGAAGCAGGAGAGGAGGAAGGCCAAGAGGCAGAGAAGGGTCAGGCTGGTGAAAAGGCACAGGTGTCTCCCCCTCCTGCTGCCAGAAGCTCCCTTCTGATTCCCAGAACCAGGAGAGGCATGAAAAGGGCAGAGGAAGAAGTAAGCTTCACGCAGGCATAGTCTCAGATTGCTTGGGGAAAACCTTGGAGAGGAGGGGAGGCAGGGACAACAATTTCGGGCCTGATCAAGATCTTTGGTGCTCTTTTCAGGTGCTGGGTCTCTTCGAAATGGACAACGCAGATTCTCCAGAGCCGGAGCCAGAGCAAACCCCCTCCGACTCTGCGCCTAAGCCTCTTTTCAGGGAAGCAAAGCAAGAGGCCGATGAGGAAGAGGGCAGCAATTTGGGTAAGAAGTTCATTTTGCGTGGTTATCTTATTTGCTTACTGAGTCATCGCACGTGTTTTGGGTTCGTAGGCTCATTCCACCCCACCACCCTCCAACAAAATTCAGAGTACATGGCATCCAGGGCTGTCCTCTCTGCCCGAAACATTTGCCCCACTGGGGAGTTTCGGAGCTTATTGCAAAAGTTCTCCTGATAGGTAACATTCCTCCAGCTTTTCTCGAGATGTTACCCTCCAAAGGATCTGCAGCCCCTTCCACATTTTTGTGTCATCCTAGTCCTTCACTTGAGACGCGAATAAAGGGATTGGGCAGGCCTGCAAAATTGCTTTGTTCTCCATCCTTGGCACCTGGGAGATCACCTGTTGGAACAGGTGGGATGCCTCTTCTGCCCGAGGGAAACCCTTGCTGCCTCCGGGGCAGCTGACATATTTTATTCCATGTGGGGGCCTCTGTTTCATCTTTAAGTGGGTGGGGAAACCCTAGAGACCTTTTTTGCTTGTTTGAGGCAGTCGTATCCACCCTATCAGCTTCTAAAGAGCTGAAGATCAATGGCTACTTCTCAGCAGAGACCCTAGAGCAGAACATGGCGGCTGAGCGAGTTTATTGCCTGTATCAAGCTGGATCTTTCTGCTAAATGGATCTTGAGCAGTGCGTCTGGGAACAATCTGTTCCTGCCTGAGATGTTGCCAGTCAGGCTTGATGGGCCGGTGCAAAGCAACATTGGGCTGGCATCTTCTGTAATGCTTTTATCAGATTGCCACCGTTCCGTCAAAATGGGCTGGCTGCTCAGTTGAGAATCGTGGAAGGGACCCTGCGGGTCATCTAATCCAACCCCCTGCAATGCAGGAATCTTTTGTCCAACATGGGGCTCGAACCCACAACCCTGAGATTAAGAGTTGTCTCCTGCTCCACTGACTGAGCTATCCCTTGGGATTTGCCTAAAAGAGGGGGTGGGGAACATTTGGGGCCCCCAGATGTTGCCGAACTGCCATCCCCATCGCCCTCCGCAAGCGACAGGGAGGTTGAGTGCCGTCGTTCAACAATATCTGGAGGAGCAAAGTTTCCCCTACGCCCGCCTAAAATGCTGCGTAAAATCTTGCCATCACTCCTGGCCATTTCATATTTTAAAAAAATGAATCTCAGGGTGGCAGGTGGTGGGGAAATGCCCCAAACCCCAGAGAACCACTGCCAGGATTAGCCAGGAATGCCTTCCTTAGATTATTGTACTACAGTTCCTATCATACCTGGCCATGCTAGCTGGGGCTGATGGGTATTGGAGTCCAGCAACGTCTGGAGGGATATCCTGGGGACTGATCCATGTAGGGAAGCTGAGATGGTGTCTGTTGTTTTGAGATCAAGTAGGCTGGGAGCGGGACACGGGTGGCACTCTGGGTTAAACCACATAGCCTAGGGCTTGCCGATCAGAAGGTCGGCGGTTCGAATCCCTGCGACGGGGTGAGCTCCCGTTGCTCGGTCCCAGCTCCTGCCAACCTAGCAGTTTGAAAGCACGTCAAAGTGCAAGTAGATAAATAGGTACCACTCCGGCGGGAAGGTAAACGGCGTTTCCATGCGCTGCTCTGGTTCGCCAGAAGCGGCTTAGTCATGCTGGCCACATGACCCAGAAGCTGTACGCCAGCTCCCTCGGCCAATAAAGTGAGATGAGCGCCGCAACCCCAGAGTCGGCCACGACTGGACCTAATGGTCAGGAGTCCCTTTACCTTTACCTTTAGGCTGGGAGCAAGAGAGGGTGGAATTGTGGAAGAACGTTACCAGCAAATAGTGATGACCAACTCAGCTGTACAGTTCAGGTTTTTCAAATGCCGTGGCCCTTGAAGACAGAGGGTGGCGTTCAGCTAAGTGTTACGGAGGGGAGCAGACCTTTGAAATGCTTGGACTTGATCACGTTCATTCATTTCGCTGGACGAGATGATCCTCAGAGGCCCTTCCAACTCTGATTCTACCACCCAAAGTTTTCTTACTTTTTCCCCCCTTTCTTTTTTTGATAATAATTTTTATTAGTTTTCAATTACAATAACCCAATCATAGCCCCATTATAACAATGCCAAATTATAATGCAGTTACAAATACCAATCACCAAATTACATAATTTAGGTGGACCCACGCGTGCTAAAATTGACAGTTTGATTGTTTTATTTATTCCTGCGTTCCAGAATCTTAATCCTTTCAATTACATCCCAGTCAAAATAATATTCCCTTATACAACAACTGCAACTGTTGACACATTAAATGATTTATAGAAGTACAAGAGGAACTCAATCTATATCAGGGGTCAGCAAACTTTTTCAGCAGGAGGCTGGTCCACTGTCCCTCAGACCCTGTGGGGGCCGGACTATATTTTGGAAGGGGGAAAAAATCAATGGTTAACTATGCCCTACAAATAACCCAGAGATGCACTTTAAATAAAAGCACACATTCTACTCATGTAAAAACACGCTGATTCCCGGACCGTCTGCGGGCCAGATTTACAAGGTGATTGGGCCAGATTCGACCCCCAGGCCTTAGTTTGCCTACCCATTATCTATATCCTTGTTCTTCCTGTGTGTGGCAATTATTCTGTCCGTGATGTTTCTTCCTGTCCTTGTAAAATGTTGCCTATCTTTTCCCAGTTGTTGCTGTTCTCCTTCGTGCCTTGGGTGGAGCTAATATTGCATTGTTGTTTCAGAAATCCTCCATTGCTCCGTCCCTGTGCTTCATTGTTTTGCAACTTTAACAGCAGCTGCAAAAGTCACACCGTCCCAATAAATACCCTGTTTTCGCCATTTTTCTCTCGGCCATTTTTCTCTTACGTTTCTTTTTCGAGAGACAGAGTGATACAATATACATACAGTGGTACCTCGGGTTACATATGCTTCAGGTTACAGACGCTTCAGGTTACAGACTCCGCTAATCCAGAAATAGTGCTTCAGGTTAAGAATTTTGCTTCAGGATAAGAACAGAAATCGTGCTCCGGCGGCGCGGCGGTAGCAGGAGGCTCCATTAGCTAAAGTGGTGCTTCAGGTTAAGAACGGACCTCCAGAATGAATTAAGTACTTAACCCGAGGTACCACTGTATAGAAAAGTTCCTAATCTGGTCCCTGGTGTGATCAGGATCTCTCTCTCTCCCCCTCCCCCTCTTTGCCCGCAGGCAACCTTGGGCAAGTGGCGCCCCGGGCAGGCGGCCCCCTCCCCCTGTACCCAGAGGAGGGCAGCTCCGACGACGAGGGCCTATTGGACCTTGTCTATGCCGCCAACCTTGAGATCCACAGCCGGCGGCCGCCCCGCAGGACCCGCCTCATCCGGATGCGCACCCACGAGCTGCAGGTGTCCGACGAGGAGTGCTTGACCCGCTTCCGCCTGGACCGCCAGGCCATCCAGGACCTCTGCACCCTTCTGGCGCCTTACCTGGACGGCGCCTCGGCCAGCCGCAGGCACATCCCCACCTTGCAGAAGGTGCTGATCGCGCTGCAAGTGCTGGGCACCGGGTCCTTCCAGCGGATGACGGGCGACAACCTGCGCGTGTCGCAGTCGTCGGTCAGCCGCTGCCTCGACGCCTTCTTGGAGGCCATGCTCCGCCACGTCCACGAGCACATCACCTTCCCCACCACCGACTCGGAACTGCGCCGCACGCGGGAAGCCTTCTTCGACATCGCCGGCTTCCCCAACGTCATCGGGATCGTGGACTGCACCCACGTCCCCATCATCGCGCCGGCCGACATGCCGGCGCTCTACCGCAACTGCCACAACTTCCACAGCCTCAACGTGCAGGCCACATGCGACGCCTCAGGGTGCTTCACCCACGTGCTGGCAAAATTCCCCGGCAGCGTCCACGACGCTCGGATATTCCAGCTCTCCCAGCTGCAGAGGCTCCTGGAGTCGTGGCCCGAAGGGAAGGGTTGGCTCTTGGGTGAGTATTTGAGTGTTTGGGGAGGCTGGTTCTGAGGTGAACGAACCATGTCGGACGTCTGTCTGCTCTGTCTCCACACCGGATGTCTGTGCAACTGTTTAGAAACGGAGGCTGTTATCTGGCCAGCGATCATAATGTTAGTGGTTGCTTCTGTTCCTTCCTCCCTCAGAAGAGCTGCAAAAAAGTCCCTAACCCCCCTCCAAAAAAACTCGACAACTTTGACCTGAACCCCTAAAAAACGGGGGTAGATCACTGCCAGATTTTAAATTTGACAGTAGATCGCAGTCTCTCGGGAGTTGGCCACCCCTGGTCTTCCATGAACACAGTCTTAACAGTGAGTCCATAAGTGACTGTGGAGGCCAATTCTGGATCCACACATCCTTCCACAGTGGGGACATTGGTTTCTGGGCGGAAGTTGATCACAGTGTGGATTTGCCGTGTGCCTTCCTCTTAGCACGTTTATCCCTTTTGTCCTGAGTTAGAGCGTCTTCAAAGCCCATGACACCTTTGGTAAAGGCTGTTCTCCAATTGGAGCGCTCGCAGGCCAGTGTTTCCCAGTTGTGGGTGTTTATACTGCATTTTTAAAGTTTTGCCTGAGACACCCACACAACATGTGCATAGGCAGCAAATCTATGGGGCCCTGGTTGTTTCGGACACCCCCCCAGTAAAATATTTAGTGGGGCGAGTTTCCCCAGTATTTTCTGCGAGTTGATGTTTTCCTTCCTCTATTGGCCAGCCACTTCCCTACACAGCCAGGCCAAGCTCCCCCGATATATATGGTTTAATTAAAATTGCATTTCTGAATTTCAAAAGTTTACAAAAGAATACATACTTTTCCAATACATACCCATTTCACATTCAACTTCCCCTCCACATCTCCATGGTTCCCCCCATAGTTTCTTAAGTTTGCTGCGTAATATAATTATTGTTTACCTTATCTTTTCCACGCTGGGCTCCCAGCAAATATTCAACTGCTGTTCTCCATTCAAATCCTACCTGCCTTTTTTTTTTTTTACATGGTTCCAATAATTCTTTAAATACTCAAGAAAGGTTTCCACTCCTCCTTATAGTCTGCCTCTTCTCAATCTCTAATTTTCATTGTTAAATTTGCCAATTTGGCATATTCCGTCAGTTTTTACAGCCACTCCTCTTGAGTAGGTATCTCCTGATTTCGCCATATTTTTTTGCGAATAAAGTACTGTTGTTGCTGTCATGGCATACAAAAATAGGATCATCCATCTTCTGAGCTCCCCCGATATTTTCTGAAAGTTGCTGCCATGCTTCCTTATCTGCTCCCTTACCTGGCTTGGACAGCACCTTCCCCTCCAGCCGGGTGCCACCCTCTTTTCCTGACTTGCTACCCAGCTTTTGCCGCCATTTCTGCACATGTCTGACCTGGGCAGCCGGGAGAGGCAGGCAGAAAGGGCAGTTGGCGAGGCAAGGAGGAAGTGGGGGAGCGGTCGGTACGTTTCCGAGCACAATTCAAAGTGTTGGTGCTGACCTTTAAAGCCCTAAACGGCCTCAGCCCAGTATACCTGAAGGAGCGTCTCCACCCCCATTGTGGGGCTACCTTTGAAGGTGACCCGGAAACTACAACTAATCTAGAATGTGGCATCCAGACTGGTGACTGGGAGCGGCCGCCGAGACCACATAACACTGGTCTTGAAAGATCTGCATTGGCTCCCAGTACATTTCCGAGCACAATTCAAAGTGTTGGTGCTGACCTTTAAAGCCCTAAACGGCCTCGGCCCAGTATACCTGAAGGAGCGTCTCCACTCCCATCGTTCTGCCTGGACACTGAGGTACAGCGCCGAGGGCCTTCTGGCTGTGAGAAGTGAGGTTACAGGGAACCAGGCAGAGGGCCTTCTTGGTGGTGGCACCCATCCTGTGGAATAATAATAATGATAATAATAATAATGGTAATTTATTTATACCCCGCCCATCTGGCTGAGTTTCCCCAGCCACTCTGGATGGCTTCCAGTCGAATGTTAAAAACAGTACAGCATTAAATATTAAAAACTTCCCTAAACAGGGCTGCCTTCAGATGTCTTTTAAAGATAGGATAGCTGCTTATTTCCTTGACATCTGATGGGAGGGTGTTCCACAGGGCGGGCGCCACTACCAAGAAGGCCCTCTGTCTGGTTCCCTGTAACCTCACTTCTCGCAATGAGGGGCCCTCGGTGCTGGATCTCAGTGTCCGGGCTGAACGATGGGGGTGGAGACGCTCCTTCAGGTATACAGGAATGCTCTCCCACCAGACGTCAAAGAGAAAAACAACTACCAGACATTTAGAAGACATCTGAAGGCAGCCCTGTTCAGGAAAGCTTTTAACGTTTAACAGACTATTGTACAGTGATACCTCGGGTTAAGAACTTAATTCGTTCTGGAGGTCTGTTCTTAACCTGAAATTGTTCTTAACCTGAAGCACCACTTTAGCCTATGGGTCCTCCTGCTGCCGCCGCACCGCTGGAGACGATTTCTGTTCTCATCCTGAAGCAAAGCTCTTAACCCGAGGTACTATTTCTGGGTTAGCAGTGTCTGTAACCTGAAGCATATGTAACCCGAGGAACCATATTTTGTTGGAAGCCGCCCAGAGTGGCTGGGGAAACCCAGCCAGATGGGTGGGGTATTAATTATCATTATTTATTATCGAACATGGGCAAGGGTGTGTAAGAGGGGGAGGCCTGTGCCCAGTTGTGTGTGGCAGAGGAACGTGCCCTCCAGGGAGCGGGGGGAAGTGTGGGGAGGGGAAATATTTTGTTCAAGTTGCCTCCGGTGCCTTTCACGCTCACCTTGCTCCCTCCTCTCCTCCGCAGGCGACAGCGGCTACCCCTTGCGCCCTTTCCTCATGACGCCGCACCCCGACGACGGCCCGGAGCCCGTGGCCCGCTACAACGCCACGCACGAGACGACGCGGATGGTGGTGGAGCAGGCCTTTGGGCAGCTCAAGATGCGCTTCCGCTGCCTCCACTCCACCGGCGGGCGGCTCATGCTTCGCCCGGAGAAGGTGGCCAAGGTGTTTGTGGTGTGCGCCATGCTGCACAACATGGCCCTCCGGCGCCAGTTGCCCATTATCAATGGCGGACAAGGGGTGGACACCGAGGTCCCTGTGCCTCCCTACCTGGAAACCGACAGCCTGGTGGAGCAAGACCCCCGCGGGGTGGATGTCCGGGAGCAGATCATTAGCACTTATTTCTCACAATAAATTTCGACTTTCGGTAGACGGCTCGCGGCTGGTTGCGTGTCCTTCGGTGTGTGGAAGAGGAAGGGCAGTCTTAGGTCGTCGTAAGCACTCCTCTCTCCCATACTTAGATTCCCAGGGTGGTTGCATCCCGCCCAACGACCAAAACCACAGAGAATTTCCTTAGGGGGTGATCAAGGGCCTCACACTGTGTGAGGTTTAATTTCTCAGCGCACGATTAAACTGTGGAACTCCTTGCCACTGGAGGCAGTGATGGCCACCAACTCGGATGGCTTTCAAAGAGGATTAGGCAAATTCGTGGAGGAGGAGAGGGCTCTTGATGGCTGCTAGCCAGGTTGGCTACCTCCACAGCTAAATGCTTCTGAATGCCAGTTGTTGAAAAGCTCAGATGGGGAGTGTGTGTTTGGGCTTGGGTCCTGTTTTCGGGCTTCCCGCAGGCCTCTGGTCAGCCACTGTGAGGACAGGATGCTGGACTTGACAGGCCCTTCTGTTCTCTGTGTCCCTTACGTATAAAACGTGAGTAGGGATTGACTTCCGAGCTTGTCATGTCAGCTGCTACAACATCCCTGGTAAGCGGCCTTTCTTTATTGAAGTAAGGGGTAAAGCAGACTTGTTCTCCCCTTATGAGGTGGAAATTTCCCCTTTACCTTTTCTGCAGATTAACTTCCCCACATATAAAAACAAGTTCAAGCCCCATCAGTGTGGTAAAAGACTTCTCATTTCAACTTGGCCTACTCTGCCAGCACTGCCCACAAGTCTTAATTGCTGGAAAGGAAGCCGGAATGAGTTTAGCGGGGAGGCTGGTGGGCTACTTCGAACTACAGCAGGCATAGGGAACCTTTTGGCTCCTTTTTGTTCCTGCTGAACTACAACTCCCATGAGCCCCAGCAAGCATTGCCAGTGGGTATGGCTGATGGGAGTCGTAGTCCAGCAACATCTGGAGGACCAGCGGTTCCTCACATATGACCTACAGTTACTGCAGAGCTTTGCATTTCATCAAATTTGGCACAAGATAACTATGATATCTACGATACTTCCAAGCACTTGGGGTCTAACAGTGAGAAGAGACAGTGTGGTGTAGCGGTTAGAGTGTCGGAATAGGAACCGGGAGACTTGGGTTCAAATCCCTACCCAGCCACAAAGCTCAAGGGGTGACCTTGGGCCAGTCACTTCCTCTTAGCCTAACCTACCTCACAGGGTTGTTGTGGGGAGTAAAATAACAAGGGGAGAACCATGTGTGTCGCCTTGAGCTCCTTGGAGGAAAATGTTGGACTCAAATGCAATAAAGAAATAATAAAGATCCGCAATCCCGCCGTGTTTTTGTTGTTGTTTTAGTTTAGTTTTGGGGGGGCGGGGCTTATCTGATTTCTCATGGGGTGAACAGCAGCTAGAGGGAGGGATTTTTATTTATTTTTTTATTATTGCCATCAATCCCCCATTATTTACCGATCCCATTATTTTTTTGTTCCATTTATTCCGGTTGCATCCCTTAAGATTCTCAAGGTGGCATACATGACTCTCTCCCCAATATTATCCTCATGACAACCCTGTGAGGTCAGGTTAGGCCAGAAGTCAGTTGTCAGTGAGCTTCGCTGCGGCCAAGCGGGGATTCGAACCCAGGATCTCGCGTGCAGCGGTCTCACGCGCTCTACTGGGGGAAAGGGTGAAACAAGACAAGTTGGCCACCAGTACTACCATCTCAAGTCATGTTCCTGAAGCCGCTTTGTGGTCAGCCGTGAGGCCTTTTAGCAACCGAAGGTGAGCTCACCCTGGGAAAGCTCTAATGGCGCTCCCTTGGGGTAGAGCATCTGTCTGGCCCTCTGAAGCTTCCATGTTCAGCCCAGCATCTCCAAGCAGAGCTACGAGAGAACACAAGGTTGCAAGTTCAATCCCCGCATGGGACAGCTGAATTGCAGGGGGTTGGACTAGATCAGGGGTCAGCAAACTTTTTCAGCAGGGGGCCTGTCCACTGTCCCTCAGACCTTGTGGAGGGCCAACTATATTTTGGGGGGAAAATGTACAAATTCCTATGCCCCACAAATAACCCAGAGGTGCATTTTAAATAAAAGCACACATTCTACTCATGTAAAAACATGCTGATTCCCAGACCATCCGTGGGCCAGATTTAGAAGGCGATTGGGCCAGATCCGGCCCCCGGGCCTTAGTTTGCCTACCCATGGACTAGATCCCTTCCAAGTCCACAATTCTACACTTCCATGCTGCTGGCTGGCGTGATTTCTGATGTGCATCAGGGCACACACGCAAGAGCTTTACAGCAACAAACCTGCGGTGGGTCTCTGGCTGCTGTGGGACTCCCAACTCCCATCAGCTCCCAGCCAGAATCGCGAACGGTTAGGGATGATGGTGGCCGGAGTCCCGCAACAATTGGAATTTCCAGTTCTCCATCAATGAGGGAAGGGGATCCGGACAAAGGAGCATGCAGTGAGCACCAGTGGCGCTGTGGTCTAAACCACAGAGCCTCTTGGGCTTGCCGATCAGAAGGTCGGCGGTTTGAATCCCTGCGACGGGGTGAGCTCCCGTTGCTCGGTCTCAGCTCCTGCCAACCTAGCAGTTCGAAAGCACACCAGTGCAAGCAGATAAATAGGTACTGCTGTGGTGGGAAGGGAAACAGCGTTCCTGTGTGCTCTGGTTTCCGCCATGGAGTCCCCTTGCGCCAGAAGCAGTTTAGTCCTGCTGGCCACATGACCCAAAAAGCTGTCTGTGGACAAATGCCGGCTCCCTCGGCCTGAAAGCGAGATGAGCGCCACAACCCTAGAGTCACCTTTGACTGGACTTAACCGTCCAGGAGTTAAAAAACCTTTTATTACAAGCGTAGCAAGGTGAGCTGGGGTGTTAGGGAAGTGGTGGTACTGGGCTGGGCCTAAGTTCAGTAGCAGAAGAACATCAAAGCATAAGCAGAGCTCTGCTGGGTCAAAGGCCCATCTAGGCCAGCCTACAGGATACAGTGAAAGCAGTCTCATACCACATTAAACAGTGATGGCTTCCTTCATTGTATCATGGGAACTGTAGTTTCTTAAGGATGCTGGGAGTTGTTAGGACACGCCCCCTCATGGCGCTACAGTTCCCAGGGCGGCTTAACAATTGATCCCTCTCCCCAGGGAATGCTGGGAACCGTTGCTCCAGGAGGGGCTTCCTAACATCTTTCTGCACCTTTTAGTTTTCATGTTAAAAACGTGCTTTATTTTTGAGGTTGGTTTCTGTACATTTTTTTCTTTGTTTTTCAAGCTTTAATAAAAATAGCTTTCAAAACACATACACACAACCCATCAGGCAACAGGCAAAACCTCTCTTGCTGGATCACGTAGGAGCCTTTCTTTTTCTTTTCTTTTTTTAAAAAATAATAATTTGCATTTCTGATAGATTTTCAGTAAAAGCAAAAAACAAAGCCTTTCCTAAGGTCAGGCACTCTTCTCCGGAAAGCACGGGGTTAAAATGAGAAAGACTTCCCCTTATTCCTAGAGAGCACCGAGAAATGGAAGTGCGCGCGCGGGGGGGGTGTGATGTCAGTGTGAGGGGCGTGCCCAATTTTTTTTTTTAACAGCACCGAAAATCTCCCCCGCCCCCCGCACCTCCTTGCATGAAATTGCTTTGAGCTTCCCTGCATCGGAGGCAGAGAACAGGATCCGGGTACAAGAAAAGCAAGGCGTGCAGAGGTGAGCGTGCAAAAAAGGGTGGAAGGGGCGAAGATGCATCTGAGAGGGACAAGTGCAGCCTCAGAGGGAGATCGCAGGCTGCAATCGCACTGGTCAAGCCGCGGCCGACTTCCGTGGGGTTTACCTGGGAGTAAACCTGTGCAGGGATTGCAGGAGGGCGCAGATGGGAGAGGCTCTTATTCTGCAAGCCCAGATCAGCTCTTGAGGGAAACCTGTCCAGATAACCTGTGACAGATAAGAGTCTTTATCTTGACTGGTCCAGCTAGCTAAAGATTGTCTGCACGGGCTGGCAGCAAGCAGCTCTCCTGGGTTTTAATTTTTATTTTTTTTCAAAAAAGTGTATTGGTTTTCACAAAATTATAAACAAACAAACACATAAAACAAACAAACATAATTAATAACCTTATTAAAAAATTACACGTATTAACATTGTTAAGTGACTTCCTCGATTCCCCTTGGTTGGATTTCATTGCATGTCCTTTTAACGGTTTTCCAGATCACAATACTTACAAAGTTTAACTTGAACATTAACATCCTTAGATCTTTTTCTTTCGAAATTAAACATATTAATTCATTCCAGAAATGGAATGGAGTCCCATGGTGAAGGGCATGGCTGGCTCGGCACCCTAAAACAGGAGTATGGCATGGTCTTAACATTTTGTTGCAGACCCCATGTGACTTTTTTATGGCAAAGCAGTAAGCAGATTCACTGTATACCTTTAAAGCACCATTCAACGTACATGTAAAGCACATGACATCCTGGGAACTGCAGTTTCCTCGTCTCAGAGCTTCCATTCCCAAAACCCTTAGCAAACTACAGTTCCCATGATTTGTCGTGCTGTAAATACGCACTGCCTATGCTTTAAACACATGGTGTGGCCCTTTAAAGGGATGTAAAATTCCCAAGAAATCCCAACTTTAATGGAATGGCAGACAAAAATGTTTGAATACATAGAATTGGCGAAATTGACTTATAAGATTCAGAACCAAAAAGAAGCAAAGTTCGAAAAGGATTGGAGTAAATTTGTTGAATATATACAGAGTAATTGTAAGAATTTAAAAACTGTAGCAGGATTAATGTAAATCTTGTGATGTGGATGGCGTGTAAATAAGAAACTGTAAGAAAAGATTTGAGACATGAAAAGTGTTGAAGGGATGGAAGGAAGTCCGGGTGCAATAAGGCGCAGGATAAATAAGAAGACATACAAATTTTTGAATGTAAGAGTATTTGTTTTATTTGTTGTTGTTACAAATAAGCAATAAAAAGTATTGGGGGGGAAAATAAATAAAGGGATGTAAAATCCATTTCTTTCCCTCTCTTTACATCTTTCTTCCCTAAGGAGGAGACGACAGTGCCTGTTTCGAAGACTGTGTCTCCCCCTGTGGATTCTAGCATTTTCTACGCCAACTGAGACGGCCACTCAGAAAACAAAATGGAGGTACAAAACCCAGCAGGCCTCACACGAGGGCTGGGATCACAGTGGGAAGGAAAAGTCCTCCATGAAAACAAGGCTGGGAGTATCACAGAATTTGTGCAAAGGATACCTCCCGACCAAGTTAAACAAGAGCAGCATGAGGGCCTGTTACAACATTGGGAAGCCCAATGGCAGGAGTTCCTGAGGAAAATGGAGTCTCCCCACTCGGACTGGGGGGCCCCACTGTTGCCAGATGAGCCCTCGCCCTGGGTGGACACGAAGGGCTTCCTGGCCTCCTTTGAGCAAGTGGCCAAAGCCTGCCGGTGGCCCCCGGAAGAATGGGCAGCCCAACTCTGGCCAGCCCTCAGTGGGGAAGCCAAGCGGGCCTTCAACAGCTTGGAGGCTGGAGACAGAGAGGATTATGGGAAAGTGAAGGCGGCCATCTTGAGAGGGGACGCCATGAGCAGGGAAGAGCGGCGCCAACGCTTCAGGCGGTTCTGCTACCAGGAAGCCGAGGGACCCCGAGGGGCCTACGGCCATCTCCAGGATCTGTGCCGGGGGTGGCTGAAGGTGGAGAGGCTCTCGAAGGAGCAGATCCTGGAGCTGCTGATCCTGGAGCAGTTCCTGGCCATCTTGCCACCCGAGATGCAGAGCAGGGTGAGGAATTGCGGCCCCGAGACCTGTGCCCAGGCGGTGGCCCTGGCCGAGGATATCCTGCAGATGCAACGAGAGGTTGAGAGATGTGAGCAGCAGGTAAAGGTGTTTTCCTGGTACTTGGTTGTAGGTTAAGTGATGGGACATAGGTTGAATTCCCAATGTAGGGGGTGGGGAGGAAAAAATGAATGGTAAGCTGCATTGAAGTATGTATTTCTTGGACTGGTGTAACTATGCCAGAATTCTCCATGGCCCTGGACATGTTCCCTCCAGTTAGACTACTTTAGTGCACTCTTTGTGGGGCTGCCCTTGAAGACTCCCCATAACCTGCAGCTAGTTCACATAGCTGTCAACTTCTCCCTTTTCTTGCGAGGAATCCTATTCAGAATAAGGAAATTTCCCTTTAAAAAAAGGAAAAGTTGACAGCTATGCAGAATACCACCACGAGGGGCTTGAGCAGTTCTATGATTCTAACTAATTAGTCATTTTCTTTGTCTCTTCTTCCAGTGACTGGGGTTGTTCAACCTGGCAGATAGTGTTTACACACACACACACACCCTTCCTTCCAAAAGGATTAAAAAACCCCAGAATAAATAAATATATTTGAAAGACACAAAGGACATCAAAAAAGGCATTTTAAAAAGAGTGGCAAATACTCATGGCTAATAAAATCATGGTTGGCAGGGGGGCAGCATAAAATTTCCTCCTGGATTTTAGCAGTGATGCACTCTGCTAGGGAGGGCATTCCACAAGTGGAATGGAGCCACCACTGAGAAGGCCCTGGCTGCCAGTGCCAAATGGTTAGCCCATCTGCTGGTGGCTGCACCACCAACCCCACTCTCCCCTGAAAGAATTCCCTTTTGCCGGTGCAGGTACCATTTGAGGATGCAGCTGGGAGTTCCTTTGAGGCAAGCCAGGCTCTGTGCGATGCCGAGCAGGTGCCACCATCCATGGAGACCAAGCAGGAAGACGACAGTGGAGAAGAAGCCAGCCTGTTGGGTAAGGAGTGACACAGCCTCTGGGGGGCCAGGTTCTGCTGTGCTCCCTGACTTCTTCTCTGACTGTGGCTCCTTCCCTTCTGTAAAGGGAACATGTACATGTTTTCGCAAAACAAATATTGCCTAACATAAAGCATTTGTGTGCATTATCTTCACTAAAGTGTGCAGCGTTGTGTGTACACTTTATCCTAGTATATGTATTTTTTGTATGCATCTTGGGGCTGCAGAACAGCATTGCAAGGCTCTCAGAAGTGCAAACTTCGAAGGGTGGCTGTGTTCATGTATTGTTTTGGAACAGGCAAATTAGATGGATTCTAATTTGAACATGATTATATTTCTCCCCCAGCCTCTTTAGCTAAAACCAACCATAATTAGAGTTCCTGGCGCATCTAAACTTGTGTAGTTTTCTCCCAGAAGTCCTCATTGCTTTCTGCAAAAGTTTCATTGATATCACACAGCAGAGCTGTTTCTTCACTACAGAAGTGGGGAGATTTTGGCCTTCCAGATGTCGTTGAACTACAACTCCCATCAGCATCACCAGTGATCTCTTTGGGGCTGGAATTGTAAACCCAATTGTGGAAAGCCACAGATTCCACATGCCCATGGAGAAAATCCTTCTATCATGTATGCACACAAGACAATCCCATTCAAGCCTGTGTTCTCTTCATTGTTAATTAAAAGCTTCCTGTTTCTAGACTGAGTCCATGGCCTGGGATGATGGGCTTTGTGGTTCAGCAACATCTGGAAGGCCAGAGAGTCCCACAACCTGCTACATCGGATACTGGTTTTCATATGTGGGGATGGGAAGTTCCTGTTGTCCTGTCCTCCTCCTAACCACCTTTGTTCCTTGCTTTTCCTTTTCCTTTCCCACCACCCCCTGAAGTCCTGGGAGTAAGTGATATTGGGGTTTTCTCATTTCTCCAGGTGGTCAAGGATGGTTGACTGTAGATGTGGGGGGAAAGCATGCGCCGGAAGATTCAGGAAAAGCACAGCCACGCGGGGCGATGACAGCCTACCCGGAAGACCGGGCCCATGGGCAGGCCAATGTTTCTAAGAGTCAGCCCAAAGCGGAATCCCAGCAGGAAACCCACCCGGAAGAGAGGGCAGGTGGGCCTCTTCCTTCCAGAGAAGGCCACATGGACCTCGGAGGACTTGCCGTCCAGCAGAGACCCTCTGTTGGCAAGCGGCAAAACCTGCACGGCACTTACGGAAAAAGCTTTGCACACAGCTCCTCCTCCGCAAAGTACAGTCGGATGTGCAAGAGAGGGAAGCGACACCGGTGCTTGGACTGCGGGAAGTGTTTCCTCTACAGATCGGGGCTGGCCGCGCACCGGCGCATCCACACCGGCGAGAAGCCATACGTGTGCTCCCAGTGCGGGAAGACCTTCGCCTGCAGCTCAGACTGCAACCGCCACCAGAAGACGCACACGGAGGAGAAGCCGTACCAGTGCCCCCAGTGCGGCAAGAGGTTCCGGCAGCAGTTCAGCCTCAGCAGACACAGGCGGGTCCACGTGGCGGAGGACCTGTGCGCACACTCGGATCGCGGGGAAAGCGCCGCCGCGTTGGCCTGAAATGCCTCCTTGCCGCAATGGAGGAGACCATTGCAGTATGCAAGCAAAATAGGTGGGGGGAATTGGCTGAGGATTACCAGGAAAAAGAACATGAGACCCTTGGGACATATGAACCTGTCTGAGTCAGGCTACTGGTCCGTATAGCTTGGCTATGCCCACATGGACTGGCAGCCTCTCTCCAGGATTTCAGGCAAGGAGCATATCTCAGTCTTAACCTGGAGACAGAGATCTGAACCTGGGACCTTCTGTATGCAATCAGATGCTTGAACCACTAAGCTACTGTACGGCCTTTGCTTAGGTTTAAAATAACTTAATCCATAGCACTGATAGGAAACTTGGGATGTTGCCTAATAGCAGAGGTTTGTTCCACCTTGTTTGTTATTGGCTACACTGATCGGCACAGGCTCTCCAGGGTTTCCAGTGGCAGACATTCCCAGCTTTGTAGGGAGATTATACCTGGGACTTTTTCATTGCAAAGAAGATGCTCCAGATTTCAGACTTGGGGCCTCTTCTGGGTGAAACTTTTAAGAGATCAATAGGAGAAGGCATCCCTCCCACCCCCAATCCATGATTCAGGACACCACCCAGGAAAAGCCATCTTAACTATTTCCAGACCCTGCCCCTTCGACCTGTCCACACTGAGTTGCCGCACTAGCTAGAGACGATGCAGAAGAGAATACGTTGCATTTCCTTTAGTTCTTTCCAACACTGTGTGTTGATCCTGCTGCCTAAGAGAGAATTCACTCTCCAAGGGTTTTCGGTGGCCAAAACGACCGCCAAAATGGGGTATCATATTTGCCAGGATAATTGTTTTGTTCGCATTGCTGTTACGGTTCTAGAAATAAGTATAAATATTTTTTGTAAAAAAATAAAATGTAACAAATGTTTGGCAGAGGGAAATTGGTGGGAGGGATACACTCAGTGAGGACCAAGGTGAATGCTCAGTTGGCACAAGAGTGATCCAGGGGATGGTGTGGAAAGGTTTCTGAGGAAAGGTTGCAGCATTTGGGACTTTGCTAGTTTAGAAAAAAGGCCAGCTGTGGGTGACATGGTCTCCTTTCGGTCTCCTCTTCTAAGAACGTCAGAGGAGCCTTGCAAGATCGGGCCAAAAGCCAATCGAGTCCAACTTCCTGGTTCCAGCCAGAGGCCAACAGGAAGCTCAAAGGCGGGACATGCGCAGGGGCTCACTCTCCCTTCTCTTCCCCAGTGACTGGCACACACGGAGGCAGGTGACTTCCGATCCCAGACCTTGCATACAGCTAGAGATACAGGAGACATCTGATTCAATTTATACTTAAAGGTGAAGCTACCCCACAGGCATACGAAACACAGAAAACATATTTCAAAATCTGCACTTCTCTAAATTTTGCAGTGCAGTTCTCTAACAAAACAGTATGTCCAAAAATGTGTATTACTACTACTACTATTATTCTAAACCACCGCCTCAAGGCGATTTGCAAATAAGATAACTTGAAAACAGTTAAAAACACAAAAACAGCCGATTCATTTCAAAAAACCACTAAAACACAGATACTTGTGACACTTGAAATTCCTGCATTGCAGGGGGTTGTAGTAGATGACCCTTGGGATCCCTTCCATTTCTATGATTCTATTAAAAGACCCATTTATCCAGCTGAGAAAGCCTGTAGGAACCAAAAACTGTTTTTGGAAAGTGCAGATAGCAGGTGTCTGTTGACAAGGACGCTATTTCACAGAACGGGTAGTAGCCACACTAAAAGCCCTGTTCTGAGTTACTTCAGAGTGGGCTTCTGAGATCTTTGGAAGTTGCAAGAGAGGGTCTCCCGCAGATCACAGTGGTCCCTGTAAAGAGGGAAATTTTGTTGAACCACTCTAGGAAATCTAGCTCTGTGAGGGAAGCAGTGGGGTCTCCTAACATCTCTCAGCACCCTTAATAAACTGCAGATCCCCAAACTCTTTAGGGGGAGCTGTGACTGTTTAAAGTGGTATCAAGGCATGATAAATGTATGGTGTGAATGTGGCCTAGGTCAAGCATGGGTTGCAGAACACAACCACACAAAACCCACCAGTCCGAAAGGGCCCAAAGCCATTCGAAAAACACAGCTCTTCATAACCTCTGGGCATGAACAGAACAAGACTTTTCTGTGGTGGCTCCCCACTTTTGGAATGCTCTCCCCAGAGAGGCTCGCTTGGCACCATCATACATACACCCACACACCAGGCTTTTGGCCTTTTTCTCATATGTAGTCTTTTAAATGTGGGTGAGATTTGTAAAATGTATTTCTCTTTCTTCTTAGTTTTAATGTATGTGGGAATTGTTAAGGATAATGATTTAATTTCCTGAAATGGAAATGTTTGCTTATGTTAAATCACTGTGAACTTTTAACATGGTTCCCCCGCCCCCTGGCAGTAGCTCTCATATGATTGGCTGACTATGAGTCACATGAGAGAGGCATTCCATTCGGTTGTGACTGTTATTCCAATAACTGTCGTTTTTTAACTGCCTTTCTGATTTCTCTCTCTCTCTGTGATGGAGAAAAGGGCTGCTGAGAGAGGCTTCTCCGGATGCTGCCGATGGCAGTGTTGTGTCAGTGTGATCTGTCTGAAGTGAAACAGACAGAGGAAGATCCCTAAATGCTAATAGCGAGAAACCTGCGCAGGAGCTCTCTGTAAGGAACAGAGAGAAACCTTTCATAAGAAACTGTAAGACCTGAGTAAGGTAAAAGTCTGGTGCAAGTCTCAATACAGTTTTGTTTATAAGTCGAAGAAGACTTCAACATACCCTCCAACATTTCTCTGATGAAAATAGGGATGTCCTATTGAGCCTAGGACTTGCTGATCAGAAGGTCGGCGGTTCAAATCCCCGCGATGGGGTGAGCTCCTGTTGTTTGGTCCCAGCTCCTGCCCACCTAGCAGTTCGAAAGCATGTCAATTGCAAGTAGATAAATAGGTACCGCTCCGGCGGGAAGGTAAACAGCGTTTCCGTGCGCTGCTCTGGTTCACCAGAAGTCGCTTAGTCATGCTGGCCACATGACCTGGAAGCTGTCGGTGGACAAAGTCGGCTCCCTTGGCCTATAGAGATGAGCGCGCAACCCCAGAGTCGTCCACAACTGCACCTACCAGTCATGGGTACCTTTATGTTTATTCAATAATAATTTTATTTATACCCTGCCCATCTGACTGGGCTGCCCTGGCCCCAACCACTCTTGGTGGCTTCCAACACATATGAAAAACATGAAACATTAAAAAACTTTCCTATACAGAGCTGCCTTCAGATGTCTTCTAAAGATTGTGAAGTTACTAATTTTATATTCTGATTTTATCCTGCGAACCACCCTGAGACCTGCGGGTATAGGGCGGTATATATAGATTCAATTAACAACAACAACATGATCAACAACATCAATGATAATAATCTCCTTGGCTCTGGGATTACCTAACTCCATACCCTCCAATATTTTTCCAATGCAAATAGGGACGTTCTAAAGAAAAGCAGAACATTCCGGGATCAAATCGGAAACTTCTGTAAATCCGGGACTGTCCGTGGAAAATAGGGAAACTTGGAGGGTCTGCTTCAATCTACAATTCAAGGGAGAACGTACCCATGTTTGAAAAACCATGAGATTATAAATATATTCTTCTCACTTATATGTTTAGGAAAGTAAATACAGTATAAAGAGTCTGGACATTGTATGGTCTTCACAAAAAGGCTATTAATCACTTGATAAAGTGACTAACAAATTCAATAAAACAGAAGAAGAAGAAGAAGAAGAAGAAGAAGAGTGGCAAGTCCCATACATACCATAGAGAATAATTTCAAACTTGCCAGACAGCAACAGCCTCTTTCAATTATCGAATGCTTGGGGAATGTTTTTTATTTTTATTTTTAAATTCTTTCTGAAAGTCTTGTAATGAATGAGCATGCTGCAAAAAACACATTGTGTGTGTGTGTGTATCATAGCTGTCAACCGTCCCATACTTGGCGGGAAACTCCCTTATCCCAGCGCCGTGTCCCGCTGCTGTCCCTTATTGATGATGTCCCTTAAATTTCCCCGGTTTCATGCTCGCCCGGCTCGGGAGGGAAGCAGCGGCTCGGGGTCCTCCGCCGCGAGAGCGCGCGCACACGAGCTGCCGCGTCTCCATCTCTCCCTTTTCCCCCTCAGGGGTGCGTAGTGAGGAGACTGGTGGCGGCGGGCGGGCAGGCAGCCCCTCTCCCTGGGCGGCGTGGGCGAGAGTCACCCTCCCTCCCTCTCGGGCAGGGAAGGACCGATGGAACTCCTTGCGCCAGGACAACGGCAGCCCCGACGTGCTGCTTAGTATACCCTCCAACCAGTGCAGCATCTTAATGTAGTGATTTCCCCCTCTGCATCCCTTTCATAACTCTATTTTTATAAATCATTTGTCCATCCATAGTTCAAATTTTTACTACACGTTTTCTGTCAGTCCTACCAATGTATGTAACTCTTTACAATAGCTTTTCAACTAAATTATAAACTTTCCCCATTCTTTATTAAGGAGGTCCTCTTCCTGGTTTCCAATTCTGCCTGTAAGCTTTGTCTTCTCGACGTCGTTCCTTAGTTTTGTCTGCCCCTCTTCTTTGGTGGGAGTTGTAGACCCTTAGGATCATGTAGCCCAACCCCCTGCAAAACACAGTCAGTCGCAGCAAAAGCAGCCTGGCTCCATCAGTGGCGGATTTCTGCATAAGCTAAGCAAAATCCCTTATTTTGGCTGCTGATCCCTTATTTTCGAGGCTGCTGGTCCCTTATTTTCAAATCTGTAAGTTGACAGCTATGGGTTGGTGGGTGTGCATATGCAAGTGTTTGAAAGGGTTAAATTGAGAGAGCGTTTCTTTCCTAGGAAAGATAATCAAACCGAGGAGGAAGAATTAAAAAAAACCACACCAGTGGCGCCTCCTTCCCCGGTTTAGTTTTGCATTTAAGGTCCGCTGCATAAACACGAAGGAAGAGGGAAGCGATCTTGGTGCACTGAAAAGGTGAGAGTTGTGGGGCGGGAGCGATTCATTTAGAAAAGGGAAATGTAGGAGTGAGACAGCGACGGGAGACCCTCCAAGTCCCGAAGCGCCCCTAACTCTGCTTTTTATCCTTCTGGCGCGTTCATTGTGATTTGCGCCCCGGAAGGTAATCTGGGCGGTGAGACGCCACGCCAGCTTTCACTCCTGTTAGCTCCTCTTGGCGCCTGCAAAAGTTTCGGGGCGAAGGCGCCTCTTCGCTCCCAGCGTGGTGTCGTGGTTAGAGACCTGGGTTCAGATCCTGACACTCTGCCTTGAAGCTCACTGGGGTGACCTTGGGCCACTGGCTGCTGCTCAGTTTTGCCTACCTCCTTGGGCTGTTGCGGAGGAATATTTAGAAATAAAATATAATAATAATAATAATAATAATAATAACAACAACAACAAAAACCAATTTATTTAAACCCCGCCCTCCCCGGCCAGAGCCGGGCTCAGGGTGGCTAACACCAGTAAATTACAATAAAAACATAAAAGAGGAGGTGGGGAGCAAAACAAAATAAATAAATGATGATGATGCTTGTGGGATAGAAATAAAATAAATGATGATGATACAGTGGTACCTTGGGTTAAGTACTTAATTCGTTCCGGAGGTCCATACTTAACCTGAAACTGTTCTTAACCTGAACCACCACTTTAGCTAATGGGGCCTCCCGTTGCTGCCGCGCCGCCGGAGCACGATTTCTGTTCTCATCCTGAAGCAAAGTTCTTAGCCTAAAGCACTATTTCTGGGATAGCGGAGTTTGTAACCTGAAGCGTATGTAACCTGAAGCGTATGTAACCTGAAGCGTATGTAACCCGAGGTACCACTGTACTCGGTCCATGCCCTGTCGATTTCCAAAAACCCCAGTCTACCTTTTCGTCCCACTTTATTTGTGCTCTAGCTAGCGAAAAAGTGCCCTTTCTGGAGAACAATAATGCAACACTATTTTATCAGTTTGTTTTGCTTATTGCATTATTTTTAGCCCACTGCTCCCCCCCACCCAAGGTGGTGTACAAGGTGGTTCTCCCCTTCCACATTTAAAACCCACAACAGACTGTGGACTCAGCTATGCCGCTCCCTGGGGTGACCGTCGGCTGGTTACTGTCTCTTAGCCTAGCCTACCTCACAGGGCTGTTGTAAGGATAAAACGGGAAGGGGGGGAACCATTTACACCAATTTGAAGCTTGTCAGAAAAATGAACGCTCTTTTGTAACGCGCGTGCTGCAATTTTACCATTTGGCCAGAATGTTTATTTTTTAAAAAATAATAATGTTGATAATAGTAATGCTGCCAACCTACAGTATTTGGCCTATTTTGTGTTTGTTCTCTTTTAGATGTATTTCATTTTTGTGCATGCGCTTCTGGCATAAGCATCCATGCATACAAATCAGTTGTATTGCTGACATAGCTTTAAGTACGATTACAGTCAACATGCGTGGCCTTCTCATGGATACATTTTGCTGCAAGAGCTACAGTGGTACCTCGGGTAACATACGCTTCAGGTTACATAAGCTTCAGGTTACACACTCTAACCTAGAAATAGTGCTTCAGGTTAAGAACTTTGCTTCAGGTTGAGGACAGAAATCGGGCTCTGGCGGCGTGGCAGCAGCAGGAGGCCCCATTAGCTAAAGTGGTGCTTCAGGTTAAGAACAATTTCAGGTTAAGAACGGACCTCCAGAACGAATTAAGTACTTAACCCGAGGTACCACTGTATTGTGCTTTGTATTGAGTGTTGTGAACCTGCGTTGTATAGCTGCTTGTGTTCTCGCAATAAGAGATTTAGCTTCTCTCTGCCCCATGGGAGGGGGGCGGCTGCTTGCAAAGGAAAATTCTCAGCAATTTCTCAAAGCTACAGGCTACTATAAGTTCATTTTAACCGTCACTCTCAGGGATCCACATTGTCATATTTTGGAGTCGTCCCCCCCACATTTTGACATCCTTGGGTACCAGTCAGGGCCTAGTGCTGATCCCTGCTGCTGATCCCTGTATTTTAATTTCCCACAATGCCCCTGACATAACAGTGGCAGCCCCCCATAGCTGTCAACTTTTCCCTTTTCTTGCGAGGAATCCTATTCGGAATAAAGGAATTTCCCTTTAAAAAAGGAAAAAGTTGACAGCTATGCAGCCCCCCTCAGTTATATATCACTGCTGTCGCTTGGCACCGCTGCCAAAGAGAGTCGAGGGTGGCTGACCTCCCAGAATGCTGGTCCTGATTCTCCCTGATTCTGGTTTTTCTTCTTTTTTTATGCAGGTAAAAGCTTTGTGCCTATGTCTTCAGGTACCGGTTGCTTATTCTAGTGTTTTTTTCAATCCAGCCCCACATTTGTGGCTTCACACAAGGATGAAAATCGAAGAGCAGGACCCTGCAGGCTGCACACAAGGCGAGGCGTCAGAAGGAACAGGAAAAGCTCCATACTTGGGCATCGTAGGTTGCAAGATGGACATGGAGGGAGCAGTGCATTCTGGGAGTGCCAGGGAGATTCTCAGAAGGTCAATTTTGCATCAGGTGCAGGAGGAGCCGGAAGAAGCCTTGACCCAGCATTGGGAAGCCCAATGGCAGACGTTCCTGGGAACAGTGGAGGCCCCTCACTTGGGCTGGGGGGTCCCACAGGTGCCAGAGGAGCCCACCCCCTGGGACGATGCCAAGGCCTTCCTGGCCTCCTTTGAGCAAGTGGCCAAAGCCTGCCGGTGGCCCCGGGAAGAGTGGGCGGCCCGCCTCCAGCCGGCCCTCAGCGGAGAAGCCGAGCAGGCCTTTTGGAGCCTGGAGGCTGGAGACAGAGAGGATTATGGGAAAGTAAAGGCGGCCATCTTGCGAGGGGATGCCATCGGAAGGGAGAAGCTGCGCCAACGCTTCTGGGGCTTCCGCTACCAGGAGGCCGAGGGGCCCAGAGGGGCCTACACCCGGCTGCAGGAGCTTTGCTCCCGGGGGCTGAAGCCGGAGAGGCACACCAAGGAGCAGATCCTGGAGCTGCTGATCCTGGAGCAGTTCCTGACCATCCTTCCGCCGGAAATCCAGAGCAGGGTGAGGAATTGCGGCCCAGAGACCTGCTCCCAGGCAGTGGCCCTGGCCGAGGGGTTCCTCCAGAGGCAGCAGGAGGCCAAGGAAGAGCAGGTGAGAGTGTTTCAACCTTGTACAACAGGGAGTATGAGGGGGCATTTTTGGTTTGAGGGCCACATTCTCTTCTGGGGGGGCCACATGCTTGTGGGGGGGAGGGCAAAAGAGGCACCTTTGTACCAGAAGCTACAAGTGAGCCATGCCAAAGTCAAAGGTTTCTGCACATACAGCCAGGGGAAGGAGCCTGAGAGAGGGAAGGCAGGGACCCTCGCAACTGCTTCGTGGGGCAAAACCTAGAAAGAGTTGCTGAGACCACTAGGCCTGTGGTGTGTTTTCTTGAATAAAGATCTAACTTCCTTAGCCACGGGTGATTTATTGTTTTATTGCAGGCCCGTGCCTGTTAGAATTCCTGATCTATGATCGTAGTCAGGGGATTTTTGTCTATCACATGACGGTGTATGTTTTGACTCCACAGAGTGGGAAGTGACGAAGACAGGATGTTTGTGTTACTGTGTTTCCTGAAGTGGGACTATTGTCCTTTGTTCTTTCTCTCTTTGCTGTCTGATGCTAGAGAGAGTGGGAGCCATGTTGCAGTGCTCCGTGCGTGTTTATATGTAAATAAAGTAGATTAGCCAAAATGCTGAGTTGCTGAGGTCTGTCATGCGCAAATTGCTCAAACTCTGCGGATCTCTAAGTGTGCCAGTGTCGGTTGGCATCGGTCGCTGTGATGTTCGGGCTGAAGAAAGCTTATGAAGCTCCCGAATGATCGACCAGGAGGGAGGGAACATGCCAGTCGGGCATGTGTCTCTGCCAGAGTCCTACTCGAGTGTAGGCTGAACTCCTGACAATGCCAACACCAGCCCTGACAGCAGTGCCGGATTTACATATAAGCTAATCAAGCTATAGCTTAGGGCCCCACTCTCTTGGGCGCCCCCAAAAAGATTTAAAGGAAAAAAACACTGGATGTGCATTTCCAAAATATAAGATAAAAAACAAATAAAATAAAACCTACACACAGCAACAACGTTTTGTGTTGCGTATGGACCTATTAGGTCCATAAATTACCATATAGCATATATTCAACCCAAAAAAACAGTGAAAATTTGTTGTTGTCAAAGAGCAGCTGGACATATAAACGGCCTCATTACCTTCAGTAGCTTAGGGCCACATCAGACCTAAATCCGGCCCTGGCTGACAGGTTCTCACAGTGGCATCAGCCAGCTTCCAAGCAGGATATGAGAGCAATAGCAACTCTCCCCCTGTGTGCTTCCTAGTAACCGGCATTCAGAGGCACAAGCTGCCTCTGACAGCCGAGGTAGACCATGGCCTTCGTGGCTAGTAGAAGCCACTGACAGCACAGCATTCCTTTGCCACCTCTCAGGACTGTCACTGTACCCTGAAAGCATCCCTTTCCGTCCTTACAGGTCACCTCAGAAGAGGCAGCTGTGAGCTTTTCTGAGGGACGCTGGGCTCCACCTCCCATGAAGGAGAAACATCTGTATGTAGAAACCAAGCAAGAAGATGGAGATGCCAGCCTTTTGAGTAGGGAGGAGTCTTCTTTTTCTGAGGGGGGTGATGCTCAATAAATCAGAACTGTTTGGAATTATCTCGTTATTTTTCCAGTAGGAAAAGAGCGGATGACCACAGATGAGGAGGAGGAGAAATATGTACCAGGCGGTTCAGAACTGGTGGGACTGCAGGGGACATTGACCTGGAAAGTGGGAGAGGAACTTCCTCTGTGTTGGGAGCCTGAAAATGTCTTGGCAAGTCAGGATGGAGGAGGAAGGTGTCAGCAGGAAACTCAACCCGTGGAAGGAGCTGTTGGAGCCGCTCCTTGTAGGGAAGGTTATGAGGCCCCCAGGAAAACCATAGTCCAGGCAGGTAAGAAATGAACACGGGGACATTGAAAGCTGCCCTTATACAGAGCCAATGTCAGGGGATGGTTGGGCGCAGAGGAATAGTGGGAGGAACCGGCTGGGGAACCCCCAAGGGAAGAAGGCTCAGAGGCCAGGGATGTGTGGTGGGACAACAATGAGTGGTCAGAGGGAGAAGACGGGGAAGAGGCTGTGTCGGAAGCTGAAGAAGTAACAGGGCAGGGTGAGCTGGGAAAGTCTGTAGCAGAGAGAAGTCCAGAAACAAAGGTAATAATAATAATAATAATAATAATAATAATAATAATAATAATATATTTTATTTATACCCCGCCCTCTCCAGCCAAGACTGTGCTCAGGGTGGCTAACACCAGGTATAAAACAATTGATTGAAATACAACTTAAAAACAAGATTAAAATACAACGTTAAAATGCAGCCTCATTTCAGCCGAAACTCAAAAACTTTTTGGGGGATGAAAACGTCAAGTCAAGGTAGAAGCTGAAGTAGGGGAGGAGGAAGCCCAAGAGGCAGAGATGAGTCAGGTTGGTGAAGAGTCATGGGGGTTTCCCCCTCCTGCTGTGAAAAACTCAGTTCTCCCCATCTCCCAGAACCAGAAGAGGGCTGAAATGGGCTTCACAGGCTTCACTCAGGCATAGTCTCAGGTTGCTAGGAAAAAGCACAGGAGAGGAGGGGACTTAGATGGCTGTGGGGAGGCAGGGACCTATAATCTCAGCAACTGATTTCATGGAATAAGACCTACAAGAAATAAGCTGCTGTGCTCATTAAGCCTGACACGCAGCCAAGTCTGCAAAGAAAGTGTTTTTGCTAATACAGTGGTACCTTGGGTTAAGTACTTAATTCGTTCCGGAGGTCCGTTCTTAACCTGAAACTGTTCTTAACCTGAAGCACCACTTTAGCTAATGGGGCCTCCTGCTGCTGCTGCGCCGCCGCCACCGCTGCACGATTTCTGTTCTCATCCTGAAGCAAAGTTCTTAACCCAAGGTACTATTTCTGGGTTAGCGGAGTCTGTAACCTGAAGCGTATGTAACCCAAGGTACCACTGTAGTTAACTCCAACTTGGAACTGTGTGATTTACTACCAACTCGCTCTGTGATAGCCAGAGACTATCGGTCAACCTAGACCAGTATTCTGTACACTGATTGGCAGCAGCTCTCCAGAATTTCAGGCAGGGGGTGTTCCCAGCCCTCCCTGGAAAAGCCAGGGGTTGAACCTAGGAGCTTCTGCATGCAAAGCAAATGCTCTACCCCTGAGCCGGGGCCCTACCAGAAACAGGAACGTAAGGTTGTAGGAAATGCAGATGGAGCCCAATACCAGGTTGACCCCAGTTTGAATCCTTACCTAGCCATGAAGTTGCCGGTCCAGCCTGCCTAACTTACCTCAAAGAGTTGTTGTGAAGATAAAAACGGGAGGGCCGTATATTGTAGCCCCAGCTTCTTGGAGGAAGGGCAGGACAAAAATAAAAATGTATTGATGGTGGTGTCTCTTCTTTCCCCCCGCAGGAGGATCTCTGATTCCCAAACCAAACTTCGTTTCCTGGCTGGAAGAAAGCGAAGATCCCTTTGCTCAGAGCAGTGAGGGAGGAGAGGGATTAGCAGGTAGGTGCTTCAGGTCTATTTTGCTGATGGAGAATTGTGGGGTACCCTTGTGGGGGCGATGTGCTGATGGAACCCCACCCCACATAGGAGCAAACTCCTGTGCGCCAGGGCTGCTTCGGCCCACACAATAAAATATTTGAGGGGGCCAGACCTCCACATAGTTGATGGGCATTCCCATTCAAACAGTGTGTGTGCACTGCATCATGTGATTGATTATGCAAGGCGAGGCTTAGCGGGGCCCCCACAATATTTTATTCAAGTTGGTGCCCCTTTCACCCCAAGTTGCTGCACCATGATCAGAGGTTCTACGCTACTAGCCACGATGGCTAGCACCTATTTCCACTGTCTGGGGGCAGAATAAGCCTCTGACTCCAGCCAGGTAATGTCATACCCTCCAACATCTCTCCAATGAAAATAGGGACGTCCTATTCCATTATTATTATTATTATTATTAATACCCCGCCCATCTGACTGGGTTGCCCCAGCCACTCTGGGTGGCTTCCAACATACATAAAAACATAATAGAACATTAAACATTTTTTAAAAACTTCTCTATACAGGGCTGCCTTCAGATGTCTTCTAAAGGTTGTACAGTGGTACCTCGGGTTACATATGCTTCAGGTTATATACGCTTCAGGTTACAGACTCTGCTAACCCAGAAATATTACCTCGGGTTAAGAACTTTGCTTCAGGATGAGAACAGAAATCACGTGGCGGCAGCAGCGGGAGGCCCCATTAACTAAAGTGTTGCTTCAGGTTAAGAACAGACCTCTAGAACGAATTAAGTTCTTAACCCGAAGTACCACCATATAGTTACTTATGTCCTTGGCTCAGGAGTTGCGTAACTACATATCTTCCAACATTTCTTTGATGAAAATAAGGATGTCTTAAGGAAAAGCAGGACATTCCAGGATCAAATTAGAAACCGAGACGGCTTTTGTAAATTTGGGACTGTCCCTGTGTGGGAGTCATAAAGCCACGGTAAAGGCTTGTAATATTGCAGGGTGCCCCCTGACCTCGGCTGACCAGCACTCTGAGCTTTACAATGTATTGGAATGTATTGGAGCTGTGTTTCCTCTGGGCAGTGATTGACCTTATATGGTGAAGGGGGCAATAAAAGCCTTGACCGGATGAGGTAACGTGAGACACTGGCAAACAGCCATGCGGCTGGTGAGAGACAAAAGGATAAAAGAAATTGCAGGAGGAGAGGGAGGAAAAAGGAGCTGCTCCTACCATCATGAAAATATTGCTGGCTCTCTGTGTCATAATTTTATGCTAAACTTCGCCATTTGTACGGCTGGCTCCGACAAGTGGTGCCCCGTGTGAGGCTGAATAAAAGAATACGTCTGAGGACTAAGAGGAGTTTAAAAGAAAACCGTGTGAGGCAACTTAAAGAAAACAGTCTGAGGCAGACTGAGGCTTTTAAAAGGAAACCGTGTGAGGTTTATCGATCCTAGCAAAGGATATCATCGGCTCACTACGCCCGGCCAGGGTTTCAAGCGCTATTCATCTTAAAAAGATCCCGGTGAGTTCCGATCCCTTATTTTATATATTGATTTTAGAAAAATGGGCAGCTCTTTGTCTGCTCCCTCCCCAACAGAAATTTTTAAAAGACTTAAAATTTCTCCTCTCCTCCAACGAATTGGAAGTTCCGGAGGGTGATTTAATACAGCTCATTCTGGCTATCAAAGAGCATTCCCCCTGGTTTCCTGCAGATGGGACTTGGGAATTGAAACATTGGGACAAGATCGGGGAACATTTTCATGGGCACCCCAGCATAAGTGTTCGGATTCTAAATGCATGGTGCAAGGTTCGTTACGCCATGGGCTCTTTATCACCAAAAAATATATCCATGGCTGCATTGCCAACACAACCTTCAGCTTCTTTAATTCAGCCTGCTGTGTTAGAATCTGTTGCAATACTTGTTTTGCCAGCAGCTCCAGACCCCAAACCTCCGGACTACAGTTCCTCACCAGAGGACCCAATCCTGCAAAAATACCGTGGTCTGGCTGGCAATGATTCTGCTCTTTCAGCGGCAGAACCAGAACCTTTTCAACGTGCAGTCCTTGCCTGTTCCTTAATTCAGGATACTATGGCATTCCCTGTTATTGTGCCCCCTGCTGGTGCCCCGGCAGGCACCCAAGCCCAACACCAACCTTTTGACTTTAAGATCTTGAAAGAGCTGCAACAGTCAGTAAAAGCCAATGGACTCCAAGCCCCATATACGCAGGCACTTTTAGAAGCCACATTAGCCCAGCTCTTGGCTCCAGAGGACATCAAGCTTTTGGCCCATACAGTGTTGCCCCCATCAGCTGGTGTTTTGTTTGCCCACGAATGGGAAACTGCCTGCCGTGCTTATGCTCCAGCCTTGTTACAACAAGTCAGAGGAAATAATCCAAATGTTACCCACGCAGACGTCACAGATGCCATGTTGGGGCGTGGTCCCTTCGCTCAAGCTTCAGTGCAAGCCACACTGCTGCAAATCTTATTGAGGGACACTGCTCTTGCTGCTAAACAAGCAATGAGAAAAATCCCAGAACCCACCAGTATTCAATCAAGGTGGGGTTCAATCAGGCAAGAGGCAAGAGAATCATATTCTTCCTTTATGGATAGGCTGCTTACAGCAGTGAGTCGCCAAATTGAAAATCCTGAAGCCAAACAAATAATCATCAAACAATTGGCTTTTGAAAATGCCAATGAGGATTGTAAACTTGCATTGCGACCGATAATACACAATCCTGCCACAGACACAGCAGCCATGCTTCGCATTTGTCAGTCTGTCGGTGCAGCCACCCACAAGGCTTATCTGCTGGCAGCAGCGCTAAATGAAAACCAGCCTGTAGCCACCGATACAACTTATTTCCAGGGTGGCAAACCAGGATCACTGATACCCCAGGGGGGGTAGAACAGTGGCCTCTACCAAAAGAAAAATCCGCAGCAGCAGCACCAGCTATTTCTGAACAGCTTATTTCTGAACAATTGACTTTCGGCCACATTGAACCATCTTCATCCCACTGGCTCCAGCAGACAGGGAACGGTTTGCTTTTACATTGCCAGCATATAACAATTCGCAGCCCACCCAGCGATATCAGTGGGTTGTCCTGCCTCAAGGCATGCGGAACTCCCCTACACTTTGTCAACATTTTGTGGGTGAAGCATTGAAACCTTTCCGCATGCGCCACCTAGAGGTGCTGCACACGAGCTGCATCTGGCAGTGTTTTCCTTCCTAACCATTTGCCTTGCCAACCTTTGCGGCACCATTATACAAGGATCCAGCAGACGACCCAGTCCAGTTGAAACCACCATATTTCACCTCATCGGCGGGCAAGCAGCAGTGTCAGCTTCCTACTCTGGCGGGCAGTATCCACGGCTCAGCCACTTTGAACTAGAAGAACAGCGTTGTTGAATAAGACTTTTAGGGGAGAAAATTATCATAAGATATGGAGGGATAATATTTTTGTACAAAATATGATTATGTTTGCCAGTTTATTGCATGCTTCTAAATGTTGGGTGTGTATGCCAGTCATTCCGGCAAAATGCTTCATGGTGTGCCTGTCAATGGATCTTTTCAATTTACTGATATTATATCCCCTGAGCAAACCTTTTGGCCTCCAGTATAATTGACCCTCCATGAGCCTGCCCCCATTTATTTTCAAATTAAGGAGGGGAAAGAATCATGGGGCATATATCAAAACTGCAAATATACATTGAATTTCACTTTTAATAGCTCTTGTTCTCTTACAGGAACCAATCTCAGTGCTATAGGAGTGACACCAGTGCATGGCTAATAAACTAAAAGGAAGCCTACCATGCAGCTTGGAATCAGAATTCTTATATTCTTGGCTTCCGGATTTTAGTGATCATTATAGTAGTTATTGATTTTAGTGATTATTATAGTAGTTATTTGCATTATTTTGTGTTGCTGTATCCAATGTATTCTTTCTATAATCTCTATATGTACTGCATGGTTCTCCAGTCCGCAGCCCGCTTCCGGTGTCACAAGAGTCGCTTATCGCGCTCAATATAGCGTATTGACTCTGATATAAAGTAAAGAAAGAGGGCATGTGGGAGTCATAAAGCCACGGTAAAGGCTTGTAATATTGCAGGGTGCCCCCTGACCTCGGCTGACCAGCACTCTGAGCTTTACAATGTATTGGAATGTATTGGAGCTGTGTTTCCTCTGGGCAGTGATTGACCTTATATGGTGAAGGGGGCAATAAAAGCCTTGACCGGATGAGGTAACGTGAGACACTGGCAAACAGCCATGCGGCTGGTGAGAGACAAAAGGATAAAAGAAATTGCAGGAGGAGAGGGAGGAAAAAGGAGCTGCTCCTACCATCATGAAAATATTGCTGGCTCTCTGTGTCATAATTTTATGCTAAACTTCGCCATTTGTACGGCTGGCTCCGACATCCCTGGAAAACAGGGACATTTTGAGGGTCTGTTATGTTCACAGAAATGCATATAACTAATGTAAACTATGCATTAAAATGTATATATTGAGGAAAGTAACATGCACAAGCTGTTGATGCAGCCTAGAATAGCATTAGTTTTTTGCTGCTGCATCACACTGTTCACTCATGTTAAGCTTGTGGTCCACCAAGACCCCTGGGTCTTTTTGACATGTACTACTAGTAAGCCGAGTGCCTCCCATCTTATATTTGTGCAGCTGGTTATTCCTGCCTAAGTGCAGAACCTTACATTTCAACCCTATTTAAATTAATTTTTTTCTTTTCTTAAACCTTTTGTTTTTCTTACACACGCACCAATTCATAGCATTTAATTCTGGCTTACCTGTTTATTCCAGAAGGCAGCTTGCGGGAGATTGAGGATGAGACCGAAATATGTGGGACATCATTAGGATGTAAAGAGAAACTCCAGGATCAAAGTGATTCAGAGTTGCAGGAGGGTGAGGCTCAGGCAGAGGATAAGGCTAAACCTGCTGCTTGTCAGGACATGGACCTGAAAGAAATCCCGACCCGGCAGGAAAAACACAGAGAAACGAGAAGCGCCAAGTGCCTCTGTGCTCCCACCCAGGAGAAACCAAATAAAAACTTGAGGGTTGGAAAAAGCTTCGCTCAGCATCAAAGACACCGTGACGGGGAAGTGCCATATAAATGCCTGGACTGTGGAAAGAGCTTCAACCACAAAGCGAACCTGATTTCACATCAGAGAATCCACAGGCGGGGAAAACTCTACAACTGCTCAAACTGCAGCAAGACTTTCCTCCGCAAATCGATCCTTAGCTGGCATTTGAGGATGCACACAGGGCAGAAGCCGTTCAGCTGCGCCGACTGCGGCATCAGTTTGAGCGCTCAGTCCAGCCTCACTCGGCACCAGAGGATCCACACGAGGGATAAGCCCTACAAGTGCTTGGAGTGCGAGAAGAGCTTCAGCCAAAACTCGGACCTTATGAGGCACCAGAGACTCCACACAGGGGACAAACCATACCAATGCTCCGAGTGCGGGAAGAGCTTCAGCCGGGGGGACTGTCTGGCTTCGCACCAGAAAATCCACATGGGGAAAGATCAGGCCAGCTTCCCGGCGGCAGCAAGAACTTTGGTGATCAATCAGGCCTTATTCAGTGTGTGAGAATTCGCACAGGGAGCAAATGGTACGAATGCTTTGAGTTTGGGAAGAAAAGCTTTATAGTGAGATCACCACCCCGTTTCACATCGTAGAGCAGGGGTCAGCAAACTTTTCCCTCAGACCTAGTGGCGGGCCGGACTATATTTTGAAAAATAAAATAAAATAGGAATGAATTCCTATGCCCCACAAATAACCCAGAGATGCACTTTAAATAAAAGGACACATTCTACTCATGTAAAAACACGCTGATTCCTGGACCATCTGTGGGCTGGATTTAGAAGGCGATTGGGCCGGATCTGGCCCCCAGGCCTTCGTTTGCCTACATATGTTGTAGAGTCCTGTGGAGCAATCATAGACATGGGGCAATCATAGACACTTTTACAAAAGGAAAGGCATACAGGCTTCTGCTCTGTATACTTAAAGGAGCATCTCCACCCCCATCGTTCAGCCTGGACACAGGTCCAGTTTGAGGGCCTTTTGATGGTTCCCTCACTGCGAGAAGTTAAGTTACAGGGAACCAGGCAGAGGGCCTTCTCGGTAGCGGCACCCGCCCTGTGGAACGCCCTCCCATCAGATGTCAAGGAAATAAACAACTACCTGACTTTTAGAAGACATCTGAAGGCAGCCCTGTTTAGGGAAGTTCTTAATGTTTGATGTTTTATTGTGTTTTTAGTATTCTGTTGGGAGCCGCCCAGAGTCACTGGGGCAAAGAAATAAATTATTATTTTTCTACCTCAGAGGTGAGGCACCCAAGGCCTGGAAACAAAATACAGCTCTCCAGGTCTCTCTACCTGGTCCTTGAAGTTTTCCCCATGCCACACTCCTGCTACTCCTCCCTGGGCGAGTTTCACAAACTGATTTCTCCCCCCCCCCCCGCCCTTGGAAGAGGCTGTTTGTGCCAAAATTACACCCCCCCCCCCCATCCGTAGGTAGAATGGGCATTTGCTGCTCTGCTCTTTTGCCTCTGTCCCCCCCCCCCCAACAGGTAGAATGTGGCCTTTGGAAGGTTGCCAAGGAACTTGGCCCCTGGGCTTGAAAAAGTTCGCCCACCCTGGTATACATGCTCAGATTGTAAAAAAAGCTTTTGGGACAAATTGGTGTTTCTATGGGCACCGGAATGAAAGCTGAACAGATGGTCCAGAGGGATAGCCTAACTACTGTTGTCGATGCTCTCATAACCTCAAGGTTAGATTACTACTGATCATGGGATTGCCAAGAGGAATATTCTTCTGCCACCAAATGCCTGGGGTGAACAGGCTACACTGAGTAACCGCAGCCAGGCCTTAACTTCCTGGCCAGACTGTGGAGCATGAAAGGGAGGCTTGGTCTCTGCCCTCCCTTTTCCTTGAGCTTTTAAAAAGGAAGGAAGCAGTGAATATCATGTTGGTTTATAGAAAGTGGTTTTGTTAGGTATGGATGAGTTTACAAATAGCTGTGGAATTGGAAGCTCTTTATTTCATTTCTTTCTTTTTTCTCCCATTTCTTCTTTCTCTTTCTCCTTGTTTTCTCTATTTTCCTTTCCTTTTTCCTTTTTTTATGTCACCGTTTGTGCTTTTATCTAGATTAGAACTTTTTTTTAAAAAAAATGAAATAAGCACTTTTATGTCATGCTGGGATGGGGAGAGTGGTGTGTGTGTGTGTGTGTGTGTGTGTGTGTGTGTCTTCAGGCCCTGGAGGCAAATTGGCCCTCCAGTCCTCTCTGACCCTCAGGACTCTTCCCAGACTGCACCCCTCTGTGGAGATGCTGGTCCATGAGGGCAAATGGGGCACTGCCCCACCAGTGCCAGGTGGCCCCCACCTGCCTGCCTTTTTTCTTGCAACCAAGCCAAAGAGAACTGCTGTCTGTCGGTTTCCTCCTCTCAGTGTTGCCCCTTGCATAACTCAGCAGGTAGGAGGATGGGGGCAACCCTAGAATTGGTTTGCTCTGCCTGCCACTGCCTCACTGGCGCCACCTACTGTTGGGCTCCTCGGCTTCTGCCCTATCAGCCGCAGTGGGCACCAGCCACCGTTGAAACTAGCCAACAGTCGAGAGGTGAAGCTTTCATTCATTCATTCCCCAGTCCGCTTTTGCCCCAGGCCCCGCCCACCATTGGCATGTGGCCCCCGGAAGGCTGCCCAGAAGGGAATACGGCCCTTGGGCTCCCCACCCTGTAAAAGGGAAACATGCTTATCAGACCGTCTGCAAATGCATCAAAGGGTTAAAGTGACCGAGTGCTTGGTTTGCTAGAGGGGCCAAATAAAGTGCTGTGTTTTTTTTGGCTGGATGGAAAACACTCGAGGTTTTTTCCCTGTTGGGGGTGGGGTTTGGTTTTGAATTCGCCTGCTGCAAAAAACCCCAAAAACCAACAAAAAACAGGAGGAGGACGGAAGGGGAAAAGATCTCAGTGCGTGGAGAGGTGAGTTGCAGGAGGGCAGAGGCGGATCTCCAAAGGTGGGGGGACAGAAGAAGATGAAGTGACTTTTTGGGGGGTGGGGGAAGGCAACGCATCTCCAGCCCCTGTGCTTTGATCACGGGAGGTCTAACTCTGACCCCAGCGAAATCTCTCGCGCTCATTTCCTTCCACATCAGAAAATGGATCCTCCACGCAGTAACGCTTTTCTTTTCGGGAAGGTGGAGGTGTTTTTGTTTTTGCAATGCCGGGAAATGGAGTAGCGGGGGCGGGGGGAATAGATCTGGTCAGTGATTTTTCCTTTAAAAATGTTTAGGTGTACTCTCATTTTCCTACTCATAGTGAAATACTGCCCCTCAATGAGGCCAAACTTAGATTCACCAAATGTTTAGGGGGTATGCGTACCCCTGCGTAGCCTCATGAAAAAAACACTGGATCTGGTTCCATGGGGAGACACATCCCCAAACACACACACACACACACACACACACACACACACACACACTGGAAGCTGTTTTATCATTGAGTCAGACCATTGGTCTGTCAAGCTCAAGGCTGCCTGCACTGACCAGCAGCAGCATTCCAGGGTTTTAGGTAGGAAGGAAGGTGTCTCTCCTGGGATTAGAACCCAGGACCTTCTCTGCTTCTAAACTGCGACCCCCTTCACAGCAAGGCAGCGCCTTCCGCACTCCATTCCATCCTTCCTCCCACCCTCCGCAACACTCTGCCAGCATTCCATGGCTACTGAGCATGCTCAGTTCTCCTGGGCTGTTTTTTTTTGGGGGGGGTTCCCCCCTTAAAGTCCCCCCCTACTTGGGGGTTTCCCTGAGGATACTCCGCTCTTGTGAGTGGGTGGCGCCAGCATTTTAAGCACGCTGTATTGCATGTCAGGGTTCCTACCCTCTTTTTTTAGCTTTTAATTGATTTTCTCTTTTTATTTTTATTTTTTTATTTCATGATTGTAAAAAGCAACAGCCTCAAAGCATTTGCATTAAAGATGAAACGATAAAATTAACACCAAGGAAAATGCATAGTGATAACGTAACATGTTCAAAAAGTTAAAATGGCAGTAGATAAAAAAGAGATTTAAGACTGGTGTCAACTTTCTAACTTCCTTAAGTTGCTTCGATACTTTCCGAGGGTAGAAAGTTAGGATAAATTTCTTTGGTGCACACACACCCTCAGCTCACCCATTCCAGGATACTCTATTCCGTTCCGCCTTCCGCTTGTGGTTTCACTCTCCACCCCCCCCCCCCCCCGGCCGCCTTTCATGGCCACTCCGAATGCTCAGTCTCTATTGAGATGTTTTCGGAAGATCTTCCCCGCCCCCTACTTTTGGGAACCTCTGAGTTTCCCCCAAGCCTGCTGATGGCTCATGTCTTTGGGTAGGTGGGCCAACTTTTGCCTCTCTAGGTCAGGCACATTCTGTGTGAACAACTAGCCCCGAGTCTTTCATATGCCTTGGACACTTATGCCCTGATAACAAAGGGTTTGTTGATCCAGCCTTTGTAGGGAAAGGATCCTGGCTCTGCAGTCTCCAGAGATACTGTGGCTGATTCCATTTCCGTGGGACCAGAGGCTGCAGGGTGGGTCAAACTCTATTTTTTTTTAAAATGATATTTATTAAGGTTTCAAAAGAAGGATACATAAACAAGAAAGAGAAAATTAGAAAAAAGAAAAATAGAAAATACAAAAAAAAAAAACAATTAAAAACAATTCCATCTTTTCATCACTTCTCTTTCATTTACTTGTTTCCCGGACCTCCTCATACCTCCCTTTTTTGTATTCCAGTTCAATTTATTAGTCCAGCAATTCCTTTCCCTCCTTTTTAATCCTGATCTTTAATCTTAATATATTATAGCATTAGGTTTTTACGTATTAAAAATCCAATTTTCCATATTCTTTTATACCATTACAGCTAGAAACCACTTAACTTCAATCCAACATCATTCTAACATTCATTAATTTTACAATATTTCTGTAGGTAGTCTTTAAATTTCTTCCAATCTTCTTCCACCGACTCCTCTCCCTGGTCTCGGATTCTGCCAGTCATTTCCGCCAATTCCATGTAGTTCATCATTTTCATCTGCCATTCCTCCAGTGTGGGTAGGTCTTGTGTCTTCCAATGCTTTGCAATAAGTATTCTTGCTGCTGTTGTAGCATACATAAAGAAAGTTCTGTCCTTCTTTAACACCGATTGGCCGACTATGCCCAGGAGGAAGGCCTCTGGTTTCTTCAAGAAGGTATATTTAAATACCTGTTTTAATTCATTATAAATCATCTCCCAGAAAACCTTAATCCTTGGGCACGTCCACCAAAGGTGAAAGAATGTACCTTCAGTTTCTTTACATTTCCAACATTTATTATCGGGCAAATGGTAGATTTTTGCAAGCTTGACTGGGGTTATGTACCACCTGTATATCATTTTCATAATATTCTCTCTTAAGGCATTGCATGCCGTAAACTTCATACCTGTGGTCCACAACTGTAACTCTAAGCCAGGGGTTAGCAAACTTTTTCAGCAGGGGGCTGGTCCACTGTCCCTCAGACCTTGTGGGGGGCCACACTATATTTTTTGGGGGGGGGAATGAATGAATTCCTATGTCCCACAAATAACCCAGAGATGCATTTTAAATAAAAGCACACATTCTACTCATGTAAAAACACGCTGATTCCCGGACTGTCCATGGGCCAGATTTAGAAGGTGATTGGGCCGGATCTGGCCCCCAGGCCTTACTTTTCTCCTTCTCCCATTGGCTCTGGGAATATGAGAGGATTATGGGAAAGTGAAGGCAGCCATCTTGCAAAGGCTGCACCTACTATGGAGCTCCTTGCCTTCTGCCAAAGCAGCCACAACAGCCAATATTGTATATATTTTGGTTTTAATCTAGAGAAGCTTCTATACAAGAGTTTAACTCTGGGATGAGATGGAGGAGCAAGCGAGTCGTAGCCAAAAGGCCATCTTGCAAAGTGTCAGAGAAGCTCCTGACGTCCTCCAGGCTGTGATTATCGGAGAAGATCTGCAGAAAATACCAGAAATTCGGATCAAGGAGGAACCAAGCGATGGGCAGCTGCAGCGCTGGGAAACCCAGTGGCAGGACTTCCTGAAGAAAGTGGAGGCTTCTCAGTTAGGCTGGGCACCTCAGCTGGAGGAGCCGATCCCCTGGGACGACGCCAAAGCCTTCTTCGCCTCCTTCGAGCAAGTGGCCCAAGCCTGCCGGTGGCCCAAGGAAGAGTGGGTGGCCCGACTCCTGCCGGCCCTCAGGGGAGAAGCCGAGCAGGCCTTTAGTGGGCTGGAGGCCAGAGACAGAGAGGATTATGGGAAAGTGAAGGCGGCCATCTTGCAAAGGGACGCCATCGGTAGAGAGAAACTGCGCCAACACTTCCGGGGCTTCTGCTACCAGGAGGCTGAAGGGCCCAGAGGAGCCTACACCCGGCTGCAGGAGCTTTGCTCCCGGTGGCTGAAGGTGGAGAGGCACACCAAGGAGCAGATCCTGGAGCTGCTGATCCTGGAGCAGTTCCTGACCATCCTTCCACCGGAGATCCAGAGCAGGGTGAGGGAGTGCGGCCCGGAGACCTGCTCCCAGGCAGTGGCCCTGGCCGAGGACTTCCTCCAGGGGCAGCAGCAGACCAAGAGATGGGAAGTGCAGGTGAGAGTGTTTCATCCTTATACAAACAGCAAGCGGTGGGGACCATTGATGGCCTAAGGGCCACATTCCCTTCTGGGGGGCCACATGTTTGTTTGTATAAGAAGCTGCAAGTCAGCTATGAGAGAATTGAAGGTTCCTACACATACAACCAGACAAGCAAGAGAGAGCGTTGCAGTTCAAAGACGCATTTCATCCAGGAGGGAGGAAACGGAGGAGGGGGTATGGTCTGAGAAGAGTCCTGAGGGCGAAGGTGAGAGACCTGGAGGGCCACAGGCTTGTGGGAACGTTTATATAATTTAGCAGAGTTTAAACGATCTCCTGTTTGAGTTTATGCAGCGACAAGTGGGTTGCTAACTCGTTTGAGTCCTATCAGTAATTATACTTTCCTGGTTGATAATCCCTTTCAGTCCCTCTTAAAGGAAACACACATGAATCTGAATCATATTAACATAAACTATTGTACTATCCAGGGATGCGGGTGGCGCTGTGGGTTAAACCACAGAGCCTAGGGCTTGCCGATCAGAAGGTCGGCAGTTTGAATCCCTGCGACGGGGTGAGCTCCCGTTGCTCGGTCCCTGCTCCTGCCAACCTACCAGTTCGAAAGCACATCAAAGTGCAAGTAGATAAATAGGTACCACTCCGGCAAGAAGGTAAACGGCGTTTCCGTGCACTGCTCTGGTTCGCCAGAAGCGGCTTAGTCATGCTGGCCACATGACCCTGAAGCTGTACGCCCGCTCCCTTGGCCAATAAAGCGAGATGAGCACCGCAACCCCAGAGTCGTCTGTGACTGGACTTAATGGTCAGGGGTCCCTTTACTTAATATCAGATTCATTCAGGTTTACAGAGTTGTTCCTGAAGGCAGGCTTAGGTTACATAACAGATAAAACATATATAGTGGTACTTCGGGTTACAGACACTTCAGGTTACAGACGCTTCAGGTTACAGACTCCGCTAACCCAGAAATAGTACCTGTGGGTTAAGAACTTTGCTTCAGGATGAGAACAGAAACCGTGCAGCGATGGCACAACGCCAGCAGGAGGCCCCATTAGCTAAAGTGATGCTTCAGGTTAAGAACAGTTTCAGGTTAAGAAAAGACCTCCAGAACGAATTAAGTTCTTAATCCAGAACGAATTAAGTTCTTAAGGCTCTGTGGTTTAGACCACAGCACTACCCGCATCCCTTTCTGGTACTTGTACCTCAGCATATATTCCTGTTTCCCTGCTCTTAAAAAAGGATCCTTGTTTCTTTTTCAGGAGCTGGCAAAGTTTGAGGAGATGGTGGTGTGCTCTGTAAAGACTGAACCATCTCCCTCCAGCCCTGTGGAGGTGAAGAAAACCAAGCAAGATCTGGGTGCTGGGGTGCTGGGTAAGCCTAATTTCTCCTGCTCCTGGATTCCGGGAACCACTGTGTGAAATTTAGCTTTAATATTTTAAGAAGTGTCCGGACAAAACTTAACTGAAGTATATAGTGGAAGATTTTCTTTTTTTAATTGTGTTGTTTGATCACTGATGTGTTTGTGGCCATGGGCTCCTTTGGGAGCGAGGTTAGAGGTGGAATAACTAATTTGATGAAAGATAAGTTGAGAGCATTTCAGGAGTTCTGCCTAGAGTTATATTCAGCAGGTAACAATTCTATGGGGAAGATGAAAGAATATATCGAGACACACTGAGAGATAAAGCTAGAAAGTAGAGATAGAGAGATTATGGAACAACCAATTTCAGAAAAAGAAATAGAGAAATTTATAGGGAAGCTAAAAGGGGGGGAAACCCCAGGAGCAGATGGATTGGGAACAGAATAAAGTATTAAAAAATATATTGATTCCTAAAATAAAAGTATTATATAATTCAGTAATAGAGGGTGAAAGGATCCTTCCATCGTGGGAACAATCAATAATTATCTTAATTCCAAAACCAGGAAAAGATTTGAAGGACCCAGGATCATAGGCCGATATTCCTAATAAATCAAGATGCTAAAAAAAAGTGGAATAAAAAATATATATTCTGCGGTCAGTTCTGTTAATTTGGTTCCCCACCACCACCTTTTTTTATATTCTGAAAGGCTATGTGCAGCTGAGCAAAGGTGGAGAGAAAATTCTGGAGTCTTCTGAGCCTGAGGCGCTCCATGGGAGAGCAACTGTGACCGTTTCCCTGGCTGAGGAGGTGGGCAAAACAGGCAGGAGCCAACATACCCCAAAGAGGCAGCAAAGAAACCGCCAGAGGAATCGGGCCGGAGGATCCGTTCCTGGGGTAGCAGACGAGGCCCTTGGCAAACGCCCCTCAAGGCCTAAAGAACAGCCCTGCGCAATTCCAGAGGGAGGTTTCGGCAAAGACTCCAGGCTTGGCCAACTTGAAAGAACCCAAAATGGCGGGGGACAGGTTCAGGACGCCGGGGAGAGCCCTCTTCTGAGACCTGAGAAGTCGCGCATGTGCTCTTTCTGCGGGAAAGCCTTCTGCGAGATCGCCCACATGAGGGCCACACACTTTGAGAAGAAGCCCTTCCAGTGCTCGGCGTGCGCAAAGTGCTTCAGCCGCAACTCGCTGCTCCTCAAGCACGAGAGGACGCACGACGGGGAGAAGCCGTACCCCTGCTCCACGTGCGGGAAGAGCTTCGTGTACAGCTGGAACCTCATTAAGCACAAGAAGAAGCACACGGGCGAGAAGCCCCACAAGTGCTCGGCGTGCGGGAAAACCTTCTTCGAGCGCTCGGACCTCGTGCGGCACGAGAGGACTCACACGGGAGAGAAGCCCTACAGATGCTCCCACTGCTGGAGGCGATTCAGCCAGCAGTGGCTCCTGATGAAACATGAGAAAACCCACATGGCATAGAAACCTCCACAGGGCGAGGAAATGATATCTGAAGGGGCTTCCTCCTTCCCTGTGCACCTTTGGGTGCTGACCTTGGTAGCTCCACACCCTCAGAGGTTTTTGAGTGGAGGGCGGTGGCTCCGAAGAGGGTTTTCTCTCTGACATCCCTAAGCTGCAGAGTTCCCCCACTGGGGGGGTTGTGTCTGAGGACACGATTACATAGCTTTTGCCGCTCGACGGAGACACCCCTTTTTTTCTATGGCTTTCAGCTTCCGATATTTTTATATATAAATAGATACAGGATCCAGCTTTCTCTCTTCACGGGAATTTACTTCAACTGATTTTGAAATGTGTGTTTCTCAGGCGAGAACCAGCAAACCAGCAATGGGGAACCTTCGGCCCAGACGGGAGGCGTTGTAGATAGGCCAGCAGGAGGTTTGCAGGCCCCTGCCAATTGCCTGATCGTTGGAGCCCCAACACTGCTGGCGGTTGTGGCTCAGCAAACACAGGCAACACATCTCTGGCAATGCTACTGTCTGCTGGAACAGAGCAAGGGGAATCTCTCGCCTTTCAGTTCTTGCTGGACCCCCAACTCCCATCATCCCTGACCACATGACATGCTGGCTGCCAGAGCTGATGGGAGTTGGAGTCCATCTGGAGGGTCACAAATTCCCTCTGCCCTAGGAAAGTTTGGGAACTTGGTGAGGGTTGAAGTGTCCAGCTCTGAGCCCATAATGCAAACGATGAAACCGTTCCCCATCTCGGATCAATATTGAATGTATTGTCCAAGGACCAACTTCCTTTTTCTATTCTTCCTTTTCTTTGTTTTGTTCCTCCCTCCCTCCCTGTTCTACCTCTGCTGGGAGAGCCACAGACCCATTGCACTGGGTAGGTAGTAGCTCTGAACGTTATTCCAGAACGTTGAGCAGCATAGAACGGCTGGGGAAATCATGGGGGGTTAGGGCACTTTCAACCAGATGGGCTGGAGGCTCATTTCGTTTCCGTTTCCTACGGAAGCTGAGCGAGGAGTCGCCCAGAGTCGAAGCAGCTGAGAAGGGGGGCGAAGGAGGGGTTGACTTGGGTGGGAGTCACCTTACGAGATCGTTTAATTCTCATCGCATTCATTTCGGATTTCGGGTTACTGGGATCTCCCCCCGCCCCGCCCCCCATACAATCGCCCCTCAAATAAATTGTTTATTCTGGGTGATTATCGGTGAAATTCCTGCTAAAAGGACTTGGACTTTTACCCTATCCCACAGGTTCGCAGTGCTGTTAGTACACCAATACCGCGACAGCGCTTGAGGGGAGTTTTTGAGACTCTGCTGCCTGTTTTCACATCCTGCTATTGCCTTAGAAAGCTGGCGCTGGACCGGGCAACGCACCTTTCCTGTAAATGTCATTTGCTCTTAAGCGTGTGCAGAGTGCCTTCTCTTTCCATTGAGTATGTACCATCATATTTATCGCTGTTCCTGTGAAGGAGTTTGCACCGCTGACTTAGTACCACTTCCTGATCTCCATGGTGTTTATGTCACTTTTACCAGTGATTTTTGTAAGCTACTCCGGTGTCCCTTTAAGCTAAACAGCAACATACAAATGCTTTAATGTAAAAAAATGGCATTCCAGTGCAGGTATCACATCTCCCGATGGTGATTTTTTCAAGCACAGATGGAACCATTAGTTGTGCAGTAACAGTGCAAAATGGAATGGAGTTTCTAATCTACAACATTAAAATATCATTAAATATTTTCAAAAGGATAAGAAGTAAAATAAAGAAATGGTCCAATTCCGTGTAACTGAGGACTGAATAAATTATCACTGTAGATTTAAACAGGGCAGCAAATAGATCAGTTTCCCGCTCTCTCTGGTGTTCAACACCTGATTTTATGAGATTGAAACAAGTGCTTGTATGATATGTTAGCATACAAACAAAAAATATTGAGATGTCTTTCTTGTGACTCCTGAATCTCAGGTTGATTTTATCATGGGGAAAAAAAAATATTTAAAAAACCTAGATGGGCTGGAGGGGATTTTTGGAAGGGAGAGGCAGGCATTCAAATTGCTTTGATGAGTCACTTCACTTTGGGTGAGTCTGTTCATTATTATGCCACTATTTTTAATGAGTTATTTATATATATAAGGGACGCGGGTGGCGCTGTGGTCTAAACCACAGAGCCTAGGGCTTGCCAATCAGAAGGTCGGCGGTTCGAATCCCCGCAACGGGGTGAGCTCCCGTTGCTTGGTCCCTGCTCCTGCCAACCTAGCAGTTCAAAAGCACGCCAGTGCAAGTAGATAAATAGGTACCACTCCGGCAGGAAGGTAAATGGCGTTTCCATGCACTGCTCTGGTTTCGGTGTTCTGTTGTGCCAGAAGCGGCTTAGTCATGCTGGCCACATGACCCAGAAAAACTGTGGACAAACGCTGGCTCCCTTGGCCTGTAAAGCGAGATGAGCACCGCAGCCCCAGGGTCGCCTGCGACTGGACTTAACCATCCAGGAGTCCTTTACCTTTACCTTTTTTATGTATATGATCACTGAGATTATTTCCATTGTGTTTTACTGCTCATGGTGTACTGTAGACCAATGATTCTCCACCCACCCATTACTAATCCTCCGTTGAGCACTGTATATCAATAAAATATTTAATTTGCTTCAGCTAGTTTGGAGTCTGTTGTCTTTGTCACTGGTTCAGCTGAGGTGCATAGTGAACCCAGATTAACCCAAGAATGTGGTGGAGTCTGCAAAAAAGATGGACCGGGTATCTTCCACAGCCGATAGCCAAACACATTTAAGCTGGAAAGAGTTCTGTGGCAAACTAAAAATCCTGAACACCAACTTGAGAATGGATCAGGAGCTGTAGTCATATTTCAGTTGTGTTGCAGTGACAAATTCTCCTTCCCAGTTTACCCCCACCATGCCAAAGTGGAAAACTCAGTGTCTGCAAGTTTTAGCATGATGGGAGATAAAAATGTCTCCATTTGTTTTCTCCATGCTATGCTTACACCTCTTTCATGTCCCCTCTTACTTGCCTTTTCCCTGAATTAAAATGTCCCCAATTTTCTAATGTTTCCTCATAGCAGAGCTGCTCCATCCTCTTGATCAATTTTAAAATGCATTTTTTTAAAATACAAAAACTGCAGCAGCAAGCTTAATCCCCAAAGAGGCACTTCCCTCTCTTGCACATGATGGAAAACCTGCCTGCATCATCAAAAAAAAAAAAACAAACTGGCAATCTCAGTGCCCCCTGCCTGAAAAAAAACAGGCAAAACCTACACACCTAAAAACAAAATCTGGGCAAAAAAAGTTGTTGTAAAGTGCCCCAAGTAGTAGTAGTAGTCATATTTCTATGCTGCCTATCTGACTGAGTTGCCCCAGCGATTCTGGGTGGCTTCCAGCAATTTATAAAACCACAGTAAAGCATTACACATTAAAAACTTCCCTATACTGTACAGCATTAATTCTAGGCTTTGGTGGTCTTTGACAGCAGTCACAAAATTAAAAGATGCCTGCTTCTTGGGAGAAAAGTGATGACAAACCTAGACAGCATCTTAAAAAGCAGAGACATCACCTTGCCAACTAAGGTCCGTATAGTAAAAGCTATGGTTTTCCCAGTAGTGATGTATGGAAGTGAGAGCTGGACCATAAAGAAGGCTGATCGCCGAAGAATAGATGCTTTTGAATTATAGTGCTGGAGGAGACTGCAAGAAGATCAAACCTATTCATTCTTAAGGAAATCAGCCCTGAGTGCTCACTGGAAGGACAGATCCTGAAGCTGAGGCTCCAATATTTTGGCCACCTCACAAGAAGAGAAGACTCCCTGGAAAAGACCCTGATGTTGGGAAAGATGGAGGGCACAAGGAGAAGGGGACGACAGAGGACAAGATGGTTGGACAGTGTTCTCGAAGCTACCAGCATGAGTTTGACCAAACTGCGGGAGGCAGTGGAAGACAGGAGTGCCTGGCGTGCTCTGGTCCATGGGGACACGAAGAGTCGGACACGACTAAACGACTAAACAACAACAACAAAGCCCAATCCCTGCTCAGTGCAGGATCCCAGACAGATAGATGTAAAACCTAGGATGGAAACGCAGAACAACTTAGTGGAAGAGCATAATCTTTGAATGCAGACGTTTCAATACTCAGCATCTCCATAGGGCTGAAAGCGCCACCCCGCCTGAAACCCAGGACAGCACTGCCAGTCAGTGCAGACGTCCTGATCTGACTCGGAAGAAGGCAGGTTCCTCTGTTGCTCCGGCTCCCAGTGAAACACTTCCAAGGGAGGACAGCTCCTCCCAGATTTTCTTCCCCGGCAATCTGCCCTTTCCCCGCGATTCCCACCCATTTGGCTCCAGCCTTGCTGCAGCTGAGCCGCAGGAAGCCAGCCTGTTCTCAGAATTTAAGAACTGTAGAAAGGGACCCAAGGGTCATCTAGTCTGACCCTATTGCTCCCACCTCTATACTGCGGGGGGCTGGACTAGATGGCCCCTGGGGACCCCTCCCAAAAGTCTTACGGTTCTCTGATTCTGCGCAAGAGGCCCCTTCGCGACGTCCCTGCCAGCCAGAGGGGGGAAATGACGTTTCCCGGAGCAAGAGCTCAAAAGGGGTTAAACCAACCGAGCTTTGCTTCCTAGAAAAGACAGCAGAGAGAGGGGGGGTGAGATGAGGATTTATGGGGCAGGGGGAGCAGGCAAAGGGTCTTTTCCTGTCGTGGGAGGAGGGGGCGCCTGGGAAGATCCTTTTTCCCTGCAAGAAGAAGAAAGTGTGTGCACCATGGAGGGGTGAGCATGGAGGGGCTGCAGGGAGAGGGGGCGGAGGAGGAAGTGGGGAAGGGGTTCAGGAGGAAAGGGGCACCCCCATAGCTCCCCCCTCCCCACCCTTTGGATCCTGGCACAGCAGGATTCTTCCCACTCAGCTCCGTCTAGATCTGGAAAAGGAGGCAGGACCCCTCTATGGAAGGAAGGAAATATATAGGTACAGATGCAGATCTATATATACCTAGGTAAAGTGGGTCATCTAGCATTGTATTGTCAACACTGGCTGGCAGCAGCTCTCCAGGGTTTCCGGCAGGGGGAATTCCCATTATCAACATTCAGGAGATAGATAGATAGATAGATAGAGCCTCTTGAATATGGTATACAGTGCTTTTTTTTCTTTAAAAATGTTAAGGGGTACACTCATTTTGACTCCAGAAAATCACCATTTTATAGTTCAAATCAGGAAAAATACAGTAAATGGACAAGAGTACATAGATTCACAAAATGTTTAGGGGTATGCCTGCATCCCCCCAGAAAAAAGCACTCTGTGTGTGTGTGTGTGTGTGTGTGTGTACCCGAAACGTTCCTGTTCACCCAGGCATTTGATGGCTGAAAAGATGCTGCTCCTCACAGCCTTGAAATTATTATCATATATATATATATATATATATATATATATATATATATTCCATGAGGGTGGCTCACATGTGACTCTTTAAAAGTATTTTAGGTGTGCTTAGGTTGGTTTCTTTAGATGCTCAAAACGTTTTGATTGTTATCTTGGATTGTTTGCTCCTGTTTGTGGCCCCAGGCTCCTTTGAGAGGAAAGGCGGAAATTTACTACATACAAAGAAGAAAAAGGGCCAGGGACCATGACATTTTCACTGGCGTATGGTTGCAAAGGCTTCGTGGACACTGTTTACCCCCCCCCCCCCAAAAAAATATCCTGGGAATGTAGTTGCATAGCTACAGTTCCCAGCACTCCTAAGAAACTACAGTTCCCAAGATTCTTGAGGGGAAGACATGTGCTTTAAATGTATGGTGTGGACTTAGTCTCTCCCTTATTAATAGGTGATAGTATTAAAACTACAAAAGAGTAAAAAAATGCAGATTTTTTCAGTATAACTCGCATGCAGTTACCATTTTTTAGCATACGTAAGTGGCTGCAATATTAGAGCTTTCTCTTGTGAATGCATTTTCTCTTTTGTTTCTACCCTTTTCATTCTCTAGGCAGAAGCTCAGGATGCCTATCGATTTGTTCTAGAGTTGTCCGTAACGTGCCCTTACGTTTGTGAAGCCACTCGAGAATGAAAATGGGGAATCAAGACACCACAGGCGACACGTTGCAGGAGGCGCCAGGGAGAAAAGGGAAAAGCGCAGGTTTCCTCCAGGATGGGAGCATCAAGGAATTCTTGCATAGGTTTCCAGGAGGGCAAGTGAAGCAGGAGCCAGGCGAGGAGCCGACAGAAGCCCCATGGCAGGAGCTCCTGAAGAAAATGGAGTTGCCTCGGTCCGAGTGGGAGAAGCCACAGTTGCCCGAGGAGCCGTTGGACGACGCAAAGTCTTTCCTGGCCTCTTTCGAACGAGTGGCCAAAACCTGCCGGTGGCCCAGGGAAGAATGGGCGGCCCGAATCCTGCCGGCCCTCATGGGAGATGCTGAGCAGGACTTCAGTGGGCTGGAAGGCAAAGACAAAGAGGATTATGGGAAAGTGAAGGCGGCCATCTTGAGAGCGGAGGCCAAGAACAGGGAAGAGCAACGTCAACGTTTCAGATGCTTCTGCTACCAGGAGGCCGAGGGGCCCAGAGGGACGTACCTACGGCTCCGGGGACTTTGCTACGGGTGGCTGAAGGTGGAGAGGCTCTCAAAGGAGCAGATCCTGGAGCTGCTGATCCTGGAGCAGTTCCTGGCCATCCTGCCGCCCGAGATGCAGAGCTGGGTCAAAGAACAAGGCCCACAGGCTTGTCCCCAGGCGGTGTCGCTCGCAGAGGATTTCCTGCTGAGGCCAGGAGAGGCCAAGGGGCAGGAGAAACAGGTGACACCCATGGGTTGCAATCTTTGTGTGCGGCATAGAGCTATTTTTAAAATATTTCTTACTACTACATTACTACTGCCATGGTCAAAGGCAGTATGTTTCTGAATACCAGTTGCTTGAAGCCACAAGTCATGCTTGGGGGCTTTCCTTGGGGGTGTCTGGCTAGCCATTGTGATAACTTGAGTCTCCAGCTGTTTTTGGACTACAATTCCCATCATTCCTTGCCACTGGTCTTGCTAGCTAGGGACGATGGGAGTTGTAGTCCAAAAATAGTTGGCGACTCAAGTTTGGAAAACACTGCCAAGCAACGGTGGCTTTGACCCTTAGGTCAATTTCCTTTTTCATCAATATGGAGCCCCATGGCTTGAAATATCTGTTTTGATTGACAGGAGTCCCTGAAGATGGTCGAGTCTCCTCACTCAGGCTGGAAAATGCCACAGTGGTCAGAGGAGCCCGCGCCATGGGATGACATGAAGGTCTTCCTGGCCTCCTTTGAGCAAGTGGCCCAAGCCTGCCGGTGGCCCCCGGAAGAATGGGCAGCCCGGCTCCTGCCTGTCTTCAGAGGAGAAGCCGAGAGGACCTTTAGCAGCCTGGAGGCCGGAGACAAAGGGGATTATGGGAAGGTGAAGGCAGCCATTTTGCGACAGGACACCATCAGGAGGGAGAAGAACCGCCAACACTTCAGGCACTTCTGCTACCAGGAGGCCGAGGGGCCGAGAGGGGCTTACTGTAGACTCCAGAAACTTTGTAGAGGGTGGCTGGCGGTCGAAGGACACACCAAGGAGCAGATCCTGGATCTGCTGGTCCTGGAGCAGTTCCTGGCTGTCCTGCAGCCGGAGATGCAGAGCTGGGTCAGGGGACAGGACCCGGAGACCTGCTCCCAGGCGGTGGCCCTGGCCGAGGAGTTCCTGCTGAGGCGGCAAGAGGCCGAGAGAGAGGAGAAACAGGTGAAACTATTTCCCTATGTGCAACACAGGGCCAGGGATGAGAGAGAAGTATAGCTTGAGGTTGTTGATGGACTGCGCCTTGTGCCTCATTTTCCTTGGCTGTAATAATAATAATAGTAATAATAATAATAATAATAATAATAATAATAAAAATTTATACCTCGCCCATCTGGCTGGGCTTCCCCAGCCACTCTGGGCAGCTTCCAGCAAAATATTAAAATACCATAATACATCAAACATTAAAAGCTTCCTTAAACAGGGCTGCCTTCAGATGTCTTCTAAAAGTCTGGTAGTTGGTGTCTTTGACATCTGAAGGGAGGGCGTTCCACAGGGCGGGTGCCACTACTGAGAAGGCCCTCTGCCTGGTTCCCTGTAACTTCTCTTCTCGCAGTGAGGAAACCACCAGAAGGCCCTTGGAGCTGGACCTCAGTGCCCGGGTAAAACGATGGGGGTGGAGACGCTCCTTCAGGTATACTGGGCTGAGGCCGTTTAGGGCTTTAAAGGTCAGCACCAATGGTTTGAATTGTGCTCAGAAACGTACTGGAAGCCAATGCAGATCTCTCAAGACCGGTGTTATATAGTCCCGGCAGCTGCTCCCACTCACCAGTCTAGCTGACACATTCTGGATTAGTTGTAGTTTCCGGGTCACCTTCAAAGGTAGCCCCACATAGAGCGCATTGCAGTAGTCCAAGCAGGAGATAACTAGAGCATGCACCACTCTGGCGAGACAGTCTGCGGGCAGGTAGGGTCTCAGCCTGCAAACCAGATGGAGCTGGTAAACAGCTGCCCTGGACACAGAATTGACCTGTGCCTCCATGGACAGCTGTGAGTCCAAAATGACTCCCAGGCTACGCACCTGGTCCTTCAGGGGCACAGTTACCCCATTCAGGACCAGGGAGTCCTCCACACCCACCTGCCTCCTGTCCCCCCAAAACAGTACTTCTGTCTTGTCAGGATTCAATCTCAATCTGTTAGTCGCCATCCTTGAAGGCCAAGTTAGGTGCAATGTTTCTTGTGGAAGCACCCGACGTTTTTTGCGGAAGCACCCAAGTCTGAAAGGATTGCTCTTATTCTTACTCTTAAGCATAAATAAGAATAAAAGAAAATGATTATAAATTATTTTGGAGATGGTATTTAATGCCAGTCAAATTAAATCAAATAAACAAGGAATATTCGGTTTTATATTGGAGGGGATGCCAGGAAACCGGGAATTATGTTCACATGCGGTGGGGGTGTAAATATGTACATTTTTTTTGCCAAAGGGTGTTTAACAGAAATCACTGGGTTAAAGCTGACCGAAAGTCCAGAGGTAGCATTATCATCAATTTACAATGGAATGGAAGGTTCGCAGGCTATGAAGGACTTGCTCACAAATTTATTGACAGCTGCATGCACTATTATAGCTAGGAAGTGGAAGGGGCAAGGTGAATATAAAATGGAAGAATGGTATGAAGAGGTGTGGGATATAGCTATTAATGATAAATGAACATGTGCCATTAAGGTAAGACGGGGAATACGCAGGAGAAATGATTTTGAGGAGATATGGAAGGTGTTTGTAGAATTTGTACTGTTAAAACAGAAAGGGGTCAAACCATCGCAAGAGGTGTTGAAATTTTGGGAGGTTGGATAGTTCCAATGGAATGGTCTCAGTGGTGGGGTGCACATTTTTATTCTTATTTATTTAAGATTATTTCTTTATTAAAATAAAATTAAAAATTAAAAACAGGCTCCATAATGTAAAAAAAAAAAGAGGGATTGCTCTCTGCTGTTGCAGGTGGCATTGGAGGAGGAGGAGGAAGAAGATGCAAATTTCTCGGATGCAGGGCAATCTCCGTGGGACTCCGAAGAGGGGCACCTGTGTGTGGTAATCAAGCAGGAAGTTGAGGATGGAGAGGCCAGTCCGTGTGGTGAGGAGACATATGCCTTTCTTTGAGCTCGAGTCCTTGCCTGGGTTAAGCCCAGCTGAGGCTCCTCCATATTCCCAGGTCCCTGATGGGCCTCTAGTCTGATCCAGCAGCCCTTTTCTAACATCCTTTTCCCGTTGCCAGTTCTGAATGGCTAAGATTCAACTGCCCATATAGAATATCCTATTATTATTATTATTATTATTATTATTATTATTATTATCTGAGGGTGTTAGCACTACCAACAGGGCTCCATTTTCTGCTCGCAGCACACAAGAGGGTCTGTAGGGAAAGAGGTAGTCTAGTCAATGTTATTCTTTCAAGAATAGTGGGAAAGTATACAACAACAACAACAATTTATTATTTATACTCCACCCATCTGGCTGGGTTTCCCCATCCACTCCCAACAGAATATTAAAAACACGATAAAACTTCAAACATTAAAAACTTCCCTAAACAGGGCTGCCTTCAGATGTCTTCTAAAAGTCAAGATAGTTGTTTATTTCCTTGACATCTGACAGGAGGGCGTTCCACAGGGCAGGCGCCACCACCAAGAAGGCCCTCTGCCTGGTTCCTTGGGCTTCACTTCTCACAGTGAGGGAACCACCAGAAGGCCCTCAGTGCTGGATCTCAGTGTCCGGGCTGAATGATTTTATTTCTACTTTTTTATTTATTTCTACTATATATTTTGGAAAGTTGTTTATCCTCTACCGATCTGGACACATTTGGATATCACAGCCAAATTTTGCGCAAAATTCCTGCAAGGACAGAGCAGGGTGTTGTGCATGGACACCATCTTGAATCAAGATGGCGGGCTGAACCTTTCAAAATGGCACCTTCGGCATTTCTGAGCAATGCCGGGTACATAGGCTTCTGGTAAATAAAAATAAAATAAGATTCAACTGCCAATCCAGTCAGGCTGTGTTACATGGAGTTGGGGCAGCGGCATCTTTTCCTCGTCTCCACTTCTCTGCCCACTTATCTGGGAGTAAGTCCTACTGAACGCAACAGGTCTGAGTAGACATGTACAAGACTGCACCCTTAATTTGGTTTTAGGCACTACTTGAATACTCTCAGCTTTTTATTCCATTGTTGTTTGTTGTTGTTTCTCGGGCTGTGCGCACACCATACATTTAAAACTCATTTCCCCCTCTCCAAATCACCCTGGGAACTGTAGTTTGTATCTCTCGCAGAGCTACAATTCACAGCACCCTTCGCAAACTACAGTTCCTGTGTGCTTCATTGTATTTCATGTTTTGCCACTGCTTTCTGCCTTGAGCTCTCTTGGCAGAAGAAAAGATGAGATACAAAAGTTTTAAATTAATAAAATGAAGGCATTTCTCTTCCTCCAAAGAAGACTGGGCTGTGAAAGGAATCGTGGTGGAGGAAGGCCTCGAGGTGGAAGGCAGTCTGAGGTGCTCTCCAGGAGGATTTCAAGAGCTGGCTGAGAGTTGTTTATTTGTTTATATCTTTCTAAAAGCAATGATACCGCTTAGCAGAATAAAAATCTCTAAGCAGGTTATGTAGGGATCTCCATTGTTGTGTTTACTGGGCACACGGCACCTTCGAGCCGCCGCTCACCCCGCCACCCTCTTTCCCACTTCCTCCCAGGCTGAGAAAAGAGATTTAAACCTCTTCACCCATCCCAGTCCCATTTGATATTTTCACGACTGCAAGCCAAACTGGTGGGTTCAGGGGGCAGGGCAGGCCCCTGTGCTGAGCATTACCCACCTCTGGTACCAGCCAATAAAAGTTGGTACGGGTGGGAAATTTGTGGCCTTCGAGAAATGGTTGGGTTTGGCCTCCCATCAACCCAGTATAGCCAAAAGGGAAATAATGGGTCTAATAACTGTTCCAGGTAACCAGTACTTCCACTGGGTAAGATTTCTCTCTTTCTCCCACCAGTAGATATGTGCAAGACTGAAAATGAGGAGGAACCAAGCGAAGCGTCTGTGGAAAGATTTGAGGATGCCGCGAATACGTGCCCCGTGTGTGGGAAAAACTTCAGCTGCAAATCGGACCTTAACAGACATCAGAGAACTCACACAGGAGAGAAACCATTTCGATGCTTTGAGTGCGGAAAGAGCTTCAGTCGGGGCGACTACCTTATTTTGCACCAAAGGCTTCACAGAGGGGAGAAACCCTATAAGTGCTCAGAGTGCGGGAAGGGCTTCTATCGAAGCACACGCCTTATTTCACATAAGAGAATCCACCTAGCAGAGAAGCTGTATAAATGCTCCGGCTGCAGCAAGAGCTTCTGTGACCAGTCCAGACTTATGCAACATAAGAGGACGCAGCACTCAAGCGAGAGGCCGTATAAATGTTCAGAGTGCGGAAAGAGCTTCATTCGGAAAGCACACCTTACTAGACATCAAAGAATCCACACAGGCAAGGTACTATACAAATGCTTAGAGTGTGACAGGAGCTTCAGTTGTAGCAAGCATCTTATTTCACACCAAAGAATCCACACTGGAGAGAAGCCGCATAAATGCCCAGCGTGTGGGAAGAGCTTTAATTTCAGCGGGAACCTTACTTCACACCTGAGAATGCATACAGGAGAGAAACCATTTGAATGCTCCGAGTGCGGGAAGACTTTCAGTCGGAGTGCCCACCTCACCTTACATCAGAGAACCCACACGGGGGAGAAGCCATACAGCTGCTTGGAGTGCGGAAAGAGCTTCAGTCAGAGCAGCAACCTTACTTCCCACCAGAGAATCCACACAGGGGAGAAGCCTTATAAATGCTCAGTGTGTGACAAGAGCTTTGGCCGGGGTGACTCTCTTATTTCCCATCAAAAAACCCACGTGGCAGAAACCATATAAGTGCCCAGAGTGTGGAAAGAGCTTTTTGCCAAAAGCACGCACCTTATTTCACACAAGAAAATTCACAGACGAGGGAGGAACCGCAGGAAAAATGCTGTGCCGTCAACGCTTGGAACTGGGAAACGGCTTTGGCAAAAAGACAACTCTTGCTACACCACAAAGAATACACAACTCTGAAAACCATCTGCTTGTTCTCATTTGCTCCACTGAAACATACATAGTGAATAAAATTAGAAAAGGTTTATCAACGGATATAACCTTTATTATAGTGTTGAGCAGAGCTTTCCAGACTTTTCACGTTGGTGACACACTTTTTAGACATGCATCCTTTCGTGACACAGTAATTCAGTTTTGCTAGCAAACCGGAGGTTAAACTAACCCCTTTCCAGCCCCGGGAGGTGTGTGGGGAACGTTTGTGCAACACAACTACACACCACAGCTGACTCACTGAAATATCGCAACACACAGTTTGGAAAGCTCTGGTACAGAGAGAGACAGGACTAGTTTTTGCCTTTCCCAAGGTCTCTTGGAAGCCAGAGAGACACTATATTGCGGCCTAAAGTGATTTGAATTGGGTCATCTGAAATCCTTAGTTGGGGGGCAAGCCTTCAGTTGACTGTCCAAACTAGATTTGGGCCTTCTGTCCTGGAAACTGAGAACACTGTCATGGAACAAGGAGGCATATCTACAGTTACTGAGGGTAGGGTGGGCGGGGACCAATATTACAAAGTTCAGGTACCTTTGTGAAATAGCTTCGCAAGTACGGCACATTAAACAGGTTTTAACGAAGTACGATTAGCCTTGTTCTTGTTGATAGCTGTTAGTGTGGTGGTCTGAAGAGTCTACAGGTTTGGGAGGCTCATAAAGGTGAGCTCCCGTTGCTCTGTCCCAGCTCCTGCCAAGCTAGCAGTTTGAAAGCACACCAGTGCAAACAGATAAATAGGTACCACTGCGGCGGGAAGTAAACAGCATTTTCATGTACTCTGGTTTCTGTCTTGGTGTTCCATTAAGCCAGAAGCAGTTTAGTCATGCTGGCCACATGACCCAGAAAGCTGTCTGTGGACAAACGCCGGCTCCCTCAGCCTGAAAGCGAGATGATCACCACAACCCCATAGTCGCCTTTGACTGGACTTAACCATCCAGGGGTCCTTTACCTTTACGAATCCTTGGAATATCGAGGTAGGAAAAGACTCCTGGAGAGAATTTCTCGAGAGCCACAATCTCTCATAACATTGTCCTTGATGAGTCTGGAGAACTCGAAAGCTTCGTTATGTTTCGTGACATTTTTGGTTGGTCCTAATAAAAAAGTTTCGCTCAGCTGTGGATTTTGGAGTTTTCTCCCAAACAGAAATTATTTCTCTTACCTTCATTCCTACATTTTCATTTCCCCCACCCCCCACCCAGGATCCTGTTTCTGTCTTGGTGTTGTCTGGTAACATCTGGTAGGCAACCATTCCCTGTCCCTGACTTAAAAGTGTGGCATAGGATGTGATGTGGAATACCTCTGATGAGACCCTGGAGAGCAGCTGCCAGTCAGAGTTGCCATCACTAGGCTAGATGGAGCAATGGCCTGGCTCTGTGTAAGGCAGCGGCAGATGTAACACGCCATATGCACCATCCATTTAAATTCTATTCATCAGCGTGCCACTTTAACTCAGGAGGAGTTAAAAACGATTAGCAACCCTATAAGCAAAAATAAAGGAGGCAGAAAGGGCAGGAAAATCAGTTTGGAAGGTTGTAGGACTAACTTAGGCACACTAATTCCAATGGGTCTACTCTTAAGTAGAAGTTAGTTGGCTGCCACCCAGGCTGGAGACTGCCCCAGTGCCATTGACATTTTAGGCATTGGCCTAAAAATTGGCCTTTAAAACACCATGATAAGGATTTTTTAAAAGAAATACTTTATTTCAATTTTTAAAACAGTATTATTATACTTTCACATCGGACTCCCTCCCCCCCCCCCCCGGTTTCCAATTTCCCCCTATTTTTCTAATCCATTTTATCTCGTTTTTTACCTTAACTCAGTTATCAGTGTTGCAACAATCCCACTAACATTTTTAAGTATACACAGTGGTCTTTAAGATATTCTATAAACTTTTTCCACTCTTGACTGAATTTCTTGTCGTCTTGGTGCCTGATCCTGGTGATCATCTTTGCCATTTCGGCATAGTCCATCATCTTGGTTACATGATACTGGTTTAAACTGTCCTGCATTGCAGGGGGTTGGAATAGATGACCCTCAGGGTTCCCTTCCAACTCCACAATACTATGATTCCATATCGTAGCTTCTTCCCCCAAAAGTATGGGAGCTGTGGTTTGTTAAGGGAGCTCTTAGCAGACCTCTGTTCCCCTCCTACAGCTACAATTTACAGAGTGGTTTAAACAATAAATCCCCCTTTATAGGGTGAGGGGAAAACTATTATCTCCAGTATGATGCTGCTTTAAATATGTAGTGCAGGTTATATTTATTGCAAAACGTGCATACTTATCCATTGTTTCTAAGAAGTTATGTTGGTCGAATCTGTATTTTGCCATACTGAAAACTAATAGAAATATTTGGAGAATATATATTATATTAATTTCAGTGCTTTTTTCTGGGGGACACAGGGGTACGCACACCCCTAAACATTTTGTGAATCTAATGGAAGTGAGAGCTGGACCATAAAGAAGGCTGATCACCGAAGAATTGATGCTTTTGAATTCTGGTGCTGGAGGAGACTCTTGAGAGTCCCATGGACTGCAAGAAGAGCAAACCTCTCAATTCTGAAGGAGATCAGGCCTGAGTTCTCACTGGAAGGACAGATCCTGAAGCTGAGGCTCCAATACTTTGGCCACCTCATGAGAAGAGAAGACTCCCTGGAAAAGACCCTGATGTTGGGAAAGATGGAGGGCACAAGGAGAAGGGGACGACAGAGGACGAGATGGTGGGACAGTGTTCTCGAAGCTACAGACATGAATTTGACCAAACTGCGGGAGGCAGTGGAAGACAGGAGTGCCTGGCGTGCTCTGGTCCGTGGGGTCACGAAGAGTCGGACATGACTAAACGACTAAATAACAACAATGACTGTATATATATTTTCCACTTATATTATATCATATATCATATATCTTATCTTATATTCAGTGCTTTTTTCTGGGGGGACACAGGGGTACCCCTAAACATTTTGTGAATCTAATGAGAGAAGAAGCTAAAAATTTTCAAAAAATTAATTTCTTCTCTAGCAAGGTGAATCGTCAGTTTCATTGCGACCCCCGATGGGGGCCTCATTTCCAGTCACGGTGCTTCCTGAGTCTCAGACGGAATGAGAGTACCCCTAAACTTATTTTTTTTAAGAAAAAAAAGCACTGTATATTTTAAATTTTCTCATAATATACTGGAGATGAGGCCCCAGTCTCCCTCCAACCTGTCTCAGCACAGAGCTCCTGCTGCCTGATCTCCTTCAAACAAAGGGAATTTCTATTTTTGCACTCTCTTCCCCCCTCCTAACCCCTATTTCCAACCCCCCCTCTGCCCTACCTATTCGATTTGCTCATAGCTTTGAAGCAGGGGGAGGGAGGGGAGGTGATGTCATTTCCTGCTAGGCCCGCAATGCATCCTGGGACTTGTAGTACAGTTCCTTGTTGCTGTGAACTACCATTCCCAAGGAAGCTGTTGCAAAGTGCCTGCTTCGGACGTCCCCTTTTAAAGCGGCCGCGGCTATTTTAATAATGATAATTGTTATTCGTTTATTTTTTTAAGCCAATGCACAAGGCAAGGGAAAGAGAGAGGAGGGTGCAGAGCAGGGATTTGGAAGAGAGGAGTTGAGCAGGCAGAAAGTCACGCACTCCGAGCAGCAGTTTTTGCAGGGCGTTTTCTTCCGCGTAAAGCCACAAAGGATCGGGCCGCCGGGAGATCGACTGCTGGCTTTGCTCTGGAAGGGCAGCGAGACGCATCTGCGGGGTCTGTGCCGGGAGAAATAAGGAATTTAAAGTCACTTTCCTCCCCCGAGACACGTTGTTGCTTTGGGGTCTGGGGATCCCTCCTTGCGGGGAGGAAGGAGCACGTGGCTTTGGATCTGGGTGAGTCCAGAAGAGGTCGATCTTGCACGCCTAGGAGAACCAGGAACAGGCGGGGGTGCGATTGGCTGAAGGGCAATATGGGATTTATATATTTATATTTATTTATTGCATTTATAAACCACCTTTTATCTTCCAAACAGCTCCGTGGTTCTCCTCTTCCCCATTTCATCCTCACCACAACCCTGTGAGGTAGGTTAGGCTGAGAGGCAGCGACTGGCCCAAGGTCACCCAGTGAGCCGCCTGGCTGAGGGGGGATTCGAACCCTGCTCCCCCAGGTCCTAGTCCAGCACCTTAACCATTACACCACACGGGCTTCGCTGTGTCTCGAAGCTGAAATCCCAGGGTGGCAGAACTGGAGGAGAGGACCAGAGTTTGAATCCCTACTCAGCCGCGAAGCTACCTAGGTTACCTTGGGCCAGTCGCTGGGGTGCCTTGAATGATGGTCATGGGGCTGTGGGCAACACTGGCCTCCTTCCTTCCTTTCTTCCTTTCTTTCTTTCTCTCCCTCGTCTGATGCCCTCTCTAGTCTCTGCCTCCCAAAGGCTTGCACAGTTTTTTGCTGCAGCAGCCCTGGCTACAAGCTCTGCAGGCAAATGGTGCCTCTGGGGCTGGCCAGGGGGTGCTTCCCAGGCCCCTGTGGGGCAGTGTGAGGAAGCAACTCCCTTTGGGGCAGTGGGGGCAGCTCAGAGACCAAGGGCGGCGGAGGATTCCCAGAGGACTCCCAAGGAGAGGAGAGGAGGCTGAGGGAACACTCCACAAGGGAGGGAGTTTGAAAAGGGATGAGGGGCTGCAAGCAAGGGGAGATATAACTGGGCTCCTGAGCCCCACAGGGGTGCCGCAGAAAAAGAATGTAGTTGGTCAAGGGAGCCGTGGACCCAAAAAGGTTGCAAACCCCAGAGGAAAAGTCAGCTAGGAGCTGTGTAAACAAACAACCAAACTGTAGCAGGTAGAGCACGGGACTCTTGATCTCAGGGTCCTGTGTTCAAGTCCCTTGTTGAGCAAAAGATTCCTGAATAGCAGGGGGTTGAACTAGATGACCTTCGCAATTCTGTGATTCTGTATTTGCTGGGAGCGAAGCCCCACCGTGTTCAATGGATTCTTCTCTCTAGTAAAAACCTAGGAAGCTGTCTTATAGTGAGCACATCTAGCTCAATATTGGCAACACGGACTGGCATAAGTTCTGCATTGTTTCAGGAAGGGAGCCTCTTCCAGATCTGCCTGGAGTTGCCAGGATTTGAACCTGGGACCCATTGAAGCAGGACCATAGAGCTACGGGCCTCCCCCAATCCTCTAGCGCCGTATCAGTGTTGTACGGGCACAGGGGCGACTTGCCTCATATTGTGCATAGTCTCTCTCTCTCTCTCTCTATATATATATATAACATATCATTTTCAACAGTAATTAAACATACTTTTACATCTTATTCAAATTTTTGATTTCCATCAATCCTGTCTGAAAATTTTCCAATCTAATCTCTCAGTATGCATTTCTTATCTTCCCTATTACATTTCAAACTCATAACCAATATCTCTTTTCCTACTTTGTAACACTTCGTATATTTCTCCTTACAAAACTTCTTGTAGTCCTACTAGCGTAATTTGTTGATTACAGTTGCTCTTCAAATAATTCATATACTTCTTCCAATCTTCTGTAAATCTCTGGTCCCGCAGGTTTCGAATCCTTCCTGTTGTTCTGTCCAATTCTGCATAGTCCATTAATTTCGTCTGCCATTCTTCTTTCGTCGGAACTGCATAGTCTCTTCCAATCCTGAAATCACCCCCTTTTTATTTCCCCGCAGGGAGAAATCTCTGGCCCAACTGTGAGCAAAGAAAGTCAGATGTTAGATGCTGAGCGGTCCATTGGCCCAGCATCATTCGCGACTGGCACTTGGGAGACTGAATCTCGGAGCTAGGCGAAGTTAGTTCCTTTCAAGAGAGAAAACAACATGGCTGCCGACCAGGGACCCAAGTCGGGATTTGGCCTCCGGCTCGCACCCGCTCTGGAACTCCCCAGGACCAAAGCGGGGGGTCAGGTTCCGGCCTGCCCCGGAGCAGGAATTGGGAAGCCACCACGCGTGCTTCAGGCTGGAAGCATTTGGGGCTTCCTCCACAAAATCCCAGCGGACCAGGTGAAACCGGAACCAGGAGAGGCCACCCTCCAGCGCTGGGAAACCCAGTGGCAGGAGTTCCTGAGGAAAATCGAGTCTCATCCTTCCTCTGCCTGGGGGCTCCCACAGTTACCAGAGGAGCCCACGCCCTGGGAGGACACGGAGGGGTTTTTGGCCTCCTTTGAGCAAGTGGCCGAAGCCTGCCGGTGGCCCCGGGACGAGTGGGTGGCCCGCCTCCAGCCGGCCCTCAGCGGAGAAGCCGAGTGGGCCTTTCGAAGCCTGGAGGCCGGAGACAGAGAGGTTTATGGGAAAGTGAAGGCGGCCATCTTGCGCGGGGACACTATGAGCAGGGAGGAGCAGCGCCAGCGCTTCCGGCGCTTCTGCTACCAGGAGGCCGAGGGGCCGCGAGGGGCCTATGGCCAACTCCAAAAACTTTGCCAGGGGTGGCTGAAGGTCAAGAGGCGCTCGAAGGAGCAGATCCTGGAGCTGCTGATCCTGGAGCAGTTCCTGACCATCCTGCCGCCGGAGATGCAGAGCTGGGTCAGGGGACAGGACCCGGAAAGCTGCTCGCAGGCGGTGGCCCTGGCCGAGGAGTTCCTGCAGGTGCAGCAAGCGGCCTCTCGGAGCCAGGAGCAGCAGGTGAGGCGTGGCATGTGGCCCCTGGCAGTCTTGGGGTAGGAGAGGAACCGAGCGCATGTTGGAGCCAGTGGGGGTATGTGCTATTATGCTCAGGTTCCCGCTTGTGGCCTTCGCATGGGGCATCTGGTTGGCCACTGCGAGAACAGGATGATGGAGGAGGCACGCTGCTTCTTACAACCTTCACACCATTGTGTGAATCTCAGAAGATGCTAAAAGGGGAGGGTTTGTACACAGGGCAGGCAAAATCCTAAAACCCTTGAATCTGCTCATGTCTTCCTCTTGTGCTTGAGTGGTACCACTTTGCCTACGTGAGGATCAGCCCACAGAAACTGAGTTTGCTGTTAGAATTGTAGAGTTGGAAGGGACCACGAGCGTCATCTAATCCAACCCCCTGCAAGGCAGGAATCTTTCTCGAACCCGCGACCCTGAGATTAAGAGTTGTGCTCTACCATCTGAACTGTCTTGAGCCCTATTCCGTAAGCCACCCAGAGTGGTTGGGGAAACCCAGCCAGATGGGCAGGGCATGAATAATAAAAATTATTATTATTATTATTATTATTATTATTACTATTATTATTATTAAATATTAGGGCTATTTGAGCACACACTCACTCCTTTTCACCATTGGATGCCCTTCTTTTTTAAAAAAACAAACAAGTTTTGTTTCTATTAATTTTTTGCATAACATAATGCAAGTGATGAACCAGAAACACAGAAATGCAAGCCAAATTAATTGTAACACAGTCAAATAAAGCTGAGTGGGTCTCATTTGGTTTGCTAGGTAGACACAAATGGAGCTGGGACCCAGCATATCCAAAACTCCTGCTGCCCGGGGAACACTCTGGAGAGACAAGTTAGACTGAGAAAAAGGACAGAATGTTAAATTCTGCCACCATTTTCGTCATTTAAAAAAAATAAAAATCAGAGAAACGGCAAAAGTGATTTGCGTCACAAGCAAAAGCATGCATGCTGTCTGTTGATGTGAGTTTTTTATGGGGCAAAATTTAAATGAACCATATAAAATACAGTGGTACCTTGGGTTACAAACAATTCGGGTTACATATACTTCAAGTTACAGACTCCATTAACCCAGAAATAGTACCTCGGGTTAAGAACTTTACCTCAGGGTGAGAACAGAAATCTCATGGTGGAGGTGGGAGGCCCCATTAGCTAAAGTGGTACCTCAGGTTAAAAACAGTTTCAGGTTAAGAACGGACCTCTGGAACGAATTAAGTTCTTAACCTGAGGTACCAGTGTAAATGAATTGGGAAAAGGAAGAGGGAGGAGAAAGGGTTTCTGGAGGGGGGTGTTGTTGTCTAGGTTCGAAAGCGGACAGCTTCGTGGAGAACAAGGCTATGAACAGCTACCGCAGGAGGGGAAGGTGCCATTGCACTCGGATCCTGCCCACAAATGTCTCATGGGCGTCTGGTTGGCCACTGTGAGAACAGGATGCTGGACTCGATGGGCAGCTGGCCTGATCTGGTTGGCCTCTTCTTGCATCCTTAAGTGAAACGAGGCCCTCCAAAAGTTTGTCAGAGTAGACGTTAAGTTTCGCAACTTCCTCTGAGTCACGGACGACGGGAAGGAAGAGGCACTGTACCGGGGCAAAACATATCAGGCTTGCTGTGGCCCTTGCACAACCTTATAATACGGGTCAGCTTCTGAGACTGGGCTGTGTGCCAGAGACAGCCTCTTAATGTAAAACCAAAGGACATTTCCCAGGTTCCTGCCACAGGTCCTCAACCACATGCCACTCTTCAGGAAGAAATTTGAAATTGGTGAGATGTGAATAGGAAAAACTGTCCGCCACCCCTAAAAAACCACAGCATGCCTTTTCTCCTTATTTTCTAAAAGGCTCCATCCTTGCTATGTTTCCAGGCTGTGGCAGAAGTGGTCGCCCCACTTCCAGCAGAAGAACAGGCTCTGTCTGGTGCCAAGGAGTTGAGGAGGCCCAAGCAGGAAGTTGATGGTGGAGCAGTTGACTCCCTCATGGACCGAGGCGCCAGCCAACTGGGTAAGACTTCCACAGTCCTTGGTTTTGCCACTCACAGAAAGCCTGGCATCTTGGACAGGAAAACGCAGTTGGTCCAGTATGATTTATTCAATGTACAGTGGTACCTCGGGTTACAGATGCTTCAGGTTACAGACGCTTCAGGTTACAGACTCCGCTAACCAAGAAATAGTACCTCGGGTTAAGAACTTTGCTTCAGGATGAGAACAGATATCACGCGGTGGCAGCAGGAGGCCCCATTAGCTAAAGTGGTACCTCAGGTTAAGAACAGATTCAGGTTAAGAACAAACTTCCAGAACGAATTAAGTTCTTAACCCGAGGTACCACTGTATTATTACCGGAAGCAAGTTCCTAGAGGGGCTTATGGTGACCGATATTAACATGGTCCCTGCCTCTCAGGCTTAGGAATCCAAAAGTCATGACACAAAAGGAAAAGAGATGGGGCAGGAGGAGGGGAAAGCGATGGCAAAAGCAGACACCAGTTCTCAGCAAATTTCTTATAAGTGTCTTTCGGGGGATAAATGTTTTTCGGGGGGGGTAAATCATTATAGAGTGCATTCCCCAAACCTCCACCTGTTTCTCCTCCTCCCCAAGTGAGACTTCTGCTGGTGAAGCCCAGTGGTTGACCTCCCAGCAAACATTTTTTTGAAGTGCCTAGTTAGACTACGGAACTCTCTCCCACCGGAGTCAGTGATGGCGAACCTGGATGGCTGTGAAAGAGGATGAGACAAATTCAGGGCTATCAGTTGCTACTAACCACAACGACTGGTCTGCCTCCACGGCTGGAGGCACTTCTGAGCACCAGTTCCTGGAAACCACAGGAGGGGAGATGACTCTTGTGGTCGAATCCTGCTTGTGGGTTTTCCACAGGATTCTGGTTGGCCACTGTGGGAGCAGGATGCTGAGCTAGATGGGCCATTGGCCTGATCCAGCGGGCTTTTCTTACGTTCAATATCGCCTCCCTTTGTCTCCAGAAGAGAACAACACCATGGAGGGTTTTCAGCTAGGAGGTCCTCGCTCAGAAGACGTGCTTGAGATTTCGCCAGGAGGATCCCGGGAGAGCCTCTCCTTCCCAGCAGAGATTGGTGAGAAGGGGGAACCTTGAGACTGATTTGCCATAGAGCTGGGGGAACCTCACAGGAGAATGCGTTTGGCGCAAGGGGGACATTGTAATGTCGAAAGGGCCACAGCAGGGATGGGGAACATGCTGGCGGACTCCCGTTCCCCTCAGCCCCTGCCAGCATGGCCTGATGGCCAGGGATGATGGGAGTTGTAGTCCGGTGACACACAGAGCAGTGGCTGGTGAGTTTCATTAGGCCTAGTAGGGTAGAAAGCAGGGAGACCCAGTAGTGCTAAAGCAATTCCATCAAAATATTAAAATAAACACCCCTATCAAAACTAGAAGCAGCTGCTAAAGAAGGAAACTCGAATCAGGAGATTGAGGAAACATTTGTCTACACAGGTATGTCCTCAAGAGCCCGTGGAATGCCAATACTGATGACCCCCCCCCCTCTCTCTATATATATATCTATATATATCTATCTTTTTTACAATTTAGAATATTAATTTAAACAACCTTAAAATATCAATGACTTCCTTTCTTCCTTTTCCATGGTTCATTTTGCATAATACAAATCCCTGCATATTTTATATCAACTAAACCATTCAGTATTCCATTATTACATCCATCAAAACTCATTTACACTGTTGAATTTATCTTAATGCTGCCAACGTTTTCAAGTGCACACAATTTCCTCCCATATATTCAATAAACATCTTTTTCAAACGCATGTTCTTCTTGTTCTCTTATTCTACAAGTTAGGTCCACAAGCTGCGCATATTCCATCAGTCTAAGTTGCCACTCTTCTTCTTTGCTCGTTTTCCATTTTGGGGCTAATGAAACACGGGCCGCAGTAGCGGCATACATAAATAACCTTTTTTGACACCTCTACTAGCAGGACTCCCCTTTCCAGGCTGGCAGCCGTTTATCTTTTCCCTATTTCCAAGATTCCCATTTGACAAAGATTTCCTCTCTGTTCCAGGAGGTGCTAGGCTGGTGCACGAACAGGGCAGGGAAGTTTTGGGGGCGCTCCCAACGAAATTGGGCCGTTGGAACGAAGAAGGAATCTGCAGCCCACAAGAGGGAGCGGAGAGGTGGGCCAAAGACCTAGCACAGGGGTGGAAGATGAACCCCACGGCTATTCCAGCCGGCGACCTTTGCCAAACGCCAGCTCCACAAAGACTGCACAAAGGAGCGGGAAGCAGACAGTGCCCTCTGTGCGGGAAAGTTTTCACGACACAATCCAGCGTCAAGAGACACCTGAGAATCCACACAGGGGAGAGGCCATATAAATGCTCCTATTGCGGGAAAACCTTTAACCAGAGAGTAATCCTAACGAACCACGAGAAAATCCACACGGAGCGGAGATCGTCCCAAGGCTCCGACGGTGGGGAAGGCTTCAGGAAAGAAGCCAGCATCCCTGGAAATCAGAGAATATATTTGGTTACTAGTGATGATGACGCTATACCCTGCTAGGGAGGCGGCCCGTATCCCGTTTGTGGGCTTCCCATTGGTTGGCCACTGTGGAAAACAAGATGTTGGACTAGAGAGGCACTGAAGCCTAGTACGCCTTATGGCGCCACCATGAGGAGTAATGCATTTACTGCAGCGTAAGCTTTTGTGAGACTGGAATCCACCACAAAAAAACCCCACAATAACTTGATTGAGCCTTTAAGGTGGCAAAATACTTCCGCCCTTGTTTTTGCAACAGCGACTGGAGGGATGAATGTGGAAATTCTCCATTGTACAGTGGGGTGGTTTCGATAGGGTCTCGCACAGCCCCCTCTGTGCTCCTTCCAGAAAAGTGAGAGGATGTCAGGGACCCGCAGGACAATGACGACTGTGCACTGGGGAATGTGGGGGCTGGAGTCTGACTCGGGAGAGGGAGGACAGTGGTTTGTGGGGATCTGCACCAGCCAGGAGGCAAGAGTTGGAGGAAGGGGAAGTGTCAGGAGTTGGAGCACGGGATGGTTCGGGAGGAGAAAGAAGCGGGGGGGGGCGGATACTTCCACACCCTTTCCTGCGTCACTGTTCCCCAGAACCAGGAGGGGATTGAAAAGGGAGGAGCAGAGGAAATTGCAGGCACAGTCTCCGACTTCGTGCATGTAAGCAATTGGGGGAAGATACATAAACTGGTGGAGGGGAACTGGTTTTGCCAACTGCTCCTTGAAATAGCTGCCTAACCATTAGATTGGGGTGCACAGGTGTCGAGAACTGTAGAAGCGACTGTGTTATCGTTGACAATAAATACTTAACTATCGGCCGTATGCATTCCTTGGCTGGGAAGTGCCCTTGACGGAGGGGTTATGCCCCTTGGGACTGGTGGGATGGACTGAAGGGAGCCTGACAGTAGGTGGCGCCAGAGAGCCAACGACAGGCAGAGCCAACTGATTCTGGTTTTGCCCAAGGGGCGACCCTGAGACTTGGGCGGAGGAAGTGGGCGGGCAGTGCCACCCTCTGGACGGGTTGCAGGTAAGAAGGCAGGGCAGGCTGCGGGCAGAGTAAAGTTGGTGGAGCAGGGGCCCCATCCGCCCAAATAGAGCAGCATCCTCTGGGATGATCAGAGCTCGAGGACATATTCCAGCCAGGCAAAAACCCTCAAGGAGAGTTTGGCCTCTATGCCTTAGCTGCTCCCCCCAACACCGTGGTTAGATAAATATTTTGTTGGAACGTTCTCCTAAACCAGTGTTTCCCAAACTTGGGTCTCCAGCTGTTTGTGGACTACAATTCCCATCGTCCCTGACCACTGGTCCTGCTAGCTAGGGATGATGGGAGTTGTAGTCCAAGAATCAGCTGGAACCCCATGTTGGGGAAACACTGTCCTAAATTCTTCAATTCTGCTTGTTTCCATTCAGTAACGTCTCTGAATATCGGTTGCTAGAAACAGCAGGACGGGGGGGAAGTTGCTGTGGGGCTAAGTTTCTGCTTGCAGGCTCATATGAGAACAGGATGCCGCATTAGACGGGTCTGATCCAGCAGGCTATTCCTATGAGAAAACTACCCCCTAGAACAGAGATGGAGAACCTTGGGACTGGGGGCCTCTAAGCCCCTGTATTTGACTCTTGAAGACTCTTTCTCGGGCCAGGTCCCCTCATTGGCTATTTGCAGCATCCTCAAGTGTGCCGGTCTGGCCAGGGCACATCCTCGAACTCCTGACTGCGCTTCTTGCTTGCCTGGAGGCAGGATCGAGGGGTGGGTGGCTGTAGGAGGTGGCCTGTTGTATAGAAGAAAAATGGACATTTGTTGCTTTGCCCACTTTTGCCTCTGGCCCCACCCAGCACTTGTATGTGGCCCCTGGCAGGTTGCCCGGAAAGGAATGTGGCCCTTGGGCTCCTCCCTTGCCCAAGAAGTAGAACTCCATACATTCTTCTCAACTAATAGGCCGATAATTTCTTTGGCCATGCAAAACGTGTCTTCCGCTCCCAACCACAAGGGTCTCCTTGTTGCCTAGCTCCTTTCCGTTCCAATCATTTTCTTGCAATAATGATCCAGTTCCCCCCACTTTCCAATGTTCTCCACTTGTGGGTAGGTCTGCAGATCTGCCAGGACGGTCAGTTTGTCGTCTGAGGTTTCTTCTTTGCTCACCAGGCCCCAGAAGGTGGGGGCAAGAGAACGGGGCCTTTTCTGTATTGGCCCCTTCTGGAATGCTTTCCCTAGGGAGGCCAACCAACAGTGTCACTGTTTCAGCAAGGCATTTTTGTTTTCCTGGGCAGCACTAGTGATATGTTTGGCTTGTTTTTTAGTGTTCAACGTAGGCCTCATCTGCACGACACACGTAAAGCCGTATCGCACCACTTGAAACAGTCATGGTTCCCCCAAAGAATCCTGGGAACTGTAGTTTGTTAAGGGTGCTGAAAGTTGTTTCCCTCAGTGCTACAGTTCCCAGAGTTCCCCAGGGAGAGGGATTTATTTCCCCAATAAATGTTATTTAAAGTTTGAAAGAAAATATACAAAGGTTACTATCACATATATTTTATCAAAAATTTTAAAAAACTAAAAAACAAACAGAAAAGAGGAAGAGAAAAAAGAAGAGAAAAGGGGGGAGAGAAAAAGGAGACCTTCCTATTCTTCGTCTGCCAACTATATACGTACAGAAAATTACTCAAAACATCCACTCCAAGCCCAACACACATCAATTCCATTTTCTATAAATCAGTATTTCCTTCAGTGCTCAAACCTAGATTTCATAAGTTCATTTTCTTTTCCACATAAAATGTCTGTAACAAGTTTCCAATCTTTCATAAATATCGTTGACAATTTTTCTCTGATTAAACACGTCGTCTTTGCCATCTCAACTAAGTCCAATCATTTTAACACTCAGGGTAGGTGTTAAAACCTGGGAAGAAGGATTGATTGTTAAACAGCTCTGGCCATTGTAACCCTGTGAGAGGTAGGGGGTCTCTTAACAATTCTCAGCACTCTTAACAAACTACATTTCCCAGGATTCTTTGGGGGTAGCCACAACTGTTTAAAGCTGTACGATGCTTTAGATCTACGGTGGCAATAGGGCCTTCGGCTGGGTGGGGCAAATTACGTCAAGGACTCACCATATTGTCTCCTAGAATATCAATGTTTATGTGATTTTTATAATTGCATTTTTACTTTGGTTGTAAATAGTTTGGGGTTATTTGTAGCTAGAAGCGCGATGTAAATATAATAAAACTAAGCCCACTCTACCTCCCCCTTTCTCCACCCGAGTGGTTTTTTCCCTAGTGATCTCTCAGGGCTCCCAAGTCTCCCTACGACACAAGTGGGGGAAAATTTGAACCACCAGTGGGTTGGATTTGACCTGCAATTCCATGGCCCAAATGCCATGGCCACCTGCCAGAGCAGCAGGATTTAACTCCCTGGGAAAGACCCTGATGTTGGGAAAGATGGAGGGCACAAGGAGAAGGGGACGACAGAGGACGAGATGGTTGGACAGTGTTCTCAAAGCTACCAGCATGAGTTTGACCAAACTGCGGGAGGGAGTGGAAGACAGGAGGGCCTGGTGTGCTCTGATCCATGGGGTCACGAAGAGTCGGACACGACTAAACGACTAAACAACAACAACGATCAGGGTGGTGGTGAAATGCTACCCAGACCTAACCCCCCAAGAGCACGATTGAAGTCTCTGCCCATCAGCCGGGGATCGTTCAAACCTGCCTGCACTTTTTTGCCAACATGTTACCTGAGGATGAAGCAGACCCTTCTCCCCAATTTGAGATGGTTCCAGGTTCAATCCTTGGCATCTCCAGGCTGAGCTGGGATTACCCTGTCTCAGGGGGTTGGACTGGATGACCCTTAGGGTCCCTTCCAGTTCAACAATTCTACAAACCCTAAAGAGCATCTTTTTTGGAGAGGTGTAATGTTAAGGAGCAAGGCAGATTGACATCTTTGGTGTAAATGCTATTTTGGGGGTAACTTCTTGTAACCTGCCCTGCGCACTCGAGAGTCTTTTGTTATAGTGTGTCATATATAGTGTGGGGAACTCCCTGGTCCTGAATAGGGTAATTGTGCCCCTGAAGGACCAAGTGTGCAGCCTGGGATTTATTCTGGACTCACAGCTGTTTAGCAGCTCCATCTGGTACGCAGGCTGAGACCCTACCTGCCCGCGGACTGTCTTGTCAAAGTGGTGCTAATCCAGAACGCGGCAGCCAGACTGGTGACTGGGAGCGGGTGCTGAGACCATATAACACCGGTCTTGAAAGACCTACATTGGCTCCCAGTACGTTTCCGAGCACAATTCAAAGTGTTGGTGCTGACCTTTAAAGCCCTAAACGGCCTCGGTCCAGTATACCTGAAGGAGCGTCTCCACCTCCATCGTTCTGCCCAGACAATGAGGTCCAGCGTTGAGGACCTTTGGCAGTTCCCTTGCTGCAAGAAGCCAAATTACAGGGAACCAGGTAGAGGGCCTTCTCAGTAGTGGCACCTGCCCTGTGGAGCACCCTCCCACCTGATGTCAAAGAGAAAAACAACTACCAGACTTTTAGAAGACATCTGAAGGCAGCCATGTTTAGGGAAGCTTTTAATGTTTGACGGACTATTGTATTTTTAAAAAATTTGGAAGCCGCTCAGAGTGGCTGGGGAAACCCAACCAGATGGGCAGGGTATAAATGATAAATTATTATTATTTGTTTTCTGGTTTGAGACTGAGACCCTACATGCCTGCAGACTGTCTCGCCAGAGTGGTGCATGCTCTGGTTATCTCCCCCTTGGACTACTACAGTGCGCTCTACATGGGGCTACCTTTGAAGGTGACCCAGAAACTACAACTAATCCCGAATGTGGCAGCCAGACTGGTAACTGGTAGCAACCACTGGGACCATATAACACCGGTCCTAAAGGATCTTCATTGGCTCCCAGTACATTTCTGAGCACAATTCAAAGTGTTGGTGCTCATCTTTAAAGCCCTAAACGGCCTCAGCCCAGTATACCTGAAGGAGCGTCTTGATTTTCAAAAGGTTCAGCCCGCCATCTTGATTCAAAATGGCGTCCAATGGTATCCATACACAACACCCTGCTCTGTCCTTTCAGGAATTTTGTGCAAAATTTGGCTGTGATATCCAAATGTGTCCAGATCAGTAGAGGATAAACAACTTTCCAAAATATATAGCAGAAATAAAATATATTTTATTTATCTCCACCCCCATCGTTCACTGAGGTCCACCTCCGAGGGCTTTCTGGCAGTTCCGCCCCCTGCGAGAAGTGAAGTTACAGGGAACCAGGCAGAGGGCCTTCTCGGTAGTGGTGCCCAACCTGTAGAACACCCTCCCGGCAGATGTCAAACAGATAAACAACTATCTGACTTTTAGAAGACATTTTGAAGGCAGCCCTGTTTAGGGAAATTTTTAATGCTTGGTGTTTTGTTGTGTTTTTAATATTCTGTTTGGAGCCGCCCAGAGTGGATGGTGAAACCCAACTAGATGGGTGGGCTATAAATAATAATTTTTATTTTTATTATTACTATTACTATTACAGTGGTACCTCGGGTTAAGTACTTAATTCATTCTGGAGGTCTGTACTTAACCTGAAACTGTTCTTAACCTGAAGCACCACTTTAGCTAATGGGGCCTCCTGCTGCTGCCGCGCCGCTGGAGCACGATTTCTGTTCTCATCCTGAAGCAAAGTTCTTAACCTGAGGTACTACTTCTGGGTTAGCGGAGTCTGTAACCTGAAGCGTATGTAACCCGAGGTACCACTGTAGTCATACCTCAGGATAAATACGCTTCAGGTTGAGCGCTTTCGGGTTGCACTCCGTGGCGACCCGGAAGTAACGGAGCGCGTTACTTCCAGGTTTCGCCGCTCGCGCATGCGCAGACGGTAAAAATGACGTCACGTGCATGCGCGGAAGCGGCGAAACACGACACGTGCAATTGCGTCTTACGTTCTGTTCGGGATGCAAACGGGGCTCTGGAATGGATCCCGTTCGCATCCTGAGGTACCACTGTATTATTTCTCGTTGAAACCTGCCCTGCACACTTGAGATCCTTTGGTTAAACCCTGTCATATGAATGGGGCAAAAAAATAACTGGCATGGGGTGATAATATAGGAATCAGCCAAATGCAGGCTAAGACCATTGGCCTATCTAGCACAGTATGGCCTGCACTGACTGGCAGCAGCTCTCCATGGTTTCAGTCTCTCCTAACCCTAAGCGAAGATGCCGGGCATTGAACACAGGGCCTTCTGCATGCAAAGCAGGTGAGACATCATACAGTTCCCTCCGCCTCTATCTCCACGCTCTAGGCTGCCACTGGATGAAGACGCAGGTTTCGCGATGATGTCATGACCTTACTTGGAAAATAAATACAACCCAAGTGGTTAGGAAAGCCCAACAGAGACTCCATCTCCTCAGAGTATTGCAGAAGAATGATGTCAATCAACATTTGATGATCTCTTTCTACCGGTCAACAATAGAAAGTGTCCTTTCATACTGCATCACGGTGTGGTACGCTGGTTTGACATCATCTGATAGGAAGTGCCTACAGAGGGTGGTGAATACAGCACAAGATATTATGGGCTGTCCCGTGAATCCGCTGGATGAAACAGTGGAAGAACTTGCTTCAGGAGAGTGAGGAAAATTCTCAGGGATAATTCACACCCTGGCCGGCACTTTCTTGATCTCCTGCCCTCAGGCAGAAGATACAGAAGCATGATTAGTCACACCAACAGGGTAAAGAACAGCTTCTATCCATGGGCTGTTAGGCTGCTGAATGAAAAGATAACAATGAGGCAACTGACTTTCGGGTTTGGTGTGTGTGCGTCAGTAAACGAGGGGAATTAAGACTAAGAGAGCTGAGTGGGGGGGTGCTCGTGTAATCTCACTGTATGCAAGTTGTACAAGTGACAATAAAGTATTTCAATTTCAGTATCATCCCTAAACCTTTGTCGCTTTTAGCAGCGAGCTCACCTGCACAGTCCAATGTCTCTCAATTCCTTTCGCTTGAGTAACTGAACAATTGCCAGCCTTCTAAGCACGATGCATTTATTCTTAGGGCTGCTGTTTTGTAAAGGGGCCTCTATGTGCCAGGTGCTGTACAATGGTGCAAAAGAGAGAAGCCGATCTCCTGCCCGCAGCCTTACCTTCTAAGAGAAAGAAGGGCATGTTGGGGAGGAACAGACAGGAGGCAAAGACGGGTCCTGTCTGGGAAAGCTAACACTGGGCATCTGAGAAGGCTGGATTGGGAGGAGACGCAGAATTCCAGGTAAAGGTAAAGGGACCCCTGACCATTAGGTCCAGTCGTGGCCGACTCTGGGGTTGCGGCACTCATCTCACTTTAATGGCCAAGGGAGCCGGCGTACAGCTTCCGGGTCATGTGGCCAGCATGACTAAGCCGCTTCTGGCAAACCAGAGCAGAGCACGGAAACGCCGTTTACCTTCCCGCCGGAGCGGTACCTATTTATCTACTTGCACTTTGACATGCTTTCGAACTGCTAGGTTGGCAGGAGCAGGGACTGAGCAACGGGAGCTCACCCCGTCGCGGGGATTCGAACTGCCGACCTTCTGATCGGCAAGCCCAAGAGGCTCTGTGGTTTAACCCACAGCGCCACCTGCGTCCCTAGAATTCCAGGAAGAAGAAGCAAAAAAGAGAACAGGAGACTGAGATCTGCGGCTTCACAAGGGGTTTAATAGAACCAGAAAGCTGAACTGAAAGATGAGAAGACAGACGGAGGCGGCGGGTAGAACAGAATGAAGAATCCAACTCAGAGAATCCCCCACCTTGCCTAGGCCAGGAATAAGGAACCTTTGGCCCTTCAGATGCCATCAATACTACAACTCCCATCATTCCCCAAGAACTTTGGTCATGCTGACTGGGGCTGATGGGAGTTGGAGGCTGGCAGGATCTGGGAGGGCCACGGGTTCCCCAGTCCTTGCCTCGGGTGTTTCCCCCAAGTCGGAATGGGTTCCAGATGCTTTTGTCTTCAAGTGTAGCTGGTCCATCGCAAGCCACTGGCTGCTGTCGCTATTTTGCAAGGCTTAGAAGAAGAAAGGGGAGCTGGAGGAGAGGTCTCGTGTCCCCACCCAACTTTCTGGGCACAGGCAGTGCCTCCTAGTCTCTGTTCCTGCCAAGATGCCTAGCAAGACTAGAGTTTTTGTAAAAGTGTCACTCTCTCAGCCTGTGCTATATAATGGTTTTGGCCCTGTCCTCAGCACAGGCTTCAATGGAAGCATCTCTTATTTGTTCTTCTCACAGGCATGGGTCTTCTGATGCCTGATAAGATTAGATCTTTGACAGAAGCCTTGCCCACAGTCCACGCACCTGTGGGGCTTCTCCCCTGTGTGGATTCTCCGGTGCACTGTAAGGTGCGCCCTTTGACTGAAGCCTTGCCCACAGTCCAGGCATTTGTGTGGTTTCTCTCCCGTGTGCGTTCTCTGATGTACAACAAGATGCGTTCTCTGACTGAAATTCTGGCCACAGTCTGTACATTTGTAGGGCTTCTCACCCGTGTGGATTCTCTGATGCCGGATAAGGTTGGACCGCTGGCTGAAGCTCTGCCCGCACTCTGTGCATTGATGGGGTTTCTCTCCCGTGTGGATTCTTTGATGGATGATAAGGTGAGCTTCCCACGTGAAGCTCTGTTCACAATCTGGACATTTGTAGGGCTTGTCTCTCATGTGGATTCTCTGGTGGGCAATGAGGTTTTTCCTTCGGTTGAATTTCCCCCCACAGTCAGAGCATTTGTGAGGCTCCTCACCAGCATGGATTTTCTGATGCCTGATAAAGTTCGATTGCCAATTAAAGATTTTCCCACACTTAAGGCATTCATACGGGGTTTCTCCCACCTCAATTCTCTCATGTCTGCTAGGGTTCAACCCTGGATCTACACTTTCCGGACAACCTGAACTTCTGTATGATGCCTCCTCTTCTGTATGGACTTTCTGATGTTTGATAAGGTGCGGGCTCTGACGAAAACTCTTCCCACAATCCGAACATTTGAAAGGCTTCTCACCTGTGTGAATCCTCTGGTGGCTGATGAGGTTCGTTCTCTGATTGAACCTCTTCCCACAGTCAGAGCATTTGTGTGGTTTCTCCCTGCTGTGGATGCTCTGATGTCGAAGAAGGTTCCCTCTCCGGGAAAATGTTTTCCCACATCTGAAACACTTATACAGGTTTTCTCCTGTGATAATTCTTTCGCGCCGAATATGGTTTGGTTTCAGATTGAGAGTATCGTCTTCAGTGTGAATCTTTTGATGTTTGATCAGGTTCGATTTCTGACCAAAGCTCTTCCCACAGTCTGAGCATCGGTAGGGCTTCTCTCCTGTGTGGATTCGGTGATGTCTCACAAGGTTGGATCTCTGGCTAAAGCTCTGCCCACAATCACCACACTTGTGCGGTTGCTCCCCCGTGTGCAGTCTCTTGTGTATGAGGAGGTGTGCTCTCCACCGAAAGCATTTTTCACAGTCCGGACATTTGTAAGGCTTCTCTCCGGTGTGAATTCTCTGGTGAGCGTTAAGGTTTGTCCTCTGGTTGAAACGTTTCCCGCATTCTGGACACTTATGCGGCTTATCTTTTGTGTGGATGCTCTGATGCCTGAGGAGGTTCCCTCTCCGGGAAAAGACCTTCCCACACTTGAAGCATTTGCATGCGTTTTCTCCAAAAGGAATCCTTTCGAGTCTGTTGTGGTTTGGCCTCTGACTGAATCTCTTCCCATAAGAAGAGTACCTGTGTGGTTTGTCATCCGAGTGCACGCTCTGATGTTTGATAAGGTTTGATTTTTGAGTGAAACCCTTCCCACACTCTAGGCATTTATAAGGCTTCTCTCCAGTATGAACTCTGTGGTGCCTGACGAGGTTGGAGATATGACTAAAGCTCTGACCACAGTCTATGCACTGGTGCGGTTTCTCTCCTGTGTGAATTCTCTGATGGATGATAAGGTTTGCACTCCGACTGAAGCTCTTCCCGCATTCTAAGCACGGGTAAGGCTTTTCACCTGTATGGAATCTCTGGTGTCTGGTAAAGCTAGTCTCCCAATTAAAGGTTTTCCCACACTTAAAGCACTGATACTTTTTCCCTCCCGTGTGGATTCTCTGATGCCTGTTGAGGTTTGATTTCTGAGTAAAAGTTTTCCCACAAATATTGCACACAAACTGTCGCTTTCCCATGGAAATTCTTCGTTGTGCTACAGTTTTACCAGATTCAGCACTCCGGCAATGGATGGATTTATCACTCTGACTCTTGTCTGTTTGTATTCTCTCTTCCTGCCTCGTCCTGTCTTGATCCCCAAAGCCCTCTTCTGGGTCTCGAGGCTTTATTCTTTCCAACGGCACCTCAAATGAGGGCCTTTCTTCCTCGCTCTCCCAGCCATGGCCTGCTGGAATAAAAAACAGAAGCTTGTTAAAAATGGAACCTGGAAAAGATAGTATGCTGGCCTGACCCAGCAGGGCTTTTCTTAGAAAGCCTAAATGGAACCTTCATGTTCAAAATTAGTCTATCTCTGAATACCAGTTGCTGGAGAAACAAACAACAGAACAAAACCTCACGTTTCTTGTTGTGGAGAGCCAGGAGTCGTTCAGCCAAGGTGACAAGAAGATGTGAAGGACTGAGAAAGAACTGGAGAGGGGGAATTCCCAGCTTCCCCTCATTTTTGCATCTCTAGACTTTTCTCTGTTCGGTTAAGGGCAGCGTTTTCTTGGGAAATCTTACTGTATCATCATCATCGAATCACAGAATTGTAAGGCTAGAAAGGTGTTGCGTTCTGAGGCCAAAGGAAGGAATGGACCCTGATTAAAATAAGACACGAGGCTTTGATCTGCAAGGCTCTCGGAGGGAGTGCGTACACCACACCCCTCACCAGGCCATTTTATTAGCAAAAGAATCCTTTACACAGTGCTCGTAAGAACCAATCAGATTTCCTCTGAGCATTCAAACAAACCTCAGGTGGGGACAAAGTTAAACTATAAACACTAGTTAGGCATACATACTCTGGAGTAAATGAATAAAAACTACAAAGGAGCAAATACCGCAACCCCGGAGATCATAAACAATCAGTACACATGAGAAGAAGGATGGCCAAGAGGACAGTGACCATTATCACCTTAATGTGAAACCTGTTTCCTGGCCCTAAGATTAATATCCTAAGATTACCTATTAGAAAAGCTACATCAAAGAAACTGCCCATAGTCTTTAGATGACCCAGGATGCCTGCCTGTCTGTTGAAGTGTGCACGTGACTTGTGAAGAAAGAAAAATGGGCAGTAAAGGCAAAAGGGCATGAATGTAGAATCTTACGGGATTTAATCAGAAATTATCGTCAATATATCAAACCCAGTCAACACAATGCGTTCATCGTGGACACGACGGCTTGATGTATATTTTATAATTCCTTATGGTAATCCCATCCGATCCCTACAAAAGGACCCAAGGGTCATCTAGTCCAACCCCCTGCAAGGCAGGAAAATTGTTTCTGAAATTTTGAAAAAATCCTCCCAAAGAAGTCCAGGGCGGCAAACAATAGCAAGGTAATATGGGGAGGGGAGCGGGAAAACCACTGCTACAGTGAAAGATGCTTACCCAGCAACGTGGTCCCCTCCTGGTCTTCTTGCTTGATCTCCCTGGGGTGGGGCCTCTCTCCAGCATCCTCTTCTCGAGAGAAACTCATCGCCACCTCCTCAAATTCTCCCAGCACCTGAAACGCAGTAAGCCAGAGGTTTGGAGGCAAAGTGTCGCAGTGTGACTCGAGTGGTCAGTTCACATAGGGTACTTTTCCTTTTTAAAGAATTAACTCGTATTTATTGGTTTAAATAACTAAGTATTTATAAACAGGCTGAGGAGGCAGGGATCTGGGAATTTGATGTTTTTACAGTGGTACCTCGGGTTACATATGCTTCGGGTTACAGACGCTTCAGGTTGCAGACTCCACTAACCCAGAAATAGTGCTTCAGGTTAAGAACTTTGCTTCAGGATGAGAACAGAAATCGTGCGGCTTAAGAATGGACCTCCAGAACGAATTAAGTTCTTAACCTGAGGTACCACTGTATTATGTTTTTAGATACGCTGTAAGCCACTCAGAGTGGCTGGGGAAACCCAGACAGACGGGTGGGATAGCAACAATAACAACAACAATAATAATTCTACTTGGAAACTGGAGGGTGCAGGAGGAGAAGCAAATAATGAAGGAGTATCCTGGAAAAGGGGGGGCATAGAATCAAGAGTTTGAAGGGGTCCTGAGGTCATCTAGTACAACCACCTACATTGCAGGAACCTCAACGAAAGCATCCATGACAGATAGCATGGCAGTTTGGCACCGTGAACAGAAGCAATTCACACTTTGTTGCAGGTCCCACTTCCATAATAACTTCGCATGTCATTAATCTATTTTTAAAACAACAAATCAACAATTACACTGTACTACTAGTGTCTGATTTTTATTATTAATGTATATTTATTACTAAATAACAAATTCAAAATTTATTTAGCATCGTTATTGTTCGTCACAATTGTACTATTAACATGACACAATAATGAAATAATAAGTTAGTTATTATCTTTAATTACTACTATTGTCTTATCATTAATTTTTATAGCAATACAGTCATACCTCATGTTACATTTGCTTTATGATACGTTTTTTCAGGTTGCGTCCCACGGCGATCTGGAAGTACCGGAAAGGGTTACTTCCAGGTTTCGCCACTCACGCATGCGCAGATGCGCAAAATGACGTCACATCGTAAATCGCAACCTGCGCATGCGCAGACGCGCCGCTGCAGGTTGTGTTCTATTCATGTTGCGAATGGGCCTCTGGAACGGATCCCGTTCGCAACCAGAGGTACCACTGTACTTGCCTATTGCTTTATTATGGCCAATTATTATGGATTCCACGAGTAACAATCTTAAATATGATTATGATGATGATGATGATGATAACCATCATTATCACCTTCTGGCAGGAACATCTCAACTAAACCATTTGCTACAGCTGTGAGAGAGTTGGACTAGATCCCAGGAGACCCGGCTTAAAATCCCCACTCAGCCATGAAATTTTCTGGGTGACCTGTCAGTCGCTGCTTCTCAGCCTACCGTACCTCACAAGGTTTTGTGAGGATACCATGCCTGCCAACTTGAGCTCCTTGGAGGTGCAAAGGAAATAAACAACAATGAAGTAATCATCATCCAAGTCTGTACCCTCTTATCTGTAGTATCTGCTGATCTACTGGGGCTTTTTTTTTCTACCCGACTTGGGATGCGACAGGACCAAAGCGCTTGCTGCCAACCCCAATTGAGACCCCTTCAGAGTGTGGGACGGTGGGAACTATCCTCACCTCCTGTTTCCACCTCTCTGCCTCCTGCTGCCTCAGCAGGAAGTCTTCGGCCAGGGCCACCACCTGGGCACAGGTCTCCGGGCCGCCTTCGCCCACCCAGCTCTGGATCTCCTCCGGCAAGATGGCCAGAAACTGCTCCAGGATCACCAAATCCACGATCCGCTCCTTCGAGTTGAGCTCGGGCCTCAGCCACTCACAGCAGAGCTCCCGCAGCCGGGCCCAGACTTCCCGGGGCCCCTCGACCTCCTGGTAGCAGAACCAGCGGAAACGTTGGCGCCGTGTTTCGGCGTTGGCAGTCTCTCCCTCGTGTGGGGTCTCCCCCTTCACAGCCCCGCAACCCACTTTCTCTCCGGGCTGCACATCGGTCCTGGGAGACCCCTCTCTGATGCTTGAAGGAAGCCCGTTCGCCGCTTCTTGCTGGCAAACCCCGGCCGACGTTTCCGAGAGCGCCAATGGAACGGGGAGCTGCGGAGAGCTGGTCCACCCGGAAAATGGGGACTGTACGTTCTTCAGGAACTCCTGCCACTGGGCCTCCCAGCAATGGGACAACAACCCATCGTCCAGTTCGCACTCGGCTTGCTTCGCAATGGCCCGGCTGAGGCATTCCCCAATGGTCCCACCTTGGGGGGTCTTTCTGAAACGTTTTGGCCCCTCTAGTGGGGTGGACCCGGCCGGGTCCAGCTCTTCCATTTTCACTTCCTTCTCCGCCACAGCCTCATACGGGGGGGGAGCCAAACAGGACACCGCCCTTTGGAGAAATAAATCTTTGGGTCCATTGATTGTCCTCATGCACCACAACGGGCAGACAATTCTCTCCACAGATTTCCTTGACCAAACACACATAGAACTCCAGCTCTCTGCAAGCATCTGATAGCGCACTGAACTCGGCTTCAGTAGATGAAAGCGCTATGAGACTTTGCTTCCGGGACCTCCACCCAACTACTGAGTCCCCAAACTTCACCACTAGGCCTGACACTGATTTGCGGTCTTCAGAGTTAGCCCAATCCGAATCCACAAAGCAAGTCAGCTTTACTTCTCCTTGAGCTGGCAACCTAAGACAAAAGTCTTTGGTTTCCTGCAAATACCTCAGAACTCTCTTGATGCCATTCCAGGCTTGCACACTGGGGTTTGATGCTTCCCTGCTGAGCAGATTGACAGCAAACGCAATGTCTGGTCTGCTCCACTGAGACAAGTACAACAAACTCCCTAGGGCTGACTGAAACACTTCAGTATTTTCGAACACAACGCGTTCTGCTTGCTGACATTCTTTCGCGTATACAGCCTCCATGGGTGACCTGGCACCTACACAATCAGACATTCTGAACTTTTCAAGCAACTGTTCAATCTTACCTTTCTGGCAAAGCAAAAAGCTACCATCCTCAGTCTTCGCTATTTGAACACCTAAGTAGGATTTGACATCCCCAAGCTGCTTCAACTTGAACCGCTTTCCAAGCTCCCTAGCAAACTTCTGCATCTGTTCACTAGTCTGTGACATCATTAAGATATCATCAACAAAAACAAGAATCACTTCCTGTGTCTCTCCTGACCCCTTCAGGTACAGGCAACTGTCTGCAACAGACCTCTTAAAACCTAGCTCTTCTAAGGCTTCATGTAGGCACATATTCCAATTCCTGGCAGATTGGCGTAACCCATAGATGGATTTGTGCAACCGCCACACGCTGCCTTGCTCACTGACTTCAAACCCTGGAGGAGGAAGCATGTATAACTCCTCCTGGAGATCTGAATTCAGGTAGGCAACATCTACATCAAAATGACTCACCTTCCAACCTCTCTGTGCTGCTATCGCCAAAAGCATTCTCAAAGTCTCCGCTCTTGAGGTCGGCGAATAGACCTCTGTGAAGTGGACACCCTTTTTCTGTGTGAATCCACGTGCCACTAATCTCGCTTTGTACTGTGGTTCTCCCGTTTCTGTGGGTTTCAAGCGGTAAATCCACCTACAACTAACAGCTCGCTGGTTAGCCGGCAGTTGAGTGAGTGAGAACACACCAAGAGACTCCATTGAGTTCATCTCCTTCTGCATCGCCTCACGCCATTTGCTAGCTTCTGCCTGAGGCAACTTCTGAACATCCTCAAAGGATTCAGGCTCACACCTAGCCACACCAACCCAAACACTAGTGGCTTCATACCTTTCAGGAGGCTTACCCTTGGTTGACCTTGCTGACCTCCTCAGCGTGAATTCTGGACCTGCGCCTGATTCACCTGGATCAGCCCTACCATCTCCTGTGTCAGAAACCTCCCCCTCTGACCTGCTGCGCCGTTTGGGGCGTACAGCTGGTTCTGCTGGTGAGGATGGCTCACTTCTCGGCTCAGACTTGACAGAGACCTGTGGAGGGGTCTTGGGACTCCCTTTTGGAGAGGTTTGGGGCCTCTGCCTTGGAGATCCCTGCTCTGGACTCTGTGCCTCAGCAACAGGTTCAGCTTCGTCCTCCTCCTCCTCATCACCTGAGTCTAACAGAACATCTGGGTTCCCGTGAAGACGTTTCCACCCACTCTGCTCGCAAAACTCAGCACTGCCGCTAATAAGCAGCTTAGACTGGTTGCCAGTAGGGTATGCGAAACGCCACGCCTTTGAACTCGGCTCATAGCCTACAAAGATCATCTTCCTAGACCTTGGTTCACCCTTTCTGCGCATGGCCTTTGGAACCAAAACCCAAGCCTGCGAACCGAAAATGTGGAAAAAATCCACCTTCGGTTTCTTCCCATGAAGCAGAAAATACGGTGTGTCTCCTACACTTGAATTGAACACCCTGTTCTGCACAAAGCATGCTGTCTTATAACTTTCAGCCCAAAAGCGCTGTGGCAAACCCGAGTCTGCCAACATAGCATTCGCTGATTCCTGTAAAGTGCGAAACTTCCTCTCCGCCACCCCGTTCTGTTGCGGAGAGTAGGGGGCAGTCAATCGATGAGTGATACCTTTCTGCCTGAAAAACGATTGCAGCGCAGAACCTGTGAATTCCCCCCCGCGATCAGATTGAAAGGAAACCACCCTGGTAGAGAAACGCAGCTCTACCGCTGTGATCCAATCTCTGATCAATGCAGCTGCTTCTGACTTGCATCTAAGCGTAAACAGCCAAGTGTGTTTCGAAAAATCATCAATCAGAATCAGAACCCATTTAGATCCAGCTAAAGAAGGTGTTGGCATGGGACCTGACAAATCTGCATGCACAAGTTCAAAAGGTTTGCTGGTCCTCCTCTCTGACCTGGGGTATGTGCATGTTGTGACCTTTGATTGCTTACAGGCTTGACAATCTAGGTATTTGTCACATGCCTTGAACCTACACCCAATTGTGTTCATTGCTGCTTTCCGCACAAGTGACCACCCAGCGTGCCCAAATTTCCTGTGCCATAAGTGAATACAATCATGGTGTGGTGGGACATTAGCACACTGCACTTGGGCATCATCAATGGACTCTCCACAAGCCCCATTTTCCACCAGCCCCATTTTCCCACCAGCCCCATTTTCAATGGGCATCTCCACCAGAAAGAGCCTGTCTTTCCTCTCAACACTGTAGATCTTCTTCCCATCCCTGTAAAAAGAGCACAAATTATTAGAGAACAGAACATCAATTCCAATAGCCATTAATGCTGACACACTCAAAAGAGAATGGGCAAGTTCTGGGACAAAATAAGCTGGCACTTCACAACCTAGAAAAGAGCAAAACAAAGACCCAGATTCAGTCAGCGGTCTTTTCGACCCATCTGCTAAGATAACAGAGCGTGCAGTTTTAACTGTCTTGCAGTTCCTCAGGAGCTCTCTGGAGTTAACGAGGCAATGCGACGCTCCACTGTCGACAACAAAAGAAAAAGTGTCTCTTTGGCTGTTTTCCAAAGATGCCATGGCGTTGGTTGCACCCCCACTGTCAGTGTCCTTCCTGGTTGCCATGGCCACAGCCTCCCCCCGACTAGGGCTTTCGCTGCTTCCCAGACAGACCAACGCAGCTGTGAGGTGATAAGACGCCTTGTCTTTGTTTTGGCCTGCTGCTTTCCCACGTCTCTGGTGAGAACCGGCCTTGGGAACCTGCTTTGTTGACATTCCACGCCGGCCAGAGTCCTTGCCGCCATCCTGCGCCTCTAGCGGACAATTGCGGACCAGATGTGTGTTGCTGCCACACCGATAGCATCTCTTGGAAACAAAGGCTCTCACACAGTCCTCGCCACTCCTGGCTGCTCCCCCCCCGCTCTTTCTTGGGGTGCAGCCTGCGCCCTCTTTCACAGCCCTCTGGCGCTTTGATTCTTCGTCAATCAAGCGTCCGCTAATATATTCGATCGTAAGATCCTGCGGCGGCATCGTTTCCATCGTTAGAACCAAGTTCTCATAACTCCTGTCCAAAGAGCTTAAAAGCGTATAAGCTTTAAGTTCATCTGGGAAGGGCACATTGAGCTGACGCAGCTTACTGAAGATGGTCAGCATCTGAGCAATGTGATCCCTTATCGGCTCCCCTGGGGACAGCCTCTTCTCAAACAGAGAACGTATCACATGGATCTTTGCCCCAGCTGTGGTCCTCTGATGTATTCTAGTCAGAGCAGACCATATCTGATGACAGGTACGTAAGCCATCAATATGGGGGAGCTGCGACGCTTCAATCGCCATCACCACATGGGACATGGCCTTCTTATCTTTCTTTGCTGCTGCTGTAGCCCTCTCCACATCTGCAGCTGCTGCATTGGGCCCGGCCACGACTGGATCGGCCTGTGTGCATTCCCACAGCTGCTTTCCCTCCAGCCAATAATACATGCGCTTGGACCAGTCCTCCCAATTGGCTCCATTGAGCCTTTCGAAGGGGATGTTGAAGCTTTCATGGCCCTGCTGTGCCTGAGCAGCCATCTCCTCCCCCCTGGGGCTTTAAGCGTACTCACTCTGGTCGTCCGAAGCAGCAGCCGTTACCTCTTGGCTCTTGGCTCCGATCACCAGCATTCCTCACTGCCCTTCCTGGCAGGAGATCACAGCAACTCAAGGCTGGCAGCCTTCCTCCCTTCTCACACTTGTCAGGAAACACGTAACTTCCATAACCTTTGGAGAAATAAATCTTTGGGTCCAGGCAGCGCTTCCTCGACGTAGGCTCTGCTCTCCCCTGACCTGGCCAAAGAAATTGCAGAGTAGCAGCGGTCCTGCTTCCGTGTGAGAAAAAGGGATAAATCAGTCCAGAGACAGTCCGTCCTTATCTCTAGTAGCTTTATTTACAGAGCAATAAATTCCATCAGACACCATCGGAGCATTCCGGCATCTTTGTGCTTTCCAAAAGCACTCTCACAGCAGCTCCTAAGTTGAGCTGCTTCTCTGTCAGTTGCAGAGACAGATCTGAAGAGCATCAGAACAACATCCTGTGACGCACTTCTCTGCATGGAGCTCCTCCCAGCTCCTCCCAGATCCAGATACAGGACACCAGTGAGTTTTAACCCTGTCAGTTCCAAACTCCACACGCCCTTTGCTCAGCGGCCATTTTGTCTTGGGGCTTGGTTCAACCAGTTCCGCTTTTGCATCACCCTCAGCCTACATGCCAACCATCAAGCCTTGGGCAATTTCGAGAAGACGACCAGACGGAGGTGGCGACATTTCAAAACCCCTCAGCTACACAGCCGGCCGTAGGGCTCTCTCCCCACACTGGAAGATTTGTTTTTTCCTGAAGGACAGAAGGGAAAGGTTACCGCGCTTGAGGCTTTTCAGTACTGTTGTACCTTGGTTTTTGAACGGGATCCATTCCGGAAGTCTGTTTGACTTCCAAAAACGTTCGACAACCAAGGCATGGCTTCTGACTGGCTGCAGTAGCTTCCACCACGTCAGACGTTCAGTTTCCAATGAACGTTCGCAAACCGGAACACTCACTTCCAGGTTTGCAGCGTTCAGGATCCAAAACGTTCAAGTAGCAAGGCGTTTGACAACCAAGGTACAACTGTATAGAAAAAGGAGGTGTAAGAGGCAACATTACAGAAGTGTATAGAATTATGAATGGAAGAATTATGCTATGGAGGAAGTAGAAAGCAGAGAGACCACATGCTGGACATGAGCCAACGGTGTAATGCAGCAGCAAAAACCACTAATGCTATCCTAGCCTAGGGCCCTCGTATTTACGGGACCGCCTCTCCTGGTATTCCCCGCAGAGGACCTTAAGGTCCATGAATAATCATAGTTTAGAGGTCCCGGGCCCTAAGGAAGTCAGACTATCCTCCACCAGGGCCAGGGCCTTTTCAGTGATGGCTCCAACCTGGTGGAATGCTCTGTCCCATGAGACTAGGGCCCTGCAGGATTTAACCTCCTTCCGCGGGGCTTGTAAGACACAGCTATTCCGCCTGGCCTTTAATTTGAATTCAGCCTGATCTTTTATTTCCCTTCTCTTCCCTCCCCCTTTTATGAAGATTACCCACTCTGAGACCCCACAGCTAATTCTCCTCTGGCCTCCTCACTGGCCCAAGTAGGACTAATTCAGCCAGCTAGCCCTGGTGACTATCTAATGCTTATTGGATGAATTTCCCCCAAACTGATTTCTGAACTTTGAATTTTATTGTTATTCATGTTTTTATGCTGTATTTTATGCTGCTTCTACAATTAAGTGTTTTAAATTTGTTGTTAGCCGTCCTGAGCCCGGTTTTCTGAACCGGGAAGGGCGGGGTATAAATAAAAAAATATTATTGTTGTTGTTATTATCAACAAAAGATCCGGCCAAATATCCATCACACCTTGCCCAACAGGGACCAATCTTGAAAGCCCACATGCAGGACCCAGAAGGCAGCAGTGCCCTGCCCCCAGCAATTGGTATTCGGATGTACACTACTTCTGAACATGGAAACGTTTGCTTAGATCCTTTGGTACAATGAGAACATACAATAATAATATTATTAATAATTACTATTTTTTTATTTATACCCCACTCATCTGGCTGGGTTTCCCCAGCCACTCTGGGCCACTTCCAACAGAATACAGTGGTATGTCGGGTTACATACGCTTCAGGTTACAGACTCCGCTAACCCAGAAATAGTACCTCGGGTTAAGAACTTTTTTTCAGGATGAGAACAGAAATCGTGCTATGGTGGCAGCGGGAGGCCCCATTAGCTAAAGTGGTGCTTCAGGTTAAGAACAGTTTCAGGTTAAGTATGGACCTCCGGAACGAATTGAGTACTTAACCCGAGGTACCACTGTATTAAAAATAAAATAAAACTTCAGACATTTTTTAAAAAACAGACTCTCACCACACAGCAAAAAACAAGGCACGCTCTCGCTCGGACCTGACCCCAGATGTTCAAATCAGATGTTCAAATCTAACGCGGGGTCAGTTGGTTAGAGTGTGGTGCTGATAATGTCAAGGTTGCAGATTCAATCCCTGTACGGGGATATCTACACCTTCCTGCATTGCAGGGGGCTGGACTAGATGACCCTCAGGGTTCCTTCCAAATGTACGGTTCTATGAATCTTACCATAGAGTTATAAATTCTAGAGGTGGGAACCAGGAACATGCTCAGGCATTGTTTGAGTTAATTTTTTTTTTAAGGCAAGCAAGCAGGAGGACAGAGGCTTCCTCTTAAAGGGGGGGGGGAATTTCACCAGCTGAGAGAACAAACCACCCAGCTTAAGCTGTGGCCAAGGGCGTCCCAGTTCTGCCCAGGTCCCTTTTTCTGCCCAACCAGTGTGGCTCAGTGTCAGAGCATCTGCCTGGCATGCAGAATGTAAATCTCCAATGGCATCTCCAGGCCAGCCTGCGAATGGATGCCCCCCTGCCTGCAACCTTGGAGAGCTGCTGCCAGCCCATGCAGGCAACACCAGCCTGCCTGCCTCTTCTCCCCCTGCCTTCCTGCCTGCCTTAGGACCACCTCATCCCCCTACCCCTGCAACCCAAATGCCCCCCCCCCCAGCTTTGCTCTCACCCCTCCTCACCCTCAAAGTGCTGCCTCTGGGTGCAAAAAAAAGAAGAAGAGGAGGAGGAAAAGGAAGTTCCTCCCTTCCTTCCCCACCCCCAGCAGCCCACCCCAGTTCCCACGCCTCTCTAGGAGCCGCGGCTCGCTGCCTTTAACCCTTGCCCAGCCGCACTGAAAATTAATAATACTTCCCCCTTTTCCAGACAACGATCAAAAAAGCCGGATCCACATCCCAAAGATGCTAAGGGTGTGTGAGAAAGAGAGACGGGGTGATGGGAACGGAATGGCTTGCATCCCTCAACAGGAGCACTGCAACATTTTGTTACAGTGGCCTCACTTGTTTCAGGTCACCAAAATCTGTGAGCTGCTTAAGTACAATTTAAAAGACACCCTCAAAGTGGTTTTACAGAAAGAATACATTTTAAAAAAAGAAAGAAAGAAACATCAGGGAAAACAACTATTTAAAAGGTTCAGAAATAATTAAAAACAGTGAAAAGTTAAAAAAAAGATTCAAATACATGTCGACATCCTTCATATCTGGATAGGCTTGTAAAAATAAAGGTTCTACAGTGAAGGCATCTGCCTGATGTCAATAGGCAGAGAGTTCCAATATTGATTTCTGCTGCTATTGTTATTTTAATTTATTACACTGTAAACAGCATTTTAAAAAATGCAATCACAAAAAATATGGTAGCTCTTTACCCCCCCCCCCCCCGCATGAACATCTCTGTATGTGGATAAATGGCAGGAAATACAGTATGATTTATATGCTGCCGTAGAGTTTTTAATTTGATTCTACATATGTAATTATTATTAATATTATTTTCCGTTGTTATCCCTGAGAAACATAGAAAATAACAGGATATATCTATCCAAAATAATAATAATAATAATAATAATAATAATAATAATAATTTATTTGTACCCCGCCCATCTGGCTGGGCTTCCCCAGCCACTCTGGGCGGCTTCCAAAAAAATATTAAAATACTGTAATACATCAAACATTAAAAGCTTCCCTAAACAGGGCTGCCTTCAGGTGTCTTCTAAAAGTCTGGTAGTTGTTGTTCTCTTTGACATCTGGTGGGAGGGCGTTCCACAGGGAGGGCGCCACTACCGAGAAGGCCCTCTGCCTGGTTCCCTGTAACTTGGGTTCTTGCAATGAGAGAACCGCCAGAAGGCCCTCTTCAAACTTACATGACCCTTTAAAAATTAGCTGATGAAGGTGAATACATCGAAACGGGGCCCTGTCCTGGTTCCTGATCCACAACTGACTTCTGATTTCTGCTCAATGATTGAAACCAAGACCTCCACATTGAATCTGAGTATGGACTAACATGAATTTATCTCTACTCATAAACTCTTACCTTTAATACTGTAACAAATTATTGTGTTATACATATCTTTATGAGTTTGAGTTTGTAATCTCTGTTAGAGTTTGTAATCTCTATTTGAGTTTGTAATCCTTGTCAGAATACATACTTTTGAATGGATTAGTTTTCGTTACAATTGACTATTGATTTGTGAGTAGGGACTACTCCCACTATTGAAACTTACATTGGCCTGAGTTCTTGGTGTGCTTTTTTCTTGGTATATTTAATAACAAGAACTCCAGCTTATTTAAGGAAATACAGTATAGCATATAAATATGGTGAAGGGCCTTGTAGGGGGTTCCCCCCCCCCTTTCTCTCCTCCCTTTTCCCCCTCTTGCTTTTATATCTTTGGGTTCTTTTTTAAATTCTTGTTTTGTAGGCTAGTTTGATTCCGATAGTATTTTATGTAAAAATATTTCCATAACATTAAAAAAACAAAACAAAAACCCCCAGAACAGCAGTGCTCTCCCCTACGCTCTTAAGACATGTTGGTTATGTAGAGTCTCCATATTCAGGAGTAGTCAAATGCTGTAAAACTACAGTTTCACCAGAATCAGCACTCCAGCAAAGGATGCTGTAAAATATGGGGGGGGGGGGAGCATGGTTTTTGTACTCCACGGAAGATGAAGTCCCGCTTTTCCTTTGGACATCCCTATTCTGCCCGCGGACTGTCTCGCCAGAGTGGTGCATGCTCTAGTTATCTCCCGCTTGGGACTACTGACACAAAAAACATCGGGTGCTTCCACATGAAACGTTGCACCTTCAGGGATGGCAGCTAACAGATTGAGGTTGAATCCTGACAAGACAGAAGTACTGTTCTTAGGGGACAGGGGGCGGGCTGGTGTGGAGGACTCCCTGATCCTGAATGGGGTAACTGTTCCCCTGAAGGACCAGGTGCGCAGCCTGGGAGTCATTTTGGACTCACAGCTGTCCATGGAGGCGCAGGTCAATTCTGTGTCCAGGGCAGCTGTTTACCAGCTCCATCTGGTTTGCAGGCTGAGACCCTACCTGCCCGTGGACTGTCTCACCAGAGTGGTGCATGCTCTGGTTATCTCCCGCTTGGACTACTGCAATGCGCTCTATGTGGGGCGACCTTTGAAAGTGACCCGGAAACTGCAACTAATCCAGAATGTGGCAGCAAGACTGGGGACTGGAAGTGGCCGCTGAGACCACATAACACCGGTCTTGAAAGACCTACATTGGCTCCCAATACGTTTCCAAACACAATTCAAAGTGTTGGTGCTGACCTTTAAAGCCCTAAACGGCCTCAGCCCAGTAGACCTGAAGGAGCGTCTCCATCCCCATCGTCCAGCCCGGACACTGAGGTCCAGCACCAAGGGCCTTCTGGCGGCTCCCTCACTGCGAGAAGCCAAGTTACAGGGAACCAGGCCGAGGGCCTTCTCGGTAGTGGCACCCGCCCTGTGGAATGCCCTCCCACCAGATGTCAAAGAGAACAACAACTACCAGACTTTTAGAAGACATCTGAAGGCAGCCCTCTTTGGGGAAGCTTTTAATGTTTAACAGAGTACTGTATTTTAATACTTTGTTGGAAGCAGCCCAGAGTGGCTGGGGAAACCCAGAGATGCACGGGGTATAAATAATAAATAATAAATAATAAATAATAAATAATAATAATAATAATAATAATAATTATTATTATTATTATTATTATTATTCAGATGTCAGAGAAATGTTGGAGAGTATGGAGTTATGCAAACCCCTGAGCCAAGGAGATAAGTTACTAGACAAGCTTTGGAAGCCATCTAAAGGGAGCCCTGAATGGGGAAGCTTTTTCATGTTTGATGTTTTATTATGTTTTTATATATGCTGGAAGCTGCCCAGGGTGAATGGGGCAACCCAGTTAGATGGGAAGGGGGTTAATAATAATAATAATAATAATAGACTATGATGTCCCTATTTTCCTCAGAGAAATGTTGGAGAGTATATTTTTGGAGGGCCTAGGGCCCTCAAATATTTTATTGGGGTGTGGGAGACCAGATGATGTACTATGCTGAAATGTTGAAATTGACCCGGAAAATCAGAAACCAGGAAGAGAACAACTTTAAGGAGTGGGAAAATTTTAAAATGTATTTAAGAGAACATTGTAAACAACTAAAAACTTTGGCAGGATTTGAGTAACGCTTGGAATGTACAAAAAATTATGGATTACTTAAGAAAAGTAGAGAAAATAACAGAAGCAGTTTAAAAAGATTGATAGTGGTAACTTTGGGAGGACGGAGGGGAGTCGAAGGATTCAGGGAATCCTAAATGATGATGTTGATGTTTACTGTTTGAATGTAAATTTGCAATGCAAAACTTAATAAAAAAGATTTGACCAAAAATTTTAATAAGGAATGGGGGGAATTTATAACTTACCTTAAAAGACCATTGTAAACAGTTAAAATCGTTAGTAGGATTGGAATATCGCTTGTAGTTCAATGGTGAATTTTGGATGCAATGGAGAGGTGAAAAGATTTGGATTATCATAAAAGATGCAGGAGGAAATGATAAACAGTAGGACCCAAAAAGAGGAGGAGGGAATTTCAAGAGATTCATAGGAATCTTGTTTTTATGCTGCATGTTGGTTATGCGACTGTAAAACTTTAATCCGAAAAAACAAATAAATTAATTTAAAAAAGAAGTCGGCTCTGATGCCCAGGGCTGTGCGTTCGAGCCGCACGTTGGGTGACAGATTCCTGCATTGCAGGGGGTCGGACTAGATGACCCCGTGGGATCCCTTCAAACTCGATCGTTCTCCGACTAGCGATCTGACCCTGCCCACGGCATCTTCCTCCGCCTCTCCATTCAACTCTTGGCCAGGCACGAGTTAAGTTCAGAGAGCGCAGCTGCGCGCAGCAGCGCAGGCGTCCAGAGCGCATGGCTCTCCCCACCCCCGGCAGCTGGAATCCCGGGAACTGTAGTTCTCCCTCTGGCGGAGCTACAGTTCCCGGCACCCTCTGCAAACTACAGTTCCCAGGGTTCTTTGGGTGCGCTTCCAGCAGGCGAGGGTGGGCGGGGTGGCGGCGGCGGCTGGAGAGCCATTTCCTTTCTGCTCGCACGGCCGGCGAGGCTCCACCTCTTCCTCGAGAAGCTGGATTTTGAATTTCCCAACGCAGGGGGCTGCCTCCGCCGAAGAAGCAGCGCTTTCCCAAGCCCGATCGCCGGTGGTATCCCAGGTGAGGGTCTCCGGAAGGAGGGCCGGGGGGCGGAGGAGGGGTCTGGCGGGGCTGGGAAGGGGGGCGAGGCTGGAAATGGGGTCCCCGGGTCGGGGCGGTGCAATGGTGCGCCCTCGCCTCCCCAGCTCGGCTCAGGCGCAAAGCAGAGGCGGAAAGGGCGGTCGGAGATGGCCGGGAACACAACTTGAAACGATGCGGTTAATGCAGGGTTAATCTGGCGCAGGAACAATCCCCCAACGCTCATACCCTCCCAACATTTCTCCAATGGCATCATCATCATCATTTTATGATTTATGGGTTTCCCCAGCCACACTGGGCGGCTTCCCACATACATAAAAAAACATTTTAAAACTTCCCTGTGCTGGGCTGCCTTCAAATGTCTTCTAAAGGTTGTATATAGTTACTGATCTCCTGGGGGGGGGGGGAGGTCGCAAAACTCCGTTACTCTCCAACATTGAAAATAGAGGCATCCCAATGAAAAGTGGGATCAAATCAGACATGGGGGCAGCTTCTGCAAATCCAGGACTGTCCCTGGAAAATATGGACGCTCGGAGGGTCTGTAAGACTGGCACTGCCGCACAACAGCAGTGAGTTTTGTGTGGAGCCCTTTGAAGACTAAAGGGTCTATTTTGGCCTTAGGCACGTTTGTGGAACTTCCACCAGCTCATTTTGTTTTTAATGTTGGGTTTTTAAATTATTATTATTACATTGAGGGCCACCTTTATTTTCAAAGGGTCTCAAGTTGGTTTGCCTGGTTCTCCTCTTGCCCATGCCATCCTCTCAACAACCCTGTGAGGTGGGTTAGGCTAAGAGATGAGGACTGGCCCAAGGTCACATGGCTGAGTGGGGCTTCGAACCCAGGTCTCCCAGGTCCTAGTCCCAGCACTCTTAACCGTTACACCTCACTGGGTTTTTAATTGTTGTGATCCGCCCTGGGACCTTAGGACGAAGGTGTGAGGGTTTGTTTGTTTGTTTTTTTCACAATTGAGCGGTATACAGTGGCACCTCGGTTTTCGAACGTCTCCATTTACAAACGCCGTAAACCCGGAACTAAACGCTTCGGTTTTCGAACACGCCTCAGAAGTCGAACATGCCGCGCGGCTTCTGCTGAGTGCAAGATCCTGAGGCCTAGCTGCCGGCTGTTGAGTCCTGAGCACGGAGGTGATATTTGGGCTTATTTGGTGACTCTCTTGCAACCGATTTGTTTTTGTGACTGTGTGCAATCAAATCTCTGCTCATCTCATCTCAGGATCCCTCTGCCAATCACCCCTTTGCTGTGAGAAATGGATAACAGCTGCAAAGCCAAGAGAACCATTAACAGAACAACAATAGAGGTGAAGAAGGAAATTATTTCCAAACATGAAAGTGGTGCCCGTGTACGTGACCTGGCAAGGCAGTTTGGTATAGCCAAATCGACAATTTGTACCATCTTAAAAAATAAAAAAGCCATTAAAGGAGCCAACGTTGCAAGAGGCGTTAAAACACTTACAAAACAAAGAACGCAGACCATTGAGGAAGTGGAAAAATTGCTTTTCATATGGATAACCGAAAAACAGCTGGCCGGTGACAGCATTTCTGAGAGCCTGATCTGTGAAAAAGCTTTACGTTTGCATGCTGACCTCGTCAGAAACATCCCTGGAGCAAGTGAGGGTGAGATTTTCAAGGCAAGCAGAGGCTGGTTTGATAATTTTAAGAGGAGAAGTGGGATACACATTTCGGCGAGACACGGTGAAGCTGCCATTGCCAACAGAGAAGACGCCGACCAATTTGTTTTGGAATTTCAAGATTACGTAGAGGCTGAGGGTTTCCTTCCCCAACAAGTGTTCAACTGTGACGAGACAGGCCTCTTTTGGAAGAAAATGCCCAAGAGGACCTACATAACAGAGGAGGAGAAATCATTGCCAGGACACAAGCCCATGAAAGACAGGCTGACCCTTTTATTATGTGCGAACGCAAGTGGAGATTTCAAGCTGAAGCCTTTGCTGGTCTACCTTTCGGAGAACCCCAGGGTATTTAAGAAAAACAATGTCATCAAAAGCGAATTGCCTGTGATGTGGAGGGCAAACAGCAGAGCTTGGCTGACTAGGCGATTTTTCGTTGAGTGGGTTCACGAAGTGTTTGGGCCAAGCGTGAAAAAATACCTCCAGGACCAAAATCTTCCACTGAAGTGCCTGCTTGTTATGGATAACGCTCCAGCCCACCCTCCAGGATTGGCGGACGAGTTGATGGAAGAGTTTGGTTTTATCAGTGTCAAGTTTTTGCCCCCCAACACGACTCCCCTCATCCAGCCCATGGACCAGCAGGTCATGTCCAATTTTAAGAAGCTTTACACCAAAGCAGTGTTCCAAATGTGCTCTGAGGTGACCTCGGACCCTGAGCTAACCCTCAGAGAGTTCTGGAAGAACCGTTTCAATATCCTACATTGTTTACATCTCATAGACAAAGCATGGGGCGATGTGTCTCAGAGAACATTGAAGTCGGCATGGAAGGAATTGTGGCCGGCAGCTGTTCCTGAAGGTGTATTTGAGGATGTTGGAGAAGATGCTCCTGTTGTTGAGGATATTGTGTCTCTGGGGAAGTCCCTGGGCTTGGAAGTGAGCAGAGAGGACGTCGAGGAGTTAGTGGAGGACCACAAGACGGAGCTCACCACAGAAGAACTCCAGAACATTCTGATGGAGCAGCAACAGGCGGCCACTGAGGAATTGTCTGAGGAGGAGGAGGAAGAGAAGAGAAGAGAAAACGTTCCTACTGCACTGATCGAAGAAATGTGTGCGAAATGGGCTGAACTGCAAAGCTTTGTTGAAAAATATCACCCTGATGCCGCTGCTGTCAGTCATGCCACCAACACGTTCAATGATAGCGCTATGTCTCACTTTAGACAAATTTTAAAACAACGGAAAAGATCCGCTGAGTCTGAACCAGGTGTCAGCGGTGTAAAAAGGGAAGGCATGGCAGGACGGGAGTCAGCTAGAGGGATTCTGGAAGAGGGCTACAGGACACTTGAACAGCAGTCACCTTTTGTGATTATTGAAGGGGACTATCATCATCTTTGCAGGTAAGAAAAAAAAATGACATTTCCGTTTTTATCATCTACAGTACTGTTTTTACACTAGTGGCCAAAATTGTGGAAACCTTTTGGGGAAAGTGTATTTCAAAGGTTTGGTGGCTCATAACACCACTTTTTGGGGGGAGTAATACCATAAAATCAGTGCTTTTTTCAGGGAGGGGGGACACAGGGGTATGCATACTCCTAAATATTTTGTGAATCTTTGTACTTTTCTCCATTTACTGTATTTATTTTTCCCAATTTGAACTATAATTTTCTTCAGACAAAATGAGAGTACCCCTAAACGTTTTTTCAGGAAAAAAAGCACTGCATAAAATTATATACCAATGGAAATATAATTTAATGAAGAGTGTAATGCAACAAAGTTTGTTCAGTTATCTGTATTCTATCAAAGGTTATAGCCAAATAACCAGAAAAAGGAGTGTTTAGAGAGCCAATCAGGTGTCATCTTGTTTTGGCAATGATGGCTCATGACACCACTTTTTTTGGAGTAATAACATAAAATTATATATCCGTGGAAAGATAATTTATTGAATAATGGATGTAATGAAGAAGCACCTGTCTGAGCTGCTGCCAGCCAGAGCAGGCGGCACAGAGCTAGGTGGGGTAATGGTCTGGCTCTGGATAATGCAGCTTACTGTGTCCTGTCTAAGCCATGTGTCACACCCTTAAAAATAATAAAAAAATAATTTTGAAAATTATTATTATTATTATTATTATTATTATTATTAATTGAACTTCTATATCGCCCTATACCCAGAGGTCTCAGGGTGGTTCACAGAACAAAATCAAAGTATAAAACCACAAAATATATACAGTGGTGCTTTGGTTCTCAATCTGTTCCAGAAGTTGGTTCCAAAACCAAGGTGCGCTTTCCCGTAGAAAGTAATGCAAAATGGATTAATCTTTTAAAAACAACCCATAAAACAGCAATTTAACATGAATATTACTATCTAATGAGACCATTGCTCCATAAAAATGAAAGCAATAAACAATGTACTGCAGTTACACAGTCATTCAATCAGTAGCTGAACTGGGTTCCACACAATCACAAAAATAAAAACTGCAAAACTGAAAAATATACAGTGGTACCTCTGGATGCGAACGGGATCCGTTCCGGAGCCCCGTTCGCATCCTGAAGTGAACGCAACCCCTGCGCGTGACATCATTTTGAGCATCTGCGCGAGCGGCGAAACACGGAAGTAACATGCTCCGTTACTTCCGGGTCGCCACGGAGCGCAACCCGAAAATGCTTCAACCCGAAGTATGACAGCACAGCAAAAACAGGCAGACGTTAGCATAACACTCAAAACGGAAGCGTAACACTCAGTTCAGAAGCATAACACTCAAAACGGAGCACGTTCAGCTTCCGAAAAAAGTTTGCAAACCGGAACACTTACTTCCAGGTTTGCTGTGTTTGGGTCCCAAGGCATTTGAGTACCAAGGTGCCGCTGTAATCAAAATCAAAATAATAACCCCCCTATAAATTTTATTTTATGTTTTATTACGTCACACTTAGCCTTGAATCCCGTCTCGCCCTTTCTCACCCAGGCCTCATCAAGCTTGGTACGCGAGGCCACTAAGCTACCCAGGGACGACAATGAAAGAGGCGCTTGCCGCAGGCTCGGAAGATTTCAAGACGGGGGTGTTTGAAGAGGCTGTTCCTCACCACAGCCCACTTCACCTGGAGCCCCAGGAGATCAAGGTGGAGCCAGAGGAAAGGCCTCTCCACTCCTGGGATGCTCAGTGGCAGGGCTGCCCTCCGGGAGACGAGCCCTCGCATTCCACGTGGGACGCTGCTCGGCCGTCGGGGGACGAGACCCCTCCGGTTATCCCGGACGTCCGCCGGGAGCCTGCCGGGAAGGGGAGGGCGAAGCACGTCCCGGCCTTCCGAGACGGAGACTGGAAGATCTCCAGGACCCTGAAACCAGGAGACCCAAACGGGAAGGGCGATGTCCCGAGTGGAGGCAACATCGACACGGAGGCCAAGCGCCAGCGTTTCCGGGGTTTCCGCTACTGGGAGGCCGAGGGGCCTCGCACGGCCTGCGACCGGCTCCAGGAGCTGTGCTACGGCTGGCTGAAGCCGAAGAGGCACACCAAGGAGCAGATCTTGGAGCTGGTGGTCTTGGAGCAGTTCCTGGCCGTCCTGCCGCCAGAGATCCAGACCTGGGTGAGGGATGGTCGCCCCGAGACCTGCGACCAGGCAGTGGACCTGGCAGAAGCCTTCTTGCTGAGGCCTCAAGAGGTAGGGAGCGGGTGGGAAGGGCAGCTGAGGGGTTTGGGGGGGTGGGAAAACTTCCTCGGGGGAATATGACAGGGTGGTGGCGTGGGTACAAGGAGCAGGGAGCCTGGACCCACATGGGCAAGGACACAAGCTCACCCAGTGAGTGGGGATTCGAATCCGGGTCTCAATAACAACAACAACATATTATTTATACCCCACCCATCTGACTGGGTTTTCCCAGCCACTCTGGGCGGCTTCCAACAGAATTTTAAAATACAATAATCTATTAAACATTAAAAGCTTCCCTAAACAGGGCTAGGGACGCGGGTGGCGCTGTGAGTTAAACCACAGAGCCTAGGACATGCCGATCAGAAGGTTGGCATTGCGAATCCCTGCAACGGTGTGAGCTCCCATTGCTCAGTCCCTGTTCCTGGCAACCTAGCAGTTCGAAAGCACGTCAGAGTGCAAGTAGATAAATAGGTACCACTCTGGCGGGAAGGTAAACGGCGTTTCCGTGCGCTGCACATGACCCGGAAGCTGTACGCCGGTTCCCTCGGCCAATAAAGCGAGATGAGCGCCGCAACCCCAGAGTTGGTCATGACTTGACCTAATGGTCAGGAGTCCCTTTACCTTTACCTTTAAACAGGGCTGCCTTCAGGTGTCTTCTAAAAGTCTGGTAGTTGTTGTTCTCTTTGACATCTGGTGGGAGGGCATTCCACAGGGCGGGTGCCACTACCGAGAAGGCCTTCCTGGTTCCCTGTAACTTGGCTTCTCGCAGTGAGGGAACCACCAAAGGCCCTCTGCACTGGATCTTGGTGTCTGGGCTGAACGATGGGGGTGGAGATGCTCCTTCAGGTATACTGGACCGAGGCCATTTAGGGCTTTCAAGATCAGCACCAACACTTTGAATTGTTCTCAGAAACGTACTGGGAGCCAATGTAGGTCTTTCAAGACCAGTGTCTTTCAAAACTCTCTTAACAGTTACGCTATACTGGGTTTTAAATTGTTGTGATCCTCCCTGGGACCTTAAGGTGAAGGTTTGAGAACCCATTCATCAGTTGCTCAGTCTCTCTCCCTTCCACACAATAAAATCAAAACACATCCAGCTCACATTTAAAAGCACCCGACTTCTCCCCAAATAATCCTGGGAATTGTTGGTTGTTGAGGGTGCTGGGAATTGTAGCTGTGTCGGGGGCGGGGGAACTACACTTCCCATGATACTTTTAGGGAAGTCTTTGTGTAGAGCTGCTCTCCATTGCTCACAAAAGACCCATTCATTCTTACTGGGAGGGAAAAGAACAATGGTGTGTTGTGAGAGGAAAGTGGATAGAGAGAAGTTTTTTCTCTTGTCATAATCCTGGCCTGCTAGATGTTGGCAGGCAGGGTTGAGGGAACAGCAATACAGTGGTGCCCCGCAAGGCGAATGCCTCGCAAGACGAAAAACCCGCTAGACGAAAGGGTTTTCCGTTTTTCGATGCGCTTCGCAAGACGAATTTCCCTATGGGCTTGCTTTGCAAGATGAAAACATCTTGCGAGTCTTGCGATTTTTTTCTCTCCCCCCCTTTTTCTAAGCCGCTAATAGCTTTTTAGCCGCTAAGCCTTTAATAGCCGCTAATAGCGCTAAGCCGCTAATAGGGTTGCTTCGCAAGACGAAAAAACCGCTAGACGAAGAGACTTGCGGAACGGATTATTTTTGTCTTGCGAGGCACTACTGTATGTGAAGAGAGCCGCAGCATTTGGACCTTTTTTAGTTTAGACAAAAAGTGAGCATGGCCAGTCTCTCTTTTGATTCGTTCAGGCTCCCAATTCTGAGGCCGGATCCACAAAACCACATCTCATTCTTGACTGAAACGGTTGGTCAAGACTACTACCCATAGCTGTCAACGTTTCCCTTTTTTTAAGGGAAATTCCCTTATTCCGAATAGGATTCCTCGCAAGAAAAGGGAAAAGTTGACAGCTGTACTTCTACGTGAACCTAGGGGGTGGGCTGTCTTTTCCTTCTTGAGGGGCGCATTCCCTTCTGAGGGCCACGCTCCAGAGGCAGAAGTGAGAGGAACAATGGATTCAAAATTTATTTTTATATAGGACGGTGGGCTAGTTTCTGCGCAAACTCACATACCCCTCTCTAATCCAGACATGATCAGAGCTCAAGAACACATCATGGAGGGAGAGAGGAGCGGAGGCTACGAGGGGAGTTGCTCACCCCTGCCTTGGACTGTGATTTGTTTTTCTCTCCATTTATATCCCACCACCTTCTCCAAGGAGCCCAAGGTGCTGCACATGGCATCTTCCCCTCCTTATTTCATCCCCACAACAACACTGTGAGGTAGGTTAGGCCTAGAGGCAGCGACTGGCCTGAGGTCACCCAGCGATCTTCCATGGCGAAGTGGAGATTTGAACCCTGGTCTGCCAGGTCCTGTTCTGGTGGCACCTGGCTCTCAGTACGACAGTTGTGGTCTGCGGGGGGCATAGGCCGGAGTCTGAATTGGACAGCCTGCTGTTGTGTCTTAATAACGGGGGTCACATTTGGCTGTTTTAGGATCTGGACACGTACGACGAAGTGGTTGTGGGCCTGTCGGATGGAGACCAGGCTTTGATGGAGACCGAGGTGAAGGAAGAGGTCGACGACAGCCCCAGCTCGCCAGGTAAGGCTTTCTTGCCTCTTAAATTCTGTGCTTTCCGAAGGCAGCTTTGGTTGAAAAGAGCCTGGCTGCTGCGTCAGGCCAGATACGATACAATACAATAATCTTTATTGTCATTGTGCCATACAGAACAATGAAATTGAAAAATCTGCATAAGACATTCAAAACCCAACAAGCCTGCTATCCCAGCCTGGTTAGCCCCCTAAAAACTTTGATACCCCATCTTTAAATACAAGATACTCCCCTACAGACTCCTTAAAGGTAAAGGTAAAGGGACCCCTGACCATTAGGTCCAGTCGTGACAGACTCTGGGGTTGCAGCGCTCATCTCGCTTTACTGGCCGAGGGAGCCGGCGTACAGCTTCTGGGTCATGTGGCCAGCATGACTAAGCCGCTTCTGGTGAACCAGAGCAGTGCACGGAAACGCCGTTTACCTTCCCACCGGAGCGGTACCTATTTATCTACTTGCACTTTGAGGTGCTTTCGAACTGCTAGGTTGGCAGGAGCAGGGACCGAACAATGGGAGCTCACCCCGTCACGGGGATTCAAACCGCCAACCTTCTGATCGGCAAGCCTTAGGCTCTGTGGTTTAACCCACAGCGCCACCCGCGTCCCGTACAGACTCCTTACAATGCATTTAAAACCAACATCGCATTTGGGTAGAAGCTGTTTCTCAGGCAGCTAGTCCTAGTCTTTCTAACCCCTGTACCAGAAGGCAGAAGCTGAAAGAGATCATTTCCGGGGTGCTCACTATCTCTGAAACTTTCTTATGGCACCTGGAAGCGTAGATTTGATCCAAGGTGGGAAGAATGCACCCAATTATTCTCTCCGCAGTCTTTACAACCCTGGACAGCTTTGTTTTTCCCCTGACCGTGCAGTTCCCAAACCACACACACACACCATAAGTTAATACACTCTCAACAGTACAATGGTAAAATGCCATCAACAGGTCCTTTGACAGCCCCACCCTGTTCAGGATCCTGATCTCCCATTGGCAACCAGGGGAGCCCACAAGCAGCACCCAAAGGCAACAGCACTCCTCCTCTGTGGTTTACATCTGTTGTTGTTGTTGTTGTTTTATTGAATAAAAACCACAATATATATATTCAAAATAAAAACAACAACCCAATAATACCCCCCCAAAAAAGAGGCACATTTTAAAAGAGTATAGGATGTCATCAGGTCAACCAAAGGCCTGGTTAAAAAGGAACATTTTTGACAGCGCCTAAAGGTGTATAATGAAGGAGCCAGGCGAACTTCCCTGGGGAGAGCATTCCATAGACAGGGAGCCACTGCAGAGAAGGCCCTGTTCTCGCCTTGCCACCCTCTGGACCTCTCATGGAGGAGGCACAGAAAGAAGGTCCTCAGAGGAGGATCTCAGGGTCTGGGAAGGTTCATATGGAAAGAGGCATTGCGGTCCTGAGCCATCTAAGGCTTTATAAGCCAAAGCCAGCACTTTTAACTGGGCCCGGAAATGGGACCCCTGTCTGAAATGATCTGGGAGGCTTTGACTGTGATAGGGAGGAAACAGGAAGGGAGGGTAAAAAGGATAAAAGTTGGTGGCAATGTAAAATCATTTAAAAGGCCTGAGAAAAGGCATATAAAGATTGGAAAGGAATGTGAAAAATGATTGTTGTTTAAAAAAAATGAAGTTACGATATTGAGATGTACGGGTCTTGATGGACTTATTGAACGAAATACTTTGTTCCTGTACTTAAGAGTGGACGCCAGGCCAAGACCAGCCAGCTCCCACAAAAGGAAGACTCCTCTGCCAGAGAAGATGAAGAAGACTGGCAAAATAAACTCTTGAACTATGCAGGACAAATCAGTTAACTTGAAACCCAAGAAAAGAAAGAGGACTTTGAATTTTATAAAAAGGGGCAAATGTTTAATGCATATCTTTTAAGCATTGTGTATAGATTTTTACATTAGTCTAACTTCTAAAAGTCACTTGTAACAAGTTTAAAATTGTTTTAGGTTTAAAATTGGGTTATTAGGAATCTAAGGTTTAAAGGATGTGTGTGAACGAGTACTAAACAATGGAACCAAGAGGGGGAGTGGAGGGAAGTCAAGCAAAAAGTATGGTTTAAAAATTTGTTTATGATGTTTTCTTTCTCTTTCTGCATTATAGTTGCTATTTTTATTTTTGTTTTTGTTGTTACTTTTGGAAAATTAATAAAATGTTATCAAAAGAAAAAAGAAAAAATAATAATTGGGCCCAGAAACTAATTGGTAGCCAGTGCAATCGGATCAGTATAATAGGCTCAAACCGCCTTGCTCCGGTGAGCAACCTGGCCGCTGAATTCTGCACTACCTGAAGTTTCCGAAATGTCTTCAGAGGCAGCCCTACGTATAACGCATTGCAGTAATCTAACCTTGAGGTTACCAGCACATAGACAATAGTAGTTAGGCTATTCTTGTCCAGATAGGGCTGTAGCTGGGCCAGCAGCCGAAGCTGATGGAAGGCACTCTGGGCCACTGAGACCACCTGAGCCTCAAGGAACAGCAAAGTTGATATCCAAAGGCATTTGCCATCTCTGACTATGGCAGGAGAACGTAACCATTGTGACTTGGGTTCATGGTATCCCTGCAGAAATCCCCTGAGCATGGGCAGTCCTCTCTGCATTATTTTTGCTCACAGCTGTTGGAAGGACATAACACACAATGGAAATGTTAGTGTTTGAAGTCCTAAATGATCTGAAATAATAAATAAATCATATAATTATTTTTTTATTTATACCCCGCCCTTCCCGGTTCAGAAAACCGGGCTCAGCGTGGCCGACAACAAATTCAAACCATTTAATTGATGCAACAAAAAACATCATAAAATACAGTATAAAACGTGTATAACAATAAATTCAGAATTCAAAAATCAATTTAGGGGGGAAATCCATCCAATAAACATTAGATGATCACCAGGGCTAGCTGGCTAAGTTAGGCCTATTTGGGCCAGCGAGGAGACCAGGGGAGAATTAGCTGTGGGATCCCAGAGCGGGTAATCTTCATAAAAAGGGGAGGGAAGGAAGGGGAATAAAAGATCCTGCTAAGTTCAGATTGAAAGCCAGGCGGAATAGCTCTGTCTTACAGGCCCTGCGGAAAGAAGTTAAATCCTGCAGGGCCCTGGTCTCATGGGACAGAGCATTCCACCAGGTCGGAGCCATCACTGAGAAGGCCCTGGCCCTGGTGGAGGATAATCTGACTTCCTTAGGGCCCGGGACCTCTAAACTATGGTTATTCATGGACCTTAAGGTCCTCCATGGGGCATACCAGGAGAGGCGGTCCTGTAGATACGAGGGCCCTAGGCTAGGATAGCATTAGTGGTTTTTGCTGCTGCATTACACCGTTGGCTCATGTCCAGCATGTGGTCTCTCTGCTTTCTACTTCCTCCATAGCATAATTCTTCCATGCATAATTCTATACACTTCTGTAATGTTGCCTCTTACACCTCCTTTTTCTACGGGGCAGACCAGGAGAGGCGGTCTTGTAAATACGAGGTCCCTAGGCCCCCTCCTTCGCTACAGACCATCTTCTTGTTTTAGTGGTGTTCAATAATCAAAGCTTCGTTAACTTGGAAGGCCTTACAGATCGGGCTTGGGATGTTGCACGAGTGGAAGCAATGGGACTTTCCCTCCTTCTGCCCCCCCCCCCCCAAATCTGCTCTGGAGGGCTGGGCGAACCCCTATAATAACAATAATAATTTATTATTTCTACCCCGCCCATTTGGCCGAGTTTCCCCAGCCACTCTGGGCAGCTCCCAACAGAATTAATGATATTTTATTTTTTTAAAGCGATACAACATCAGACACTAAAAACTTCCCTAAACAGGGCTGCCTTCAGACGTTTTCTAAAAGTCAGTTGTTTATTTCTCTGACATTTGATGGGAGAGTGGGCACCACTACCGAGAAGGCCCTTTGCCTAGAACAGGCGTAGGGGGTTTGCAGGGTAGGAGACGGGGGGACATGGTGCTGCGCAAGCAATTTAATTCCACGTTGAATCCCGCTCTATACGCAATTCATTTCCATGTACTAAATTCTATTGCAGTTTCTGCACCCTTGTAGAAGTCTGTACCGGCTTGCACGGTGTTCCGTTCTGAGGTGGACTGCCGCAATAAAACGCTGTTCTCTTCTGCTCCAGGACATGAAATATTGTTGGATGAAAGCGGAAAGGAAGCGCGGCATGTGTCCGCCGAAGAATCGGAGTCCGATATGGAAGAGGAAGAATGTGAGATGGAAGAAGGGAGCTTTGGCGATCCGGGCGGAGCAGAGGGACACATGGCAAACGAAATCCAAGTCTGGAAGATCACGGGGCCCCAGAGCTTGCAGGAGGGCGTGGGCAGACACGTGTGCCCCGTTTGCGAGAGAGCGTTCACTCGCAAATCGAGCCTCAACCGACACCTGATAATCCACTCGGGAGAGAAGCCCTACAGGTGTCTTGACTGCGGGAAGGGCTTCAACCGCAGGACCAACCTGATGGCTCACGAGGCCGTCCACACCGAAGAGAAGTCCTACCAGTGCTCAGAGTGCGGGGAGAGCTTCAAGCCGAAATGGGGCATTGCCCCGTACCAGGTGGATCCCACGGGGGAGAAGGTCTACAAGTGCCTGTCGTGCAAGAAGAACGTCCGGCAGACGGGCAGCGTGATGAGCTGGCGGCTGCTGAACGAGCAAGGGAAGGAGATCCAGCCACAGCCCTCGGACGCGCCGGGCCCCGAGAAGGAGGAGAACGTCCCCGAGCACCAGAACGAACCTGAGATCGATCTGGGGAAGGACGTGTCCGTGGGAACGATCGAGTCGGTGATCGTTCCGGGTGGCGACCTTTGCTTCATCAAGACCCCGGCGAAGCTGTACAAGGGGAAGCGGATGAGCCCCTGCCCCGTGTGCGGCAAGGTCTTTGCCACGCAGTCGAGCGTCAACCGGCACCAGAGGATCCACACGGGGGAGAAGCCCTACAAGTGTTCCTACTGCGGGAAGAGCTTCAACCAGAAGACCAGCCTGCTCACCCACGAAGTCATCCACACCGAGGAGAAGCCGTACCAGTGCTCCGACTGCGGGAAGAGCTTCCGGCACTCGTCGGGCCTTCAAGTGCACCAGAGGATGCACACGGGAGAGAAGCCGTACACCTGCCTGGTCTGCCGCAAGAGCTTCAGCCAGCGGGCGCACGTGATCAAGCACATCGTGAGGAAGCACAAGGGGGAGAAACCCTCGTCCTACGTCTCTCAGCCGTCTGAGAGCTGAGGCGTGTGTCCCCTCCGGCCTCCCGGACTAAGATACAAGAGCAGACTGCAGTCTTAGCGTAGTTTGTTTAGGTGTAAGAATCCCCGCCCGTTCAGGATCCGTTCCTGACTTTTTGGGACTGGACATGCCTCTTTCTTGGAAAGAGAAAAATCCCAGGCCAGTGTACTCCAGCAGAGTCACAACAGGCACACTCCTCTGAGGGAATTTGACTGTGCCGCTATATTAGATTTGCTAAATCGCACTTAGTCTCCGGATGGGCAGCATTTGTTGCCGTCTCGTGGAGGCCAACCGGAAAGAGGGAAAACCTCTGCAGTGAATCGCTTGCGAGTCCTGCCCCTGCTCACTAGCGTACCCTGATGCCCAGTATGGGAACTGCAGCGATAATTAACACCAGAGCTTTTCGGTTGCCAGACATCCACCTCTGTATATGGTTAGGTTGCTGCTGTGCCAATAAATGTGGGTTGGTGGACATCTGTGGATGCGCAGAGGGAATATACCTCTTGGGCTATGAAGAACTTGTTGCAATTCCATCCTCCACCCCCATCAATGATTTCTCTATATTCGGAATGGATGGGGCACGAGGAATACAGTGACAGTTTTCTCTGTGTTAACTGGTCATGGACAACTTGCAACATGCAACTAGTCCTATATAGTTTCTGTGTGTTTTAGTAACTTGACGTCGGATTATGTCTCTGCTGCAAAGTTTTGGTAACTTGGGCTTTGAGCCTCGCAGGTGGGGCTCACCTCTGTGGGTGTACGTAGCAGTGGGCGGCTGATTCATTAGGGCAGCTGCTTATTGGGTCTGGCAGGGCAGAAGGCTGGGAGAGCCAGTCTAGTTCTAGTTTCCCCCTATTCTCCCTGCTCTGCAAGGAGAACACTGTGTGTGCAGGTGGGTGTCGCTGAGGACCGACTGAGTTTGGTGGAGCATTGACCCCACCCCCATTTCCCCTAGTGGGCCAGCCTGTGTTGCCTGCTGCCTGCCGTCTTACAGATTGCTCAGAGGAGTGTCCCACGCTGCCCTCAGTCCATTTCTGCCCTTGTAGAACTCAGCGGGAGGGTGGGGACAAAAGCAGAATTAGTTGGCTCCACCTATTCCAACTCTATGATTCTCTCGTTGGCTCTGGCGCCACCTGCTGTTGGGCTCCTTTCCTCCCGCCCCACCACAGCCACTGACCATTACTCCCCTTAAGTAGTTCTAGGATTGCAACCCTAGTCTTTTGGGTAGCGAGGGTGCCGTGTAGTATTTTTTATTAAAGTTTAACTCGTGTATGAAATGTACGCAGGCAGCCCCGGGTTGAGTCCCCCACCCCCGGCGTCACCCCTTAAAGAAGTGTCTCGGGTGGAACAATAAGCCTTGGAGCATTTTTTTTTTAAAGAATAAAATAGTATTTTGTATCAAAGTAATAGTTTAGTTAGTTTATTATCTGCATCCCGCTTTTCTACTACAATAATTAAAGCGGGTTACAATTTATGTAAAAAATAAAATAGGCTGGGAAATAATTTTTAACCATACCTTGCAAAATTGTACACCTTTCAAGCAGTTAAAGAACTGTCCCTTTAAAGATATCACTAGATTGGCCAGCTGACTTGGTGTGAAGCAAGCTTTGTGTGTTCCCTTTGAGGACAATTTAGGGCAGCTTTCCAAAAATCCCCTCTGGATTAGTCTTTCCTGTTCTTGGTGGACTTCCAGATGTTTTAATTCTGCCGGCTGGCGCCGGTGGGAGTCGTAGTTCAAACATCGGGGGAGGCACCTGGTTGGGGAAGGCCGCGTTACATACTGGGCAGAGCCACGCCACCCATTTAAAGCACAACCGACGCACATTTTGAGCACATCACTTCCCCCAAATAATCCCTCAAACTGTAGCTTGTTAAGGTAAAGGTAAAGGGACCTCTGACCATTAGGTCCAGTCGTGACCGACTCTGGGGTTGCGCACTCATCTCACTCTATAGGCCAAGGGAGTCGGCGTTTGTCCGCAGACAGCTTCCAGGTCATGTGGCCAGCATGACTAAGCCGCTTCTGGCGAACCAGAGCAGCGCACGGAAATGCTGTTCACCTTCCCGCTGGAGTGGTACCTATTTATCGACTTGCACTTTGACGTGCTTTCGAACTGCTAGGTTGGCAGGAGCAGGGACCGAGCAACGGGAGCTCACCCCGTCGTGGGGATTCGAACCGCCGACCTTCTGATCGGCAAGTCCGAGGCCCTGTGGTTTAACCCACAGCGCCACCCGCATCCCTTGTAGCTTGTTAAAGGTGCAGGGAATTGTAGCTCCGTGGTGGTGGGGAACTACATTTCCCATGATTCTGTTGGGAAAGCCATGTGCTTTAAATGGACGGTGTAGATCTTCACAGTGCCGCCCTGCAGTAAATTTCATGTCTTTGTCCATGGTGAAAGCAGATGGATAAATAGCCATCCATATATTGTTGGTGTTGTGCTTTCAAACAGTTATGGCGCACAGATCTACAATTTACAGGGCAGGTTTACAGAGATGTAAGTCTTACTCAGTTCAATGGGGCTTACTCCAAGGCGAATGTGTATCAGATTGCAGCCTGAAGCAAAATTGCTTAATTTATGGAGTGCTTGTTTAAAAAAAAGACTGCGGCAGGAGGCACATGAAAATGACTTTCTGGAAAGTGTTCACAAATTGCTTCACTTGGATCTTATCAGAAGTTTTCTGTCACAATGTTTGCCAGTGTTTTCTCTCTCTCTCTCTCTGCATGGGAAGGTGAGAAACACCTTGAGGGATTTCTGTGTGGGAGAGACAGCCTGTGAACTACTCATGAAATAAACAATGAAACTAACACCAGCCTCCTAATTGGGTTCCAGATCTCCACAGGTTTGATTTTATCCATGAAGAGTATTATACCCTCTTTAGCTCCCAAGAGGGCTTATTATTAAAACACACCCAGAGATGTGATTATAATGGAGACAAAATGTGGCCATGCGTGGACAGCTCCTGCTTAGGGTGTCATGCATCTAAGAATATTAATAATAATTTTATTATTTATACCGCACCCGTTGTTCCAAGATATCCCATTCCATTCCCCGCCTCTGGGTTTCCATTGTCCACAGGGGTTCAGTTCCTAGCCCACTGAGCATGCTTGCAGTGTGCAAGCCTAACCATGTCTACTCAGAAGTAAAAGGTAAAGGGACCCCTGACCAGGTCCAGTCGCGGCCAACTCTGGGATTGCGCGCTCATCTCGCTTTATTGGGAGCCGGCGTACAGCTTCTGGGTCATGTGGCCAGCATGACTAAGCCGCTTCTGGCGAACCAGAGCAGCGCACAGAAACGGCGTTTACCTTCCCGCCGGAGCGGTACCTATTTATCTACTTGCACTTTGACGTGCTTTCGAACTGCTAGGTTGGCAGGAGCAGGGACTGGACAGCGGGAGCTCACCCCGTCACGGGGATTCGAACTGCCGACCTTCTGATCAGAAGTCCTAGGCTCTGTGGTTTAACCCACAGTGCCACCCACGTCCCATAGTGCAAGCCATAAGCTTCCTTTAGGCGGTCTCCAGCATTGCATCAAAAATTCCTACAGGTTTTTAATTGTACTTTTATCCCTTTATTTCTTGTCTTGTATTAGAATTTTTGAATTCAAAATTGCAATAAAATACTATGTAAGAAATTAAAGTCATAATGAGAATATCATTAAATGGTCTGCTGGCTTCACAAAGAAACAATTCCTAGCACCTTCAGCAAACTGCAGTTCCCAGGATTCTCCATGATTATTAAAGTATGCTTTAAATCATGGCATTGATGATTGTGACCTGTAGCAGGAACCCCCCCACCCCAATCATTCTGTTTGTACAAACTTCACACACACTCACACACTACATACGCCACACTTCTGTTATAAATTCATAGAAAAATCAACCATACATTGGATTTGCACTGTTCCATTTTTATTTTACTCCATATGACAAGGACTATCAAAAGGGGGTGGCTTGGTTCTGGTCAGCCATAATCCCTTCACCATCCCAGCACATCCACAGGAGCCCTGCCCAGTTGTTATGCCAACCCTGATGATCCCAGACAGAAGACAATCAAGATCACAAAGAACTTGCATATGGGAGTGGATTCAGCATGGACTGAAACAAAGGACAATGATCAGATCTTCTCTCTGGGGGCAGGAAACTGCAAACTCCCCTTTGTCTCCTGGAAGTGACTCATGGGGAGGGGGAAAGGAAGAACCAGCCAGGTGACAGGACACTCAGGTTACCACCAACTCCTCCCTCAACCCCTCCTTTCTGTAATGTATGCATGATGTTTCTGGGGGTGGGCTTGACCTAGAGGAGGGGAATTTCAAAAGTTTTTATAAGACCTTGCACACTATTTTTCTTTGTCTTTCCTCTCACCTGCAAGTGAGCGGAGCACCCTGTCGCGACAGTCTTTCTTCAATAAAGACCAAACCTACAGGCTGCTGATTTGCTTCAATTTACTCTGGTTGGTGTCTTTACTTTTTGTCCAAGGGAGCCCTCGGATTTTTCCGGTAACAGACCTCAGTGGGAAAAAGACATTTTGTAAAAGCAACAACAGGGTAAGAATATTAATATTCTACAGCCTTTCAAATGTGTCTGGGGGAAGGGGGAGGGTTTATTGTTTTGCTGTTTTCGTTTTAATTATTTACCTGTGTTTTTACATTGCATTTTATTCTGTGAACCGCCCTGAGATCTTTTCATGAAGGGTGGTTTATAAACTTAATAAACAACAACAGCAGCAGCAGCATCATCATCATTAAATTTATTACTTATACCCCGTCCATCTGGCCTGGCCTCCCCAGCCACTCTGGGCGGCTTCCAATAGGATATTAAAAACACAATAAAACATCAAACACTCAAAAGTTCCCTAAACAGGGCATCTGCTAGGGATCATTTTGCTGCAATTCCTGCATTGCATGGGGCTGGACTAGCTGACTGTAGCGGTCCCTTCCAACCCTACAGGTCAAATAATAATAATAATAATAATAATAATCCTCCTCATAGGGGAATAGTTCAAGCCCCTTGATCACAGGGATGGGGGAACTTATAGCTCTCCAGATACGGTGTGGGTTTTTTGTTTGTTTTACATTCACTTTCTGCAGTGAACATAAATACTGTACATTCAAAACTTTAAAGAGGGGGGGAGCTGGAGGGGGAAGGGAATGGGTTCCGACAGAGCCCGCTGCACATGCACTTCATGCAAACAATTCCAAATATTTCTCCTCTTGGCGCCACCTGCCGAAAGCAGCTTTTCCTAGATTTAAGTCTTCTGACCATTTAGCAACTCTTGATGGGGGTGGGGCTTTGATTCCAGACGTTGCAGATCTCCAGGTCCCACCACCCCAGCCCCATTGGCCAACATCTGGAGGGCTGCAGAAACCCCCCCCCAAAAAAAATTCCACCCCTGTTTTAGATCCCCCCCCCTCGCCTTGCAGGAAAGGGGGCGGAAAATCCACCCACCCCCCTCGTTTCCGCAAAGCGTAGCTCACGTTCCGGGCACCCAGGGGTTAAGCTGCGAGAGCCTTGGATTCCTAGAGAGGCCACGCGGGGATGGGTGGGCGGGGCTGCTGATTTCTGCAAGTACGTCACCTGGTCATCCCAGGATCCGGGCGCGCGCGCGCAGACGTGACACGCCCCCCGCAGGCTCCGCCCCTTTCCCTGCCGCATGGGCTGTTTCTTCATCATTGTTTTGGTCGGCATCAGCCACGTGGGAAGCGAGTAAGTGCAAAGAAGAGGCTCCTTTGCAGGGAAATCAGATTTTGTGGAAGGAGAAGGTGAGCAGGTATTGAGAAGCCGGAGGAGAAATATCTTGGGTGTGTGTGTGTGTGTTTTGTGGGATGGCAAAACAGCTTTGCAGCCGATTTCCTCCTCTCTCTTTCTCTCTCCATCCCCAAATTATGTTCTTGGAGCGAAAAAGCGGGTGGAATTTGTAGGACTTATTTATTTAATTCAGCGTTTAGACACACGCCGTTCGTTTGCAAGAAGCTGCTTAATCCCAGCTTTTCTCGGGAGTGTTTGTATTTTTTAAATTTTAATTTAAGCAGGTTTAACAGCCTGTGAATCGGAGGTGATGAACTAGGAGGGCGCGTGGGGATGGGGGTGGAATCCCGGAAGGTCCCGAGTTCGAATGCTACCTCTGCTCTGAATTTACTAGGTGGGCTTTTATGGATCTAAGTATCTATTAACTCCAGCCTCCTCCAGTTCTTTACAAGAGGAGCAGGAAGATTGCCTTACCAGCTGTGATTCAGGGGCTGCATACACACCATACCTTTAAAATAACACACACACCCCGTCAAAGAATTGTGGCAACTTAGTATACCCCACCCCATAGAACTAAAGTTCCCAGCACCCTTAACACTATAGTTTTCAGGATTCTTCAGGGGGAAAGTTCAGAAAGCATGTGATCAGATTCACAGTTCAACTTCCTAAGGAAGTTAGATTAGCCTCAACCAGAGCCAGGGCCTTCTCAACACTGGCTCTGGCCTGGTGGAACGCTCTGTCTCATGAGACCAGAGGCCTGCGGGATCTGATTTCTTTCCACGGGGCCTGTAAGACAGAGCTGTTCCACCTGGCCTTTGGCTTAGAATCAGTTTGATTCCCTCCCCCTCTTTCTTTTTTCTTTCTCCTCCTCTGAAGGGGCTGCATCCTAATGTTTTAATGTTGTATTTTAATCTTGTTTTTTAAATTGTATTTTAATCAACTTGTTTTTATTACTGGTTGTTAGCCGCCCTGAGCCCAGTCTTGGCTGGGGAGGGCGGGGTATAAATAAAATTTGTTGTTGTTGTTGTTGTTTTCCTTTAGGGAGAAGTAGAGTTTGCAAGAGGAGCAAGCTGTTAGTAGCTCCTGTGCAAACCCCTAGTTTTTCTGCACACCTGTTCCTTTCTAGATCAGCCAGCTGAAATGGACAAAGTCCAGCACAAAGGCTAGGCATCCCTTGCTTGCTTCTTGCCTTCGGAAAGCGGCTCAGTTTTTTCATTTTTTAAAAAAATTATTATTCGCTTAGGAACTGTTTTCAAGATTTGTCTGCGGTAAAGATGTCAGGAGAGCGGTCAGCAGCTGAGGTGGACGTGGTCAATCCTGGGGATCTGGAAGCAATGAAGAACGGAGCAAGGACTCTCAGCATTGCCCAGGTTGGGACAATTGGAGAGTTTGCGAGTTGGGGCGTGCCAAGACCAGGGCGGCTGGAAGCTGAGGAGGGATTGGCCCACAGCTGGGAAGTCCAGTGGCAGGAGTTCCTGAAGGTGGTGCACACCCCTCACTGGGGGAGCCCAGAGTCTCCAAAGACCATGCGCTGGGAAGTTACCAAATCCTCCCTGGTCCCTTCCGAAACGGTAGCTGATTTGGGACCTTGTGGAGAGGTGGCAATCGGTCTTTCGCCAGGCCTCAAAGGAGGAGCTCCCCAAACCTCAGAGGATCTGTACTCTGGCGAACGGGGAGACAGCGTCAAAGTGGGCAAAGAGATCTCAAGCAAGGGTGCCACTGTGACAGAGACACAGCGCCAGCGCTTCCGGCTTTTCTGCTACCAGGAGGCTGAGGGGCCCCGAGAGGCCTGCGACCGACTGCATGCGCTGTGCCGTGAGTGGCTGAAGCCAGAGAGGCGCACCAAGGAGCAGATGCTGGAGCTGGTGATCCTGGAGCAGTTCTTGGCGGTCTTGCCACCGGCAATGCAGAGCTGGGTCCGAGATGGGAGTCCGGCAACCTGCTCCCAGGCTGTGGTCCTGGCTGAGGATTTCCTGATGAGACAGCAGAAGGCTGAAGGATGGGGAGGACAGGTAAGGCAAAGGAGCTGGGGAACCACTGGTCCACTGGTTATCCCCATTTGGCCTGCAAGGCCATTTTGGGTGAGCCAAACCCACCCACCCTCTACTTGATGCCATGTATAATGGAAGGGGTTCAGAGGAACAATTGGAAACTTTAAGGCAAACACCCAATTGTTCATTTGCTGGAGCAAGAAGTGCTCCCATGATGGGTGGTGGGACGTGTGTTAGAATGGAGGGGGTTATCCTCATTTCCGTGGAAAACGCTCCTCCGTCCCTGTGCTACTTTTTGAGCCGTTGAAAACGGGAGGTTCAAAAATTCACACAGGGCTGTTTAAAAGCCCTTTTGCAAAGAGCCACACGGGGCTGTTGGGCTTCTGGATTTTTGAGGTTAAGAGAGCGGTGTGGGGCTGTGCACAGTGATGGCAGGGGATTGACCCTTCAGGTTTCGCCTGCCCGGCATGGGCAGTTAAAGATCAGGCCCACCAGGCATGGAAGGCTCCCCACCTCTCTCCTAAAAGGTTTGGCAGGATGCAGAATTAGCAATAGTACATGGATGGAGGAACGAGATCCTTGAACAAATCCTTTGAGCTCCTAGCCTCTTCTCTCTTTCCACTCTGTTCTAGGCTCTAGGAACTTTGGCAGAAGTGGTTGTGAGCCTCTCTGAAGGGGATGAGGCTGCTACAGAATTCTGCAAGGAGATGAAGAAGGAGAGCAGCCAGAATGCTGGCTTTCTAGGTATGTAATAGCTCCCTCTATTTCCAATGCTGAGGCAGTGAGTGCCGTTCCTTACCTTACGACTGGTTTTCATATACAGTGGTACCTCTGGATACGAACGGGATCCATTTTGGAGTCCCATTCACATCCTGAAGTAAATGTAAGACGCGCATGCACAGGTTACGTTTCGTCGCTTCTGCATATGCGCGGGTTGCGTTTCGTCGCTTCTGCACCTGCGCGGGTTGTGTTTTGTCACTTCTGTGCATGCGCGTGATGTCATTTTGAGCGTCTGCGCATGCGCGAGCGGCAAAACCCGGAAGTAACACGCTCCATTACTTCAGGGTCGCCGCAGAGCGCAACCCGAAAATACTTAACTTGAAGCTACTTCAACCCGAGGTATGACTGTAGTGTATGCAATTGTGCCAGCTGTTTTTAAAAATCTGTATACAGTGGTACCTCAGGTTACATATGCTTCAGGTTACAGACTCCGTTAACCCAGAAATAGTGCTTCAGGTTAAGAACTTTGCTTCAGGATAAGAACAGAAATCGTGCTTCGGCGGCGTGGCAGCAGCAGGAGGCCCCATTAGCTAAAGTGGTTCTTCAGCTTAAGAACAGTTTCAGGTTAAGAACGGACCTCCGGAACGAATTAAGTACTTAACCCGAGGTACCACTGTATATATTTATGCAATGGTTAGAAAGTAGTTTGATAGAAGCAACTGAACTTCATCCAAAAAGCAAAAGCTGCCTTAAAATGCTTGCTTCAGTAGGAAGGTTTTGTCAAGTGGCAGAATTAGAGCAGGGAGTGGGAGCTCACAGAGCCCATCCAGTCTAACCCCCTGCCTGTGTAATGCAGGATGCGGCCACAGCATCCCTGACAAATCCTAGCCCAGCCTCTAGACCTCCAGAGAAGGAGGGCCCCACCTGCACACCACCATAGCTTTCTGCTCCACCTTCAAGCAGAAAACATTTAGCCTAAAGCTGCCTCCTTGCAATTTCCACCATTCCTACTAGTCTGCCAATTAGAGCAGCAGAGATCAAGGGAGCAATCCTGTAGCAAGAGCTCTTGAAATGAGCAGCGTTGAGATCCATTAGATATCCGGCTCCATCTGAGGTAGTTTGCCCCCCTTTGTTCCCTACCTGCACTCGGCTCAATCTCACCTGTTGCTCCTAGAAGCTGTCACCATGTGACAGTGGCCACAATCCCAGGAAACGGATTCGACTGGCTGGCTAAACCAGGTGAGGGGAGCCGATGGGTCTCAAACCCTCAGTGAATTAGGGACTTCTCCTGAATACGAAGACAGGCTCCAGTGATTTGAGCAGATGAGACCAAGGATAATAAAAGGCTATGGAGTAATAAAAGGCTATGGAGTGAATCCTACACAAATCCAGAGTGGATTCTCTAAGATGGTTGGGTGGCGCTTTCTATGCCTCCTTCCAGCCACTTCTGCAGCCAAGATGGTGCCAAACCTATTGCTCTGCTATCCTCAGCGAGGCTTGTTCTCTGGGCAGCTCAGGGCCCCCGTACACACTGCCCAGGCTTGCACCCTGAGGGGGTCACTTCAGTGTTGCTAGTGCAAAGTAATAATAATAATAATAATTTATTATTTATACCCCGCCCATCTGGCTCCAAACAGAATATTGATATTAATAATAATGTGATAAAACATCAAACATTAAAAATATGCAACTGCAGATTTCACAACTTTGTCACAAATTTCTCAAACCAGACAACAAATATGTGACTTTCAGTAATAATAATAATAATTTATTATTTATACGTCGCCCATCTGGCTGGGTTTCCTCAGCCACTGGGTGGCTTCCAACAAAATATTAAAATACAATAGTCCATCAAACATTAAAAGCTTCCCTAAACATGGCTGCCTTCAGATGTCTTCTAAAAGTCAGATAAGCATTTCCCTCATATCTGATGGGTGTTCCACAGGGCAGGCGCCACTGCCGAGAAGGCTCTCTGCCTGGTTCCCTGTAACTTTGACACTCACAGTGAGGGAACTACCAGAAGCCCCTTGGTGCTGGACCTCAGTGTCCAGGCTGAACGATGGGGGTGGAGACGCTCCTTCAGGTATACTGGGCCGAGGCTGTTTAGGGCTTTAAAGGTCAGCAGCAACACTTTGAATTGTCCTCGGAAACGTTTTACTTCACCCCCGGAGGCGCACTCCATTGTCTCAAGACAGACAGGTGACAACGTCGTTTGGGGCGGGGTTTCCCCCAACCATTTCCCCTGCTTACCCCAATCCCCCTCCGTTCCAGGAACCAATGAGCTGACGAGCGAGAACGATGCGGCAAGAGAGGAGCTGGAGGTCAACGTCGGGGTTGTAGGTATAGCGGAGCAGCGTGACGAAAGCTGGCAGGAGAGATCCGTGGCGGCGGCTGCTTGTGAACAGCTCCCTGAACTCTCAGTCCCACCTCTGGGGACACAGGAGAGGAGGAGCGCATTCTCCAGGAGGAGCGTGACCCGTAGGCAAGGCCTTGAGAACCAGAGAAGACCCAAGGAGCCCACGCTCCACATATGCACGGTCTGCGGACGTAGCTTCACGCGGGGATCGAATCTCTTTCGGCATCAGAAACTCCACACGGGACAGAAGTCCCACTGGTGTGCAGTTTGCGGGCAGAGGTTCGCTCGGAAGGAGAAGCTCGTGAGTCACCAGAAAGTTCACAAAAAGAGGGTGATGGCTGGACGAAGAGGCCAAGCGGGGGAAATAGCCGCAAAGTCTTCCAGAATCGCAACAGCAGGTGTGTAAATTTGAAGCAGGTGTGGAGAACTGGATCACAAATGTGAGCCTGGTAGTCCTTAACCCTTTCTGCCCTGCCACTGGTCGGTTTGCACCAGTGTTCAAAATTAGCCAGGCGCCAGGCGCCTTTTGCTTTCAACCACTTGTGACCAAGAGACAGGCTCCAGCGATTTGAGCAGATGAGACCAGAAGTGGGTCCAATGATTAAGAAAGTGGTTTCTTCATGCGCTGTAGAGGGAAATGAGGGCAGCCTGGGAAGGGAACCCGGAAGGAAAACTCTGATCCTCAACCTCTGCTGCCTTGTGGGATATCTTCAGGAGAATAAAAGGCTATGGAGTAAATCCTATACAAATCCAGAGTGGATTCCCTAAGATGGTTGGGTGGCGCCTTCTATGCCTCCTTCCAGCCACTTCTGCAGCCAAGCTGGTGCCAAACCTATTGCTCTGCTATCCTCAGCGAGGCTGAGATGGGGGTCTTGTCGTCTGGGCAGCCCAGGACCCCCAGACACACTGCCCTGGCAGGCACCCCGGACAGGTCACTTCAGTGCTGCTAGTGCAAAGTAATAATAATAATAATAATAATTTATTATTTATACACCACCCATCTGGCTGCGTTTCCCCAGCCACTCTGGGCTGCTCCCAACAGAATATGAATATTATTAATAATAATAATGTGATAAAACATCAAACATTAAAAATCTGCAACTGCAGATTTCACAACTTTATCTGTCACAAATTTCTCAAACCAGACAAAAATTTGTGACTTTCAGTAATAATCATAATAATTTATTATTTATACCCCGCCCATCTGGCTGGGTTTCCCCAGCCACTCTGGGCGGCTTCCAACAAAATATTAAAATACAATAGTCCGTCAAACATTAAAAGCTTCCCTAAACATGGCTGCCTTCTAAAATGGGTGTCTTCTAAAAGTCAGATGATAATACAGTGGTGCCTCGTAAGACAAAAAACTCGCAAGACGAAAGAGTTTTTCGTTTTTTTGAGTTGCTTCGCAAGACGAATTTCCCTATGGGCTTGCTTCGCAAGACGAAAACGTCTTGCGAGTTTGTTTCCTTTTTATTAAAACCGTTAATACCCAGGATGCATTGCTTGAAGAGGTGCAGTTGCGACTTGACTTCGAGGAGCAACTCATAGCACACGGTGTGGTAGCCTTTTTTGAGGTTTTTGAAGACTTTGGTGATTTTTGAAGCTTTTCCAAAACTTCTTTTGCAGCCATTTGGTAAGTTAAACTTTTAAAACTTTTTGGGGGGGTTTTGGATTTTGGGTTGGGGTGTTTGGAATTCAAGGACTTGGTGTTGGGGAGGGGTTTGCAAGAATCTGGAAGCTTGTGTGGTTTTTTCCTGCATTTTTATGAATTTTTGTGACCATTGGGGCACTCTGCACTCTGCATTTTTATGAATTTTTGTGACCATTGGGGCACTCTCTGTTGTTTAAAAAAAAGATTTCTGGGTTTCGATTTCTGTGTGGTGGGTGGCTGGGAGAATAGTTGAGAAGGGGTTTGCAAGAATCTGGAAGTTTGTGTGTTTTCTAGGAGGTTTGGTGCTTTTGAATTTTTTGGATGTGAAGCACTGATTTTTTGGGGGGGGGGGTTGCGAAGGCAGGAGCTGTGCTGCCATGGGGCCCAAGAAGACTGCTGCTGCAGAGGCCGGTGAGAGGAAGAAGGAGAAGGTTACGCTGGAAATGAAGAAGGAGATCATCCGGAAGCACGACGGTGGAATGCGTGTGACAGACCTCGCCAGGGAGTATGGGAGGAATCCATCGACCATCGGGACCATCCTGAAGATGAGGGAGAAGATCCTTGCGACTGATGTAGCCAAGGGAGTCACCAGGATCGTGAAGAACCGCCCAGCTGTTCTGGAGGAGGTGGAGAAGTTGCTGCTCATCTGGTTAGAAGAGAAGCAGCGTGCAGGGGACACAGTGACTGAGGCCATCATTTGTGAGAAGGCCAAGGCCTTGCACGCAGACCTCGTCCGGCAACAGCCAGGAACCTCAGGCGAGCCAGAAGTCTTCAAGGCAAGCAGAGGCTGGTTTTACCGGTTCAAGACAAGATCTGGAATCCACAGCGTGGTCAGGCATGGTTTCCTTGGGGAGGACCATGGGCCTGGAGGTCACAGAGGAGGACGTCAGCGAGCTGGTGGAGGAGCACGACCACGAGCTGACCACCCAGGAGCTGGTCGAACTGCAGGCAGAGGCTGCGCAGGTGCAGGCCTCGCTGGAAGAGGAGGAAGCAACTGAGGAACGGCTGTCCTCCAAAGAACTGAGGGACATTTGCCAGAAGTGGAAGGATGTGCAGGCTTTTGCACAGCGGCACCACCCTGACAAGGACCTGACACGTGACCTTGTGAACACTTTTGATACGAGGGTCATGTCGTCTTTCAGGGAGGTGCTGAAAAGGCGGATGAAGCAGCAGACCATAGACAGGTTCTTCAGCAAGAAGCAAAGAATGGAAGAGGAACCCTCTTCGAGTTGTCCCCCAGAGTCTTAGAAAATGTATGCACAGTACTGTACACTTTGGTGATTTTTAAATGCTTTTCTGTCATGTTTAGAAACTTAAATTATTGTTCCTTCAATTTTTGAAATGCTCTTTACAGTATGTGTGACTTTAAAGAGCACTTAATAAACTCTTGTTGTACCAAATTTGGCTTTGTTTGGACTTTTTTTGACCATAGGAACGCATTAATTGATTTTCAATGCATTCCTATGGGAATCCGTGCTTCGCAAGACGAAAAAACTCACAGAACGAATTAATTTTGTCTTGCGAGGCACCACTGTAATAATAATAATAATAATAATAATAATAATAATAATAATAATTTATACCCCACCCATCTGGCTGAGTTTCCCCAGGTACTCTGGGCGGCTCCCAGTCAAGTTTTAAAAACAATACAGCGTTAAATATTAAAAACTTCACTGAACAGGGCTGCCTTCAGATGTCTTTTGAAGATAGGATAGCTGCTTATTTCCTTCACATCTGAAGGGTTCCACAGGGTGGGCGCCACTAGCGAGAAGGCCCTCTGCCTGGTTCCCTGTAACTTGGCTTCTCGCAGCGAGGGAACTGCCAGAAGGCCCTCGGCGCTGGATCTCAGCGTCTGGGCAGAACGATGGGGGTGGAGACGCTCCTTCAGTTCTACTGGGCCGAGGCCGTTTAGGGCTTTAAAGGTCAGCACCAACACTTTGAATTGTGCTCGGAAACATTTTACTTCACCCCCGGAGGCGCACTCCATTGTCTCGAGACAGACAGGTGATTACGACATTTGGGGCGGAGTTTCCCCCACCCATTTCCCCTGCTTCCCCCAATCCCCCTCCGTTCCAGGAACCAATGAACTGACGAGCGAGAACGATGTGGGAAGAGAGGAGCTGGAGGTCAACGTCGGGGTTGTAGGTATAGCGGAGCAGCGTGACGAAAGCTGGCAGGAGAGATCCGTGGCGGCGGCTGCTTGTGAACAGCTCCCTGAACTCTCAGTCCCACCTCTGGGGACACAGGAGAGGAGGAGCGCATTCTCCAGGAGGAGCGTGACCTGGAGGCAAGGCCTTGAAAACCAGAGAAGACCCAAGGAGCCCACGCTCCACATATGCACGGTCTGCGGACGTAGCTTCACGCGGAGATCAAATCTCTTTCGGCATCAGAAACTCCACACGGGACAGAAGTCCCACTGGTGTGCGGTTTGTGGGCAGAGGTTCGCTCGGAAGGAGAAGCTCGTGAGTCACCAGAAAGTTCACAAAGAGAGGGTGACGGCTGGACGAAGAGGCCAAGCAGGGGAAATAGCTGCAAAGTCTCCCGGAATCACAACAGCAGGTGTGTAAATTTGAAGCAGGTGTGGAGAACTGGATCCCAAATGTGAGCCTGGTAGTTCTTAACGCTTTCTGCCCTGCAACTGGTCGGATTGCACCAGTGTTCAAAATTTGCCAGGCGCCTTTTGCTTTCAACCACTTGTGGCCAAGTGAATAGGCCTGGAAGCCAGGATGCCGCCATCTGGAGATCCTTGGATCTGGAGCGTTTTCACACGCCAGTACCCCATTCTGTAGAATTCTGTCTGTTATCTTTTATCTGCGCAATCGGAATGAATTTTGTGGAACCAAATTGCTTTTTCTGTGCAGTCTGTTTTAAAAAAACAGGTCAGAATAGGCCAATATATATGTGGACTGTCCCTGGCTCAAGTGACTTTTCTTTTTTTAAGTCAGTGGTTCCCAGCGTTTTTTTGGCCATGCCCCACCTAAGCATCTCTAAAATCCTGGTGCCCCCCCCCATGACATATAACTCTTCTTATTCAAAAAGTGAACTCCTCTTCACATGGAGGAAGCCTAAAAGGCCATTAATTTGGTCTAAGCATGGGGACATAGCTGTCAACTTTTCCACTTTTTAAAGGGAAATTCCCTTATTCCAAATAGGATTCCTCACAAGAAAAGGGAAATGTTGACAGCTATGCATGGGGATTGTCTGCGTAATTCCTCATCTCAGATCATGAGGCTCTTAATCCCAGGGTCATGGGTTTGAGCCCCGTGTTGGGTTAAAAATTCCTGCATTGCAGGAGGTACCTTTTTTTCGCCCTATGGAACACACTTTTTCCCCTCCAAAAATGAAGGGGAAATGTGTGTGCATCCTATGGGGCGAATGCAGGCTTTCGCTGAAGCCTGGAGAGCGAGAGGGTTCGGTGCGCACCGAACCCTCTCGCTCTCCAGGCTTCAGGAAGCTATCCGCAAGCCTGGGGAGCCCGCCGGGAGTTGACAGCCGGGCTCCCTAGGCTTGCGGATAGCAGCCTGTTCTGGGGGCTGGGGTCGGGGGAAGCTTGGGCTTTCCTTGCCCCAGCCCCGCGCCTGGCGGGGGGAAATAATTTTTTTTTCTTTATTCCCCCCCCCCAAAAAAAACTAGGTGCGCCCTATGGGCCGGTGCACCCTATAGGGCAAAAAATATGGTAGTTCTATGATCCTCTGTCTGTCTTTTCTCTTTCTGTTTTTAAATAATATTTATTAAAAATTTCCAATCAAACCAAATCATATATTCCAAATTATACAAATTATCCCATAATCAAACAAATCCCAATGTTATGTCTAATTATAAATTATTATTATTTTTTAGCTGACTTCCCATGCTTTGAGATCGGAGGGAATCCTAATCATCTCTGTGTGGTTTAGCATTTCAAAATATGAAAATAATTTCCTGAAAATAATTAAGGATTAACATCAGGTTCTCTGTCTTTCATTCCAGAAGGTCCTGTGTGGACGATTCAGGATGAGCTGCTTTGGGTCCCGTCGGAAGGAAACGGAGTGTGTGGAGAGGAGAAGCGAAACGGTGGGAAGAGGAGAGAAGGAAGAACAACAGGGACTCAGAGGGGAAAGCCCGTGGCAGAAGAGCTTGACTTCAAAGTCTCAATCCCACAAGCGGGACAGCAAGGAGCGGCGGGAAGGGTGGTGTGCGCCGTCTGTGGGAAAAGCTTCACTCGCAAATCCACGCTTACCAGACACATGAAAGCCCACACAGGAGAGAGGCTTCACAAGTGCTTGGACTGTGGGAAGAAGTTCAGCCCGGCGGTGTTGGAACGTTGGAGGCCCAAGGCAAAGATGGCAGACACAGGGAGGAAAACGTATGAGTGTGTGAAGTGTGAGGGGGGCAGCCGTCCCAAGCTGAGCCTTAATGGCTGCAAGAGCATCTGCGAGAGGACAAAACGGTTCAGGTGTTTGGAGTGCGGCCACAAATCCATCTCTCTGTCGCTCCTTCTTAGACACCAGAGAATCCACACGGGAGAGAAACCGTATCTGTGCCCCATCTGCGGGAGGAAGTTCCGCCAGTCCGCGCATCTCGTCAGGCACGAGAAGACGCATGGAAAGAAGAAGCCACATTTCTGAGGGCAGGGAGGATCTTCAGAACTGTGCGTGTCTAGATGGCAGGAGACACAAGCGAGGTTGTGTGTGCTGTGTGTTGATAAAACAGAAGATCCCAAAGCTTGAAGCCAGGCCGCTTGTGTGTGCTCCACGGTAAAGGTCCCCAGCTAAAAATGGGGTTCAGATCCACATGAGGAAATTCCAGGTGTTTTAGATGACAAGCTGCGCATCCATCAGTTGCTCTGTGCGATGGATAAAATGGCAAACGTGGCTCACATCAGCACATGGAGTGTCGTGGTCTGGATCATAAGTAGTACAGTCGTACCTTGATCATAAGTAGTACAGTCATACCAAACGCCTTGCAAATCGAACGTTTTGGCTCCCAAATGCCACAAACCTGCTTTGTGAAATGCTTTTGGAAGCCAAACATCCAATGGGGCTTCCGCGGCTTCTGATTGGCTGCAGGAGCTTCCTGCAGCCTATCAGAAGCCATGATTTGGTTCTTGAACATTTTGGAAGTTGAACAGACTTCCAGAACGGATTCCGTTTGACTTCCAAGGTACGACTGTAATGAGAGTTCTGGACTCATCCGGGCTGTGCCTTTAAAGCATTATCATACTGCTTGGAACACTCATGGTTTCCCTTACAAAGAATCCTGGGAAATGTAGTTTGTTAAGTGTGCTGAGGGCTGTTAAGAGGCCCCTGTTCCCCTCTCAGAGCTGCAGTTCCCAGAGTTCCCCTGTGAAGATGGATGGATTGATTGCTAAACCACACAGAACTGTCGCTCCGTGTGGGAGAATATGGGGTCACCTAACAATGCTCAGCACCTTTAACAAACTACACTTCCCAGGATTCTCTGGGAAAAGACAACGCTGGCGAGCTAAATGAATCAACAGTCTGGGGCGTTTGAAGACAGCCTTGTATTTTCAAAGCCATGTGGCTCCATGAAGCAGGCGTGCCAAACGCTTGGTTCTTCCTATATTATTGCTGGACTCCAGCTGCCATCAACCAATGTGACCCAAAGTCAAGGGTGATGAGGGTTGTAGTCTAGCAATATCTGTTCCCCATCCCTGAAGCTGAATGTGCCAGCTAGGACTGATCACCTGTGGTGAGGGAGACCATTTTTCAGGTACTCGGGTAAGAGAGCGATAAACAACAGCAACAGATAGCACACACACTCTCCGCGCCCTGTTTTTCAGTTTCCAGAGACTATCAGTATTTTGAAAGCAAGCAAACAAAGTATTTTCAGCCCAGTTCAAAGCTGCATTGTTGTTGTTTAGTCGTTTAGTCGTGTCCGATTCTTCGTGACCCCCTGGACCAGAGCACGCCAGGCACTCCTGTCTTCCACTGCCTCCCGCAGTTTGGTCAGACTCATGCTGGTAGCTTCGAGAACACTGTCCCACCATCTCGTCCTCTGTCGTCCCCTTCTCCTTGTGCCCTCCATCTTTCCCAACATCAGGGTCTTTTCCAGGGAGTTTTCTCATGAGGTGGCCAAAGTATTGGAGTCTCATCTTCAGGTTCTGTCCTTCCAGTGAGCACTCAGGGCTGATTTCCTTCAGAATGGATCGGTTTGATCTTCTTGCCGTCTATGGGACTCTCAAGAGTCTCCTCCAGCACCAGAATTCAAAAGCATCCATTCTTTGGCGATCAGCCTTCTTTACGGTCCAGCTCTCACTTCCATACATTACTACTGGGAAAACCATAGCTTTAAACTATACGGACCTTTGTTGGCAAGGTGAAAGCCGCATTAAGCATCTCTAATCAGTTTCAGTTAGGATACGATAATGAAATGCTATGAGCTGGAATGGGGATTGTTTTGCCTGCCCTTGATTGCCCTTGCAATCGTGAATTTGAAGTATTCCTTCACGAGAGACACCAGTTTAGTAATTTCTCTCTCTCTCTCTTCTGACTGAGTGGGAAATTGAAGGGATATAAACCCGGTATTTCAATGAGAAATGGGAAGCCAGTGTGCACAGGATCGGGCTGTTTGCTGACTAGTAACATGTGTGGCCATATTTACAGGGTTTGTGTGTAAGCTGAAATGTCAGCATGGAAAATGTTAAGCAAGGATGTCACACACACACCCCTTTAGAGCAGGGATAGGGGAAACACTTGGGGGGGGGGTCTTCTGGAAGTTGCGGGACTCCAATTCCCATCATCCCCTGTGACTATTGGGCATGCTGGCCCTCGGGTGCTGATGGGAATTGGAGTCCAATAGCATCTGGAAGGTGCTGTGTTTTGTGTGTAACAAATTGTTACAGAGTGAAGAGTAGCTGTTCAAGATTCAAGGCCCTCCAACCAAGTATCCCCCCCCCCTTCCCATTCCCCAGTAGTCCTCATTGGGCTCTGCCATTTTTCTCCAAACTTTTTCTCTGTACTTTTGAATTTCCTTCCAGACCTGCTGAAACTTCTTTCATCTTGAGGGTCTGCCGTTCCATTTGGGCTATGAAAGCACTGGCACGTACACACTTGAATATCAGGGCATTTTTAGAGGGCATTTTAATAAATATATATATATTTATTAAATATATATAAATAATATATATATATATTTATTTATATAAATAAAATAAAAGCAAACCTGCAATGGTTGTCACAAATCCCACAAATGGAGAATGTAACCTCCTTAGGGACTGCCTCAATGACCAGCATGTTTCTGCAACATATAGTGATAGATTTAAATAAATTGCTCTTTTGTAAGGAAAATTGTTTGTTTTTGTAGCAGGCATTATTGTCTATCTATTACTTCATCAAATTTCAATAACACCCTTCATCTCAAGAGCACAGGGCGTTTTACATATTAGAACACAAAAATACAAAACATAGTAACAGACAAACCAGTAATCCCCACCACCATGGAGAAGAGGACTCTTTTTGCCTGGCACCTAAAGATAGCTAACGAAAACGCCAGGAGAGCCTCCCTAGGGAGAGCAGTCCACAAATGGGGAGCCACTGTTTTTGTGTCACCGCCCTCCAGGGTTCTCGTGGAGGCATGTGAAGACAGACAAAGCATTTTTGTTCAAAACATTTTCAGAGAATCACAGAATAGTAGATTTGGAAAGGACTCTGCTATGAGTCTTGGAAGACCTGCTCCCTGCCTTGCAAGACTTTCCCCACCTGGCCTAGGAGGGCAGGGCCCTGACTGACTCCAGCTACAAAAGCTGAGGGTGAAGAGGCCAGAGGCCATCTTGACTGTCTCTTTGTGCAGATTCAGGTCATGGAGCCTGAGCTTCCACAGCTGCCGCCCGCCATGAGCCACCACACCATCGGCAAAATTGGCAGCTAGGTGGACTGAAGGACATCCCACAGGGCGGATGGGACTATCGAGAAGGCCTTCTGGCTGGTTTCCTACAACCTCACTCCTGGTGTTGAGGGAACCACCAGAAAGCCCTCGGAGCCACAGCTCAGTGTCCAGGCTGAATGATGGGGATGGAGACGCTCCTTCGGGTATACTGGGCAAATACCGTATAGCTCATTTGCTGAGCCCACGTATAAGGGCCAAGGGCCTTCTGGCGGTTCCCTCCCTGCGAGAAGTGAGGTTACAGGGAACCAGGCAGAGGGCCTTCTCGGTAGTGGCACCCACCCTGTAGAAAGCCCTCCCATCAGATGTCAAGGAAATAACTACCTGACTTTTAGAAGACATCCCTGTTTAGGGAAGTTTTTAATGTTTGAGGTAGCTGCTCAGAATGGTGGTTAATAATAATACTTTATTATTTATACCTCACCCATCTGGCTGGGTTTCCCCAGCCACTCTGGGCGGCTTCCAACAGAACACTAAAATACAATTGTGGGAGTCATAAAGCCATGGCAGAGGTTTGTAAATACTGCAGGGTACCTCCGGACCTCGTGACCAGCACTCTGAGCTTTACAAGGTATTGGAATGTAATGACCTTATATGGCATGGGTGCAATACAACCTTGACCGGATGTAGGTAATGTGAGACATTGGCAAACGCCATGCTGGAGGAGAGAACAAAGGATAATAAAAAGTGACCGGAGAGGAGAAGAAGTCTGAATGAGCTGCCCTCCGTCCATGGAAATATTGCTGGCTCTCTGTGTCTTTATTTTATGCTAAACAAGCGCCATTGTGACGGCTGGCTTCGTCATACAATAACCTATTAAACATTAAAAGCTTCCCTAAAGAGGACAGCCTTCTAAAAGTTTAGTAGTTATTTTTCTCTTTGACATCTGGTGGGAGGGCGTTCCACAGGGTGGGTGCCACTACCGAGAAGGCCCTCTGCCTGGTTCCCTGTGGTTCGGAAGGCCTTGCCAGATGGGTGGGGTATAAGTAATAAATTATTATTATTTTATTTTATTTTGTTTTATTTTTTTATTATTATGTCATCACTTTAGAACATAAGAGAAGTCTTCTGGATCAGACCAAAGGCTCATTTGGTCTGGCATCCTGTTCTCACAGGGGGCCGGCCTGTGGAAAACCAGCAAACAGGATTCAAGCACAGTAGCCCTTTCCCCTCCTTTGGTTTCCAGCAACTGGTGTTTAGAAGTGTTGCTGCCTCCAGCCATGAAGGCAGCGCAGAGCTGTCCTGGCTAGTAGCTACTGAAGCACACACACCCCTCCATGAACTTGCCCGGTCCTCTCTCGAAGCTGTCCAGGTTGGCAGCTTCAAAGCCAGGTTTGTACCAGCCAAGCTGAGAAAACCTAGGTCAGGGTAGGGGGGTCCCTAAGGGCTGCGATTTGAAGGCAGCCTTCCAGCCCTTTTTAAAAAAACAATAATTTTTAATTTATTTAACATAATTGTTACAAAATATAAGCAAAATATTGCAAATACATACATATATATTTCAAATAAGCACATGTATATGAAAAAGGAACAAAAGAGGAAAAAAGAAGAAAGAAGAAAAAATAAAGAGAAAAGAAGAAAAGTTGGAAGAATTTCTTCCAAGTTTATTCTACAAATATCTCAATAATAAAACTTCATTGATTGGCTTCCATCGCTTGTACTGCACTTCCTATATACATTTTAAGCCAGATTGTATCTGTCATTCCGTATTTTTCCCATACAATCTCACACAAATATTCTAATCAATGTTTTCTAAATCTTTCATAAATCTATTCTAAACACAACCGATACCTTATATTTAATCCTTTTTTTTTTTAATCTGGCCCCCAAAACACTCTCTGTCGGTGGCCTGGCTTCAAACCCTCTTCATGTGGTTTCCGCCTGTCTCAAATGCACCCCTGAACACTGACCACCCTTTTTGTTTGCTGCTGGCCTGGATGGAGAGTGGGGTCTGTGAATCTGCGTTGAAGCTAGCCTACTGGGCAAGAGCAAACATTACGTGCATTCGGCGCCCCCCCCAATTTGGCACCGCCCACTGCTGGCATGCGGCCCCCAAAAGGTTGCACAGAAGGGAATGTGGCTCTCCGCAAGGCATAAGCTGAGCTTTGGGACTTTATTCTGTGAACCACCCGCAGATCTTCAGATGAAATCTGAAGGCGAACCCTGTATCAGGAAATTTTCAATGTCTAATGTTTTACAATTTTTTAATGTGCTGTAAGCCGCCCACAGTGGGTGGGGTATAAATAATAACATTATTATTATATGATAATGATGATGATGATGATGATGATGATAGATAGATAGATAGATAGATAGATAGATAGATGTACACACACACAAAGGTCACAAAACAAAACAAAAAAACCCAGGTACACAGACCATCCAGCTCAGACTGTCTGTCTATCTATCTATCTATCTATCTATCTATCTATCTATCTATCTATCTATCTATCATCTATCTATCTATCTATCATCTATCGTCTATCTATCTATCTATCATCTACCTACCTATAGCATCACAGGGACTAACAAAACAAATTTCTAATTCTTACCGCAAAACATTTTGGCTTCTGCCTTTCCTGGCATAGCTCAGTGAGTACAGCATGAGGTTCTTACTCTCAGGGTGGTGGGTTTGAGGCCCATGTTGGGTGCCATGGTTATTTTTGTTGTATTGATTCATTTGATTTGCTTCAATTAATTAAAAAATAAAACAAAATAAAAAGGAGGGGATGGTAGACTGCCTTGGGAAGGGGAGTCTCTATTTTCTCCTCATTGGGTTGGAGCAGAAGACCCTTATGGTCCCTTCCAACTCAACAATTCCATGACTCAACCAGTTGCTCTGATAAAAACGATGCTTTCTCCAAGGTGGCAATTATGAAGCTTGGCGGTCCAATATATGAGAGAAAAATAAAATATCCCGCCTTTCCTCCAAGGAGCTTAAGGTGGTCCCATGGCTCTTCCCCTCCCCAATTTCTCCTCACAACAACCTTGCGAGGTAGCTTAGTTTGAGAGATTGCGACTGCTTCCCCACACTCCCAGGGAGCATATATCTTTATTTGCCTTTTGCTGGGCTATACAGTGCAGCCACGAGAGGCAGCAAGCGGCGCAAACATTGTGCTGCTGTCCGCTCCCTGCATGATTTATGTGTCTGTTGCATCCATATCCTGCCCTTTTCTCCGAGGTGCTCAGAGTGGCATCCACGGCCCTCAACTAACAGCAACCCTGCAAGGAGGCCAGGCTGAAAGGCAGCGACTGGGCCAAGGTCACCCACCCAGTTTTGACATGGGGCAGTATAGAAATATTTATAGGGTATGAACAGACTTGGGAGAGACACCCCCCTAAAAGTTTCAGAAGTCTTATTGGAAAACTGCTACAATGATTTACATGGAAACTCAGCTAGGGGGTTTTGAGGAAGTCACTCAATAATGGTACAAAAGTGGGATTGTAATAGTTAGGATAATTGTTTGTATGTTTGTTTGTTTTTTATATTGTAATATTTTTCTTTTATGTTTGGAAAACCAATAAAAAATTAATTCGTTCCGGAGGTCTGTTCTTAACCTGAAACTGTTTTTAACCTGAAGCACCACTTTAGCTAATGGGGCCTCCTGCTGCTGCCACGCCACTGGAGCACGATTTCTGTTCTCATCCTGAAGCAAAGTTCTTAACCTGAAGCACTATTTCTGGGTTAGCGGAGTCTGTAACCTGAAGCGTATGTAACCCGAGGTACCACTGTACAACAAATTGAAAAAGATGTTTAAAATAACGTTTGTAAAACAACAACCTAGAAGCCTTTCTCTTGGGAATTATAGGAATTGTTGTTGTTGTTTAGTCGTTTAGTTGTGTCCAACTCTTCGTGACCCCCTGGACCAGAGCACGCCAGGCACTCCTGTCTTCCACTGCCTCCCGCAGTTTGGTCAAGCTCGTGCTGGTAGCTTCGAGAACACTATCCAGCCATCTCGTCCTCTGTCGTCCCCTTCTCCTTGTGCCCTCAATCTTTCCCAACATCAGGGTCTTTTCCAGGGAGTCTTCTCTTCTCATGAGGTGGCCAAAGTCTTGGAGCCTCAGCTTCAGGATCTCTCCTTCCAGTGAGCACTCAGGGCTGATCTCCTTCAGAATGGAGAGGTTTGTTCTTCTTGCAGTCCATGGGACTCTCAAGAGTCTCCTCCAGCACCATAATTCAAAAGCATCAATTCTTCGGAGATCAGCTTTCTTTGTGGTCCAGCTCTCACTTCCATACATCACTACTGGGAAAACCATACCTTTAACTATACAGACCTTAGGGACAGAACTACCTAAATTTTATAGAAATTTATTCATGTATGTATGTGACTACAGCGGCAAGAATGTTACTTTCCGCCAAAGTGGAAAGAAGCAGAAGTCCCAACAAAGGAAGAGTGGATACAAAAACTTATGGAATATGCTGGAATTGCAAAAGTTACCAGAAGAATAAGAAATCAAGATAACAAACTTTTTATAAAAGAATGGAAATGGTTTATTGAATATTTACAGATAAATTGTAAACAGATAAAAACTCTGGCAGGATTATTGTAACAACCTGCGGCTGCATAAGAGTATATATTTAAAGAAGATAAAATAAATTAGTAATTTTAGTTAATTTGGATATGCAGAGGATATTAAAAATAAATTTAAGGAACCTCAGAAAGAGGGGGAAGGAAATAAAGCTTTAAAATGTCAAAATGATTGTAAAATCAGTGAAATGTATATATTTGAAAAGCACGAATAAAATTTAAAATAAAAGTTTCAGAAGTCCTGGGAATGCCCACCCTCCGCTTGAAACTCAGGACAACCGCTGCCAGCCCGTGTCGGCACTATGGGGCTTAGCCAGACCCGCCTTTGCAAAACGCAAAGCCCGGGCGTACTTGTTCCTGGGAGTTAGGAAACTGGCCGCTTAAGGGGTTAAGCCGAGCGAGCCGCGATGCCTGGAAAGGCCTGGGAATGAATGAGTGAAGGTCTGGAGGAGGAAGAGGAGGGGGAAAGGGGGAGAGGAGGGGTTCCTTTTGAATTCCTTAACTTGGTTTTTTGCAGACTTAAGTTCTGCTGGTGGAGGCAGCACGTGGAAGTACCAGTAAGTTCCTTAAAAAAAAAATTGCCCAAGTAGTGGGCAGCAGGGTAATATGGAAAATGGGAGGGGGGAATTACTGGGGTGGGTGGGTCAAAAAGAGGGAAATGGGGGTGGCGAGCCCCTCCCCCTTTGTGCCCCACTTCTGAGCATCCTTGAGGGGAAGGGAGTGGTTAGGGAGTGATGCCCGGCTGCAAGGACGCTGGCTTTGGGCGGGTCTGATCCAAGAAGCTCACTCCTAAAGGAGGGAGAAGCTGGAATAATAATAATAATAATAATAATAATAAATAATTTTTATTTATACCCCGCCCTCCCCAGCCAAGACTGGTCTCAGGGCAGCTAACACCAGGTATAAAAACAATTGATTGAAATACAACTTAAAAACAAGATTAAAATACAACATTAAAATGCAGCCTCATTTCAGGCATCAGTGGCTTCTAGGCATGCTAAGTGAAAATAGAGACTCCCCTTCCCAAGGCAGTCTACCATCCCCTCCTTTTTAATTTTTATTTTAAAATAATTTTTAAAAAAATTACTTGAAGCAAATCAAACGAATCGATACAACAAAAATAACCAAGGCACACATTCGAAAGAAAGAGTTCAGCATGGTGTATGCCGGAGAGGCTTAAATCAGGGAAGACGATTAAGAAAGGGGAATTTTTGCATTGCACCCCCCCCCCTTTTTATAGTTAGTGTGAAATCAAAAGTACAGGCAAACAAACAAATAAACAAAAACAGGAAAAGCATAATGAGAGTTGCAAAACATAGGGGCAGAGGCAGTGAACCTTTGATTTCCAGGAGACCAGGACCAAATAATAGGTTCACGCTCTCTCTGTTATATTAATAATATACTCTTTTGAAACTGACTATATTTGTGTTTCGCTTTTATGGTTTATTTTATTTTGTATCCCACCTTTTTTCTCCAAGGAGCTCAACGTGGTTCTCCTCATCCTTATTTAACCCGAGGTACTATTTCTAGGTTAGCAGAGTCTGTAACCTGAAGCGTATGTAACCCGAGGTACCACTGTATTTTCTTCTGTGGTTAATTCACAAGCTGCTGAATTCTGAAATGTAGGAAAAATCACCCTTGGGGCTTCTTTGAATGTATCCTCAAAGATCACCTGCCTCTTGTGTTCCTTTCTCTCCCTCCCTCCCTCCCTTCCTCCTTTCCTTCCTTCCTTCCTTCCTTCCTTCCTTCCTTCCTTCCTTCCAGGAGAAGCCCTTTCATCACTGAAGAGATTCCTGCTCCATTTCTGAATCTCCTGAGGTTTACTCCGTCGACTGAAGATCCCGCTCCTAACTCTGATCAGTGGAAGGGTGGCAGAGATTTTTCCCGACTCCGGAAAGAGGAGCAATTGTACACAACCGGGTTGCTGCCGTCGGTCTCCCCCGACATGGCTGATGCCCAGGATGCTGAGGCAACCAAGGGTCTCCATCTTGAGGCTGCTGCCAATAACCCTATGTGTCCTGTAATCAAAATGGAGGAGCAGGAGCCCACAGTCCTTGGGAGCGAGGGGATGGAAAGACCCAGAAAGGGGCTCTCCGTTGTTCACAGTCGGGGCTCCTGGTTTGGGGCGATGCTGTCCCGGGTCGGAGCTTTTCCAAGGCAAGAGAGGCTGGAGGGTGTGAAGGAGGAGCCGGATGAGGCAGCTTGGGAAGGCCAGTGGCAGGCGTTCTTGAAGGCCTTGCAGATGCCTCAGGCCGCCTGGGCATGGTCGGTGGTGATGGAGGATAACCAAGAGGGCAGGACCAACCCTGAGGGGGCAGCGGAGGTCTGTGAGCAGCCAGAAGGGCAGCCAGGAACCAGCCTGCCCCCTGGGTCCAGAGGGCTCCAAGCCCTGGGATCCCCCGAGACCAGAACTTGCGGAGGGGCAAAGCGGGAGAATCCCAGCGAGGAAGCTTCCGGGTCAGAGGCACAACGGCGGCACTTCCGGCAGTTCCCCTACTTGGAAGCCAAGGGGCCCCGGGAGGTTTGCAGCCAGCTGTGGTTCCTTTGCCACCGGTGGCTGAAGCCGGAGAGGCACACCAAGGAGCAGATCCTGGAGCTGGTGACTCTGGAGCAGTTCGTGGCTGTCCTGCCCTCGGAGATCCAGGACTGGGTCAGGGGCCGAAGGGCCGAGACCTGCACCCAGGCAGTGGCCCTGGCCGAGGATTTCCTGCGGAGGCAGCAAGAGGCTGGGGAAGCCACGTGGGAGGTAGGGAAGTGTCTTCTTTCCTTGTCACCCATATTATCAGCTGGATACGTGCTGTTAAAGACGCAGGGTGTGAGCTCCCGTTTGGCTTTCCTGCGTCTGGGCAGGATCTCACCCCTGTTAGTTGCTGTGCTGCAGCAGCCTTGCATAGTGTGCACTGCCGTCCTTCCGGATATTATTATTATTATTTTATTTTATTTTTATACCCCACCATCTAATTGGGTTGCCCCAGCTACTCTGGGTGGCTTCCAACATATATAAAAACATAATAAAACATTACACATTTAAAGGCTCCCCTATACAGTCGTACCTTGGTTGACAAACGGCTTAGCTGCCGTACGCTTTGGTTCCCAAACAATCGAAACCCGGAAGTGAATGTTCCGGTTTTCAAACTATTTTTGGAAGCCGAATGTCTGGTGCATTTTCCACGTCTTCTGATTGGCTGCAGGAGCTTCCTGCAGCCAATCAGAAGCTCCTGCAGCCAATCAGAAGCTACATCTTGGGTTTTTAACGGTTCCGGGAGTCAACGGACTCTGAGAACACATTCTGTTTGTCAACCAAGGTACAACTATAGCAGGCTGCCTTCAGATGTCTTATAAAGTTTACTCATCTCCTAGATATCTGCAGGGAGGGTTTTCCACAGGGTGGGTGTCCCTACCAAGAAGGCCCTCTGCCTAGTTCCCTGTACCTTCCATTTCGCAGTGAGGGAACTGCCAGAAGGCCCTCGGAGCTGGATCTGCTTACTTCCTCCTGTGCTGAATGGGACTTTCATTGTTGTTCCAGGTGCCGGGATCTCTTGCAGAGGCCGCTGCAAGTTTCTCTGAAGCGGACCAGACTTCGCCAGATGCTGGGGAGAGGAGCGCTGGTGGAGATGCCTCTGTATTGGAGAGCGATGGGGATGCCTCTGTATTGGGTGCCAAAGGTTTCCTTTTGCCGATCCCAGGGACGGGAAACCTGTGGCCCTCCTGGTGTTCTGGGAATGATGGAAGCTTTAGTTTTTAGCAGCTGGAGAGCCACAGTTTATCTATCCTCATTACAAAGGGTTACACTGAATTCACCAGACCTAGAAACACCTTATAGCACTCAGAGTTTACATGTTAACTTTTGAATACTTTTTGTTTGTTGTGGGGGAGGAAGGGAAAGGAGATTGTTAGCCGCTTTGAGACTTCTTTGGGTAGTGATAAAGCAGAATATCAAATCCAAACTCCTCCTCTTCTTCTTCTTCTTCTTCTTCTTCTTCTTCTTCTTCTTCTTCTTCTTCTTCTTCCCTCTTACTTGCCTTTTCTCCAAAGTAGAAAAAAAATCTATAAAAGTAACATTTCCCCACAGGACACTTGCTCCATCCCCTTGATCATTTTGGCTTACTGTTTTTCGTTTATTGTTCTTTGTCCGTGATGCTCTAATCAGGATTGTTCATCTTTTGTTCTGTTAGATGATGGCTGGGAGAGAGAAAATGGTGGGGAGCCGTGTGTGGTGTTGCTGGAAAGAATCAGGGATATGGAAGAAAATGTCGGGGGCAAAGAAGGACTGAGGAAGAAACGTGGAAACGGCACCGAGAAGTGGAAGGAGCGGTCTGCTGTATGTCCTAGGGGGAAAGGCCCTGAATTTACAGCCAAGCAGAGGCTACATGAAGGAAAGGGCGGGTATCCATGCAGTGTGTGTGTCAAAAGTTTTCCTTGCAAATCTAGCCTTACTCGACATCAGATAACCCACACAGGGGAGAACCCACATAAATGCTCGCACTGTGGGGAGAAGTTCACTCGGAGAGCGAGCCTCATTGTTCATCAGAGAATCCACACAGGGGAGAAACCCTACAAATGTTTCACATGCGGGAAGAGCTTCAGCGTGAACTCCACCCTAATCAGGCACCAGAGGATCCACACGGGAGAGAAGCCGTACCGGTGCTTTGACTGCGGAGAGAGCTTCAGTCAGCGCACGATCCTGATTTCGCACCAGCGGATCCACACGGGGGAGAAACCGTATCAGTGCTTGGGCTGTGGCGAGAGCTTCCGCGATAAGTCGAGCCACATCCGGCACCAGCGGATCCACACCGGGGAGAAACCGTACAAATGCTCGGACTGTGGCATCAGCTTTCGCGACAAGTCCAGCCGTATTCGGCATCAGAGGATCCACACGGGGGAGAAGCCGTACAAATGTCTAGACTGCGGGGAAAGCTTTAGTCAGAGCTCGAGTCTTACTAGACATCGGAAAATACATACGGGAGAGATACTGTACCCGTGCTCGGACCGTAGGGGGAGTTTCCATGATAAATCAAACATTAAAGAGCCCCACAATGGTCACTTACTAGAGAGACGAGACAAATATGCAGACTGTGGTGAAAGCTTCAGTCAGGACACATTCCAACTTGGGCTACAGAGCAGCCACTCTGGAGCTAAATAGTAGCCGTTCTCCTTGCTAGCTTTGGAGAAGAACACAGAAGAGAGCCATAGTGACTTCATTTGACACAAGTCTAAACTATAGTGTCATGTGAATGAATCTTTCATCCCCCTAGGCTCATGGAGTAACAGTTGGAAAACATGCCCCCTCAGGAGAGGCTGGCCCCCCTCTTTGGTTCCCGGGGCTTGTTTACCGGTGATCTACTCTGGTTGGCATCCCCGCAAGTCCAGAGAGGTCTTGATAGGCGACATCTCCCAGCGTGGAAGATGCATACCCCCTTCTCCCCTTGCATACCAGCAGGAGAAAGGAGATAGCCAGAAAGTCCATTACATTTCTACGGTTTATTTCTGACTTTACAGCGGTACAAAAAACATGTCCGATCATTTCAGTCTCCTCCAAGCAACTGCGTAAGACTTCCTTCACATGCGCAACAGGAAGGTCTCATATTACACACAGAACAAATCCCTGTGAACCCTGTGAACTGCCTTGAACATTCCTTCCCAGGGCTAGCCACATCATGTGATGTAAACATCGAGCTGCTTGTTTGCAGCTGCGTTGCACTCATATCCCAACAGTAACCCCCTTGACTCTCCTCCTCTGGTGTGCTTCCATTTCAACCTAACCACAGTTTAGTGTGTCACCTGAGCCCTAAACTGTGGTTAAATCTTAACTCGGGAAACAAGCCAACTTCTGATCAGAAACTTCCATTTATATTTCAGATTAACTGCCGCTTAAGTGTGTCATCTGAACCCTAAAAATGTGGTTTGATGGGGAAAGCAAGTCAGATTCTCAAACTCTGTCTCAGAGCTGACCTGTTCCTACGAACCAGAGTTCTGTTGCAGCACAACCTGTCTTGCGTTTGGACAAACTATGGCTAATGAAAACCGGAAGCAAAGCTTCCAAGCTCTTCCTCGATGGAGGGTGGGCAGGGAGCTGCTGTTCCCATCATGCTAAACTGTCGTTAGCAGCCTGCCTGAACCAGCCGCTGTAGGTGCGCAAGCAACATGGAGAGTTTGCTCAAGCTACAGACTGGGTTGTGCATGCATACAGGCCACAGTTCCATACAAGCAAGGGAACGTGGGATCATACATCAGCTGCAGAACTGAGCATCTTTCTTTTTTTAAAGAATAAATTAATAAAATTGAAAGTATTATAAAACTGTCCAGCTAGCCTCTTATGGTAGGCCACAGGTACAATGGTACCTCGGGTTAAGAACTTAATTTGTTCTGGAGGTCTGTTCTTAACCTGAAACTGTTCTTAACCTGAAGCACCACTTTAGCTAATGGGGCCTCCTGCTGCCTCTGCAGGATTTCTGTTCTTACCCTGAAGCAAAGTTCTTAACCCGAGGTAATATTTCTGGGTCAGCGGAGTCTGTAACCTGAAGCGTATGTAACCTGAAGCATATGTACCACTGTACTCCTTTTTTATACTTCGATGGGAGGAAAGCCACTGTGGATTTCAAAAACCTGCCTTTGCCTACAATCACAGTAGATCCCTTCTCAGTTATGGCATAAAATCCACACACTCTTTGTTTGCAAAAAAAAAAAAAAGGGGGGGGGGGAGCTAAAAGCCTTGATAAAACACCAACCTCAGCAGCTTTGAAAGGAAGGTAGCCAGATTCATGGATGATGAGGTCCTGGCACTGGTCTTTGCTTCATTCATCACATGTAAAGCGCTCTACCTTTGAACAGTCTCAAAAACCTGAAGTTGGTTCAGGAGATGGCCACAAAGATGTGTGTTCAAGAAGGTAGATGTGGAAAATTATTTACTGAAGTTTCAAAAATAGAAAAAGAAATCTGTAGGGTGAAAAGGTTAAAGTCTGAGGGGAAACCTCAAACATAGTCCATCAACGAGTCAGCAAGGGCAGAGAACATGAAACGCTGTTTGACAAGTGGGCAGGGGTAAATGGAAACCAGGATTCAGTGAGGGACGGAATGGAGTCTCCTGGGAAAGGGGGTGGCTGGCTGGCTGGCAAACCATCCCCACACTGCACCGCAATTTTATTATTATAGGTGCCAATGTGTAGGTGCTCTTTGACATGTGGTGTACTTGGTACAATTCCAAAAGGGCTGGTGATTTAATAATCTGTGAACCAAATCAATTTGACCAGCACCAATTTGTGAATCACTTCCAGCTCTACAATTCTATGGTTTTATGGTTCTCTATGCATCTCAAGGCAATCTGGGTTAGTGGTTGAGAGCATTGGGCTGGGACCTGGGAGACCAGGGTTCAAATCCACGAAGCTCACAGTGGCGACCTTGGGCCAGTCGCTGCCTCTCAGCCTAGCCTACCTCACAGGGTTGTTCTGAGGATAAAATGAGGAAGAGGAAAACTAGGCATGCAAGATTGCCTCCAATGGAGGTGATGTAGAATATAAATGCAGTGGATAAATTGAAAAATCCAACATGCAAATGTTATTTTTATTGAAATTATGTCCCTGCTTCCAGGGGAACCCTGGGCAGCACAGCTACCGGTGTTTATCTATAAAGCCCTAAAGCAGATTTACTCCATGCTGTCCTCACATGATTTTGTCTACTTCAAAATGGATGGCACATGGGTGCTTGCATATATATATATATATATATATATATATATATATATATATATCAGCGGAGTGCAGAAGCAAATAGCCTGGCAAGACTGCTGCTTGAAAGAATAAAGGAACTTCGCATACAAAACCATTCTGAGAACAGGAATACATTTGGCCATGACAAAGAGTAATGTGGTTTAACAGCATGTACACTAAACAAGAAGCAGGAAGGAAGGAACACCTGTGGGGAGAAAAATATGATTTATAGGTAAGTTCTCAGAAAGGACTCAGGAAAGAAGAAAAGTTTGCTTATCACTCTCTCCCCCCCCCCAAGCAGTTACAGGCGTTGTTGCTTTACTAATAATAACAACAATAACAATAATGATTTTATTATTTGTACCCCGCTGGTTACCCCAGCCACTCTGGCCAGCTTCCAACATCCATAAAAACATGATGAAACATTACACATTAAAAGTCTTCCCTATACAGGGCTGCCTTCAGATGTCTTCTAAAGGTTATGTAGTTACTCATCTTGACATCTGATGGGAGGGCGTTGCACAGGGTGGGTGCCACTACCAAGAAGGCCCTTTGCCTGTCAACCTTACTCTGTATGGGCTTCCAGGCACATAATGTTTGTTGCAGCCCTTAACAATAACCCTGAAAGGTAGGGCAGTGTGGCTATCCCCGTGTTAAGAGATCTGAGGCTTGAAGGAGAGTGTCTTGCCTAAGGCTGCCTGGCGAGTTCATGGCAAGATTTGAACACAGAACTTTCATGTTTGCAGTTCATCCTACTTTGCCATTAATGCTACAACAGCATTCTTACACGCATCCTGCAAGCTCAACTGTTTTAACTATGCGCTGTGGGAAGAAGCCCTTTCTTTGGTCTGTCCTGATTCTCCCAATGTTCAGTATCACTGGATGTCCTCGAGTTCTAGTATTAAGAGAGGAGAAAAACCTTATTCACTTGCGCAATTTTATTTGCCTCTTATTGTGTCCTCCTTTACTTGCCTTTTCTCTAAATTAAAAAGCCCCAAACGTTGCAGCCTTTTCCTCACATGGGCGCTGCCTGTTTTTTTCTCAGCTGTGTAATATCCTTTTGGAGTTGAGGCCACCAGAACAGTACTGTACACTGTATTCCAAGAAACAAAAAAAAATATGCTCCCTGAAGCACACTGGGTTGCATTCAACAAAAAGTCCAGTGCAGGGCAGACCCATTGAAATCAACGGACCTAAGTTAGTGGTGTGCCCATTCACTTCAATGGGTCTATTCTGAGTAAGGCAAGAGTCGAATAGCTCCCGCCATTTCTCGGGAAGGGAAGCCAGACCACAACTGTGCGCGTGTGTGTATCCCCCCACCCCCTTAAAAACTATTTCCCCACCCCCATCCCATCACTGCCTGGAAGTTTCTTCTTAGCAGAGGACTACATTTCCCAGGAGCCTTTGCGAGACTAAAAAAGAAGTTGATAACGGATCTAAGCACCACCTGCGCATGCAAATTTACCGGTATGTAGAAAATAGGAATGGGGGGCGGGCGGAGAAAAAGAAAAGCCCTTTTTGTACAGGTGAATCTGAACGTCAGAAAGGTAAAACAAACAAAACGAGCACAAGTAATCATAGAGATGAGGGGTTGCTTGGGTTTTTGTTTTTTAAGAAATGTCTACGTAGGCAAACCCCTTCCTGCTCTGATCCCGCCCACGGAAACAGCTTTCAATGTATACAGTATAAATATATATGTGTGCATGCATCCTCTCTCCTGGACAAAAAGTGGTCGTTTTGCAGCTGCAGAGTCCTCCTGGGCAGTGTGAGGTGAATGTCAGGTTGCTGGGAGGGAGATCAGGTTTTTTGGGTGGGGGGGGGAGACCCCATAGCTTTCAATTCCCTTGTATGCTTGCATGGGATGGGAGTAAGCCCATTGACTGCAATCACAGCGTCTTTTCCCCAGTAAATGCGTGTATGAGTGTCGGGAATGGGGCATCATAAGAGCTTGGGTTGCTGTCGTTTTACTGATTTGGAAAAAGTGCAGAGAGAGAAATGTTTACCAGGTTTCATGTTTGACTTACTATATTGTTGTTGTTGATTAGTTATATTTCCCCAAGGAGCTGAAGGTGGCACACCTAATTTTATCCTCCTCCCCATTTTATCCTCACAACAACCCTGTGAGGCAGTGACTGACCCAAGATCACCATAGTGAGCTTCATGGCAGAGTGGGGATTCGAACCCGGGTTAATGAGGTCCTATTCTGCTCTGGTCAGACCTCACCTGGAGTACTGTGTCCAGTTCTGGGCACCACAGTTCAAGAAGGACACTGACAAACTGGAACGTGTCCAGAGGAGGGCAACCAAAATGGTCAAAGGCCTGGAAACGATGCCTTATGAGGAACGGCCAAGGGAGCTGGGCATGTTTAGCCTGGAGAAGAGGAGGTTAAGGGGTGATATGATAGCCATGTTCAAATATATAAAAGGATGTCATATAGAGGAGGGAGAAAGGTTGTTTTCTGCTGCTCCAGAGAAGCGGACACGGAGCAATGGATCCAAACTACAAGGAAGAAGATTCCACCTAAACATTAGGAAGAACTTCCTGACAGTAAGAGCTGTTCGACAGTGGAATTTGCTGCCAAGGAGTGTGGTGGAGTCTCCTTCTTTGGAGGTCTTTAAGCAGAGGCTTGACAACCATATGTCAGGAGTGCTCTGATGGTGTTTCCTGCTTGGCAGGGGGTTGGACTCGATGGCCCTTGTGGTCTCTTCCAACTCTATGATTCTATGATTCTAGTCCAGACATTTAACCACACCACACACCACACTGGCTCTCCAGGGAAAGGATTTAAATCTCAGGATGGCCACTCCCCATGCACGGCTCTGTGCTTTCCCTGCTCTGGGTATCTGGTGTCAGAGAAACGAGTTCAAATCCTGCATGTTTGCTTTTATTTTTGGAATATTCAAGCCGCTTACAGGATTTGTTGCCGTCCAAACAATATGATCACAAATGAATTAAGAAGCCCAATGGTAGGGCCTTTGGGTTTGTGTATTTCAGGAATGGGGAGCCTGCTGTGTGTGTGTCCATGTGTTTTGGGAGAGTCGAACTCCCATCAGCTCCAGCCAGCGTGGCCATAGCTGTCAACCTTCCCTTTTTTTGCGGGAAATTCCCTTAGTCCAGCACCGTTTCCCGCTGCTTCCCGCTGCTATCCCGGATTGTTAGATATCCCGTAGACTGTCCCCGGGACAGGTGAGGCTGTTGATCCCTTATTTTCAAATCTGAAAGTTGACAGCTATGAGCATGATGATGGCGCTTGTGGCCTAGTGATATCAGGATGACCACAGGTTCCCAACCACAGTGCATTTTCTTTCTCGGTTCCTGAAACCCTGTTTTCTCTTTTCAAGGGGGTCCCCGTAACGCCGGTCTCGAGCACTCTAGCCCTCTTCTGGAGACCGACAAAAGAGCAGAAAGCCACTTCGCAATCCAAGAAGCGCCATTTGCTGCAAACAGGAGCCCATCTCTGCACTGGGACACGAGGGCCCTTTGCTGGAAACAAAATGGCTGCCACACAGACACCCACAGTGGGTTTCAGCCTCCAGTTCCAGGCAGCCCTGGAGAAGTGGATGCAGCTGGGGTTTGAAATTCAGGAGCGTGGCCCAGCAATCCCCAAAGCAGGGGACAAGGAGGGAGAAGCAGGAAAGTCCTCGACAGTGCTCTCTGAAGGGAGAATCAGGGGACTTGTTCAAAGGGCACCAGCGCAACAGGTTAAACAGGAACCAGGAGATGTGCTGCACCAGCAGTGGGAATCTCAGTGGCAGGACTTCTTGAAGATGGTGGAGTCCCAACAATCTCAATGGGGAAAGGCACCATTGCCGGAGGAGCCGTCCCCATGGGATGACACAAAATCTTTCCTGGCCTCCTTCGAGAAAGTGGCCGAAGCTTGCCGGTGGCCCAAAGAAGCGTGGGCAGCCCGACTCCTGCCGGCCCTCAGCGGAGAGGCCGAACAGGCCTTCAGCAGCCTGAAGGCTGGAGACAAGGAGGATTATGGGAAAGTGAAGGTGGCCATCTTGCGAGAGGAGGCCACGAGGAGGGAGAAGGTGCGTCAGCACTTCAGGGGCTTCTGCTACCGGGAGGCCGAGGGGCCCAGAGGAGCCTACAGCCAACTCCAGGAGCTTTGCTCCCGGTGGCTGAAAGTCGAGAGGCACACCAAGGAGCAGATCCTGGAGCAGCTGATCCTGGAGCAGTTCCTGACCGTCCTTCCGCCAGAGATCCAGAGCTGGGTGAGGGAGTGCGGGCCGGAGACCTGCTCCCAGGCGGTGGTCCTGGCCGAGGGGTTCCTGCAGCTGCAAGAGGAAACGCGAAAACAGGGAAAGGAGGTGAGGCAATTTTTAGCCTGAGATGATCTGTTATCGATGTGGCGGCTCTGTGATGTCAGAGTGACCCTGCTGCATTGTGCAAATAGCCCGTGACATTCCTCCAAAATACCCACAAAGAGGTGCATGGTTTAAGGGAGCCGAGATTTGTGTGGGAACCCCTTTCCTCTCACGGAGCTGCACGAGCTCCTCTCACAGAGCTCAGAGTGGTTTAACAATCTGAAAATTTTAGCTCTGTGAGCGGAATAGGGCTCTCCATGCAAAACTCAGCCCCCTTAACAAACGACCATTCCCAAGATTCTTTGGGGATGGAAGCCATGCTGTAATAGTGTTTTCAATTTTTTTTTGTCCATTTCTAACTTTCTGTGTTATCTTTTTGTATTCTTATCTCCTTGTTTTCATTGCAGAGCATTCTGTGGCCTGTGCAAAAGGTGGTCTATAAATCATCTCAGTAATTCAAGTCCTTCCCTGGCCTGAGAGAGGTCAAGAGGAAGCTGTTCATTCACTCCTTGGGAGTGGATTTGTGGAGACTTGTCTTTCGCTTCCCAAGATGTCTTCCCTTTCCAGCACTTGCATCTCCCTGCTGAAAGGGATGTTCTTCTCCTTTCCAGAAGCAGATCCCATCTGAGGAGGTGGAGGCTAAGCTGGAGGTGGATGGAGGAAACGTCTGCTCACTGGGTGAGTTGAGATGCTGTGTGGCTCTCCAGTGTTTTGGTGAAATTCCCTCAGGTGGCCATAGAGTGTATGCACCATTCAGTGGCTGAGGCCCTTGCTGACTGAAGTGGGCAGGCGTCACCCAGGAGGATAGCCTTCTCTGTGTTGGCCCCAGCTCCAAGGAATGCCAACCCTGGAGAGGACCACCTAGGCCCATCACTGTGTACTTTCTGGTGCCGGATAAAAGCTGGCTTCTCAGAGGGCTTTTGCAATTGGCCAAGGTTGTTTTCAGCAGTGTCATTTTGCTTTTCTGCTCTGCTTGGGGTACAAGCCATTAAAAGCAGGACGGAACAAGTCACATATAATCCAAATCAACACAGTATTCAAAATGGGAAAAGCTCCTGAATATCAATAACTACAAGTTATTAGCATCAAGACTATTGCACGTTTAGAGACAGATTGAGCTTAAATGTGTTACAGAAGGGGGGGCATGTCTTCTTCACCTTCTTCTTCACTATAATATATCCATTTATTCCCAATTGTCAAAGGGACTAAAATCTATAAAATCCATAGAAAATCAACGTGCCAATTTGCTCAATTTCTCTAGGACTCCATCACCCCTCCCCTGTCCTCCATAATCCCTCAAGCAAGGTGTCCAGACCTTAATCCTGTCAAATCACTCTGCCAAGCCTTTCCTCCAGGAAATGCCAGTACATGGACCATTGTCTTCTCATCAGGATGTGCTTATCTGCGCATATCTCCAGCTCTGCATATTCCCCCCTCCCTCCTCCATATGTTAATCTGTGTAACCCAACCTTTCCTTAATGTATTCATGATGTAACTGGGATGTATTTTGCACTGTATTCTGGGACATGGAGGGAGTTTCAAAAGTTCATGTCACCCCTTTCTCGCTGTTCAATCTGGTCTTGAACCTGTTGCGCAATAAACTTGGATCTTCTGCAGTTTGCTCCTGTCTGGCTGTGCTCATTTTCTTCCGCAGGGACCCGCGGACTTACTTAGTCCGACGAGCTGGGTGGCAGGGTAGCCCCACACCCAGATTTAGCTGTAACAAATGGCAGTATAACAAAAAAAATGAACGGCAAATATTATTTCCGCTGTTTCTCTCTCTATCTCCTTCTCTCCCCTGTGTCTTTTGGTTGATCCAATAACAACTGACTTCTTGGTTGTCTTTGCAAATGAAAGGAAATTCAGTGGTACCTCAGGCTACATACGCTTCAGGTTACATACTCTTCAGGTTACAGACTCCGCTAACCCAGAAATATTACCTCAGGTTAAGAACTTTGCTTCAGGATAAGAACAGCAATTGGGCGGTGGCGGCACAGCAGCAGCAGGAGGCCCCATTAGCTAAAGTGGTGCTTCAGGTTAAGAACAGTTTCAGGTTAAGAACAGACCTCCGGAACGAATTAAGTACTTAACCTGAGGTACCACTGTATAGGATATGTAAACAGACTTCTGGGATATCTGTAGGGACATCTACCTGGTTGGCCATGGTGATGACAGGATGCTAGACTAAATGGCATTGACTTCATCTGGCTGTAGGCTCTCCTCATGTTCTCAACATTTTTACAGCCACTTCTAGGGTTCAAAGCACTTCATGAACCTTATCCAGGGGGCCATGCCAGGCTAGTGAGAGGTTGTGGCCTTGGGAGAGTTACAGACAGAGAGGCCTGGAAGGCTGAATTTGGCCCCTGGGCAGCTGCTAGTTGCCTAAGTAATACTAGCCTAGTTGGGCTGAAAGGTGTAAGGCTGCTTCTTGTAGTTTTCTTTCCAAACTCCCGGACCCATCCCGGAAATAAAACTTAGGTTCATGGTGGAAAATTTGTTGGGGAAAAGCATCCCCTGTGTGCCCAGGGAATGAGTTTCTCTATTACATTTTTTTCATTTCTCCACAGATGAAAGAAAGGTGTCTATCAAGGAGGTGGAGAAATGTGGACCGGAAAATTCCACCCAAATAAGGCCACGTGAGAGAGAGTCTGCCGGGAGAGGAGAAAACATTCCTCCGCTTTGTGAAAAGGCCTCAGAGAGTCAGCGTAGGCCTCGTGGCAGCAGAACAGTCTCCCTGGAGCAGGAGCAGTCGGATCCATTCCATGTGCAGGAGGCTACAAGGAGCTCTGCCAAGCCCCAGGCCACCAGGCGGCGCAGACCGGTAAGAGGCAAAACGCATGCAGAGTTTGCTGGAGAAGCTTCAGTCACGGGTCAAACTTCACTGAACATTAGAGAATACAGACAGGAGAAAAGCCTTACAGCTGCTTGCATTACAGGCAGAGCTTCAGCCGCAGGTCGAATCTCAACTGTCATCAGAGAATCCACATAGAAGGAGAGTCTCCTGAGGGAGACGATTCCACTGTTGAACAGCTCTTACCATCAGAAAGTTTTTCCATATGTTTAGTCGGAATCTCCTTTCTTGTAACTTGAAGCCATTGGTTCAAGTCCTGCCTTCTGGAGCAGGAGAAAACAATCTTGCACCATCTTCCATGTGACAGCCCTTAAGGTATTTGAAGATGGCTATCACATCTCCTCTCAGTCTCCTCTTTCCCAGGCTAAACATACCCAATTCCTTCAAGTGCTCCTCGTAAGGCTTGGTTTTCAGACCCTTGATCATCTTGGTTGCCCTCCTCTGCACACGTTCCAGCTTGTCAACGTCCTTCGTAAATTGTGGTGCCCAAAATTGGACACAGGACTCCAGGTGTGGTCTGACCAAGACAGAATAGAGTGGTACTATTATGTCCCTTTGAGGATATTTCACCCCTCCCATTGCAAGAATATGCTGATGTTTCAGGAAGGAGGGGGCGGATTTTGCTCATTGCTTCTTCCGCTCCAGCCTGACTTCAAAGGGGTGTCTGAGTGTTATCTGTGTATAGATAAGGTCGCTGCTCATGCAGCTGTAACACTCATTGCAGTCCAGCGTCTCCATTTAGTCTGTAGTTAGTTTGTATAGTAGCTGTAGAGAATAAAAGAAGTTATTCTACAGAAGCTGTCGTTCGTGTGGTTCATGCTCTGCTGTGCTCTGCTGACTACTGGAAGTGAGTTTGGTGCTCACAGCTCTGAGTTGTGAGTCCACAGCACTTAGACCTGCTTCCTGCGTGGAAGGTCTCTGGAAGTGCTTTCCAGCTCGCCTGGCTCAGTCGGGGCTGAAGAGGTTGAGCCCAGTCGGTGGCACTGGCTCAAAGGCAAAGCTGACACCCTTTACCTGGACACTATACTTCTGTTGATCAGAATGCTGAACTAGACAGGCCACATACACACACACACCCCTGTGACTCAGGGTTGGAGGGCAAATGCAGCCCTGCAAGCATCTCTATCTCGCCCTTGGGATCTTCCACAGGCCTCACCCCTTTCCAGCCTTGTTTTATACACTCAGATATTTTTGCGTGGATGGGCCCTTGAACCCTGATAAGATGCCCTCTTGCTGGTCTGGACAGAGGACAGAGGGGTGTGTGAGAGCGCACGTAGAAACTTCGCCTCCCATAAAAAATAAATTTTGCATCCATTGCTCCACCCACTTCTGCCTTTGGCCCCACCCACCAATGGCATGTGGGACATGGAAGGTTGCCGGGAGGAGATTGTAGACCTTGGGTTGACAAGGGTTCCTCACCTCCTGGTCCAGAGGGTGAGATAAAATTACCAGTGAGAGGTCTCTCAGTATCTATTAGCCGCAACAGTGCAGTAGAACCTCCAGTCTCAGAGTCAGTATACCTCTAAATACCAGTGTTATGTACTCAAGTTCTCAACCTGGGCCAGCAGGGGGATACTGTAGATAGTTATGCAAATGAAGGATCAAAAGTGACGTTCAGTTATTGGATAGTTTTAGAAAGTTGCTACAGTAACGTTGTACTGGAGCTCTATATAAGCAGGCTGACTGAGCCCTTCAGTTCAGTTCTGTTCTGGCCTCTGAATAAACAAGAGCTGTTTGAAGAATCGCTGTGTCGTCTGATAATGTTCACCCACAACTTAACAACCAGCTCTTGGGGACATACAGCAGGAGGAAGGGCTGTTTTCCTTATGCCCTCCTTGTGAGCTGAGCATCATGGGAAACAGGAAGCTGGGTTAGATAGCACTTTGGTCTGGCCCTGCGGGGCTCTCCTCATCTCCCTTTCCATGTGTTTAGCAGCGCCATCTGACTCCACCCCTTTCTTTCAACCTTAACAGGTTACTGGCCCGAGAGTGAGAACGAAAAGAATCACCGAGGCGTTTTGGAGCAACCTGAAGCGATAGCAGTCGTTTCAAGGATGGCGACGGAGAACACCGTGGCTCAGGCTGAAAAAAGCAGGGAGGCCTCTGAGGGTCAGCGCAGGAAGTGGCAGGAAGGAAATGCCCTGAAGAGAAGGACAGGCCAATCCACTACCTCTGGGGCAGAGGAAAAGGCACCCGGCAAAACTCTGCCACGGCCCAAACGAAAGACGTTTGCCGCGCTTCCCGAGAGAGCTTTCAAGCTCGGTGCGCCAAGCCGCTGCAGGCATGAGCGGCTACACACGGCGGAGATGCCCTTCCACTGCGCCGAGTGCGGGAAGAGCTTCGTACACCAGCGAAACCTCAACACCCACCAGAGGCTCCACACCGGAGAGAAGCTCTACGAGTGCCCCGACTGCGGGAAGAAATTCCTCAGCAAGTCAAAGCTCATCAGGCACCGGCGGCTGCATACCGGGGAGAGGCCGTACCAGTGTTCGTACTGCTGGCGGAGCTTCAGCCAGAGCTACAACCGGCGGACGGAGCACGAGAGAACTCACACAGGGGAGAAGACGGCGCACAACCGGGCAGCCCACGCGACAAACCTGGGTGGCAGCTCCTGTGTCGCTGCTCACGAAGGAGCCCGTAAAAGCGAGAGACCCTATAAGGGTTCCTATCGGGGGAACGGCCCCCCTTCAGGCTCTGAGGAAACGTAGAAGGGCTCAACCCCCGGAAGGGAAAAGGGAAAAGTTGTAACGTTGGCAGCAACCATGGGAAAGCCTCTGTTCTGAAGATGCTCCTTGTTAGATTTCACTTGATTGGTGCATGTGTTACAGATGGGTGCTTATTGCGTGATAGGGCGGGGAGGTGTGGTATAAATGCGATTAAGTCACTCTGCTGAGGGGTGGAAGAGAGAGATGAAGGAAGAAACATCAAGGGAGAAAGAGGAGGTGGAGAACTAGGGGGAAACAGGCAGCAGCTGGGCAAGGAAAACATGGGGGCCTAGGAAAGGGGGGTTGTCTGTGGGCTGCAGCAGGTCTGGGTAGCCCATGGCCCACCAGGGTTCTTGGACTTCAACCCACATCAGCCTCAGCCAGTGTGGGGAATGGGTCAGGGATGGTGGAAGAAGAAGAAAAAGAAGAAAAGTTTGGATTTGATATCCCGCTTTATCACTACCCTAAGGAGTCTCAAAGCAGCTAACATTCTCCGTTCCCTTCCTCCCCCACAACAAACACTCTGTGAGGTGAGTGAGGCTGAGAGACTTCAGAGAAGTGTGACTAGCCCAAGGTCACCCAGCAGCTGCATGTGGAGGAGCGGAGACGCGAACCCGGTTCCCCAGATTACGAGTCCACCACTCTTAACCACTACACCACACTGGAAGCTGCAGTCCAAGAATATCTGGACAGCCACAGGTTTGTCATCCCTGGTCCAGAGGCCTTTCCCCTCTTCTCCTAATTCAGGGATGGGGAAACAACGGCCCTCCGGTTGTTGCTCCCGTAATCTTCCGTCAGCAACCCCAGCAAGGGATTATCAGCATCAGCATCATTCATATTAATTAGTCACTTCGCTCACAAAAGCGATCCAAGGCGACTTAGAACACTGCATAAAAATCAATACCAGTTACAACAATCAAACCGATGCTGAACGTACGAAAGACATCTGTACGAATACAAGGAACCTGCCTCGCTAGAAGAGGCCACAAGTACTTAAAAGCCCTTCAGATTGAGGGTCATAACCCTAGGTAAAATGGGCGCCTAAAATAGGTCAAGGTGGTCCCAGGCAAGCGTCCCTGGGGAGAGGATTCCACAAGCACCACTTGATTTGATTTTTTAAATAATTCTTTATTAAATTTTCCATTTTAACAATCCAATCAAATCACATTAAATATTCCAAATTATACATATACACATGAAATAATCTAAATATTCTGCCAAATTATAAATTTGTTGTTGGGGCTTCCCATGCTTCGAGTTCGGGGCCCCGCTTTGGGCCTTAGATGACTGTTGCAAGGTCCGTGTCCAAGTACATGGAGCAATATGTAACTGAAAGCGGCTGCAATACTTTTGGAACTACTAGCCGCTTTGCATGAACTCTGTGAAAAATAACAACAGTTAGAATGGACTCCGATATCAGTGTATCCCCTTCTTCTTCCTTATCTGATTAATTTGGATGATTCAAATATGTGTATTCCTTTGTTATCTTGTGATTTCAAATATAAACATCTGTCTATCGAGTAAAATCAATAAAAAATTATCTATGTCTTGACTATACTGGCTGCAGCTGATGAGAGAGTCACATGTTCCTCATGCCTCTTGAGAGGTCAAACATGCAGAGAGGCGATGCACACTTGGGAAGGACTCGGTTTGATCCGAAATAGCCAATCCAAACTCGAGATTCTGTCAGGTATTATGTCATTTGAAAATATTTAAAGCACAAATCTTTTTACAGCCACTGGACCTCTCTTCTCAGCTGATTTCACAAAATAAGTGCTTCTTTATTTTTTTTCTAATTCTGATTTCAACCAGGATCTTTGAAACATTTGCAGTTCCTTCCCTCTTAATGCCGCCTGCCTTTCAGAACTTATAACTATGGCAACCCCTTTGTAAGCCGCCTTGGCTCTCGGTCTGGGAGAAAGGCGGGATATAAATAAATATTACAATTTGAAATACATTATTGTCACTTGTACAACTTGTATACAGTGAGATTACAGGGGCATATAATACAATAATATAATACTAAAGGTGAGGACAAAGCTGCTCTTGTACTCAGATCCTGCTTGGAGTACCGGTACCTGCTTGGAACAACTGGGGGCATCGCTGGCCTGATCCTGCAGCCGGGTTTCCCCTTCCTGCTTCAGAGCCAGAGACCAGCCGGGCGCCCCTGCTCCCTCTCTGCCCCGCGGCTCCGAAGCGGTTAACAGCGGCGACAGAGCTTCTATTCCTAGAGCGGAAGGGAAGACTGGGGGAGAGAGGAGGCGCTTCCGCTTCCTGTTCCGCTTCCCCGGGTTGATGCTGTCCTCCCTGGAGGCGGGTAACTGGGGGGTCGGGGGGGCCGAGCCAGGGGCGGAATCGGGGGGCGAGAGGGAGGGAGCCGCGTCCCTCCTGGGGGGAACTCAGGGGCGACGGGGAAAGGTCGTCTTCTCCTGGGAGGGGAAGCGGGAGGCCGAAGCGACGCTCCTCGCTGGCCTTGACCGGCCTCTGGCCTCATCCTGCGGCCTTTTCTCCCGCTCCTCTGTCCAGAGAACGCAGAAGGAGCGCCCAGCAAAGGCCGCAGGGCAGGGAATGGGGAGGAATGGCAGGGAGTAAACAGGGAGTCAGGAGAGTCTCCTGCCAGCCAGGGAGGAGCAGGAGGAATAATTATTATTTTATTCCTTCATACCCCGCCCATTTAGCTGGGCTTCCCCAGCCACTCTGGGCGGCTCTCAACAGAAAATTAAAAGCACTACAAAAGATGAAACATTAAAAGCTTTCCTGAACGGGGCTGCCCTCAGATGTCTTCTTAAAGTCAGATAGTTGTTTATTTCCTTGACATCTGATGGGAGGGCTTTCCACAGGGCGGGTGCTACTATCGAGAAGGCCCTCTGACTGGTTCCCTGTAACCTCACTTTTTGCAGTGAGGGACCCACCAGAAGGCCCTCGGAACTGGATCTCAGTGTCCACGCTGAACGATGGGGGGTGGAGATGCTTCTTCAGGTATACTGGGCCAAGATTGTTTAGGGCTTTAAAAAGGTGGGCCCCTGGGGATATAACTGGCCATCTGCAGCTGTAGAAATTTTATCTTATTTTCAAAATTTCTAAACACCTGATCCAAAAGGTCCTTCAAGTGGCGTAGTGATCCAATGGTAGCTAGAACACAACTAAAATTCACAAAACAGTTCAGAGACCAGTATGCATAAAGCCCGGGACGCGGGTGGCGCTGTGGGTTAAACTACAGAGTCTTGGGCTTGCCAATCGGAAGGTCGGCAGTTTGAATCCCCGCGACGGGGTGAGCTCCCATTGCTCGGTCCCTGCTCCTGCCAACCTAGCAGTTCGAAAGCACCTCAAAGTGCAAGTAGATAAATAGGTACCGCTCTGGCGGGGAAGGTAAATGGCGTTTCCATGTGCTGCTCTGGTTCGCCAGAAGTGGCTTAGTCATGCTGGCCACATGACCCAGATGCTGTACACAGGCTCCCTCGGCCAGTAAAGCGAGATGAGCGCCGCAACCCCAGAGTTGGCCACGACTGGACCTAATGGTCAGTGGTCCCTTTACCTTTACTTTATGCATAAAGCCATCATTGAAAAAAATCATCCCTCTCCACTTCCCATTTTGCCTGCTGGGCAGCATGTTTGGTCTTTACACACCTGAGGAAGGGGAGGAAGGAGGGAGTATGGGGTGGGACAAAACACTCATTTTCCCCAGACTTAAATTTAGTTATCCAGATTTTCACATCTTATTAAAAAACAAACACACGCTGAAGGTAAAATCTCCAGTTGCCCCATCAATCATCGGAGGGGGAGCTGAGGGGAGATGGTTTCCACACCTTGCCTTGGAGTGTCTATAAGGAAGGGAATTGTTCTGTCTTTCCAGGGATCAGTGAGCTTTGACAAGTGTCCTTGCATTTTGCTGACGACAACTGGGCCCTGCAGAGAGCTCTGTACAAGGACGTCATGGTGGAGGTTCATGAGATGGTGACCTCTCAGGGTAAGGATCCTTTTCGCCTTCATTAATAGTTATAATAGGTATGGGTTCCTCAGTGGCTCAGAGTGCCTTCCTTCAGCTCCGCTAAAGGAGGTCACAGTGTTCGTATTTCTCCCAAGTTAGAGGCCAGAAGCCTGGCTGAGAATAAATATTCTTGCTTCTCTGCTACAATTAGCCAGTGAAGGCTTCTGGGTTGCCTCTCTGTGGAAGAGCATTCTTTAGGTGGGGAGCCAGCACTAAAAGACGCATTCCGTATTGCCTCTCTTTGCACCTCAATTGGAGAGGGCACTGTGAGAAGGACCTCTGATGATGAGTGCAGGCTCTAGGTGGATTCATGAGAAGCAGTCCTTGAGTTAAAGGTAAAGGTAAAGGGACCCCTGACCATTAGGTCCAGTCGTGACCGACTCTGGGTTGCGGCGCTCATCTCACTTTATTGGCTGAGGGAGCCGGTGTACAGCTTCCGGGTCATGTGGCCAGCATGACTAAGCCGCTTCTGGCGAACCAGAGCAGTGCACGGAAATTCCGTTTACCTTCCCGCCGGAGCGGTACCTATTTATCTACTTGCACTTTTGACGTGCTTTCGAACTGCTAGGTTGGCAGGAGCTGGGACCGAGCAACGGGAGCTTACCCCATCGCAGGGATTCGAACCGCCAACCTTCTGATCGGCAAGTCCTAGGCTCTGTGGTTTAACCCACAGCGCCACCTGCATCCCTTCAGTCCTTGAGTTACATAGGTCAAAATCAGCACCTTGAATTGAAGACAGCAACCCAGAAAAGGTTTTATGTGCTCAGAGCATCTTGCACCGGTCATCACTCTGTAGTTTCTGAACGGTCTTCTAAAGCAGCCTGAAGTATAATGCATTGTGGCAATCTAGCGTGGAGAATGGTGGAAAAAGCATACTAAAAATCTTCTGTGTGGGGGATCCTAATTTGTAGACTACTTGAGTATCTTGTTAGTGATATTGGTTTCTATTGATGTATTGGTTTGTTTGTTGCATGTCCCCCCCCCCTCACCCCACGAGACCTCCAAGGAGTGCAGAGCCGCCACCCCCCATCCACTGGCAAAGAGCCTTTTCAGATCCTGACAAACCTGAGTGGTGGAATGTCTGCCCTCTTGTGGACATGCCCTTGTTGGGGGATGATCCTTTTCGGGACTTGGCTGGAGGGGAGAGGACTCACAAAGCTTTGCTGCCCATCCCACTTCGCCCCTGGAGGCCGGGGAGACTAGCAGCAAAGCTGAGCAGTGACGCCCCTTTGGGGGAGACACCTGAGGCAGCCGCCCCACACAGGCCCATAGGCAGGCAGGCTCTGTTGATGTTATTGCCTGCTGGTTTAAATTGTTTTATTTATGGCTTGGTTAATCTTAGGGACTGCTCACCAGGACTTTTCTGATACAAATAACCCTTCATTAAATGGTGATATTTCATTAAAACCAGGTATCACACCATTGATTTTTATGTAAAACACCTTTAACATAGTGCCAGGCCTTGAGTTTTGATAAGGAAACAGCTGTATCAACCTTTATTTTAAAATTTTATTCCATCAGGAGATGTTTGGGGGGTCCTGGATGAGGAGGAGCCATCAGAAGTCTGGCCAGAAAGAGGTGAGGCGCAAGAGAACGAAAGGAAGTTGGGGGTTCAAGATGGAGCCAACAAACAAGAGAGGAGAGAAACAGTGAAGCCAAGGGATGAACACAGTGTTTCCCAAGAAGATGAAAATCAACTTAACAGGGTGGAGAAAAACATGAATGTACTGTGTGCGGAAAGAGATTCTGTAGTCGCTCAGCCCTTGCTACACATCAAAGCGTACACTCAGGTGAAAAACCTTATGAATGCATGGAGTGTGGAAAGAGATTCAGAAACAGTGGCCAACTTAATGTGCATCAGATAACTCATACAGGGGAGAAACCTTATGAATGCATGGAGTGTGGAAAATGCTTCAGATCCAGTAGCTACCTTACTTTGCATCAAAGAACTCATACAGGGGAGAAACCTTATAAATGCTGGGAATGTGGAAAGAGTTTCTTTGACAGTAGTACCCTTACTAAACATCAAAGAACTCACACAGGGGAAAAACCATATACATGCATGGAGTGTGGAAAGAGCTTCAATCAGAGTGCCTCCCTTAATGTGCATCGAAGATCTCATACAGGTGAAAAACCTTATAAATGCATGGAGTGTGGAAAGAGCTTCAGTTGCAGCAAGTCTGTTAAAACGCATCATATAATTCACACACAGGAAAACCATATAAATCCATATAAATGCATGGAGTGTGGAAAGAGCTTCAGTGCCAGAAGCATCCTTATTAGACATCAAAAAACTCATACAGGGGAAAAACCATATAAATGCCTGGAGTGTGGAAAGAGCTTCAGCAGCAGTGCCTACCTTACTAAACATCAAAGAACTCACACGGGAAAAACCATATAAATGCCTGGAGTGTGGAAGGAGCTTCAGTCAGACTGCCTCCCTTAATGTGCATTGACGAACTCATACGGGGGAGAAACCGTATAAATGTTTGAAATGTAGAAAAAGCTTCAGTGACTCTAACATCCTTCATGCACATAAGAGAATTCACACGGGACAAACCCTACAAATGTTTGGAGTGTGGAAAGAGCTACCGCCACAGTAACCACCTTTCTCGACACTGGAGAACTCCTTCAGGGGACTAACCCTATGAAAGTTGATGTGTGTAAAGAGCTTCAGTTATAGTAGTTTCTTTACTGTGCATGAAATAACTCGTACAGGGGACAAACAACATACATTTTTGGGGTGTGGAAAGAGCTTTAGTTGCAATAGCTGTCTAGTGATAAGTTGCCAATAGCCAGGTGCAAAATGTGTCTGGTGCCTGGCTAATTTTGAACACTGCCCCACATTGGTATTTAATTAAAATAAGACATGAACTTGAGAATTTCCCCTCTGATTTACCGATCTGTTCCTTTAGGCAAGCATTTCTCAGTTTTGTTTTCAGACTATGTGCTCAGAATATTTAGAGGGACACTATAAAAAATTCTTGCAGAAGAGCTTCTTTGTATATGCTGTAACTAAGCAGTAGATCGCTACCAATATGCTCTATTCTGAACCAAGTTTATCCTTGTTTGATTATGTAAGATACCCAATGCGTGTAATCAACTGCCCAGGAGGACTCCCTGCCTGAGTGCCCCGTTCCTGCCACTCACCACCTGGCCAGGGCAGGGCCTGGCAGGCCTCATAAGGACAGCTGAGGCGGCTGCTGTCTCTCCCCAGGAGAACTCAGAACAGCACACAGTTATTTTTAAAATATTCTAAATTTTTATTTTTTACCTTTAAAATTATTTCTGGCGTGGGGGATGGATGTTTAGTCGTGTTTGGAAATTGGTCTAATTTTGGTATGTTTGTAACTTTTACTGTTTTTGGTTTTTATTGTTTTACTGTTTTTTTTAAAATAGGTTTTATTTTGTTCTTAAGGGGAGGAGGTCAGAGCTGCCTGGGTGTGGGTCCCAGCCAACAAAATGGCTGGGGCAAGTTCCACAGGGAGGGATGCACTGGGACAACCGATCTTAGTGATCACGGGTAGGAGGAGGAGTTACGCTAAGACCAGACCATGTCATTACCGAGGAGGCAGGTTTAGTCGTTGTTTGAGGACTATCCCTGCCTCCGGGTCTGGTCTTGACCGGACGGATACTGGAATCAGCAATGGATACCCACATGACCTGAAGGTTCTGCTGTGCAATGCCAGATCAATGATTCATAAGACCACTGCCATCCATGACTTGATCGTGGATGGAGGACTTGACCTGGCATGTGTAACAGAGACTTGGTTGGATGAAGCTGATGGGCCTGTCCTTGCCGCTGCTTGCCCACCTGGCTTCTCTTACGCACAGCAACCCAGGTCATGTGGGCGGGGAGGGAGGGGGTCGCAGTGATTTTTAGGAAGTCATTAGTCTGCACCAGGCGTCCTATTGGGAAGACCCAGTTCTCTGAGTGCATGTTCTGGAAGTTGGGCAATGGGGCAGTACAGGATTCCTTTTGGTGTACTGACCTCCCCGCTGCACCAAGGATTCCCTGCCCGAGCTGCTTCAGTTTGTGGTGAATGTTCTCTTGGAGACACCTAGTTTGGTTGTCCTGGGGGATTTTAACATCCACGCCAACACGACCTTGCAAGGGACCTCTTGGGACTTCATGGAAACTATGGCCTCCATAGGACCGCCCCTGAATTAGCCTGGCCCAGCTCATAGCCCTTGACCTCTATAGATGTTGGCGATCTGACACTAATAAAAGCGAAGCGAAAGAAGTGCCATAGTCAGAGCACTTCCTGGTGCAACTGGACTTCTCTGTGACCCTTCCCCTCTGCAGGGGGGTGGGAGCGATTTGGATGGTCCGCCCCCGCCACTTAATGGATCTAAATGGTTTCCAGAGAGTGGTAGGGGATGCTTTATCCCATGTTGATGGCCTTTCAGCTGATTCCCTGGTGGCCCACTGTAATGCGGAGTTAACCAGGGCTATTGACTGTTTGGCTCTGAAGCGCCCTCTCTGATTGCATGGAGCCTGGGCAGCTCTGTGGTTTTCCACCGGTCTAAGGGCAATGAAACAATCACTGAGATGGCTAGAGTGCCGGTGGTGGATGACTCATTCTGCATCTGACCGCACATGGGTTAGAGCTCAATGTGGAGCCTACCAAGTGGCGATAGTGACGGTGAAGAAGACCACCGCCTCTATTGCATCTGCAGAAAACAGACTTATAGAAGACAACAGACTTATAGAAACTACCAGACTTATAGAAGACATCTGAAGGCAGCCCTGTTTAGGGAAGCTTTTAATGTTTGATGGACGAGTGTATTTTAATATTTTGTTGGAAGCCGCCCTGAGTGGCTGGGGAAACCCACACAGATGGGTGGGGTATAAATAATAAATTATTGTGATTATTACTGAAAGTCACATATTGGTTGTCTGGTTTGAGAAATCTGTGACAAAGTTGTGAGATCTGCAGTTGCTGCCCCCAGACTGAGAAAGTTCATTGAGGAAAACATGGTGGACTGTAAATATTTAATTGGGAATGAAATCTAAAAACTTATTTGTGTGTGTGTGTGTGTGTGTGTGTGTGTGTAATATAGGCTGATACTGTATTTTAAAGCTGTACAGTGGTACCTCAGGTTAAAAACTTAATTCGTTCTTGGGGTCTGTTCTTAACCTGAAACTGTTCTTAACCTGAAGCACCAGTTTAGCTAATGGGGCCTCCCGCTGCCGCCGGGCCGCAATTTCTGTTCTCATCCTGAAGCAAAGTTCTTAACCCGAGGTACTATTTCTGGGTTAGCGGAGTCTGTAACCTGTAGCATCTGTAACTCGAGGTACCACTGTATTTATGTATATATTGCATATGGCCATAATGGTTCAGTCAACAATAAACATGTACAGCTTGTAGGCTTTTGCAGATACAGTTACGTTCAGATAGATTCAGTGTATAGGCAAAAGTCAGTAACAACAAAATAGTATTTCTCATGCCTTAACATGTTAGAAGCTGATTGTTTACTGCCGCAAAATGCTGCATTTGGCTGTGTACCCCCAAACACCAGAGGAGCTATGGCATTTGTGTAGCAATAATAATAATAATAATAATTTATACACCGCCCATCTGGCTGGGCCTCCCCAGCCACTCTGGGTGGCTCCCAACAGAATATTAAAAGCACGATAAAACATCCAATGTTAAAAGCTTCCCTAAACAGGGCTGCCTTCAGATGTCTTATGAAAGTCAGATAGTTGTTTATTTCCTTGACATCTGATGGGAGGGTGTTCCACAGGGCGGGTGCTACAACCGAGAAGGCCCTCTGCCTGGTTCCCTGTAACCTCACTTTTTGCAGTGAGGGACCCACCAGAAGGCCCTCGGAACTGGACCTGAGTGTCCAGGCTGAACGATGGGGGTGGAGATGCTCCTTCAGGTATACTGGGCTGAGGCCGTTTAGGGCTTTAAAGGTCAGCACCAACACTTGGAATTGTGCTCGGAAATGTACTGGGAGCCAATGTAGGTCTTTCAGGAATGGTGTTATGTGGTCTCAGTGGCCAGTCCCAACTATATTTTGGTGCGTGGGGAAAAAATCATGTGACACAAGCCCTACCTACAGGTGTGACGGACAGCACAGCCAGGCCAGAGTCTGCTGGCGCAGTCTCCCTGAAATTCTGGCAGAGTGAAGGAGCCTGTCACCGATTGGCTACAAAGTCACAGAAGGGGGAGGAGCAGAACTTTGAGAGGGAGGATAAAAAGAGGGAGGGAGGGAGAGAGAGATAGGGCTACGGGTCAGGTGAAGAGATGGGGCTTGATTTGAGAAGATAGGGATGGATTTGAGAAGAGAGAGGGTCAGGTTAAGACAGGGGTCCTCAAACTACGGCCCACAGGCCGGATCAGGCCCGCCAAGGTCCTAAATTCAGTTCTCGCTGCTGCTGCTGCTGCTGCTGCTGGCTGTCTGGCTTCTGGTGCTGTGGGGGTCCCAGGCCAGACGTGGAGAGGGCGGAGCAGGAAATGGCGGCGGCCAGGAGGCGTTGTGCGCAGGCGCTTCAGGCGGAAGGCAGCACCGCTGCTGGGGCCCCTCGCGGCTCAGTCGCCGCCCCTCCAGGTCTCCCGCTTCCCCACCACTCTCCTTCCCATCTCGCAAGCCCCGCATACCCCACCCAGCATGCACGTCTCGCCTTTGCAACCTGCCACTGTTGGAGGAGTTTGGGATGTTTTCAAGAAAAGCTCAGCGTCTCTTTCTCTGCGCACCGGCGCCAGTCTACTCATGTGAGCCAGCCCTTTTTGCAAGTTCCCCCTGTCCTTTTTTTATGGCGGGGGTGTGTGTGAGGAGAATTCAATTTCATGCTTTGGTAGCCTTTGCAAGTTTTAACTTCTTCTGGAAGGGGTTGGCTCTCTCTAGGGAGAGATCCCTGAAGGGCTGCAGGTTAGCGAGAGTGGGCGGGTGCCACCCAGCGCTACCATTTTAATCTCTGGGGTGGCGGAAGAAGATGGGGTAGGGTGGAACTCTGCAAGTTCCAAAGCAGAGAAGCATTTCGAAAAGTGCAGCTACCTCCTGAATTTGACACACAAACCCCCCACTCTGCTTTCTCCCTTCCTAAGCCCCTCTCTCTTATCTTCCTCTCACTTTCCAGGCTTGCCATTCCCACTGTTCCCACGTTTTGCAGCTTTTGGGGGGTGGGGTGGGGGAGAGAAAAACGCCCGCCCATGATTATTTAGCTGATTCTCTCCTGACCAACATAAATTAGCAGGCCCATACTTCCCATTGAAATATTTATAGAGTGGTACCTTGGGTTAAGAACTTAATTCGTTCCAGAAGTCCGTTCTTAACCTGAAACTATTCTTAGCCTGAAGCACCACTTTAGCTAATGGGGCCTCCCACTGCTGCCACCGCGCGGTTTCTGTTCTCACCCTGAAGCAAAGTTCTTAACCCGTGGTACTATTTCTGGTTAGCAGAGTCTGTAACCCGAAGCGTCTGTAACCTGAAGCGTCTGTAACCCAAGGTACCACTGTAAGTTTATGTTGATTAAAATCATTCTTCATTTTAAAGAAGGCTGATCGCCGAAGAATTGATGCTTTTGAATTATGGTGCTGGAGGAGACTCTTGAGAGTCCCATGGACTGCAAGAAGATCAAACCTCTCCATTCTTAAGGAAATCAGCCCTGAGTGCTCACTGGAAGGACAGATCCTGAAGCTGAGGCTCCAATACTTTGGCCACCTCATGAGAAGAGAAGACTCCCTGGAAAAGACCCTGATGTTGGGAAAGATGGAGGGCACAAGGAGAAGGGGGCGACAGAGGACAAGATGGTTGGATAGTGTTTTTGAGGTTACCAGCATGGGTTTGACCAAACTGCAGGAGGCAGTGCAGGACAGAGGTGCCTGGCATGCTCTGGTCCATGGGGTCACCAAGAGTCGGACACGACTAAACGACTAAACAACAACCACAATGGCTTCCTCCTGTCTCGCCCGGCCCCGAGCTGCCCCTTCGCGGGGCAGGAGGAGGAGCCGCTGCTGCCTCCGGGGCGCCTATGTGGGTGTCGCCGCTGCTCAGGAGCCTCTGAGTGCGTGCAGAGTGCAGACCGAGCAAGGCAGCAAGGGCATCCCTGGGCGCAGCCGCCTGTGCGGGAAGAGCCGGGCTGGGGTCCGGGTGGGGTGGAGAAGGGCTTCCTGCAGCAACAGTGCCCCTTTTGCAGGCACCCAGCGAGCGCTGCGCCTTCTGGAGGACTACAGGCCAAGCTGAGCCGGGCAGACAAGGGGCAGCTGCAGATGTCTGTGGACAGAGTCATCCAGGCTCTCATAGGCGAAGTATTGGGGCTCCTGGGGGGGCCGGCAGCTGGGGAGGGGAGGCTCCTTGACCCACTGGGACACCGAGGGAAATCGAGACTTTTCAGCAGAGACAGACATCACTTGACGCTCATGGAAACTGAATTGGATTTGCTGTCTTACTTATTTTGCAGCGCATTCACTCAGTTTGGCAAGTTCCTGTGTCACAGGCAAACTTGGCTTCCTCTCCCCCTAACTCTAGATCCTTTATGAGCAAGTTTAAAAGGCACAGTTTCCACTTTCTATAGCTCCAGTGGGAAAACTCCATCTTTCCCTACCATTTAGCCAATTCCTCCTTTGCCTTTAATCCACATTGTTTGAACTGCAAGTCATTAGCTATAACACGCAATGTGCATAGGAATTCGTTCATTATTCCCCCCCCCAAAAAAAATATAGTCCGGCCCACAACAGTGTCTGAGAGACAGCGCACCGGCCCAATGTTTAAAAAGTTTAAGGACCCCTGGCTTAGAGAGTGGGTAACTGAGGAAAAGTGACCCTCATGAACCAAGGTATTAATGGGTGAAGGAAGCTGTATGGTGTTAAAAGTATTTTGTGGCAGAGAGGAGGCAGAGATGAGTCAGGCTGGTGACTAAGTTAGGGGGTCTCCCCCTCCTGCTCTGACCGGCTCCCCTCCCCCTTGATCACTCAGAATCTGCAAAGGGATGAAGAGGGTGGAGCACAGGGAGATAAAGCGAAGAAATCTCAGGTTGCTTGGGAGAGGAGCAGACTTAGGGAACCTGTGGGAGATAGCTGAATGCTTCTCCATGAAAGAAGCAGCAAATCCTGGCTTATAGAAAGCCAGCATGTCAGGGAACAGATGAGGACAGAACCTTTTCCCCTGGAATTTGTGGCAACTGCCAAGAGGGCAAATCCTATGCTAGGGGTTATTAAGAACCTAAGAATGACCCTGTTGGATCAGCCAGGTGCAGAATGGCTGGGGCAACCCAGTCAGATGGATGGGGTACAATAAATAAATGATTAGTATTAGTATTTGCTTCCACTGCCTGAAGCATAGCTGTTAAGTTGCGGGTGAACATATCAGACGACACAGCGATTCTTCAAACAGCTCTTCTTTATTCAGATGCCAGAACAGAACTAACTGAGGAGCTCAGTCAGCCTGCTTATATAGAGCTCCAGAACAATTGTAACTGTTGCAACTTTCTAAAACTATCCAATCACAGAAGATCACTTTTCGATCCTTCATTTGCATACAAACTATCCAATCACAGAACGTCACTTTCAATCCTTCAGTTGCATAACTATCTACAGTATCCCCCTGCTGGCCCAGGGTGAGAACATCAGTACATAACAATAGCTGTCAACTTTTCCCTTTTTTAAAGGAAATTCCCTTATTCCGCATAGGATTCCTCGCAAGAAAAGGGAAAAGTTGACAGCTATGGCCTGAAGTGGCTGCCTCCATCTGCCTCATGGCCTGTAGAGTTATTCTTAGGTTCCTAATAACCCCTAACATGGGATTTGCCCTTTTCCCAGTTGCCACAAATTAAAATTCCAGGGGCCAGGGGAGAAAGGTTTTCATTCCCCCTGTTCCCTGGCAAGCTAGCTTTCTATAAGCAAGGAGCTACTGCTTCTTTCACGGAGAGGCATTCAGCTATTTTACACGCACCTGAGATCACCCGCCTTTCCTGCTCTATCTCTGAAGGATGCCAAAAAGAGGCAGCTCCCTCCCTGTTTGCTCTTCAATGGTTAACAGCAGCAACAGCATCTGAGCCCACATTCCTAGAGCAGAAGATTGCAAAGAGGAGGAGATTTGGGGAGGGGGGGAGAGAGAGTGTGCCCCTTTCCTCTTCCGCAGATCTGAAAGGGAAAAAAATGCAAAGTGTTCCACGTGAGTTTCTTCTTGCTTTGGCAGAGATGCTGAAGGCGGCCGCAGGGAGGGAAATGCAAGATTAAGGCAAATAATTTCGTGTGCTGGGGAAAGCAGGACTCCCTCATTCTCTTCCCCTAACCGAATTATTAGGCTCATTGGAGAGATGTGCTCCGTGCACTGAGAGATCCAGGTAGGTTAATCACTCCGCAGGTAAGCATCCCTCCATGATCTCCCCCCAACCTACAACAGCTTCTTGTTTCCTGTGTTGGGGACCTTACTTAGGGAAGCTTTTAATGTTTGATGTATTACAGTATTTTAATATTTTTTGGAAGCCGCCCAGAGTGGCTGGGGAAGCCCAGCCAGATGGGCGGGGTATAAATAATTAATAAATTATTATTATTATTATTATTATTATTATTATTATTCACTAGTAATCTGCAATCATTTCCTTATGCTGCATAAATTAAGGTTGCCACTTTCCACATCTCTCTCTTTGCTCCTGTGCCTTCAAAAGACTCCAAGAAAGGCATAAACGAAGCTCTTCCACAAATGGGAAGGGGGCCGGGGTTGGGAGTGTTAACGGAGAAATCTGAGGGCTCCCTTGGACAAAAAACAAGGACACCAGCCAGGAATACCAGAGCAAAACAGCAGCCAGTAGGCTTGGTCTTTACTGAAGACTGTCGCAACAGGATTCCCACCTGCCACAAGGTGGAACAAGATGGAAACCCCGAACAAAAGAGAACCCAAACTTTTATTAGCTGCTAATCCCCATGTTACACCCTCCCAAAACTACATCACTCATACATCATGGTTACATCATGAAAGGGGAGGTCTGGTGGCAGTAATCTGAGCATTCTGGTCCCTGCCCCATGGTTCTCCTTGCCCTCCACCAAACACCCATCAAGTGTAACAAAAAAGATATTTACATTTCCCTGTTTCCCAGCCAAGTTAATCACACCCTTTTATCATTGTCTGGCTTTGTTTTTTCTGGAATGGCTACCTGTCTGGCAAGGGACGTGGGTGGTGCTGTGGGTTAAGCCACAGAGTCTAGGACTTGCCAATCAGAAGGTCGGTGGTTCGAATCCCCACAACGGGGTGAGCTCCCGTTGCTTGGTCCCTGCTCCTGCCAACCTAGCAGTTCGAAAGCACATCAAAGTGCAAGTAGATAAATAGGTACCACCGACGGGAAGGTAAACGGCGTTTCCGTGCGCTGCTCTGGTTTGCCAGAAGCGGCTTAGTCATACTGGCCACATGACACGGAAGCTGTACGCTGGCTCCCTTGGCCAATAAAGCGAGATGAGCGCCGCAACCCCAGAGTCGATCACGACTGGACTTAATGGTCTGGGGTCCCCTTTACTTTTTACCTGTCTGGCACTCAGGTATCAGGATGCCAGGGATTATCACTCAGGCAGAGGGGCTGCTCAGTAGCTGAGCTCACATGTCTATATGAATTTCTGAAGTTTTCCCAGTGAGCCAGTACATAGATACATTTATCAGTGAATTCTTACATTTGGTATCGTGCAGCAGAGGCCCTTTGAATAGACAGGAAGAAACTGTGATGAAGTGTTTTGTGGGGACAAATTACAAAAGTCACAAAAGTGATTGTGCTGATTTTGGTAGTGGGTTGCATGCGCATGATATCTGCTGGAGGGGCATCCCACCCCCAAATCTATACATAAATTCCTGCAACAGGAGGCTCTCATGCCACATTGCAAGGTACCTGGTGGTGAATGTTAAACTGCACAGGAGCAAGGCCAGGGGGAAAAAACAACAACGTTGGCAATCCTAATCAATTTTGCGTGCTCAAGAAAGCCGGCCAATGGAAGGTGGAATTGAGAGAAGGAGTTCCCAGCAAGTTGGACCAAGAAGCATCACTGCAGTGGAGATGGAATGCATGGTAGCTGTTGTGGCAGGCAGCCATTGATAGCCGTCTCCTCTATATGAATCTTTTCCAATTGTATTTTAACACCATCCAAGTTTGTGGCCGTCACTGCCTCTTGTGGAAGAGAGTTCCATCGTTTAATAATGTGCTGTGTGAACAAGACCTTCTTTTTGTCTTGCCCTGAATCTTCTGACCTTCAACTTCAACTGGACGAGCTTGAATTCAGGCAAAAACGTTCCTCTTTAACCGGGTCTTTGGTTGATTGTCATCCGATGCCAATGTAGGTCTTTCAGGACAGGTGTTATGTGGTCTCAGTGGCCAGTCCCAACTATATTTTGGTGCGTGGGGAAAAAATCATGTGACACGAGCCCTACCTGTGTGCACAATAAATATTTTTTTTATTCCGTTACCTAGTTTTATTTTGATCTCCGGTCAGGACCTCCTTCATGAATTTTCACATCGTGTGTGCTATTCTAAGCCAGGAAACCAAGGTCCCTCGTGGGGGTTTGTTTCCCTGTGTGCATGCACCATTTTAGAGGCACACTTGGAAAGGACTGAGTTTGATCCAAAATAGCCAATCCAAACTCAAGATTCTGTCAGGTATTCTGTCATTTGAAAATATTTAAAGCACTCATCTTTTTACAGCCTCTGGACCTCTCTTCTCAGCTGATTTCACAAAATATGCGCATCTTTAATTTTTTTTCCTAATTCTGATTTCAACCAGGATCTTTGAAACAATTGCAGTTCCTTGCCTCTTAATGCCACCTGCCTTTTAGAATTTATAACCATGGCAACCCCTTTGTAAGCCGCCTTGGCTCTTGGTCTGGGAAAAAGGCGGGATATAAATAAGTAGAATACTAAAGGTGAGGATAAAGCTGCTCTTGAACTCGGATCTTGCTTGGAGCACCTGCGGAGGAGGGATTCTGTCCTGGGGGCGTCGCTGGCCTGATCCTGCAGGGCCTCCCCTTCCTGCTTCAGAGCCGGAGACCAGCCGGGCGCTCCTCCTCCCTCTCTGCCCGGAGCAGCCAAGAGGCTCCAACCCCGCGGCTCCGCAAGGGTTAACTGCGGCGATAGAGCTTCGATTCCTAGAGCGGAAGGGAAGACTGGCGAGAGAGGAGGCGCTTCCGCTTCCTGTTCCGCTTCCCCGGGTTGATGCTGTCTTTCCTGGAGGCGGGTAACTGGGGGGTCGGGGGGGCCGAGCCAGGGGCGGAATCGGGGGGCGAGAGGGAGGGAGCCGCGTCCCTCCTGGGGGGAACTCAGGGGCGACGGGGAAAGGTCGTCTTCTCCTGGGAGGGGAAGCGGGAGGCCGAAGCGACGCCGCTCGCTGGCCTTGACCGGCCTCTGGCCTCATCCTGCGGCCTTTTCTCCCGCTCCTCTGTCCAGAGAACGCAGAAGGAGCGCCCAGCAAAGGCCGCAGGGCAGGGAATGGGGAGGAATGGCAGGGAGTAAACAGGGAGTCAGGAGAGTCTCCTGCCAGCCAGGGAGGAGCAGGAGGAATAATTATTATTTTATTCCTTCATACCCCGCCCATTTAGCTGCGTTTCCCCAGCCACTCTGGGCGGCTCTCAACAGAAAATTAAAAGCACTACAAAAGATGAAACATTCAAAGCTTTCCTCAACAGGGCTGCCCTCAGATGTCTTCTTAAAGTCAGATAGTTGTTTATTTCCTTGACATCTGATGGGAGGGCTTTCCACAGGGCGGGTGCTACTACCGAGAAGGCCCTCTGCCTGGTTCCCTGTAACCTCGCAGGGAGGGAACCGCCAGAAGGCCCTTGGAGCTGGGCCTCAGTGTCAGGACTGAGCGATGGGGTGGAGATGCTCCTTCAGGTATACAGGCTGAGGCCATTTAGGGCTTTAAAGGTCAGCACCAACACTTTGAATTTTGCTCGGAAACATACTGGGAGCTAATGTAGGTCTTTCAGGTCTTAGTTGGCTGCTGCTCCCAGTTACCAGTCTAGCTGCTGCATTCTGGATTTGATCTAGTTTCTGGGTCACCTTCAAAGGTAGCGCCCCATAGAGTGCAGAAGGAGCTGCAGACTCTATGGCAGGAGAGGATCCTCCTCAGTTAAGACTCTTTAGCATTTTATTGTATCGAAGGCCATAGGTCCACTGCAAATTAAACCATGAGAAAAAAACTTTTCCTCTGCAAAATGTACGTACTAAACATATATCATTAAAAAAGGTAGGCCCCTGGGGATATAACTGGCCATCTGCAGCTGTAGTAATTTTATCTTATGTTCAAGATTTCTAAACAGCTAATTCAAAAGGTCTCTCAAGTGGCACAGTGATCCAATGGGAGCTAGAACACAACTAAAACCCACAAACCAATTTAGAAACCAGTATGCATAAAGCCATCATTGAAAAAATTATCCCTCTCCACTTCCCATTTTGCCTCTTGGGCAGCATGTATGGTCTTTACACACTTGAGGAAGGAGGGAGTATGGGGTGGGACAAATCACTCATTTCCCCCAGTCTTAAATTTAGTTATCCAGATTTTCACATCTTATTAAAAAAACAAATAAACACTGAAGGTAAAATCTCCAGTTGCCCCATCAATCATCGGAGGGGGAGCTGAGGGGAGATGGTTTCCACACCTTGCCTTGGAGTGTCTATAAGGAAGGGAATTGTTCTGTCCTTCCAGGGATCAGTGAGCTTTGACAGGTGTCCTTGCATTTCACTGACGACAACTGGGCCCTACGGAGAGCTCTGTACAAGGACGTCATGGTGGAGGTTCATGAGATGGTGGCCTCTCAGGGTAAGGATCCTTTTCGCCTTCATTAATAGTTATAATAGGTATGGGTTCCTCGGAGTGCCTCCCTTCAGCTCCGCTAAAGGAGGTCACAGTGTTTGTTTTTCTCCCAAGTTAAAAGCCAGAAGCCTGGCTGAGAATAAATATTATTGCTTCTCTGCTACAATTAGCCAGTGATGGCTTCTGGGTTGCCTCCCTGGGGGAGAGCATTCTTTAGGTGGCGAGCCAGCACTGAAAGACGCATTCCGTATTGCCTCTCTTTGCACCTCAGTTGGAGAGGGCACTGTGAGAAGGACCTCTGATGATGAGTGCAGGCTCTAGGTGGATTCATGAGAAGCAGCCATTGAGCTACATAAGTCAAAATCAGCACCTTGACTTGAAGACAGGAACCCAGAAAAGGTTTTATGTGCTCAGAGCATCTTGCACCGGTCATCACTCTGTAGTTTCTGAATGGTCTTCTAAAGCAGCCTGAAGTATAATGCATTGTGGCAATCTAGCATGGAGAATGGTAGAAAAAGCATGCTAAAAATCTTCTGTGTGGGGGATCCTAATTTGTAGAATACTTGAGTATCTTGTTATTGTTATTGGTTTCTATTGATGTATTGGTTTGTTTGTTGCATATATAGAATCTTCTGTTTCTTAATATTTGAGGTTTGATTGCATTTTTATATATGCTGCAAGCCACCCAGAGAGGCTTCGAAAACCCAGCCAGACGGTTGGGATATAAATAAAATAAATGCTACTATTGTTATTATTCATGTTGGTTTTTCAACAAGCTCTGCAGATCTAGACTTTTCAAGCTTCTCTGAGTTGCAGTGCTGTATTATCAATGCTCAGGGGTGGCCTCAGTTCTGCCCCAAAATGGGGGCTCAAAATCCATAAGGAGCGTACCCCTGCAAGTTGGGTGGGGTGGTGCCCACGAGACCTCCAAGGGGTGCAGACGCCTCCCCCCATTCACTGGCAAAGAGCCTTTTCAGATCCTGACAAAGCTGAATGGTGGAATGTCTGCCCTCTTGTGGACTTGCCCTTTTTAGGGGAGGATCCTTTTCGGGACTTGGCTGGAGGGGAGAGGACTCACAAAGCTTTGCTGCCCATTCCACTTCGCCCCTGGAGGCCGGGGAGACTAGCAGCAAAGCTGAGCATTGACGCCCCTTTGGGGGTGACACCTGAGGCAGCCGCCCCACACAGGCCCATAGGCAGGCAGGCTCTGTTGATGTTATTGCCTGCTGGTTTAAATTGTTTTATTTATGGCTTGGTTAATCTTAGGGACTGCTCACCAGGACTTTTCTGATACAAATAACCCTTGATTAAATGGTGATATTTTATTAAAACCAGGTATCACATCATTGTTTTCATGTAAAACGCCTTTACATAGTGCCAGGCCTTGAGTTTTGATAAGGAAACAGCTGTATCAACCTTTATTTTAAAATTTTTATTCCATCAGGAGATGTTTGGGGGGTCCTGGATGAGGAGGAGCCATCAGAAGTCTGGCCAGAAAGAGGTGAGGTGCAAGAGAAGGAAAGGAAGTTGGGGGTTCAAGATGGAGCCAACAAACAAGAGAGGAGAGAAACAGTGAAGCCAAGGGATGAACACAGTGTTTCCCAAGAAGATGAAAATCAACTTAACAGGGTGGAGAAAAAACATGAATGTACTGTGTGCAGAAAGAGATTCTGTAGTCGCACAGCCCTTGCTAGACATCAAAGCGTACACTCAGGTGAAAAACCTTATGAATGCATGGTGTGTGGAAAGAGCTTCAGTGCCAGAAGCATCCTTATTAGACATCAAAAAACTCACACAGGGGAAAAACCATATAAATGCCTGGAGTGTGGAAAGAGCTTCAGAAACAGTAGCCACCTTAATGAGCATCAAAGAACTCATACAGGGGAGAAGCCTTATAAATGCATGGAGTGTGGAAAGACTTTCAGTCGGAGTTCCTCCCTTAATGAGCATCAAAGAACTCATACAGGGGAGAAACCTTATGAATGCATGGAGTGTGGAAAGACTTTCAGTCGGAGTTCCTCCCTTAATGAGCATCAAAGAACTCATATAGGGGAGAAACCTTATGAATACATGGAGTGTGGAAAGAGCTTCAGAAACAGTAGCCACCTTAATGAGCATCAAAGAACTCATACAGGGGAGAAGCCTTATAAATGCATGGAGTGTGGAAAGACTTTCAGTCGGAGTTCCTCCCTTAATGTGCATCAAAGAACTCATACAGGGGAGAAACCTTATAAATGCATGGAGTGTGGAAAGACTTTCAGTCGGAGTTCCTCCCTTAATGAGCATCAAATAACTCATACAGGGGAGAAACCTTATGAATGCATGGAGTGTGGAAAGAGCTTCAGTGCCAGAAGCATCCTTATTAGACATCAAATAACTCATACAGGGCAAAAACCATATAAATGCCTGGAGTGTGGAAAGAGCTTCAGTCAGACTGCCTCCCTTAATGTGCATCGACGAACTCATACAGGGGAAAAACCATATAAATGCCTGGAGTGTGGAAATAGATTCAGATACAGTGGCCACCTTAATGTGCATCAAAGAACTCATACAGGGGAGAAACCTTATAAATGCATGGAGTGTGGAAAGAGCTTCAGTTGCAGCAAGTCTGTTAAAAGGCATCATATAATTCACACACAGGAAAACCATATAAATCCATATAAATGCCTGGAGTGTGGAAAGAGCTTCAGCTGCAGTGGCTACCTTACTAAACATCAAAGAACTCATACAGGGGAGAAACCTTATGAATGCATGGAGTGTGGAAAGAGATTCAGAAACAGTGTCAACCTTAATGTGCATCGACAAACTCATACAGGGGAAAAACCATATAAATGCCTGGAGTGTGGAAAGAGCTTCAGATACAGTGGCCACCTTAATGTGCATCAGAGAACTCATACAGGGGAGAAACCTTATGAATGCATGGAGTGTGGAAAGAGCTTCAGAAAGAGTGACTACCTTAATGTGCATCAGAGAACTCATACAGGGGAGAAACCTTATGAATGCATGGAGTGTGGAAAGAGCTTCAGAAAGAGTGGCCACCTTAATGTGCATCAGAGAACTCATACAGGGGAGAAACCTTATGAATGCATGGAGTGTGGAAAGAGCTTCAGAAAGAGTGGCCACCTTAATGTGCATCAGATAACTCATATAGGGGAGAAACCTTATGAATGCATGGAGTGTGGAAAGAGATTCAGTTACAGTGGCTACCTTACTTTGCATCAAAGAACTCATACAGGGGAGAAACCTTATAAATGCTGGGAATGTGGAAAGAGTTTCTTTGACAGTAGTACCCTTACTAAACATCAAAGAACTCACACAGGGGAAAAACCATATAAATGCATGGAGTGTGGAAAGAGCTTCAATCAGAGTGCCTCCCTTAATGTGCATCGACGACTTCATACAGGTGAAAAACCTTATAAATGCATGGAGTGTGGAAAGAGCTTCAGTGACTATAGTACCTTTACTAAACATCAAAGAACTCACAGGGGAGAAACTTTATAATTGCATGGAGTGTGGAAAGAGCTTCCGTCACAGCAGGTCCCTTAACATGCACCATAGAATTCACACAGGGGAGAAGCCTTATAAGTGCATTGAGTGTGGTGAAAGCTTCAAGTGCAATTCTCACCTTAAATGACATCGGACACCTCGTACAGGGAACAAACCGCATGAACGCCTGGAGTGTGGAAAGAGGTTTGGTCACGGTAGCCTCCTTACTTTGCATCAAAGAACTCACACAGGGGGCAAACCGTATAAATGCTTGGAATGTAGAAAAAGCTTCAGTGACTCTAGCACCCTTCATGCACATAGGAGAATTCACACAGGGGACAAACCATATAAATGTTTGCAGTGTGGAAAGAGCTACCGCCGCAGTCATCACCTTTCTCGACACCGGATAACTCATTCAGGAGACTAACCCTATGAAAGCTGATGTGTGGAAAGAGCTTCCGTTACAGTGGTAAAAGCTGTTCTCCAACTGGAGCACTCGCAGACCAGTGTTTCCTAGTAGGGAGTTAGTAGCTCACTCTTTGACGATGTGCAATTCTTCACCTTCATCCATGCACGAGGGCTTTTCCAGTACAGCAAGGAAGCAGCTTAAGGACCAAATACTTTACTGTCGCAAAAGTTCAGGCTCAGTAAAACAGTTTTGGGAGTATGTATATCCATCTGTCTAGTGATAAGTCGCCAGTAGCCAGGTGCAAACTGTGTCTGGCGCCTGGCTAATTTTGAACACTGCCCCACATTGGTATTTAATTAAAATAAGACACGAACTTGAGAATTTCCCTCTGATTTACCAATCTGTTCATTTAGGCAAGCATTTCTGACTTTTGTTTTCAGACTATGTGCTCAGAATATTTAGAGGGACGCTATAAAAAATTATCGCAGAACAGCATCTTTGTGTATGCCTTAACTAAGCAGTAGACCTCTACCAATATGCTCTCTCTATTCTGAACCAAGGTTATCCTTGATTTGTTATGTAAGATACCTGATGCGGATGATCAACTGAAAGTCACATATATGTTGTCTTGTTTGAGAAATCTGTGACAAAGTTGCTGCCCAAAATTGAGAATGTTCATTGAGGAGAACATGGTGGACTGTAAAGATTTAATTGGGAATGACATCTAAAAACTTACTTGTGTGTGTGTAATATAGACTGATACTGTATTTTAATGCCATATTTATGTATATATGTCATATGACCATAATGGTTCAAACAACAAACAATAAACATATACCGTTTGTAGGCCTTTGCAGATACAGTTACGTACAGATAGATGGACTGTATAGGCAAAAGTGAGTAACAAGAAAGTAGTATTTCTCATGCCTTAACATGTTAGAAGCTGATTGGTTACTGCCGCAGAATCCTATAGTAGTAGTAGTACAAATAATAATAATAATAATAATAATAATAATAATAATAAATTTATTACTTATACCCCACTCATCTGGCTGGGCCTCCCCAGCCACTCTGGGCGGCTCCCAACAGAATATTAAAAACACAATAAAACATCAATTTATTATTTCCTTGACATCTGAAGGGAGGATGTTCCATAGGACGGGCGCCACTCTGCAGGGTTCCCTGTATCCTCACTTTTTGCAGTGAGGGAACCACCAGAAGGCTTTGGAGGAGGACCGATGGGGGTGGAGACGCTCCTTCAGGTTACTGGGCTGAGGCCATTTAGGGCTTTAAAGGTCAGCACTAACACTTGGAATTGTGGGAGTCAATGTAGGTCTTTCAGGACCGGTGTTATATGGTCTCAGCAGTCAGTCCCAGCTATATTTTTGTTTGTGGAAAAAAAATCCTGTGAGAAGCGGATAATAAATCCTCGGTGTGCACAATAAATATCTTTTGATTCCGTTACCTGGTTTTATTTGGATCTCTGGTCAGGAACTCCTTCATGAATTTCCACATCATGTGTGCTGCTCTAAGCCCGGAAACACACCATTTTGGAAAACTAATTTGTGAAATACATGTTTTGTGATGTACCAGATTTGCCCCAAAGGGCAGTCAACTTAAAAAAAATATTTGTGTGGCCTGCAAGTCATGCAAGGATTTGGAATCACTCGCATAAAAGGCCGCTGGTCCCTTCCTTCTCCTTCCCCACTTTCTGTACATGCAATAGCAAATTTTATTTTTAATGCAGCAGTTTTGTGCAGGAGAGCTTCTCCCCACAAAGATGTGTTTTTTATTACTACAGACATTTGTATATTTCATTTATTACCTGCCCTTTATTCAGCCAAAGTCCTGGTTGAAGAAGAATGTTTTCGCTCGGGACCTAAAGGCGCATAATGAAGGTGCCAGCCAAAGCTCCCTGTGGAGAGCTTTCCACAAACGGAGCCACTGTAGAAAAGTCCCAGTCTTGTTTTGTCACCCTCCACACATGGAAGAGGCACATGAAGAAGTGTCTTAGAGGGTGATATCCAGCCTGGGGCAATATTTGAGGTATTGTGATCCTGAGCTGTTAAGGCTTTATAGGTCCAAACCAGCACTTTGAATTGGGCTCAGAAACTAATTGGTTTCCAGTGTGGTTGGACCAGGATCAGTGTAATATGCTCACACTGTCTTGCTTCGCTGAGCAACCTGACTGTCAAATGCTGCAGCAGCTGTAGTTTCTGAACCACCGGCAGGCGCCACCTTCATGCCTTCAACAACAATGGGAAACTCTCTAAGGTAAAGGGAAAAAGCAGGAAACTCTCTAAGGTAAAGGGACCCTGACCATTAGGTCCAGTCGTGACCAACTCTGGTGTTGCGGTGCTCATCTCACTTTACTGGCCAAGGGAGCCGGCGTACAGCTTCCGGGTCATGTGGCCAGCATGACTAAGCCGCTTCTGGCGAAACAGAGCAGCGCACGGAAACGCCATTTACCTTCCCGCTGGAGTGGTACCTATTTATCTACTTGCACTTGGATGTGCTTTTGAACTGCTAGGTTGGCAGGAGCAGGGACCGAGCAACGGGAGCTCACCCCATTGCGGGGATTCGAACCGCCGACCTTCTAATCGGCAAGTCCTAGGCTCTGTGGTTTAGACCATAGCGCCACCCACGTCCCTTTTTGGGAAACTCTCTAGGAAGAACAATAGAAATGCTGGAATTAAAGGATTTGTTCAACTCAAAGCTCCCCTGCCTTCTCCATTCGAATGCATTGGCTAAAATTAGTACAAAGACCCTAGGTGGTTAGATAGCTCCCCGAGCTCCAACAAGGAACTGGCCACACACTGTCAAGGAACCCAGACACCCCTCGACTTAAGGACAGGTGTGACGGACAGCACAGCCAGACCAGAGTCTGCTGGCGCAGTCTCCCTGAAATTCTGTCAGAGTGAAGGAGCCTGTCACCGATTGGCTACAAAGTCACAGAAGGGGGAGGAGCAGAACTTTGAGAGGGAGGATAAAAAGAGGGAGGGAGGGAGAGAGAGATAGGGCTACGGGTCAGGTGAAGAGATGGGGCTTGATTTGAGAAGATAGGGATGGATTTGAGAAGAGAGAGGGTCAGGTTAAGACAGGGGTCCTCAAACTACGGCCCACAGGCCGGATCAGGCCCGCCAAGGTCCTAAATTCAGTTCTCGCTGCTGCTGCTGCTGCTGGCTGTCTGGCTTCTGGTGCTGTGGGGGTCCCAGGCCAGACGTGGAGAGGGCGGAGCAGGAAATGGCGGCCAGGAGGCGTTGTGCGCAGGCGCTTCAGGCGGAAGGCAGCACCGCTGCTGGGGCCCATCGCGGCTCAGTCGCCGCCCCTCCAGGTCTCCCGCTTCCCCACCACTCTCCTTCCCATCTCGCAAGCCCCGCATACCCCACCCAGCATGCACGTCTCGCCTTTGCAACCTGCCACTGTTGGAGGAGTTTGGGATGCTGTCAAGAAAAGCTCAGCGTCTCTTTCTCTGCGCACTGGCGCCAGTCTACTCATGTGAGGCAGCCCTTTTGCAAATTCCCACTGTCCTTTTTTATGGCGGGGTGTGTGTGAGGAGAATTCAGCTCCATGCCTTGGTAGCCTTTGCAAGTTTTAACTTCTTCTGGAAGGGGTTGGCTCTCTCCAGGGAGAGATCCCTGGAGGGCTGCAGGTTAGCGAGAGTGGCGGGTGCCACCCAGCGCTACCATTTTAATCTCTGGGGTGGCGGAAGAAGATGGGGTGGGGTGGAACTGTCTATTTCCAGCCCCTGCAAGTTCCAAAGCAGAGAAGCATTTCGAAAAGTGCAGCTACCTCCTGAATTTGACACACAAACCCCCCACTCTGCTTTCTCCCTTCCTAAGCCCCTCTCTCTTATCTTCCTCTCACTTTCCAGGCTTGCCATTCCCACTGCTCCCACGTTTTGCAGTTTTTGGGGGGTGGGGTGGGGGAGAGAAAAACGCCCGCCCATGATTATTTAGCTGATTCTCTCCTGACCAACATAAATTAGCAGGCCCATACTTCCCATTGAAATATTTATAGAGTGGTACCTCAGGTTAAGAACTTAATTGCTCCAGAAGTCCGTTCTAACCTGAAACTGTTCTTAGCCTGAAGCACCACTTTAGCGAATGGGGCCTCCCACTGCTGCCACCGCGCGGTTTCTGTTCTCACCCTGAAGCAAAGTTCTTAACCTGAGGTACTATTTCTAGTTAGCAGAGTCTGTAACCCGAAGCGCCTGTAACCCGAAGCGTCTGTAACCCAAGGTACCACTGTAAGTTTATGTTGATTAAAATCATTCTTCATTTTAAAGAAGGCTGATCGCCGAAGAATTGATGCTTTTGAATTATGGTGCTGGAGGAGACTCTTGAGAGTCCCATGGACTGCAAGAAGATCAAACCTCTCCATTCTTAAGGAAATCAGCCCTGAGTGCTCACTGGAAGGACAGATCCTGACGCTGAAGCTCCAATACTTTGGCCACCTCCTGAGAAGAGAAGACCCCTGGAAAAGACCCTGATGTTGGGAAAGATGGAGGGCACAAGGAGAAGGGGGAGACAGAGGACAAGATGGTTGGATAGTGTTTTTGAGGTTACCAGCATGGGTTTGACCAAACTGCAGGAGGCAGTGGAGGACAGAGGTGCCTGGCGTGCTCTGGTCCAGGGGGTCACAAAGAGTCGGACACGACTAAACGACTAAACAACAACCACAATGGCTTCCTCCCGTTTCGCCCGGCTCCCGAGCTGCCCCTTCGCGGGGCAGGAGGAGGAGCCGCTGCTGCCTCCGGGGCACCTATGTGGGTGTCGTCGCTGCTCAGGAGCCTCTGAGTGCGTGCAGAGTGCAGACCGAGCAAGGCAGCGAGGGCATCCCTGGGCGCAGCCGCCTGTGCGGGAAGAGCCGGGCTGGGGTCCGGGTGGGGTGGAGAAGGGCTTCCTGCAGCAACAGTGCAGGCCAAGCTGAGCCGGGCAGACGAGGGGCAGCTGCAGAGGTCTGTGGAGAGAGTCATCCAGGCTCTCATAGGCGAAGTATTGGGGCTCCTGGGGGGCCCGGCAGCTGGGGAGGGAAGGCTCCTTGACCCACTGGGACACCGAGGGAAATCGAGCCTTTTCAGCAGAGACAGACATCACTTGACACTCATGGAAACTGAATTGCATTTGCTGTCTTACTTATTTTGCAGCGCATTCACTCAGTTTGGCAAGTTCCTGTGTCACAGGCAAACTTGGCTTCCTCTGCCCCTAACTCTAGATCCTTTATGAGCAAGTTTAAAAGGCACAGTTTCCACTTTCTATAGCTCCAGTGGGAAAACTCCATCTTTCCCTACCATTTAGCCAATACCTCCTTTGCCTTTAATCCACATTGTTTGAACTGCAATTCATTAGCTATAACACGCAATGTGCATAGGAATTCGTTTTTTTGGACTTGCCAAAAAAATATAGTCCGGCCCACAACAGTGTCTGAGGGACAGCGCACCGGCCCCCTGTTGAAAAAGTTTAAGGACCCCTGGCATAGAGAGTGGGTAACTGAGGAAAAGTGCCCCCCATGAACCAAGGTATTAATGGGTGAAGGAAGCTGTATGGTGTTAAAAGTATTTTGTGGCAGAGAGGAGGCAGAGATGAGTCAGGCTGGTGACTAAGTTAGGGGGTCTCGCCCTCCTGCTCTGACCAGCTCCTCCCCCTTGATCTCTCAGAATCTGCAAAGGGATGAAGAGGGCGGAGCACAGGCAGATAAGGCGAAGAAATCTCAGGTTGCTTGGGAGAGGAGCAGACTTAGGGAGCCTGTGGGAGATAGCTGAATGCTTCTCCATGAAAGGAGCAGCAAATCCTGGCTTATAGAAAGCCAGCATGTCAGGGAACAGATGAGGACAGAACCTTTCCCCTGGAATTTGTGGCAACTGCCAAGAGGGCAAATCCTATGCTAGGGGTTATTAAGAACCTAAGAATGACCCAGGTGCAGAATGGCTGGGACAACCCAGTCAGATGGATGGGGTACAATAAATAAATGATTAGTGTTAGTACAGTGGTACCTCGGGTTACATACGCTTCAGGTTACAGACTCCGCTAACCCAGAAAGATTACCTCGGGTTAAGATCTTTGCTTCAGGATGAGAACAGAAATCGTGCAGCAGCGGCACAGCGGCAGCAGAAGGCCCCATTAGCTAAAGTGGTGCTTCAGGTTAAGAACAGTTTCAGGTTAGGAATGGACTTCCAGAACGAATTAAGTATTTAACCCGAGGTACCACTGTATTAGTATTTGCATCCACTGCCTGAAGCATAGCTGTCAACTTTTCCCTTTTTTTAAGGGAAATTCCCTTATTCCGAATAGGATTCCTCGCAAGAAAAGGGAAAAGTGGACAGCTATGGCCTGAAGTGGCTGCCTCCGTCTGCCTCATGGACTGTAGAGTTATTCTTAGGTTCCTAATAACCCCTAGCATGGAATTTGCCCGTTCCACAGTTGCCACAAATTTAAATTCCAGGGACCAGGGGAGAAAGGTTTTGTTTTCCCCTGTTCCCTGGCAAGCTAGCTTTCTATAAGCAAGGAGAGGCATTCAGCTATTTACACACACCTGAGATCACCCGCCTTTCCTGCTCTATCTCTGAAGGAGGCCAAAAAGAGGCAGCTCCCTCCCTGTTTGCTCTTCAATGGTTAACAGCAGCAACAGCATCTGAGCCCACATTCCTAGAGCAGAAGATTGCAAAGAGGAGGAGATTTGGGGAGGGGGGGAGAGAGAGGGGGAATGTGCCCCTTTCCTCTTCCGCAGATCTGAAAGGGAAAAAAATGCAAAGTGTTCCACGTGAGTTTCTTCTTGCTTTCATAGAGATGCTGAAGGCGGCCGCAGGGAGGGAAATGCAAGATTAAGGCAAATAATTCCGCGTGCTGGGGAAAGCAGGACTCCCGCAAGAGCTCTTCCCTAACCAAATTATTAGGCTCATTGGAGAGATGCGCTCCGTGCACTGAGAGATCCAGGTAGGTTAATCACTCTGCAGGTAAGCATCCCTCCATGATCTCCCCCCAACCTACAACAGCTTCTTGTTTCCTGTGTTGGGGACCTTATTTAGGGAAGCTTTTAATGTTTGATGTATTACAGTATTTTAATATTTTTTTGGAAGCCGCCCAGGGTGGCTGTGGAAGCCCAGCCAGATGGGCAGGGTATAAATAATTAATAAATTATTATTATTATTATTATTATTATTATTATTATTCACTAGTAATCTGCAATCATTTCCTTATGCTGCATAAATTAAGGTTGCCACTTTCCACATCTCTCTCTTTGCTCCTGTGCCTTCAAAAGACTCCAGAAAGGCATAAACGAAGCTTTTCCACAAATGGGAAGGGGGACGGGGTTGGGAGTGTTAACGGAGAAATCTGAGGGCTCCCTTGGACAAAAACAAGGACAGCAGCCAAGAATACCAGAGTAAAACAGCAGCCAGTAGGCTTGGTCTTTACTGAAGACTGTCGCGACAGGACTCCCACATGCCACAAGGTGGAACAAGATGAAAGCCCTGGACAAAAGAGAACCCAAACTTTTATTAGCTGCTAGTCCCCATTTTACCCTCCCCAAACTACATCACTCATACATCATGGTTACATCATGAAAGGGGAGGTCTGGTGGCAGTAATCTGAGCATCCTGGACCCTGCCCCATGGTTCTCCTTGCCCTCCACCAAACACCCATCAAGTGTAACAAAAAGATATTTACATTTCCCTGTTTCCCAGCCAAGTTAATCGCACCCTTTTATCTTTATCTGGCTTTCTTTTTTCTGGAATGGCTACCTGTCTGGCAAGGGACGTGGATGGTGCTGTGGGTTAAGCCACAGAGTCTATGACTTGCAAGGTCGGTGGTTCGAATCCCCACAATGGGGTGAGCTCCCGTTGCTTGGTCCCTGCTCCTGCCAACCTAGCAGTTTGAAAGCACATCAAAGTGCAAGTAGATAAATAGGTACCACTCCAGCGGGAAGGTAAACGGCGTTTCCGTGCGCTGCTCTGGTTTGCCAGAAGCGGCTTAGTCATGCTGGCCACATGACCTGGAAGCTGTACGCTGGCTCCCTTGGCCAATAAAGCGAGATGAGCGCCGCAACCCCAGTCGATCACGACTGGACCTAATGGTCTGGGGTCCCCTTTACTTTTTACCTGTCTGGCACTCAGGTATCAGGATGCCAGGGATTATCACTCAGGCAGAGGGGCTGCTGAGTAGCTGAGCTCACGTGTCTATATGAATTTCTGAAGTTTTCCCAGTGAGCCAGTACATAGATACATTTATCAGTGAATTCTTACATTTGGTATCGTGCAGCAGAGGCCCTTTGAATAGACAGGAAGAAACTGTGATGAAGTGTTTTGTGGGGACAGATTACAAAAGTCACAAAAGTGATTGTGCTGATTTTGGTAGTGGGCTGCATGTGCATGATATCTGCTGGAGGGGCATCCCACCCCCAAAATCTATACATAATCTATACATAAATTTCTGCAACAGGAGGCTCTCATGCCACATTGCCAGGTACCTGGTGGTGAATGTTAAACTGCACAGGAGCAAGGCCAGGGGGAAAAAACAACAACGTTGGCAATCCTAATCAATTTTGCGTGCTCAAGAAAGCCGGCCAATGGAAGGCGGAATTGAGAGGAGTTCCCAGCAAGTTGGACCAAGAAGCATCACTGCAGTGGAGATGGAATGCATGGTAGCTGTTGTGGCAGGCAGCCATTGATAGCCGTCTCCTCTATATGAATCTTTTCCAATTGTATTTTAACACCATCCAAGTTTGTGGCCGTCACTGCCTCTTGTGGAAGAGAGTTCCATCGTTTAATAATGTGCTGTGTGCACAAGGCCTTCTTTTTGTCTTGTCCTGAATCTTCTGACCTTCAACTTCAACTGGACGAGCTTGAATTCAGGCAAAAACGTTCCTCTTTAACCGGGTCTTTGGTTGATTGTCATCCGATGCCAATGTAGGTCTTTCAGGACAGGTGTTATGTGGTCTCAGTGGCCAGTCCCAACTATATTTTGGTGCGTGGGGAAAAATCATGTGACACGAGCCCTACCTGTGTGCACAATAAATATTTTTTTTATTCCATTACCTAGTTTTATTTTGATCCCCGGTCAGGACCTCCTTCATGAATTTCCACATCGTGTGTGCTATTCTAAGCCAGGAAACCAAGGTCCCTTGTGGGGGTTTGTTTGCCTGTGTGCATGCACCATTTTAGAGGCACACTTGGAAAGGACTCAGTTGGATCCAAAATAGCCAATCCAAACTCAAGATTCTGTCAGGTATTCTGTCATTTGAAAATATTTAAAGCCCTCATCTTTTTACAGCCGCTGGACCTCTCTTCTCAGCTGATTTCAAAAATATGTGCATCTTTAATTTTGTTTTCCTAATTCTGATTTCAACCAGGATCTTTGAAACAATTGCAGTTCCTTGCCTCTTAATGCCGCCTGCCTTTTAGAATTTATAACCATGGCAACCCCTTTGTAAGCCGCCTTGGCTCTCGGTCTGGGAGAAAGGCGGGATATAAATAAGTAGAATACTAAAGGTGAGGATAAAGCTGCTCTTGAACTCAGATCCTGCTTGGAGCGCCTGCGGAGGAGGGATTCAGTCCTGGGGGCGCCGCTGGCCTGATCCTGCAGCCGGGTTTCCCCCTCCTGCTTCAGAGCCGGAGACCAGCCGGGCTCCCTCTCTGCCCGGAGCAGCCAAGAGGCTCCTACCCCGCGGCTGCGCAAGGGTTAACAGCGGCGACAGAGCTTCGATTCCTAGAGCGGAAGGGAAGACTGGGGGAGAGAGGAGGCGCTTCCGCTTCCTGTTCCGCTTCCCGGGTTGATGCTGTCCTCCCTGGAGGCGGGTAACTGGGGGGTCGGGGGGGCCGAGCCAGGGGCGGAATCGGGGGGCGAGAGGGAGGGAGCCGCGTCCCTCCTGGGGGGAACTCAGGGGCGACGGGGAAAGGTCGTCTTCTCCTGGGAGGGGAAGCGGGAGGCCGAAGCGACGCTCCTCGCTGGCCTTGACCGGCCTCTGGCCTCATCCTGCGGCCTTTTCTCCCGCTCCTCTGTCCAGAGAACGCAGAAGGAGCGCCCAGCAAAGGCCGCAGGGCAGGGAATGGGGAGGAATGGCAGGGAGTAAACAGGGAGTCAGGAGAGTCTCCTGCCAGCCAGAGAGGAGCAGGAGGAATAATTATTATTTTATTCATTCATACCCCTGCCCATTTAGCTGGGCTTCCCCAGCCACTCTGGGCGGCTCCCAACAGAAAATTAAAAGCACTATAAAAGATGAAACATTCAAAGCTTTCCTCAACCGGGCTGCCCTCAGATGTCTTCTTAAAGTCAGATAGTTGTTTATTTCCTTGACATCTGATGGGAGGGCTTTCCACAGGGCGGGTGCTACTACCGAGAAGGCCCTCTGCCTGGTTCCCTGTAACCTCGCAGGGAGGGAACCGCCAGAAGGCCCTTGGAGCTGGGCCTCAGTGTCAGGACTGAGCGATGGGGTGGAGATGCTCCTTCAGGTATACAGGCTGAGGCCATTTAGGGCTTTAAAGGTCAGCACCAACACTTTGAATTTTGCTCGGAAACATACTGGGAGCTAATGTAGGTCTTTCAGGTCTTAGTTGGCTGCTGCTCCCAGTTACCAGTCTAGCTGCTGCATTCTGGATTTGATCTAGTTTCCGGGTCACCTTCAAAGGTAGCGCCCCATAGAGTGCAGAAGGAGCTGCAGACTCTATGGCAGGAGAGGATCCTCCTCAGTTAAGACTCTTTAGCATTTTATTGTATCGAAGGCCATAGGTCCACTGCAAATTAAACCATGAGAAAAAACTTTTCCTCTGCAAAATGTATGTACGTACTAAACATGTATCATTAAAAAAGGTGGGCCCCTGGGGATATAACTGGCCATCTGCAGCTGTAGTAATTTTATCTTATGTTCAAGATTTCTAAACAGCTAATTCAAAAGGTCTCTCAAGTGGCACAGTGATCCAATGGGAGCTAGAACACAACTAAAACCCACAAACCAATTTAGAAACCAGTATGCATAAAGCCATCATTGAAAAATTTTCCTCTCCACTTCCCATTTTGCCTCTTGGGCAGCATGTATGGTCTTTACACACTTGAGGAAGGAGGGAGTATGGGGTGGGACAAAACACTCATTTCCCCAGTCTTAAATTTAGTTATCCAGATTTTAACATCTTATTAAAAAACAAATAAACACTGAAGGTAAAATCTCCAGTTGCCCCATCTATCATCGGAGGGGGAGCTGAGGGGAGATGGTTTCCACACCTTGCCTTGGAGTGTCTATAAGGAAGGAAATTGTTCTGTCCTTCCAGGGATCAGTGAGCTTTGACAGGTGTCCTTGCATTTCGCTGACGACAACTGGGCCCTACGGAGAGCTCTGTACAAGGACGTCATGGTGGAGGTTCATGAGATGGTGGCCTCTCAGGGTAAGGATCCTTTGCGCCTTCATTAATAGTTATAATAGGTATGGGTTCCTCGGAGTGCCTCCCTTCAGCTCCGCTAAAGGAGGTCACAGTGTTTGTTTTTCTCTTAAGTTAAAGGCCAGAAGCCTGGCTGAGAATAAATATTATTGCTTCTCTGCTACAATTAGCCATTGATGGCTTCTGGGTTGCCTCCCTGGGGGAGAGCATTCTTTAGGTGGGGAGCCAGCACTGAAAGACGCATTCCGTATTGCCTCTCTTTGCACCTCAATTGGAGAGGGCACTGTGAGAAGGACCTCTGATGATGAGTGCAGGCTCTAGGTGGATTCATGAGAAGCAGTCCTTGAGCTACATAAGTCAAAATCAGCACCTTGACTTGAAGACAGCAAACCAGATATGCTCAGAGCCTCTTGCACCGGTCAGCACTCTGTAGTTTCTGAACGGTCTTCTAAAGCAGCCTGAAGTATAATGCATTGTGGCAATCTAGCATGGAGAATGGTAGAAAAAGCATACTAAAAATCTTCTGTGTGGGGGATTCTAATTTGTAGAATACTTGAGTATCTTGTTATTGTTATTGGTTTCTATTGATGTATTGGTTTGTTTGTTGCATATATAGAATCTTCTGTTTCTTAATATTTGAGGTTTGATTGCATTTTTATATATGCTGCAAGCCACCCAGAGAGGCTTGGGAAACCCAGCCAGACGGTTGGGATATAAATGAAATAAATGCTACTATTGTTATTATTCATTTTGGTTTTTCAACAAGCTCTGCAGATCTAGGCTTTTCAAGCTTCTCTGAGTTGCAGTGCTGTATTATCAATGCTCAGGGGTGGCCTCACTTCTGCCCCCACAATGGGGGCTCAAAATCCATAAGGAGCGTACCCCTGCAAGTTGGGTGGGGTGGTCCCCACGAGACCTCCAAGGGGTGCAGACGCCCCCCCATTCACTGGCAAAGAGCCTTTTCAGATCCTGACAAAGCTGAATGGTGGAATGTCTGCCCTCTGGTGGACATGCCCTTGTTGGGGAGGATCCTTTTCGGGACTTGGCTGGAGGGGAGAGGACTCACAGAGCTTTGCTGCCCATCCCACTTCAGCCCTGGAGGCCGGGGAGACTAGCAGCAAAGCTGAGCAGTGACGCCCTTTGGGGGTGACACCTGAGACAGCCACCTCACACAGGCCCATAGGCAGGCAGGCTCTGTTGATGTTATTGCCTGCTGGTTTAAATTGTGTTATTTATGGCTTGGTTAATCTTAGGGGCTGCTCACCAGAACTTTTCTGATACAAATAACTGGTGATATTTTATTAAAACCAGGTATCACATCATTGTTTTAATGTAAAACGCCGTTAACATAGTGACAGGCCTTGAGTTTTGATAAGGAAACAGCTGTATCAACCTTTATTTTAATTTTTTTATTCCATCAGGAGATGTTTGGGGGGTCCTGGATGAGGAGGAACCACCAGAAGCCTGGCCAGAAAGAGGTGAGGCGCAAGAGAACGAAAGGAAGTTGGGGGTTCAAGATGGAGCCAACAAACAAGAGAGGAGAGAAACAGTGAAGCCAAGGGATGAACACAGTGTTTCCCAAGAAGATGAAAATCAACTTAACAGGGTGGAGAAAAACATGAATGTACTGTGTGCGGAAAGAGATTCTGTAGTCGCTCAGCCCTTGCTACACATCAAAGCGTACACTCAGGTGAAAAACCTTATGAATGCATGGAGTGTGGAAAGAGATTCAGAAACAGTGGCCAACTTAATATGCATCAGATAACTCATACAGGGGAGAAGCCTTATGAATGCATGGAGTGTGGAAAGAGCTTCAGTGCCAGAAGCAACCTTATTAGACATCAAATAACTCATACAGGGGAGAAACCTTATGAATGCATGGAGTGTGGAAAGAGATTCAGTTACAGTGGCCAACTTAATGTGCATCAAATAACTCATATAGGGGAGAAACCTTATGAATGCATGGAGTGTGGAAAGAGCTTCAGAAACAGTGGCCAACTTAATGTGCATCAGATAACTCATACAGGGGAGAAACCTTATGAATGCATGGAGTGTGGAAAATGCTTCAGATCCAGTAGCTACCTTACTTTGCATCAAAGAACTCATACAGGGGAGAAACCTTATAAATGCTGGGAATGTGGAAAGAGTTTCTTTGACAGTAGTACCCTTACTAAACATCAAAGAACTCACACAGGGGAAAAACCATATAAATGCATGGAGTGTGGAAAGAGCTTCAATCAGAGTGCCTCCCTTAATGTGCATCGACGACTTCATACAGGTGAAAAACCTTATAAATGCATGGAGTGTGGAAAGAGCTTCAGTGACTCTAGCACCCTTCATGCACATAGGAGAATTCACACAGGGGACAAACCATATAAATGTTTGCAGTGTGGAAAGAGCTACTGCCGCAGTCATCACCTTTCTCGACACCGGATAACTCATTCAGGAGACTAACCCTATGAAAGCTGATGTGTGGAAAGAGCTTCTGTTACAGTGGTAAAAGCTGTTCTCCAATTGGAGCACTCGCAGACCAGTGTTTCCTAGTAGGGAGTTAGTAGCTCACTCTTTAACGATGTGCAATTCTTCACCTTCATCCATGCACGAGGGCTTTTCCAGTACAGCAAGGAAGCAGCTTAAGGACCAAATACTTTACTGTCGCAAAAGTTCAGGCTCAGTAAAACAGTTTTGGGAGTATGTATATCCATCTGTCTAGTGATAAGTCGCCAGTAGCCAGGTGCAAACTGTGTCTGGCGCCTGGCTAATTTTGAACACTGCCCCACATTGGTATTTAATTAAAATAAGACACGAACTTGAGAATTTCCCTCTGATTTACCAATCTGTTCATTTAGGCAAGCATTTCTGACTTTTGTTTTCAGACTATGTGCTCAGAATATTTAGAGGGACGCTATAAAAAATTATCGCAGAACAGCATCTTTGTGTATGCCTTAACTAAGCAGTAGACCTCTACCAATATGCTCTCTCTATTCTGAACCAAGGTTATCCTTGATTTGTTATGTAAGATACCTGATGCGGATGATCAACTGAAAGTCACATATATGTTGTCTTGTTTGAGAAATCTGTGACAAAGTTGCTGCCCAAAAATTGAGAATGTTCATTGAGGAGAACATGGTGGACTGTAAAGATTTAATTGGGAATGACATCTAAAAACTTATTTGTGTGTGTGTAATATAGACTGATACTGTATTTTAATGCCATATTTATGTATATATGTCATATGACCATAATGGTACAAACAATAAACATATACCGTTTGTAGGCCTTTGCAGATACAGTTATGTACAGATAGATGGACTGTATAGGCAAAAGTGAGTAACAAGAAAGTAGTATTTCTCATGCCTTAACATGTTAGAAGCTGATTGGTTACTGCCGCAGAATCCTATAGTAGTAGTAGTAGTACAAATAATAATAATAATAATAATAATAATAATAATAATAATATTACTTATACCCCACTCATCTGGCTGGGCCTCCCCAGCCACTCTGGGCTGCTCCCAACAGAATATTAAAAACACAATAAAACATCAATTTATTATTTCCTTGACATCTGAAGGAGGATGTTCCATAGGACGGGCGCCACTCTGCAGGGTTCCCTGTATCCTCACTTTTTGCAGTGAGGGAACCACCAGAAGGCTTTGGAGGAGGACCGATGGGGGTGGAGACGCTCCTTCAGGTATACTGGGCTGAGGCCATTTAGGGCTTTAAAGGTCAGCACTAACACTTGGAATTGTGGGAGTCAATGTAGGTCTTTCAGGACCGGTGTTATATGGTCTCAGCAGTCAGTCCCAGCTATATTTTTGTTCGTGGGAAAAAAATCCTGTGAGAAGCGGATAATAAATCCTCGGTGTGCACAATAAATATTTTTTGCTTCCGTTACCTGGTTTTATTTGGATCTCTGGTCAGGAACTCCTTCATGAATTTCCACATCATGTGTGCTGCTCTAAGCCCGGAAACACACCATTTTGGAAAACTAATTTGTGAAATACATGTTTTGTGATGTACCAGATTTGCCCCAAAGGGCAGTCAACTTTAAAAAAATATTTGTGTGGCCTGCAAGTCATGCAAGGATTTGGAATCACTCGCATAAAAGGCCGCTGGTCCCTTCCTTCTCCTTCCCCACTTTCTGTACATGCAATAGCAAATTTTATTTTTAATGCAGCAGTTTTGTGCAGGAGAGCTTCTCCCCACAAAGATGTGTTTTTTATTACTACAGACATTTGTATATTTCATTTATTACCTGCCCTTTATTCAGCCAAAGTCCTGGTTGAAGAAGAATGTTTTCGCTCGGGACCTAAAGGCGCATAATGAAGGTGCCAGCCAAAGCTCCCTGTGGAGAGCTTTCCACAAACGGAGCCACTGTAGAAAAGTCCCAGTCTTGTTTTGTCACCCTCCACACATGGAAGAGGCACATGAAGAAGTGTCTTAGAGGGTGATATCCAGCCTGGGGCAATATTTGAGGTATTGTGATCCTGAGCTGTTAAGGCTTTATAGGTCCAAACCAGCACTTTGAATTGGGCTCAGAAACTAATTGGTTTCCAGTGTGGTTGGACCAGGATCAGTGTAATATGCTCACACTGTCTTGCTTCGCTGAGCAACCTGACTGTCAAATTCTGCAGCAGCTGAAGTATCTGAACCACCGGCAGGCGCCACCTTCATGCCTTCAACAACAATGGGAAACTCTCTAAGGTAAAGGGAAAAGCAGGAAACTCTCTAAGGTAAAGGGACCCCTGACCATTAGGTCCAGTCGTGACCAACTCTGGTGTTGCGGTGCTCATCTCACTTTACTGGCCAAGGGAGCCGGCGTACAGCTTCCGGGTCATGTGGCCAGCATGACTAAGCCGCTTCTGGCGAAACAGAGCAGCGCACGGAAACGCCATTTACCTTCCCGCTGGAGTGGTACCTATTTATCTACTTGCACTTGGATGTGCTTTTGAACTGCTAGGTTGGCAGGAGCAGGGACCGAGCAACGGGAGCTCACCCCATTGCGGGGATTCGAACCGCCGACCTTCTAATCGGCAAGTCCTAGGCTCTGTGGTTTAGACCATAGCGCCACCCACGTCCCTTTTTGGGAAACTCTCTAGGAAGAACAATAGAAATACTGGAATTAAAGGATTTGTTCAACTCAAAGCTCCCCTGCCTTCTCCATTCGAATGCATTGGCTAAAATTAGTACAAAGACCCTAGGTGGTTAGATAGCTCCCCGAGCTCCAACAAGGAACTGGCCACACACTGTCAAGGAACCCAGACACCCCTCGACTTAAGGACAGGTGTGACGGACAGCACAGCCAGACCAGAGTCTGCTGGTGCAGTCTCCCTGAAATTCTGTCAGAGTGAAGGAGCCTGTCACCGATTGGCTACAAAGTCACAGAAAGGGGAGGAGCAGAACTTTGAGAGGGAGGATAAAAAGAGGGAGGGAGGGAGAGAGAGATAGGGCTACGGGTCAGGTGAAGAGATGGGGCTTGATTTGAGAAGATAGGGATGGATTTGAGAAGAGAGAGGGTCAGGTTAAGACAGGGGTCCTCAAACTACGGCCCACAGGCCGGATCAGGCCCGCCAAGGTCCTAAATTCAGTTCTCGCTGCTGCTGCTGCTGCTGGCTGTCTGGCTTCTGGTGCTGTGGGGGTCCCAGGCCAGACGTGGAGAGGGCGGAGCAGGAAATGGCGGCCAGGAGGCGTTGTGCGCAGGCGCTTCAGGCGGAAGGCAGCACCGCTGCTGGGGCCCTCGCGGCTCAGTCGCCGCCCCTCCAGGTCTCCCGCTTCCCCACCACTCTCCTTCCCATCTCGCAAGCCCCGCATACCCCACCCAGCATGCACGTCTCGCCTTTGCAACCTGCCACTGTTGGAGGAGTTTGGGATGCTGTCAAGAAAAGCTCAGCGTCTCTTTCTCTGCGCACTGGCGCCAGTCTACTCATGTGAGGCAGCCCTTTTTGCAAATTCCCACTGTCCTTTTTTTATGGCGGGGGGTGTGTGAGGAGAATTCAGCTCCATGCCTTGGTAGCCTTTGCAAGTTTTAACTTCTTCTGGAAGGGGTTGGCTCTCTCCAGGGAGAGATCCCTGAAGGGCTGCAGGTTAGCGAGTAGGCGGGTGCCACCCAGCGCTACCATTTTAATCTCTGGGGTGGCGGAAGAAGATGGGGTGGGGTGGAACTGTCTATTTCCAGCCCCTGCAAGTTCCAAAGCAGAGAAGCATTTCGAAAAGTGCAGCTACCTCCTGAATTTGACACACAAACCCCCCACTCTGCTTTCTCCCTTCCTAAGCCCCTCTCTCTTCCTCTCACTTTCCAGGCTTGCCCTTTCACTGCCATTCCCACTGCTCCCACGTTTTGCAGTTTTTGGGGGGTGGGGTGGGGGAGAGAAAAACGCCCGCCCATGATTATTTAGCTGATTCTCTCCTGACCAACATAAATTAGCAGGCCCATACTTCCCATTGAAATATTTATAGAGTGGTACCTTGGGTTAAGAACTTAATTCGCTCCAGAAGTCCGTTCTTAACCTGAAACTGTTCTTAGCCTGAAGCACCACTTTAGCGAATGGGGCCTCCCACTGCTGCCACCGCGCGGTTTCTGTTCTCACCCTGAAGCAAAGTTCTTAACCTGAGGTACTATTTCTAGTTAGCAGAGTCTGTAACCCGCAGCCTCTGTAACCCGAAGCGTCTGTAACCCAAGGTACCACTGTAAGTTTATGTTGATTAAAATCATTCTTCATTTTAAAGAAGGCTGATCGCCGAAGAATTGATGCTTTTGAATTATGGTGCTGGAGGAGACTCTTGAGAGTCCCATGGACTGCAAGAAGATCAAACCTCTCCATTCTTAAGGAAATCAGCCCTGAGTGCTCACTGGAAGGACAGATCCTGACGCTGAAGCTCCAATACTTTGGCCACCTCCTGAGAAGAGAAGACCCCTGGAAAAGACCCTGATGTTGGGAAAGATGGAGGGCACAAGGAGAAGGGGGAGACAGAGGACAAGATGGTTGGATAGTGTTTTTGAGGTTACCAGCATGGGTTTGACCAAACTGCAGGAGGCAGTGGAGGACAGAGGTGCCTGGCGTGCTCTGGTCCAGGGGGTCACAAAGAGTCGGACACGACTAAACGACTAAACAACAACCACAATGGCTTCCTCCCGGTTCGCCCGGCCCCGAGCTGCCCCTTCGCGGGGCAGGAGGAGGAGCCGCTGCTGCCTCCGGGGCACCTATGTGGGTGTCGTCGCTGCTCAGGAGCCTCTGAGTGCGTGCAGAGTGCAGACCGAGCAAGGCAGCGAGGGCATCCCTGGGCGCAGCCGCCTGTGCGGGAAGAGCCGGGCTGGGGTCCGGGTGGGGTGGAGAAGGGCTTCCTGCAGCAACAGTGCAGGCCAAGCTGAGCCGGGCAGACGAGGGGCAGCTGCAGAGGTCTGTGGAGAGAGTCATCCAGGCTCTCATAGGCGAAGTATTGGGGCTCCTGGGGGGCCCGGCAGCTGGGGAGGGAAGGCTCCTTGACCCACTGGGACACCGAGGGAAATCGAGCCTTTTCAGCAGAGACAGACATCACTTGACACTCATGGAAACTGAATTGCATTTGCTGTCTTACTTATTTTGCAGCGCATTCACTCAGTTTGGCAAGTTCCTGTGTCACAGGCGAACTTGGCTTCCTCTGCCCCTAACTCTAGATCCTTTATGAGCAAGTTTAAAAGGCACAGTTTCCACTTTCTATAGCTCCAGTGGGAAAACTCCATCTTTCCCTACCATTTAGCCAATACCTCCTTTGCCTTTAATCCACATTGTTTGAACTGCAATTCATTAGCTATAACACGCAATGTGCATAGGAATTCGTTTTTTGGACTTGCCAAAAAAATATAGTCCGGCCCACAACAGTGTCTGAGGGACAGCGCACCGGCCCCCTGTTGAAAAAGTTTAAGGACCCCTGGCATAGAGAGTGGGTAACTGAGGAAAAGTGCCCCCCATGAACCAAGGTATTAATGGGTGAAGGAAGCTGTATGGTGTTAAAAGTATTTTGTGGCAGAGAGGAGGCAGAGATGAGTCAGGCTGGTGACTAAGTTAGGGGGTCTCGCCCTCCTGCTCTGACCAGCTCCCTCCCCCTTGATCTCTCAGAATCTGCAAAGGGATGAAGAGGGCGGAGCACAGGCAGATAAGGCGAAGAAATCTCAGGTTGCTTGGGAGAGGAGCAGACTTAGGGAGCCTGTGGGAGATAGCTGAATGCTTCTCCATGAAAGGAGCAGCAAATCCTGGCTTATAGAAAGCCAGCATGTCAGGGAACAGATGAGGACAGAACCTTTTCCCTGGAATTTGTGGCAACTGCCAAGAGGGCAAATCCTATGCTAGGGGTTATTAAGAACCTAAGAATGACCCAGGTGCAGAATGGCTGGGACAACCCAGTCAGATGGATGGGGTACAATAAATAAATGATTAGTGTTAGTACAGTGGTACCTCGGGTTACATACGCTTCAGGTTACAGACTCCGCTAACCCAGAAAGATTACCTCGGGTTAAGATCTTTGCTTCAGGATGAGAACAGAAATCGTGCAGCAGCGGCACAGCGGCAGCAGAAGGCCCCATTAGCTAAAGTGGTGCTTCAGGTTAAGAACAGTTTCAGGTTAGGAATGGACTTCCAGAACGAATTAAGTATTTAACCCGAGGTACCACTGTATTAGTATTTGCATCCACTGCCTGAAGCATAGCTGTCAACTTTTCCCTTTTTTTAAGGGAAATTCCCTTATTCCGAATAGGATTTCTCGCAAGAAAAGGGAAGAGTTGACAGCTATGGCCTGAAGTGGCTGCCTCCGTCTGCCTCATGGACTGTAGAGTTATTCTTAGGTTCCTAATAACCCCTAGCATGGAATTTGCCCTTTCCACAGTTGCCACAAATTTAAATTCCAGGGACCAGGGGAGAAAGGTTTTGTTTTCCCCTGTTCCCTGGCAAGCTAGCTTTCTATAAGCAAGGAGAGGCATTCAGCTATTTACACACACCTGAGATCACCCGCCTTTCCTGCTCTATCTCTGAAGGATGCCAAATAGAGGCAGCTCCCTCCCTGTTTGCTCTTCAATGGTTAACAGCAGCAACAGCATCTGAGCCCACATTCCTAGAGCAGAAGATTGCAAAGAGGAGGAGATTTGGGGAGGGGGGGAGAGAGAGGGGGAATGTGCCCCTTTCCTCTTCCGCAGATCTGAAAGGGGAAAAAATGCAAAGTGTTCCACGTGAGTTTCTTCTTGCTTTCATAGAGATGCTGAAGGCGGCCGCAGGGAGGGAAATGCAAGATTAAGGCAAATAATTCCGCGTGCTGGGGAAAGCAGGACTCCCGCAAGAGCTCTTCCCCTAACCAAATTATTAGGCTCATTGGAGAGATGCGCTCCGTGCACTGAGAGATCCAGGTAGGTTAATCACTCCGCAGGTAAGCATCCCTCCATGATCTCCCCCCAACCTACAACAGCTTCTTGTTTCCTGTGTTGGGGACCTTATTTAGGGAAGCTTTTAATGTTTGATGTATTACAGTATTTTAATATTTTTTTGGAAGCCGCCCAGGGTGGCTGTGGAAGCCCAGCCAGATGGGCAGGGTATAAATAATTAATAAATTATTATTATTATTATTATTATTATTATTATTCACTAGTAATCTGCAATCATTTCCTTATGCTGCATAAATTAAGGTTGCCACTTTCCACATCTCTCTCTTTGCTCCTGTGCCTTCAAAAGACTCCAGAAAGGCATAAACGAAGCTTTTCCACAAATGGGAAGGGGGACGGGGTTGGGAGTGTTAACGGAGAAATCTGAGGGCTCCCTTGGACAAAAACAAGGACAGCAGCCAAGAATACCAGAGTAAAACAGCAGCCAGTAGGCTTGGTCTTTACTGAAGACTGTCGCGACAGGACTCCCACCTGCCACAAGGTGGAACAAGATGAAAGCCCCGGACAAAAGAGAACCCAAACTTTTATTAGCTGCTAGTCCCCATTTTACCCCTCCCCAAACTACATCACTCATACATCATGGTTACATCATGAAAGGGGAGGTCTGGTGGCAGTAATCTGAGCATCCTGGACCCTGCCCCATGGTTCTCCTTGCCCTCCACCAAACACCCATCAAGTGTAACAAAAAGATATTTACATTTCCCTGTTTCCCAGCCAAGTTAATCGCACCCTTTTATCTTTATCTGGCTTTCTTTTTTCTGGAATGGCTACCTGTCTGGCAAGGGACGTGGATGGTGCTGTGGGTTAAGCCACAGAGTCTATGACTTGCAAGGTCGGTGGTTCGAATCCCCACAACGGGGTGAGCTCCCGTTGCTTGGTCCCTGCTCCTGCCAACCTAGCAGTTTGAAAGCACATCAAAGTGCAAGTAGATAAATAGGTACCACTCCAGCGGGAAGGTAAACGGCGTTTCCGTGCGCTGCTCTGGTTTGCCAGAAGCGGCTTAGTCATGCTGGCCACATGACCTGGAAGCTGTACGCTGGCTCCCTTGGCCAATAAAGCGAGATGAGCGCCGCAACCCCAGTCGATCACGACTGGACCTAATGGTCTGGGGTCCCCTTTACTTTTTACCTGTCTGGCACTCAGGTATCAGGATGCCAGGGATTATCACTCAGGCAGAGGGGCTGCTGAGTAGCTGAGCTCACGTGTCTATATGAATTTCTGAAGTTTTCCCAGTGAGCCAGTACATAGATACATTTATCAGTGAATTCTTACATTTGGTATCGTGCAGCAGAGGCCCTTTGAATAGACAGGAAGAAACTGTGATGAAGTGTTTTGTGGGGACAGATTACAAAAGTCACAAAAGTGATTGTGCTGATTTTGGTAGTGGGCTGCATGTGCATGATATCTGCTGGAGGGGCATCCCACCCCCAAATCTATACATAATCTATACATAAATTCCTGCAACAGGAGGCTCTCATGCCACATTGCCAGGTACCTGGTGGTGAATGTTAAACTGCACAGGAGCAAGGCCAGGGGGAAAAAACAACAACGTTGGCAATCCTAATCAATTTTGCGTGCTCAAGAAAGCCGGCCAATGGAAGGCGGAATTGAGAGGAGTTCCCAGCAAGTTGGACCAAGAAGCATCACTGCAGTGGAGATGGAATGCATGGTAGCTGTTGTGGCAGGCAGCCATTGATAGCCGTCTCCTCTATATGAATCTTTTCCAATTGTATTTTAACACCATCCAAGTTTGTGGCCGTCACTGCCTCTTGTGGAAGAGAGTTCCATCGTTTAATAATGTGCTGTGTGCACAAGGCCTTCTTTTTGTCTTGTCCTGAATCTTCTGACCTTCAACTTCAACTGGACGAGCTTGAATTCAGGCAAAAACGTTCCTCTTTAACCGGGTCTTTGGTTGATTGTCATCCGATGCCAATGTAGGTCTTTCAGGACAGGTGTTATGTGGTCTCAGTGGCCAGTCCCAACTATATTTTGGTGCGTGGGGAAAAATCATGTGACACGAGCCCTACCTGTGTGCACAATAAATATTTTTTTTATTCCATTACCTAGTTTTATTTTGATCCCCGGTCAGGACCTCCTTCATGAATTTCCACATCGTGTGTGCTATTCTAAGCCAGGAAACCAAGGTCCCTTGTGGGGGTTTGTTTGCCTGTGTGCATGCACCATTTTAGAGGCACACTTGGAAAGGACTCAGTTGGATCCAAAATAGCCAATCCAAACTCAAGATTCTGTCAGGTATTCTGTCATTTGAAAATATTTAAAGCACTCATCTTTTTACAGCCGCTGGACTTCTCAGCTGATTTCACAAAATAGAATTTATAACCATGGCAACCCCTTTGTAAGCCGCCTTGGCTCTCGGTCTGGGAAAAAAGGGGGATACGTATAAATAAGTAGAATACTAAAGGTGAGGATAAAGCTGCTCTTGAACTCAGATCCTGCTTGGAGCGCCTGCGGAGGAGGGATTCAGTCCTGGGGGCGCCGCTGGCCTGATCCTGCAGCCGGGTTTCCCCCTCCTGCTTCAGAGCCGGAGACCAGCCGGGCTCCCTCTCTGCCCGGAGCAGCCAAGAGGCTCCTACCCCGCGGCTGCGCAAGGGTTAACAGCGGCGACAGAGCTTCGATTCCTAGAGCGGAAGGGAAGACTGGGGGAGAGAGGAGGCGCTTCCGCTTCCTGTTCCGCTTCCCGGGTTGATGCTGTCCTCCCTGGAGGCGGGTAACTGGGGGGTCGGGGGGGCCGAGCCAGGGGCGGAATCGGGGGGCGAGAGGGAGGGAGCCGCGTCCCTCCTGGGGGGAACTCAGGGGCGACGGGGAAAGGTCGTCTTCTCCTGGGAGGGGAAGCGGGAGGCCGAAGCGACGCTCCTCGCTGGCCTTGACCGGCCTCTGGCCTCATCCTGCGGCCTTTTCTCCCGCTCCTCTGTCCAGAGAACGCAGAAGGAGCGCCCAGCAAAGGCCGCAGGGCAGGGAATGGGGAGGAATGGCAGGGAGTAAACAGGGAGTCAGGAGAGTCTCCTGCCAGCCAGGGAGGAGCAGGAGGAATAATTTTATTCCTTCATACCCCGCCCATTTAGCTGCGTTTCCCCAGCCACTCTGGGCGGCTCTCAACAGAAAATTAAAAGCACTATAAAAGATGAAACATTAAAAGCTTTCCTGAACGGGGCTGCCCTCAGATGTCTTCTTAAAGTCAGATAGTTGTTTATTTCCTTGACATCTGATGGGAGGGCTTTCCACAGGGGAGGGGCACTACCAAGAAGGCCCTCTGCCTGGTTCCCTGTAACCTCGCAGGGAGGGAACCGCCAGAAGGCCCTTGGAGCTGGGCCTCAGTGTCAGGACTGAGCGATGGGGTGGAGATGCTCCTTCAGGTATACAGGCTGAGGCCATTTAGGGCTTTAAAGGTCAGCACCAACACTTTGAATTTTGCTCGGAAACATACTGGGAGCTAATGTAGGTCTTTCAGGTCTTAGTTGGCTGCTGCTCCCAGTTACCAGTCTAGCTGCTGCATTCTGGATTTGATCTAGTTTCCGGGTCACCTTCAAAGGTAGCGCCCCATAGAGTGCAGAAGGAGCTGCAGACTCTATGGCAGGAGAGGATCCTCCTCAGTTAAGACTCTTTAGCATTTTATTGTATCGAAGGCCATAGGTCCACTGCAAATTAAACCATGAGAAAAAACTTTTCCTCTGCAAAATGTATGTACGTACTAAACATGTATCATTAAAAAAGGTGGGCCCCTGGGGATATAACTGGCCATCTGCAGCTGTAGTAATTTTATCTTATGTTCAAGATTTCTAAACAGCTAATTCAAAAGGTCTCTCAAGTGGCACAGTGATCCAATGGGAGCTAGAACACAACTAAAACCCACAAACCAATTTAGAAACCAGTATGCATAAAGCCATCATTGAAAAATTATCCCTCTCCACTTCCCATTTTGCCTCTTGGGCAGCATGTATGGTCTTTACACACTTGAGGAAGGAGGGAGTATGGGGTGGGACAAAACACTCATTTCCCCAGTCTTAAATTTAGTTATCCAGATTTTAACATCTTATTAAAAAACAAATAAACACTGAAGGTAAAATCTCCAGTTGCCCCATCTATCATCGGAGGGGGAGCTGAGGGGAGATGGTTTCCACACCTTGCCTTGGAGTGTCTATAAGGAAGGAAATTGTTCTGTCCTTCCAGGGATCAGTGAGCTTTGACAGGTGTCCTTGCATTTCGCTGACGACAACTGGGCCCTACGGAGAGCTCTGTACAAGGACGTCATGGTGGAGGTTCATGAGATGGTGGCCTCTCAGGGTAAGGATCCTTTGCGCCTTCATTAATAGTTATAATAGGTATGGGTTCCTCGGAGTGCCTCCCTTCAGCTCTGCTAAAGGAGGTCACAGTGTTTGTTTTTCTCTTAAGTTAAAGGCCAGAAGCCTGGCTGAGAATAAATATTATTGCTTCTCTGCTACAATTAGCCATTGATGGCTTCTGGGTTGCCTCCCTGGGGGAGCATTCTTTAGGTGGGGAGCCAGCACTGAAAGACGCATTCCGTATTGCCTCTCTTTGCACCTCAATTGGAGAGGGCACTGTGAGAAGGACCTCTGATGATGAGTGCAGGCTCTAGGTGGATTCATGAGAAGCAGTCCTTGAGCTACATAAGTCAAAATCAGCACCTTGACTTGAAGACAGCAAACCAGATATGCTCAGAGCCTCTTGCACCGGTCAGCACTCTGTAGTTTCTGAACGGTCTTCTAAAGCAGCCTGAAGTATAATGCATTGTGGCAATCTAGCATGGAGAATGGTAGAAAAAGCATACTAAAAATCTTCTGTGTGGGGGATCCTAATTTGTAGAATACTTGAGTATCTTGTTATTGTTATTGGTTTCTATTGATGTATTGGTTTGTTTGTTGCATATATAGAATCTTCTGTTTCTTAATATTTGAGGTTTGATTGCATTTTTATATATGCTGCAAGCCACCCAGAGAGGCTTGGGAAACCCAGCCAGACGGTTGGGATATAAATGAAATAAATGCTACTATTGTTATTATTCATTTTGGTTTTTCAACAAGCTCTGCAGATCTAGGCTTTTCAAGCTTCTCTGAGTTGCAGTGCTGTATTATCAATGCTCAGGGGTGGCCTCACTTCTGCCCCCACAATGGGGGCTCAAAATCCATAAGGAGCGTACTCCTGCAAGTTGGGTGGGGTGGTCCCCACGAGACCTCCAAGGGGTGCAGACGCCTCCCCCCATTCACTGGCAAAGAGCCTTTTCAGATCCTGACAAAGCTGAATGGTGGAATGTCTGCCCTCTTGTGGACATGCCCTTGTTGGGGGAGGATCCTTTCGGGACTTGGCTGGAGGGGAGAGGACTCACAGAGCTTTGCTGCCCATCCCACTTCAGCCCTGGAGGCCGGGGAGACTAGCAGCAAAGCTGAGCAGTGACGCCCCTTTGGGGGTGACACCTGAGACAGCCACCTCACACAGGCCCATAGGCAGGCAGGCTCTGTTGATGTTATTGCCTGCTGGTTTAAATTGTGTTATTTATGGCTTGGTTAATCTTAGGGGCTGCTCACCAGAACTTTTCTGATACAAATAACTGGTGATATTTTATTAAAACCAGGTATCACATCATTGTTTTAATGTAAAACGCCGTTAACATAGTGACAGGCCTTGAGTTTTGATAAGGAAACAGCTGTATCAACCTTTATTTTAATTTTTTTATTCCATCAGGAGATGTTTGGGGGGTCCTGGATGAGGAGGAACCACCAGAAGCCTGGCCAGAAAGAGGTGAGGCGCAAGAGAACGAAAGGAAGTTGGGGGTTCAAGATGGAGCCAACAAACAAGAGAGGAGAGAAACAGTGAAGCCAAGGGATGAACACAGTGTTTCCCAAGAAGATGAAAATCAACTTAACAGGGTGGAGAAAAACATGAATGTACTGTGTGCGGAAAGAGATTCTGTAGTCGCTCAGCCCTTGCTACACATCAAAGCGTACACTCAGGTGAAAAACCTTATGAATGCATGGAGTGTGGAAAGAGATTCAGAAACAGTGGCCAACTTAATATGCATCAGATAACTCATACAGGGGAGAAGCCTTATGAATGCATGGAGTGTGGAAAGAGCTTCAGTGCCAGAAGCAACCTTATTAGACATCAAATAACTCATACAGGGGAGAAACCTTATGAATGCATGGAGTGTGGAAAGAGATTCAGTTACAGTGGCCAACTTAATGTGCATCAAAGAACTCATATAGGGGAGAAACCTTATGAATGCATGGAGTGTGGAAAGAGCTTCAGAAACAGTGGCCAACTTAATGTGCATCAGATAACTCATACAGGGGAGAAACCTTATGAATGCATGGAGTGTGGAAAATGCTTCAGATCCAGTAGCTACCTTACTTTGCATCAAAGAACTCATACAGGGGAGAAACCTTATAAATGCTGGGAATGTGGAAAGAGTTTCTTTGACAGTAGTACCCTTACTAAACATCAAAGAACTCACACAGGGGAAAAACCATATAAATGCATGGAGTGTGGAAAGAGCTTCAATCAGAGTGCCTCCCTTAATGTGCATCGACGACTTCATACAGGTGAAAAACCTTATAAATGCATGGAGTGTGGAAAGAGCTTCAGTGACTCTAGCACCCTTCATGCACATAGGAGAATTCACACAGGGGACAAACCATATAAATGTTTGCAGTGTGGAAAGAGCTACTGCCGCAGTCATCACCTTTCTCGACACCGGATAACTCATTCAGGAGACTAACCCTATGAAAGCTGATGTGTGGAAAGAGCTTCTGTTACAGTGGTAAAAGCTGTTCTCCAATTGGAGCACTCGCAGACCAGTGTTTCCTAGTAGGGAGTTAGTAGCTCACTCTTTAACGATGTGCAATTCTTCACCTTCATCCATGCACGAGGGCTTTTCCAGTACAGCAAGGAAGCAGCTTAAGGACCAAATACTTTACTGTCGCAAAAGTTCAGGCTCAGTAAAACAGTTTTGGGAGTATGTATATCCATCTGTCTAGTGATAAGTCGCCAGTAGCCAGGTGCAAACTGTGTCTGGCGCCTGGCGAATTTTGAACACTGCCCCACATTGGTATTTAATTAAAATAAGACACGAACTTGAGAATTTCCCCTCTGATTTACCAATCTGTTCATTTAGGCAAGCATTTCTGACTTTTGTTTTCAGACTATGTGCTCAGAATATTTAGAGGGACGCTATAAAAAATTATCGCAGAACAGCATCTTTGTGTATGCCTTAACTAAGCAGTAGACCTCTACCAATATGCTCTCTCTATTCTGAACCAAGGTTATCCTTGATTTGTTATGTAAGATACCTGATGCGGATGATCAACTGAAAGTCACATATATGTTGTCTTGTTTGAGAAATCTGTGACAAAGTTGCTGCCCAAAAATTGAGAATGTTCATTGAGGAGAACATGGTGGACTGTAAAGATTTAATTGGGAATGACATCTAAAAACTTACTTGTGTGTGTGTAATATAGACTGATACTGTATTTTAATGCCATATTTATGTATATATGTCATATGACCATAATGGTTCAAACAACAAACAATAAACATATACCGTTTGTAGGCCTTTGCAGATACAGTTACGTACAGATAGATGGACTGTATAGGCAAAAGTGAGTAACAAGAAAGTAGTATTTCTCATGCCTTAACATGTTAGAAGCTGATTGGTTACTGCCGCAGAATCCTATAGTAGTAGTAGTAGTAGTACAAATAATAATAATAATAATAATAATAATAATAATAATAATAATATTACTTATACCCCACTCATCTGGCTGGGCCTCCCCAGCCACTCTGGGCGGCTCCCAACAGAATATTAAAAACACAATAAAACATCAATTTATTATTTCCTTGACATCTGAAGGGAGGATGTTCCATAGGACGGGCGCCACTCTGCAGGGTTCCCTGTATCCTCACTTTTTGCAGTGAGGGAACCACCAGAAGGCTTTGGAGGAGGACCGATGGGGGTGGAGACGCTCCTTCAGGTTACTGGGCTGAGGCCATTTAGGGCTTTAAAGGTCAGCACTAACACTTGGAATTGTGGGAGTCAATGTAGGTCTTTCAGGACCGGTGTTATATGGTCTCAGCAGTCAGTCCCAGCTATATTTTTGTTTGTGGAAAAAAAATCCTGTGAGAAGCGGATAATAAATCCTCGGTGTGCACAATAAATATCTTTTGATTCCGTTACCTGGTTTTATTTGGATCTCTGGTCAGGAACTCCTTCATGAATTTCCACATCATGTGTGCTGCTCTAAGCCCGGAAACACACCATTTTGGAAAACTAATTTGTGAAATACATGTTTTGTGATGTACCAGATTTGCCCCAAAGGGCAGTCAACTTTAAAAAAATATATTTGTGTGGCCTGCAAGTCATGCAAGGATTTGGAATCACTCGCATAAAAGGCCGCTGGTCCCTTCCTTCTCCTTCCCCACTTTCTGTACATGCAATAGCAAATTTTATTTTTAATGCAGCAGTTTTGTGCAGGAGAGCTTCTCCCCACAAAGATGTGTTTTTTATTACTACAGACATTTGTATATTTCATTTATCACCGCCCTTTATTCAGCCAAAGTCCTGGTTGAAGAAGAATGTTTTCGCTCGGGACCTAAAGGCGCATAATGAAGTTGCCAGCCAAAGCTCCCTGTGGAGAGCTTTCCACAAACGGAGCCACTGTAGAAAAGTCCCAGTCTTGTTTTGTCACCCTCCACACATGGAAGAGGCACATGAAGAAGTATCTTAGAGGGTGATATCCAGCCTGGGGCAATATTTGAGGTATTGTGATCCTGAGCTGTTAAGGCTTTATAGGTCCAAACCAGCACTTTGAATTGGGCTCAGAAACTAATTGGTTTCCAGTGTGGTTGGACCAGGATCAGTGTAATATGCTCACACAGTCTTGCTCCGGTGAGCAACCTGACTGCCAGATTCTGCAGCAGCTGAAGTTTCTGAAGCACCGGCAGGCGCCACCTTCATGCCTTCAGCAACAATGGGAAACTCTCTAAGGTAAAGGGAAAAAAGCAGGAAACTCTCTAAGGTAAAGGGACCCCTGACCATTAGGTCCAGTCGTGACCAACTCTGGTGTTGCGGTGCTCATCTCACTTTACTGGCCAAGGGAGCCGGCGTACAGCTTCCGGGTCATGTGGCCAGCATGACTAAGCCGCTTCTGGCGAACCAGAGCAGCGCACGGAAACGCCATTTACCTTCCCGCTGGAGTGGTACGTATTTATCTACTTGCACTTTGACGTGCTTTCGAACTGCTAGGTTGGCAGGAGCAGGGACCGAGCAACGGGAGCTCACCCCATTGCGGGGATTTGAACCGCCGACCTTCTAATCGGCAAGTCTTAGGCTCTGTGGTTTAGACCACAGCGCCACCCGCGTCCCTTTTTGGGAAACCCTCTAGGAAGAGACAGTAGAACAATAGAAATACTGGAATTAAAGGATTTGTTCAACTCAAAGCTCCCCTCCCTTCTCCATTTGAATGCATTGACTAAAATTAGTACAAAGACCCTAGGTGGTTAGATAGCTCTCCGAGCTCCAACAAGGAACTGGCCACACACTGTCAAGGAACCCAGACACCCCTCGACTTAAGGACAGGTGTGACGGACAGCAGAGCCAGGCCAGAGTCTGCTGGCGCAGTCTCCCTGAAATTCTGGCAGAGTGAAGGAGCCTCTAACCGATTGGCTACAAAGTCACAGAAGGGGGAGGAGCAGAACTTTGAGAGGGAGGATAAAAAGAGGGAGGGAGGGAGAGAGAGATAGGGCTACGGGTCAGGTGAAGAGATGGGGCTTGATTTGAGAAGATAGGGATGGATTTGAGAAGAGAGAGGGCGTATGGTCAGGTTAAGACAGGGGGGAATTCATTTTTTTGGACTTGCCAAAAAAATATAGTCCGGCCCACAACAGTGTCTGAGGGACAGCGCACCGGCCCCCTGTTGAAAAAGTTTAAGGACCCCTGGCATAGAGAGTGGGTAACTGAGGAAAAGTGCCCCCCATGAACCAAGGTATTAATGGGTGAAGGAAGCTGTATGGTGTTAAAAGTATTTTGTGGCAGAGAGGAGGCAGAGATGAGTCAGGCTGGTGACTAAGTTAGGGGGTCTCGCCCTCCTGCTCTGACCAGCTCCCTCCCCTTGATCTCTCAGAATCTGCAAAGGGATGAAGAGGGCGGAGCACAGGCAGATAAGGCGAAGAAATCTCAGGTTGCTTGGGAGAGGAGCAGACTTAGGGAGCCTGTGGGAGATAGCTGAATGCTTCTCCATGAAAGGAGCAGCAAATCCTGGCTTATAGAAAGCCAGCATGTCAGGGAACAGATGAGGACAGAACCTTTTCCCCTGGAATTTGTGGCAACTGCCAAGAGGGCAAATCCTATGCTAGGGGTTATTAAGAACCTAAGAATGACCCAGGTGCAGAATGGCTGGGACAACCCAGTCAGATGGATGGGGTACAATAAATAAATGATTAGTGTTAGTACAGTGGTACCTCGGGTTACATACGCTTCAGGTTACAGACTCCGCTAACCCAGAAAGATTACCTCGGGTTAAGATCTTTGCTTCAGGATGAGAACAGAAATCGTGCAGCAGCGGCACAGCGGCAGCAGAAGGCCCCATTAGCTAAAGTGGTGCTTCAGGTTAAGAACAGTTTCAGGTTAGGAATGGACTTCCAGAACGAATTAAGTATTTAACCCGAGGTACCACTGTATTAGTATTTGCATCCACTGCCTGAAGCATAGCTGTCAACTTTTCCCTTTTTTTAAGGGAAATTCCTTAGTCCGAATAGGATTCCTCGCAAGAAAAGGGAAAAGTGGACAGCTATGGCCTGAAGTGGCTGCCTCCGTCTGCCTCATGGACTGTAGAGTTATTCTTAGGTTCCTAATAACCCCTAGCATGGAATTTGCCCTTTCCACAGTTGCCACAAATTTAAATTCCAGGGACCAGGGGAGAAAGGTTTTGTTTTCCCCTGTTCCCTGGCAAGCTAGCTTTCTATAAGCAAGGAGAGGCATTCAGCTATTTTACACACACCTGAGATCACCCGCCTTTCCTGCTCTATCTCTGAAGGAGGACAAAAAGAGGCAGCTCCCTCCCTGTTTCCTCTTCAATGGTTAACAGCAGCAACAGCATCTGAGCCCACATTCCTAGAGCAGAAGATTGCAAAGAGGAGGAGATTTGGGGAGGGGGGGAGAGAGAGGGGGAATGTGCCCCTTTCCTCTTCCGCAGATCTGAAAGGGAAAAAAATGCAAAGTGTTCCACGTGAGTTTCTTCTTGCTTTGGCAGAGATGCTGAAGGCGGCCGCAGGGAGGGAAATGCAAGATTAAGGCAAATAATTCCGCGTGCTGGGGAAAGCAGGACTCCCGCAAGAGCTCTTCCCCTAACCAAATTATTAGGCTCATTGGAGAGATGCGCTCCGTGCACTGAGAGATCCAGGTAGGTTAATCACTCCGCAGGTAAGCATCCCTCCATGATCTCCCCCCAACCTACAACAGCTTCTTGTTTCCTGTGTTGGGGACCTTATTTAGGGAAGCTTTTAATGTTTGATGTATTACAGTATTTTAATATTTTTTTGGATGCTGCCCAGGGTGGCTGGGGAAGCCCAGCCAGATGGGCAGGGTATAAATAATTAATATATTATTATTATTATTATTATTATTATTATTATTCACTAGTAATGCAATCATTTCCTTATGCTGCATAAATTAAGGTTGCCACTTTCCACATCTCTCTCTTTGCTCCTGTGCCTTCAAAAGACTCCAGAAAGGCATAAACGAAGCTTTTCCACAAATGGGAAGGGGGACGGGGTTGGGAGTGTTAACGGAGAAATCTGAGGGCTCCCTTGGACACAAACAAGGACAGCAGCCAAGAATACCAGAGTAAAACAGCAGCCAGTAGGCTTGGTCTTTACTGAAGACTGTCGCGACAGGACTCCCACCTGCCACAAGGTGGAACAAGATGAAAGCCCCGGACAAAAGAGAACCCAAACTTTTATTAGCTGCTAGTCCCCATTTTACCCCTCCCCAAACTACATCACTCATACATCATGGTTACATCATGAAAGGGAGGTCTGGTGGCAGTAATCTGAGCATCCTGGACCCTGCCCCATGGTTCTCCTTGCCCTCCACCAAACACCCATCAAGTGTAACAAAAAGATATTTACATTTCCCTGTTTCCCAGCCAAGTTAATCGCACCCTTTTATCTTTATCTGGCTTTCTTTTTTCTGGAATGGCTACCTGTCTGGCAAGGGACGTGGATGGTGCTGTGGGTTAAGCCACAGAGTCTATGACTTGCAAGGTCGGTGGTTCAATCCCCACGACGGGGTGAGCTCCCGTTGCTTGGTCCCTGCTCCTGCCAACCTAGCAGTTTGAAAGCACATCAAAGTGCAAGTAGATAAATAGGTACCACTCCAGCGGGAAGGTAAACGGCGTTTCCGTGCGCTGCTCTGGTTTGCCAGAAGCGGCTTAGTCATGCTGGCCACATGACCTGGAAGCTGTACGCTGGCTCCCTTGGCCAATAAAGCGAGATGAGCGCCGCAACCCCAGTCGATCACGACTGGACCTAATGGTCTGGGGTCCCCTTTACTTTTTACCTGTCTGGCACTCAGGTATCAGGATGCCAGGGATTATTACTCAGGCAGAGGGGCTGCTGAGTAGCTGAGCTCACGTGTCTATATGAATTTCTGAAGTTTTCCCAGTGAGCCAGTACATAGATACATTTATCAGTGAATTCTTACATTTGGTATCGTGCAGCAGAGGCCCTTTGAATAGACAGGAAGAAACTGTGATGAAGTGTTTTGTGGGGACAGATTACAAAAGTCACAAAAGTGATTGTGCTGATTTTGGTAGTGGGCTGCATGTGCATGATATCTGCTGGAGGGGCATCCCACCCCCAAAATCTATACATAATCTATACATAAATTCCTGCAACAGGAGGCTCTCATGCCACATTGCCAGGTACCTGGTGGTGAATGTTAAACTGCACAGGAGCAAGGCCAGGGGGAAAAAACAACAACGTTGGCAATCCTAATCAATTTTGCGTGCTCAAGAAAGCCGGCCAATGGAAGGCGGAATTGAGAGAAGGAGTTCCCAGCAAGTTGGACCAAGAAGCATCACTGCAGTGGAGATGGAATGCATGGTAGCTGTTGTGGCAGGCAGCCATTGATAGCCGTCTCCTCTATATGAATCTTTTCCAATTGTATTTTAACACCATCCAAGTTTGTGGCCGTCACTGCCTCTTGTGGAAGAGAGTTCCATCGTTTAATAATGTGCTGTGTGAACAAGGCCTTCTTTTGTCTTGCCCTGAATCTTCTGACCTTCAACTTCAACTGGACGAGCTTGAATTCAGGCAAAAACGTTCCTCTTTAACCGGGTCTTTGGTTGATTGTCATCCGATGCCAATGTAGGTCTTTCAGGACAGGTGTTATGTGGTCTCAGTGGCCAGTCCCAACTATATTTTGGTGCGTGGGGAAAAATCATGTGACACGAGCCCTACCTGTGTGCACAATAAATATTTTTTTTATTCCATTACCTAGTTTTATTTTGATCCCCGGTCAGGACCTCCTTCATGAATTTCCACATCGTGTGTGCTATTCTAAGCCAGGAAACCAAGGTCCCTTGTGGGGGTTTGTTTGCCTGTGTGCATGCACCATTTTAGAGGCACACTTGGAAAGGACTCAGTTGGATCCAAAATAGCCAATCCAAACTCAAGATTCTGTCAGGTATTCTGTCATTTGAAAATATTTAAAGCACTCATCTTTTTACAGCCGCTGGACTTCTCAGCTGATTTCACAAAATAGAATTTATAACCATGGCAACCCCTTTGTAAGCCGCCTTGGCTCTCGGTCTGGGAAAAAAGGGGGATAAGTATAAATAAGTAGAATACTAAAGGTGAGGATAAAGCTGCTCTTGAACTCAGATCCTGCTTGGAGCGCCTGCGGAGGAGGGATTCAGTCCTGGGGGCGCCGCTGGCCTGATCCTGCAGCCGGGTTTCCCCCTCCTGCTTCAGAGCCGGAGACCAGCCGGGCTCCCTCTCTGCCCGGAGCAGCCAAGAGGCTCCTACCCCGCGGCTGCGCAAGGGTTAACAGCGGCGACAGAGCTTCGATTCCTAGAGCGGAAGGGAAGACTGGGGGAGAGAGGAGGCGCTTCCGCTTCCTGTTCCGCTTCCCCGGGTTGATGCTGTCCTCCCTGGAGGCGGGTAACTGGGGGGTCGGGGGGGCCGAGCCAGGGGCGGAATCGGGGGGCGAGAGGGAGGGAGCCGCGTCCCTCCTGGGGGGAACTCAGGGGCGACGGGGAAAGGTCGTCTTCTCCTGGGAGGGGAAGCGGGAGGCCGAAGCGACGCTCCTCGCTGGCCTTGACCGGCCTCTGGCCTCATCCTGCGGCCTTTTCTCCCGCTCCTCTGTCCAGAGAACGCAGAAGGAGCGCCCAGCAAAGGCCGCAGGGCAGGGAATGGGGAGGAATGGCAGGGAGTAAACAGGGAGTCAGGAGAGTCTCCTGCCAGCCAGAGAGGAGCAGGAGGAATAATTTTATTCCTTCATACCCCGCCCATTTAGCTGCGTTTCCCCAGCCACTCTGGGCGGCTCCCAACAGAAAATTAAAAGCACTACAAAAGATGAAACATTAAAAGCTTTCCTGAACGGGGCTGCCCTCAGATGTCTTCTTAAAGTCAGATAGTTGTTTATTTCCTTGACATCTGATGGGAGGGCTTTCCACAGGGCGGGTGCTACTATCGAGATGGCCCTCTGACTGGTTCCCTGTAACCTCACTTTTTGCAGTGAGGGACCCACCAGAAGGCCCTCGGAACTGGATCTCAGTGTCCACGCTGAACGATGGGGGGTGGAGATGCTTCTTCAGGTATACTGGACCAAGATTGTTTAGGGCTTTAAAAAGGTGGGCCCCTGGGGATATAACTGGCCATCTGCAGCTGTAGAAATTTTATCTTATTTTCAAAATTTCTAAACACCTGATCCAAAAGGTCCTTCAAGTGGCGTAGTGATCCAATGGTAGCTAGAACACAACTAAAATTCACAAAACAGTTCAGAGACCAGTATGCATAAAGCCCGGGACGCGGGTGGCGCTGTGGGTTAAACTACAGAGTCTTGGGCTTGCCAATCGGAAGGTCGGCAGTTTGAATCCCCGCGACGGGGTGAGCTCCCATTGCTCGGTCCCTGCTCCTGCCAACCTAGCAATTCGAAAGCACCTCAAAGTGCAAGTAGATAAATAGGTACCGCTCTGGCGGGGAAGGTAAATGGCGTTTCCATGTGCTGCTCTGGTTCGCCAGAAGTGGCTTAGTCATGCTGGCCACATGACCCAGATGCTGTACACAGGCTCCCTCGGCCAGTAAAGCGAGATGAGCGCCGCAACCCCAGAGTTGGCCACGACTGGACCTAATGGTCAGTGGTCCCTTTACCTTTACTTTATGCATAAAGCCATCATTGAAAAAAATCATCCCTCTCCACTTCCCATTTTGCCTGCTGGGCAGCATGTTTGGTCTTTACACACCTGAGGAAGGGGAGGAAGGAGGGAGTATGGGGTGGGACAAAACACTCATTTTCCCCAGACTTAAATTTAGTTATCCAGATTTTCACATCTTATTAAAAAACAAACACACGCTGAAGGTAAAATCTCCAGTTGCCCCATCAATCATCGGGGGGGAGCTGAGGGGAGATGGTTTCCACACCTTGCCTTGGAGTGTCTATAAGGAAGGGAATTGTTCTGTCTTTCCAGGGATCAGTGAGCTTTGACAAGTGTCCTTGCATTTTGCTGACGACAACTGGGCCCTGCAGAGAGCTCTGTACAAGGACGTCATGGTGGAGGTTCATGAGATGGTGACCTCTCAGGGTAAGGATCCTTTCGCCTTCATTAATAGTTATAATAGGTATGGGTTCCTCAGTGGCTCAGAGTGCCTTCCTTCAGCTCCGCTAAAGGAGGTCACAGTGTTCGTATTTCTCCCAAGTTAGAGGCCAGAAGCCTGGCTGAGAATAAATATTCTTGCTTCTCTGCTACAATTAGCCAGTGAAGGCTTCTGGGTTGCCTCTCTGTGGAAGAGCATTCTTTAGGTGGGGAGCCAGCACTAAAAGACGCATTCCGTATTGCCTCTCTTTGCACCTCAATTGGAGAGGGCACTGTGAGAAGGACCTCTGATGATGAGTGCAGGCTCTAGGTGGATTCATGAGAAGCAGTCCTTGAGTTAAAGGTAAAGGTAAAGGGACCCCTGACCATTAGGTCCAGTCGTGACCGACTCTGGGTTGCGGCGCTCATCTCACTTTATTGGCTGAGGGAGCCGGTGTACAGCTTCCGGGTCATGTGGCCAGCATGACTAAGCCGCTTCTGGCGAACCAGAGCAGTGCACGGAAATTCCGTTTACCTTCCCGCCGGAGCGGTACCTATTTATCTACTTGCACTTTTGACGTGCTTTCGAACTGCTAGGTTGGCAGGAGCTGGGACCGAGCAACGGGAGCTTACCCCATCGCAGGGATTCGAACCGCCAACCTTCTGATCGGCAAGTCCTAGGCTCTGTGGTTTAACCCACAGCGCCACCTGCATCCCTTCAGTCCTTGAGTTACATAGGTCAAAATCAGCACCTTGAATTGAAGACAGCAACCCAGAAAAGGTTTTATGTGCTCAGAGCATCTTGCACCGGTCATCACTCTGTAGTTTCTGAACGGTCTTCTAAAGCAGCCTGAAGTATAATGCATTGTGGCAATCTAGCGTGGAGAATGGTGGAAAAAGCATACTAAAAATCTTCTGTGTGGGGGATCCTAATTTGTAGACTACTTGAGTATCTTGTTAGTGATATTGGTTTCTATTGATGTATTGGTTTGTTTGTTGCATGTCCCCCCCCCCTCACCCCACGAGACCTCCAAGGAGTGCAGAGCCGCCACCCCCCATCCACTGGCAAAGAGCCTTTTCAGATCCTGACAAACCTGAGTGGTGGAATGTCTGCCCTCTTGTGGACATGCCCTTGTTGGGGGATGATCCTTTTCGGGACTTGGCTGGAGGGGAGAGGACTCACAAAGCTTTGCTGCCCATCCCACTTCGCCCCTGGAGGCCGGGGAGACTAGCAGCAAAGCTGAGCAGTGACGCCCCTTTGGGGGAGACACCTGAGGCAGCCGCCCCACACAGGCCCATAGGCAGGCAGGCTCTGTTGATGTTATTGCCTGCTGGTTTAAATTGTTTTATTTATGGCTTGGTTAATCTTAGGGACTGCTCACCAGGACTTTTCTGATACAAATAACCCTTCATTAAATGGTGATATTTCATTAAAACCAGGTATCACACCATTGATTTTTATGTAAAACACCTTTAACATAGTGCCAGGCCTTGAGTTTTGATAAGGAAACAGCTGTATCAACCTTTATTTTAAATTTTTTATTCCATCAGGAGATGTTTGGGGGGTCCTGGATGAGGAGGAGCCATCAGAAGTCTGGCCAGAAAGAGGTGAGGCGCAAGAGAACGAAAGGAAGTTGGGGGTTCAAGATGGAGCCAACAAACAAGAGAGGAGAGAAACAGTGAAGCCAAGGGATGAACACAGTGTTTCCCAAGAAGATGAAAATCAACTTAACAGGGTGGAGAAAAAACATGAATGTACTGTGTGCGGAAAGAGATTCTGTAGTCGCTCAGCCCTTGCTACACATCAAAGCGTACACTCAGGTGAAAAACCTTATGAATGCATGGAGTGTGGAAAGAGATTCAGAAACAGTGGCCAACTTAATGTGCATCAGATAACTCATACAGGGGAGAAACCTTATGAATGCATGGAGTGTGGAAAATGCTTCAGATCCAGTAGCTACCTTACTTTGCATCAAAGAACTCATACAGGGGAAACCTTATAAATGCTGGGAATGTGGAAAGAGTTTCTTTGACAGTAGTACCCTTACTAAACATCAAAGAACTCACACAGGGGAAAAACCATATACATGCATGGAGTGTGGAAAGAGCTTCAATCAGAGTGCCTCCCTTAATGTGCATCGAAGATCTCATACAGGTGAAAAACCTTATAAATGCATGGAGTGTGGAAAGAGCTTCAGTTGCAGCAAGTCTGTTAAAACGCATCATATAATTCACACACAGGAAAACCATATAAATCCATATAAATGCATGGAGTGTGGAAAGAGCTTCAGTGCCAGAAGCATCCTTATTAGACATCAAAAAACTCATACAGGGGAAAAACCATATAAATGCCTGGAGTGTGGAAAGAGCTTCAGCAGCAGTGCCTACCTTACTAAACATCAAAGAACTCACACGGGAAAAACCATATAAATGCCTGGAGTGTGGAAGGAGCTTCAGTCAGACTGCCTCCCTTAATGTGCATTGACGAACTCATACGGGGGAGAAACCGTATAAATGTTTGAAATGTAGAAAAAGCTTCAGTGACTCTAACATCCTTCATGCACATAAGAGAATTCACACGGGACAAACCCTACAAATGTTTGGAGTGTGGAAAGAGCTACCGCCACAGTAACCACCTTTCTCGACACTGGAGAACTCCTTCAGGGGACTAACCCTATGAAAGTTGATGTGTGTAAAGAGCTTCAGTTATAGTAGTTTCTTTACTGTGCATGAAATAACTCGTACAGGGGACAAACAACATACATTTTTGGGGTGTGGAAAGAGCTTTAGTTGCAATAGCTGTCTAGTGATAAGTTGCCAATAGCCAGGTGCAAAATGTGTCTGGTGCCTGGCTAATTTTGAACACTGCCCCACATTGGTATTTAATTAAAATAAGACATGAACTTGAGAATTTCCCCTCTGATTTACCGATCTGTTCCTTTAGGCAAGCATTTCTCAGTTTTGTTTTCAGACTATGTGCTCAGAATATTTAGAGGGACACTATAAAAAATTCTTGCAGAAGAGCTTCTTTGTATATGCTGTAACTAAGCAGTAGATCGCTACCAATATGCTCTATTCTGAACCAAGTTTATCCTTGTTTGATTATGTAAGATACCCAATGCGTGTAATCAACTGCCCAGGAGGACTCCCCTGCCTGAGTGCCCCGTTCCTGCCACTCACCACCTGGCCAGGGCAGGGCCTGGCAGGCCTCATAAGGACAGCTGAGGCGGCTGCTGTCTCTCCCCAGGAGAACTCAGAACAGCACACAGTTATTTTTAAAATATTCTAAATTTTTATTTTTTACCTTTAAAATTATTTCTGGCGTGGGGGATGGATGTTTAGTCGTGTTTGGAAATTGGTCTAATTTTGGTATGTTTGTAACTTTTACTGTTTTTGGTTTTTATTGTTTTACTGTTTTTTTTTTTAAATAGGTTTTATTTTGTTCTTAAGGGGAGGAGGTCAGAGCTGCCTGGGTGTGGGTCCCAGCCAACAAAATGGCTGGGGCAAGTTCCACAGGGAGGGATGCACTGGGACAACCGATCTTAGTGATCACGGGTAGGAGGAGGAGTTACGCTAAGACCAGACCATGTCATTACCGAGGAGGCAGGTTTAGTCGTTGTTTGAGGACTATCCCTGCCTCCGGGTCTGGTCTTGACCGGACGGATACTGGAATCAGCAATGGATACCCACATGACCTGAAGGTTCTGCTGTGCAATGCCAGATCAATGATTCATAAGACCACTGCCATCCATGACTTGATCGTGGATGGAGGACTTGACCTGGCATGTGTAACAGAGACTTGGTTGGATGAAGCTGATGGGCCTGTCCTTGCCGCTGCTTGCCCACCTGGCTTCTCTTACGCACAGCAACCCAGGTCATGTGGGCGGGGAGGGAGGGGGTCGCAGTGATTTTTAGGAAGTCATTAGTCTGCACCAGGCGTCCTATTGGGAAGACCCAGTTCTCTGAGTGCATGTTCTGGAAGTTGGGCAATGGGGCAGTACAGGATTCCTTTTGGTGTACTGACCTCCCCGCTGCACCAAGGATTCCCTGCCCGAGCTGCTTCAGTTTGTGGTGAATGTTCTCTTGGAGACACCTAGTTTGGTTGTCCTGGGGGATTTTAACATCCACGCCAACACGACCTTGCAAGGGACCTCTTGGGACTTCATGGAAACTATGGCCTCCATAGGACCGCCCCTGAATTAGCCTGGCCCAGCTCATAGCCCTTGACCTCTATAGATGTTGGCGATCTGACACTAATAAAAGCGAAGCGAAAGAAGTGCCATAGTCAGAGCACTTCCTGGTGCAACTGGACTTCTCTGTGACCCTTCCCCTCTGCAGGGGGGTGGGAGCGATTTGGATGGTCCGCCCCCGCCACTTAATGGATCTAAATGGTTTCCAGAGAGTGGTAGGGGATGCTTTATCCCATGTTGATGGCCTTTCAGCTGATTCCCTGGTGGCCCACTGTAATGCGGAGTTAACCAGGGCTATTGACTGTTTGGCTCTGAAGCGCCCTCTCTGATTGCATGGAGCCTGGGCAGCTCTGTGGTTTTCCACCGGTCTAAGGGCAATGAAACAATCACTGAGATGGCTAGAGTGCCGGTGGTGGATGACTCATTCTGCATCTGACCGCACATGGGTTAGAGCTCAATGTGGAGCCTACCAAGTGGCGATAGTGACGGTGAAGAAGACCACCGCCTCTATTGCATCTGCAGAAAACAGACTTATAGAAGACAACAGACTTATAGAAACTACCAGACTTATAGAAGACATCTGAAGGCAGCCCTGTTTAGGGAAGCTTTTAATGTTTGATGGACGAGTGTATTTTAATATTTTGTTGGAAGCCGCCCTGAGTGGCTGGGGAAACCCACACAGATGGGTGGGGTATAAATAATAAATTATTGTGATTATTACTGAAAGTCACATATTTGTTGTCTGGTTTGAGAAATCTGTGACAAAGTTGTGAGATCTGCAGTTGCTGCCCCCAGACTGAGAAAGTTCATTGAGGAAAACATGGTGGACTGTAAATATTTAATTGGGAATGAAATCTAAAAACTTATTTGTGTGTGTGTGTGTGTGTGTGTGTGTGTGTAATATAGGCTGATACTGTATTTTAAAGCTGTACAGTGGTACCTCAGGTTAAAAACTTAATTCGTTCTTGGGGTCTGTTCTTAACCTGAAACTGTTCTTAACCTGAAGCACCAGTTTAGCTAATGGGGCCTCCCGCTGCCGCCGGGCCGCAATTTCTGTTCTCATCCTGAAGCAAAGTTCTTAACCCGAGGTACTATTTCTGGGTTAGCGGAGTCTGTAACCTGTAGCATCTGTAACTCGAGGTACCACTGTATTTATGTATATATTGCATATGGCCATAATGGTTCAGTCAACAATAAACATGTACAGCTTGTAGGCTTTTGCAGATACAGTTACGTTCAGATAGATTCAGTGTATAGGCAAAAGTCAGTAACAACAAAATAGTATTTCTCATGCCTTAACATGTTAGAAGCTGATTGTTTACTGCCGCAAAATGCTGCATTTGGCTGTGTACCCCCAAACACCAGAGGAGCTATGGCATTTGTGTAGCAATAATAATAATAATAATAATTTATACACCGCCCATCTGGCTGGGCCTCCCCAGCCACTCTGGGTGGCTCCCAACAGAATATTAAAAGCACGATAAAACATCCAATGTTAAAAGCTTCCCTAAACAGGGCTGCCTTCAGATGTCTTATGAAAGTCAGATAGTTGTTTATTTCCTTGACATCTGATGGGAGGGTGTTCCACAGGGCGGGTGCTACAACCGAGAAGGCCCTCTGCCTGGTTCCCTGTAACCTCACTTTTTGCAGTGAGGGACCCACCAGAAGGCCCTCGGAACTGGACCTGAGTGTCCAGGCTGAACGATGGGGGTGGAGATGCTCCTTCAGGTATACTGGGCTGAGGCCGTTTAGGGCTTTAAAGGTCAGCACCAACACTTGGAATTGTGCTCGGAAATGTACTGGGAGCCAATGTAGGTCTTTCAGGAATGGTGTTATGTGGTCTCAGTGGCCAGTCCCAACTATATTTTGGTGCGTGGGGAAAAAATCATGTGACACAAGCCCTACCTACAGGTGTGACGGACAGCACAGCCAGGCCAGAGTCTGCTGGCGCAGTCTCCCTGAAATTCTGGCAGAGTGAAGGAGCCTGTCACTGATTGGCTACAAAGTCACAGAAGGGGGAGGAGCAGAACTTTGAGAGGGAGGATAAAAAGAGGGAGGGAGGGAGAGAGAGATAGGGCTACGGGTCAGGTGAAGAGATGGGGCTTGATTTGAGAAGATAGGGATGGATTTGAGAAGAGAGAGGGTCAGGTTAAGACAGGGGTCCTCAAACTACGGCCCACAGGCCGGATCAGGCCCGCCAAGGTCCTAAATTCAGTTCTCGCTGCTGCTGCTGCTGCTGCTGCTGGCTGTCTGGCTTCTGGTGCTGTGGGGGTCCCAGGCCAGACGTGGAGAGGGCGGAGCAGGAAATGGCGGCGGCCAGGAGGCGTTGTGCGCAGGCGCTTCAGGCGGAAGGCAGCACCGCTGCTGGGGCCCCTCGCGGCTCAGTCGCCGCCCCTCCAGGTCTCCCGCTTCCCCACCACTCTCCTTCCCATCTCGCAAGCCCCGCATACCCCACCCAGCATGCACGTCTCGCCTTTGCAACCTGCCACTGTTGGAGGAGTTTGGGATGCTGTCAAGAAAAGCTCAGCGTCTCTTTCTCTGCGCACTGGCGCCAGTCTACTCATGTGAGGCAGCCCTTTTTGCAATTTCCCACTGTCCTTTTTTTATGGCGGGGGTGTGTGTGAGGAGAATTCAGCTCCATGCCTTGGTAGCCTTTGCAAGTTTTAACTTCTTCTGGAAGGGGTTGGCTCTCTCCAGGGAGAGATCCCTGAAGGGCTGCAGGTTAGCGAGAGTGGGCGGGTGCCACCCAGCGCTACCATTTTAATCTCTGGGGTGGCGGAAGAAGATGGGGTAGGGTGGAACTGTCATTTCAG